TTTCCGTCAGGCACACGAGCGGCTGAATGTCCACAATGAACGAACTGATGATGTTGGGCACAGGCGTTATGTTCGCTTTACTCTTGATGTCGATGGGTGCTGCACCAAGAGAGAGAACGAACGAAGGAAAAAGAGACTGGTCAGTCCATAGCTAGCACCATGAGAAGTTCTAAGCACACACGAACCTCCTTTCTCGCGCAGAATAGCAAGACGCGGTGCCGCCCGATCCCACCATTCTTCTGTAAGCAACGCTCCCGATGTATCGACCAACGTGCTGTCCTTCTGTTGGAGCGGTAGGGTGCCAGTGAGGATTGACATTTATCGCAAATCAGCAAAAAGAGGCAGATGGTACTGCAACGCCCTGAGTCTCGCGCGCGGTGGCCACCGCCTGCAGTAGATGCTTGAAGGAGCAATTGGGTCCCAGGTGCACCGCCTCCATCTTGGGTGCACTGTTGCCCTCTGTGCCACGCCGAGCGATCCACAGCACCCCATCTTCCTTCTCCAGCAATGCCGGCTCACTCTTTCGCCGCCTCTTGCCCGGAGGCTCCTGGCGTGCAGCAGGCCCCGCTGTTTGTTCTCTCTCTTGCGCCTCCTCTCTTTCTTCCTCCATCATGCGTGCATCTACCAAATTACGAGCAGCGAACAAGGATCTCTTTCGCTCAGGCGCTGGGGCATCAATTGCAGATGCTGCCGCCGTCCTGGCACGCTTTCTTGGTACCACGGGTTCGCGGCTCTGATCGTCCATGCGTGGCTCTAGCACTGAGCAGATGGATTTCAATTTGTACAGCGATTTGGTACATTGTCGACAATATAAAATACAGGCTCTTGTCATTTTCTTTTCCCCTTTTCTCCTTTTCTGTGGTCACTGTTCGGCGGAGGTGTCTGTCTCCTCCCGCTGCGACGGAGGAGCTGACAGGGCGCTCTCGCCGGCCAACTCGCCTAGTTCGACTTCCGCTGCAGCGGAGCTCTTGTTGGCGCGGCCGGCGGCGGGCGACTGACCGAAGACGGCCTCCACCTGCTCCAGCGTGAGGCCCTTGGTCTCGGGGCAGAGGATGAGGGCGAAGATGGCCATGAAGAGGCACGCGCCAGCAAAGATGAGGTAGGTGTAGTAGTTGATGTCTGCCAGGATGAGGGGAGCCACCTTGGAGATGACGGCGTTCTGTCATTGGGCGGCCAAAAAGTTAAACTTAGCGGCGGCGGTCATCAGCATGAGGGTAGTGCGGAGGATGGCCGTACCCAGGTCCAGTTAGAGACGGTGCCGGCGGAGTTGCCCTTGGCCCGGTGGCGGAGGGGAAAGATCTCGGACTGATAGACCCATACGACCGGACCCCAGGTGGCGGCGAAGAAGATGGTGAAGACGAGGATGAAGGTGATGGCACCGATGCCCAGCCGGTCGAGGGTGTCCTGGCTCGACCCGACCTCGCCGAAGACGCACACAAGCGCCAGAGAGATGGCCATGCCGACGCCGCCCACTGTCATGAGGAGCTTACGGCCGATGACCTCGATGAGCCACATGCCGGGCAGCGTGGCGAGCATGTTGACGGCGCTGTTGATGAGCGGGAAGCCGATGTTGGCCATGTCCTCCGAGAAGCCGAGCGCGGCATAGAGATCGGACCCGAAGTAAAGGATGATGTTGATGCCGGTCCACTGTTGCAGGAACTGCAGCGAGATGGCGAGGAAGGTGCGGTAGCGCACGGCAGGGTCGATAAAGAGTTCGAGCCAGGAGCCCTCGCCGATGGCCTTCTCCTCGTCCACGGCCGTGATGATCTCCTCGTACTCGGCCAGCACAGCCTCGGATGTGTCGGGCTTCCCGCGCAGCTTGGACACGACGGCCAGGGCTTCCTTGTCGCGGCCCACGTAGGCCAGCCACCGAGGAGAGAAGGGTAGGGCGAGGAGCGAAGCCAACATGAGCGCGCAGGGCACAAACTGGAGGCCGAACGCGAGGCGCCACTCGCTGTCCCCTGCGGAGTCGCCGTAGAACTTGATGATGAGGGAGTTCACGCACGTGGCGACGAAGATGCCGATCGTAATCATGAACTGGTATACGGCGATGAGCCTTCCGCGAATGCTCGTCTTGGCAGTCTCGGCGATGTACAGCGGCACGCAGCAGGACATAAAGCCCACGCCCACGCCGGCGACGACTCGGCCCAGGTAGAGGGTGGCGATGTTGCCCGCCACAGTCTCCATCGCCACGCCGACCATGAAGGCGACACCCCCGAGCATGATGGTCCACTTGCGGCCGAGCATGTTACACGGGTAGTAGACCACCAGCGCTCCCACAGCAGCGCCGATGAGGAACGTGAAGGTAACCTGTTTTTTTTGTCGACACACGGTTAAAACAGAAATGTCAGCCCAACCGAAGCTGACTGGACATATTGGGTAGGGAGGTGACACCTACCCATCCTGTGATGTCATCGGCGTCGCCTGTCTTGGTGTACGTGTCGGTGTTGGGGTCGTAGGTCTCGATGTCGAAGGTGGTCTTGAAGGGGTGCATCGTGAACACCTGACTGCACAGGGGAGTGAGCTGGTATCCACATGGACAACTCAACAGTTGAACAGAAGGAGAAACGGCGCACTTACTTGATGATGCCTATCTCGTAGCCGAAGAGGAAACCGCCCATAGCGGCGGTGAAGGCCACCAGCCAGCCGTAGAAGAAGCCGTAGAACCTCTCGAGCTTCTTGTTGGCCATCTTGGTGTGGTGTGGTGTCTGGGTGCTGTGGGTCCTGTGCTGTGGGGTGTTGTTGTCGGTGCGGGCGCTGGTAGATGACTTTGGATGGCGAGCGCAACTGCGATTATCTGATCCCTGCCGGAAGTAGGAGGCTGCGCTTGAGTGGCGGGAATGCCTTTGGCGCGGTAGGCTCCTTGAACACGGCCCGAGTCCGCCTGTTTGCTCCGTGTCTGTAGGCAACGGGCGCAGCCTTACCGCCACTCACGGAATTTGCGCGTTTATCGCCGAGCTCATAAACCTATTTTGGTAAGACCAGTCAAGAAAATAAAACAAAGGCCAATCAGCGTGCACCTGGGGAAGGAGCGTGGCTGTCTGTCCCATCTCGCGGTAGGTCCCATCTTCCTCGCCCGAGCACATGTTCGCAACCGCGGGTGCCAGATACCAGAGTGTCCACTCCAACAAGGCCAAACGACAACATGGTGTAATGTACAACACGTTGATGGCGAGGTACATTTTATGGTCAAGCGTCTGACGTGGGTAGCATTGCACCACCTTGGGGCTGACCGAAAGCCTACGTTTCCTTCCTCCTGCGCGCCTGGACACGTGTCGGATGTGTTGAGGCGATGAGATCAAATCCAGCCACTTGTTAGAGGCGGAGTACCTTACCTTCACTTGCGGTATAGGAACATGCCACGATCGAAACCATCCGACTTCTTCTCCTCCTTCTTGCCTCCTCCTTCCTCCTCCTTCTCTGTCTCCATCTCTTTTGTCTTGGCAGACGGCTGATCCTTCTCGCCCTTTTCGCTCTTCTGGCCTCGCTGCTTCTTCTCCTTCGGCGTTCCGCTTCTGAGCACCTCGCAGTGCTTGAATCCCAGCTCCTCCATGAGGTAGGTGCGGAACTGCTCCGGGCGCAGCTGGACGGCGCGTCTGTTCACCTTATGCGCCGGCGTGAGTTTCGCCTTCTTCATGTAGCTCTTCCATTCTTGCGGCTCGAGGATCAGCACGCCGCCTATAACAGTGTAGAAAGCTCCCTCGGTTAGGCCCAAGATACATGTTTCTAGATTGACGAACAGCAGAAGGCACACGAATGGTGCGATGTGAATAGATAACTGAGGCTCCTGCGCACCTTCGTTCAGCAGATCGTGTATCTTCCGGAAGAGCGTTTTAATGCCCTCATCGCCCCAGTTGAGGTGGATCCACTTGGTGACGCTCAAGCTGAGAGACAGACCATACATATGCTCAGCCGGGTTCTATGAACGAGTGGCGGGAGCACTGAGTGGCGAGGCGGACAACGTACCACAGGATCACGTCGTACTTCTGGTCATGCTGACCATCGTCTTCGATGACGTTCTCCGTTTGGTAGGCGATGTTGTATGGGTACTTGCTGGATTTCTCTGGCTGGTTGTCCGCTTGGTCCTTCTCCTCGTCCATCGCTTCTTCCTTCTTGGGTGCCTCGTCTTTGCTGCTCTGCTCCTCGGGCCGACCGTCGTCGTCGAACTTGATCCGGTTGGCCTTGCGCTTCTCCTCATATTTGTCTTTCCTTCGCTGGTCCCTCTCGAGGCCCTGCTGCGCTCGCTGGATCAGGTCCTCGTCCACATCAACGCCCAAGATGTACTTCGGTGCAAAATTCCTGGCTACGCCGATGTGCCAATGTTTAGGGTTGTGAGCAATGCACGACGATTGCGAGTGGGCGAACAACTTACCGACGAGCTTCGTCACAATGCCCATGTTGCAGCCGATGTCGAGCACACGCTTGCCCTCAAACCACTCCTTCTTGAAGCAATCGAGACGGGCATCGTTGAAGACATTTCCTTTGTTCCTGCATCGATATCGGGGGTGGCAGTGTGAATCAACAGCACGAATGGCGAGCCACACAAGCGACACGCGTGATATATCGGCCCTGTTGGCTCTCTTCTGCCTTGGAGGGAGTAGTAGCCTTACCTGTAGCTGTAATAGCGGTCATAGTTACCGTAGAGGAAGACCTTCTTTTGTGGTGGTGCCGCTCCAGCTTCAGTCGGCCCCTTAGCCTGGTTAGAACCAGCTTGTGCTTGTCCCTGTGTCCCTACCTTCGCCTTCTTGGCGGGAGGAGGCCCACTTCCCCCTTTCTTGGGTCCTGGTGCTGGTGACCCACACCAATGTCAATAGCGGAGATGCAAGCGCAGATTCCTAATCACGATATCATAAGGACAGTAGTACCTGAAGCGGCAGCGGCATCTGGCTTTCGCTTGGCAGTGCGGATGGGCGGCGGGCCTGCGGTGAGGAAATTGCACGAAATCGGAGGCACAAATGTTTCTCCATCCTCGGCTCGAGTCCTCCGGGGCTGCACCTCCTTTGACGCTGTCTTCTTCGTTTTGGCCTCTCCTCCTCTTTCCCCTCTTTGGCCACCACCCCTACCGCGTCCCCGCTGTGCCTTTCCTTCCATCTCGCAGATTAATCGTAGGCGAGAGAGATTACACGAAAAAGCGCAGAACAGCACAAAACGGAAACAAAACGGCTTTGATTATTTTCTTCAAGCCGCAGGTGCGTGATGGAGTTGCCACCAGAGGTGCTTGGTCCCCTCTTCATGCGCGGCTCGGACGCGTCTAGGAGATGCTCAGCTCTTCGTTTTCTTTATGGCAACCAAGGTGTGGCTGCACGTTCTTGCGTGTGCCGCAGGCAGCGACGTGGTGCGGTTCGGCATGACGTGCCAGGCCGCCAGTCTCCTGGCCACCGATGCCTCCCTGTGGCGCACTCTCTGCCTTCGCCAGAAGCAGCACCAACGCTACGCCCCTCCCGCTGAGGCACTTCCACCCAAACAGAAATCTAAAACTATGTATATTTATTTATTTAAAATATATTTATACAACACATAGTATATTTTTAAAATATTCTAAAATAATATCTAATTTTTCTTTTATCTTTACGCGTCCTGTCTAGCCGACCAAGGAGGGAGAGGCACAGGACCATGATGTGGCCGAGTACTGGAAGCGCAGGTGGTTTGCGGGCGCACTGGCACCTCCAAGGCCGCACCTGCGGCTTGCCATTGTGGGGCACATAGACTGCGGCAAGTCTACTCTACTTGGGCAACTCATGATTCAGCTCGGCGCTGTCTCGCGAGGCGGTATGTGACCACTCAAAGTTTGCTACAGGTGTCCCATTCAGACTGACCCATTGCGTGCGTGTGCGGTCCACCTGGCCCAGTGGTGGCCAGCACCAGAAAAAAGTGCGTGGCTTACGGCAGGCAATGCGGTGCTTACATCGCTATGTTGAGCCAAGACGCGCCCCACGCATTCCAGGAACATGTTGGTGGTCCCGACTCCAGTACAAGTGCGTTCTTTCTAGCCGCAACCCGCCCTCACGCGTTGATGAGACTCTGATTCGCTCATGCACACCCGCCTTTGTACTTATTTCTCCCCTGAAGTCGTGCGGTACCTGGTGCAGCTCGAGGCCTCGCGGAGCCATCTCTCGATCTTTTGCCCTTCGAGCTTTCGCACGACTTCGACCGAGATTGCTTGGGTGCGCACCCCTCAGCCCCTTAACCCGGTCGCCAGCACATAGTATGAGATGGGGGTGGCTCACCACATTGCCATTGCCAACCTAGATGCTGGCGGTGTCCAACTGTGTCGTTCTGGTCGTAAGCGCTCTTCCTGGCGAATTCGAGGTACATTCCTGAGTCTGTCCTACCGCACCTTGACGCGTTGGCCCTCACATCGCCAACGTCGCATGGGACTGTGGTCAGGCAGGGCTGAGTCGCGATGGTCAGACACGTTCCGATCTAAAGTTAGCGGTCGAAGCTGGCGTGCGCCGCGTGATCGTGGCCGTCAACAAATGTGAGACCACGCCAATATCGCGATGGAACGAAATCACCGCCGAAATGGCTACGTACACTATACCACCACTATTCCTCCTCACATTCTCTCTCGTGGCCTGACCTTCTCCTTGAAACGGCTGCAGGTTGGCACAGCGATTGCAATTTGACGGCGACCTCCTGGTGCTGGCCATCTCCGCTGTAGATGGGGACAACGTCACCACCCGATCCTTTCGCTTCCGTACATCTCATCTTTCTTTTCGAGCACAGTGCAGTCATCTGGGCTCATTGCGATTGTTGATGTGCTACCTTTCTACCATCGTGTTAGCGTGGTATTCCGGCCCCACGCTGCTGGAAGCCATCGAACAGACTGGCGACCTGCCCTGCGGCCGTCAACTCGAGGCGAAGATCTTCGAGCCGTGCTCCGTCTCCGTCTTGGTTCCGGGCAAAGACGGTCTCTTCTCGCCCACCCACCCACACACACGAAAGAACTACTGTCAGTTACGTTGCTCACCCCTGCACTATATCAGGCCACTCAGTCGTCGGCTTTGTACGAGCGGGTGTGGTCAAAAAGGGACACAATCTGCACTTGGTCGAGCGCCGACCCAACACGCAGCCTCGTGTGGTCACCGTCACCGGGATTGTGGACAGCGCATCGCAGGAGAGGTCAACTCTCTCTTCTTACAATCACTCTTCTTACGAGCTTGGCTCCGTTCGCACTGTTCGCTTAGCCGTGGTCGTGTGGACTATACAGGCCTCGCGCGCTTCCTGGGGACATCGTGCTGATATCGTTCTCATCAGCCAAGACCGGAGAGCCAGCCTCGCAGTCCAGAGGTGCCTCGCCGATTGCGCTGAGCGCGCATACGGTATGCGCGTGTCTTCCCCCCCCCCGCCAACCCCGCGTGCTACGCCAGCATAACTTTCTTCTCATGCCCACCCTTCTTCCCCATTGCCCAGCCCAAGGAAGTGGACGAGATCAGGATTGAGGCTATTACGCTGCGACACAATGGGTTCAAGCTGGGCATGAGCCTGCTTCTCCACTGCGATGGCGTCTGGTCTGACTGCACGTACGTGCTGTTCACCACCATCGCGCTCGTTTTCTCACATCACCTGGCGGAGCACTAACTGGCGGGGCGGGAACTCCGAAGGTTTGGCAAGGTGCTAGCGGTTCGTGTTGGCAGCGGAAGCTGGCAGGAGCCTCCGCCACTGAAGCTGGGTGACCCCATCGAGGGCCAGGTCCGCATGAGACTGCGACTGCAGCTGCGGCTTCCTCGGGCGCTCTCCACACTGCACGTTCCTGTGGGGCGGCCCATCACACTTCAGTTTGAGAGCGGCGGCACAGTTGCCGCCGGCACCATCATCAGCGCTAGCCTCACCTAAAAAAGAGACCCTACTCTTCCATCTTACACCCATACTTCACCTTCTACCACTGCCCTCTCCCAGTTCTCGTTGCGTTTGCGTGGTGGCTTGAGGTTCAACTTCTCTTTCGTTCGAGTGCAACTTGAAGTGGGCTTTGAGTTCAGTTGTCCCAGGGCTCCAAGCCGAAGACGCGGCGGCCCAGCCACGACATCTGCGGTGTCCTATGGAGGGGCACCTCCCACTCGGCCCGGTAGTCACTCGTCGGCTGCGGAAACCGCGAGAAGCACAGCAGACGACGGTCAGCAAGCAGCGCGTCACAAATGCAGTAGTGCTTGATCGAGGGGTGGTCACACGCACCCCGCCTGCGGGGTAGTTGCGCGGCTTGCGGCCGACCTCGACGCACTGCCGCACCTCCTCGGCGTACTCTGTTGTGCCCAGCCACATCACATCACACCAGGTCAGCGGTGTGTGGTCGTCGCACGTGAGTGTAAGGGAGCGTCGGGCGCACCTGGGAATCGGTCGACGGGCAGGAAGCGGAGGTAGGCGTGCACACGCCACTGGTCCGACGTGTTGGCGAGGGCCGAGTGCGGCAATCGACTTGACCACACCACGAAGTCGCCCTGAAGAAGTGCTGCGTTGATGAATACACACGACACGACACGACACGACACGACACGACACGACACGACACGACACGACACGACACGACACGACACGACACGACACGACACGACACGACGCGGCCAAAGACACGCACCTGCTTCATGGGCACGCGCTTGGCCTGCGAGTTGATGAGCTCTTCGTCGTGGAACCAGTTGAAGAAGGGGACCGGAGGATCGAGCTCGCCCAGCTTGCCCTGCTCGCAGGCTTGCCTGTACTGCCGGATCTTCTCGAGTTTGTGGAAGCCTGGGGCGCCCACCTCTTCGATTGAGCAAAACAACAAAACACCAAAAGGAGCGAAGCGATTTGGGGGGGGGGAGAAGGGCCAACAAGGAATATACCAGGAATGCAGTGGAAGCCGCCAGAGTGACAGTCCTGCAGGGCCAGACCACCTTGCCACCACCCGTCCTTCAGATTCCTGACATTCCATGTGTGTTTCCCAGAATGAAGAATGTCAGAGATGCGCTTCATCACGGGGCGAGCAAGTGCTTACCAGAGGTTCATGTCCGTGTGCACGGGGAAGACGGCATCGCGTCTGGAATTGAACTTGTGGGTGACCTTGCCCGTCGCCGGGTCGGTCACGTAGGCCGGCGGATTGAGGTTCGCCCTACATACGATGGGCTTTGCATGAGTTACGGGGGCAGCTGCAGCTCCTTGTGGCACTGTGACTGAGCGTGCGCGTAGGTGAGGTACCTGTCGATGGTAGTTACGAGCCGGTGGGTCTTGAGGAGCTGCGCGAAGATGGAGTACAGGACGGGCGACTGACGCAGTTCGTTGTAGGTGTCCCCGTGCCACACGTCGATGAAGCCGATGGGGTCAATCTCCTGCACGCGCCGATCGACCGCAAAAATATAACGAAGAACGAAGAACGCAGAACAAAGAACGAAGAACGAAGCCGTCCACACGCCCACCAAAGTGACTTTAGTCGCCTGGAGACTCAAACAAGGCGACGGTGGCGAACGTACGTTCCACGAGGCAGGGTTGGACCGTGTAACGCCCATGAGCCGTTCCGCCCTGTCGTAGAGCTCCCCGGTCATGCGGTCGCACAGCTCCTTCGACACCGCATTCGGTATCACCAGGTAGCCGTTCTCCTCCAGGAAGGCCTACCCACACAACGACACGCACACGCACACGCACCACCGCACACGCACACCACCGCACACGACATGACAAGGTGAGAAAGGTCGCAGCAGAGCACTGCGCGGCGCTGGAAATCGTGGTTCGTACCAACTGGTCATCGCTGAGCGGGTAATCGAAGACGTGGGGATGCTGCTCCAGCCGCGCCTTCTCCTCATCAGTCAGACGCGGAGTGATCTCCACTTCGTCTACACGGCGCACACGCACGCACGCACACACGACACACGACACACACGACACACAAGTTAGCCTCAAAGACGCGACCAGTGCCCCAGTGGTGCTAATTCTTTGGGGAGGGGCCAGGCGAGTACCTGAAGGGTTGACGTCGGGCCACTGCGTGGGCGGGTGCGGGTCGGTCAGGGAGTGGCCCAGGCGCTCCGCCCGCTTGTAGTACCCCACGGCGGTAGCCAGATCGCCCTCCTTCTCCGCCGCCTTGCCCAGCTCGTACCACTCATCAGCCCTATCCCGCCCACCCCCCCAGGTGCATAATGCAACCATTAAATAAATAAATGAATAAAAAACAAGCCAGCACAAGAGGAGGGGCGCGAACGATCTTTCTTGCTGCATGCTGTCAGGGTTCTTCTCTTCGTGTCGATAGGGCTTGTTGTGACACCCCAAACCGCAGACATTGGGGGTAAGAAGAGAAGAGAAAGTTCTCAGAACCGCAGCGTCAAAAATAAATATTTAAAAAGAAATATTTAAAAAATTGGCTTAGGCGTCGGCTTCGGCTTCGGCTTCAGCTTCGGCGTCGTCGGACTTGTCGTCGCTGTCGTCGTCCTTGCTGGGCTCGGGCTCGGGCTCGGGGGCCTCGGCCTCGTCGGCGGACTCGTCGGCGGGCATGCCGGCAGCGGCGTTCTCCTTGGCCTTCTCCTCCTTGCCCTGCTGCACCATCTTCTGGATCTCCTTGATCGACTTGGTGGGACCCTCCCTGGCGATCACCTCCGCCGCCGCCTTCACCAACAGCGCCTTCTCGCGCCTGGCCTGGATGTCGTCCCTCAGCTTCTCCATCTGCACTCCATTCCATCAGTAATCGACACACACGACACACACGACACACACGACACACACGACACACACGACACACACGACACACACTGCACCTGTTCGTAGCACTTCTGTTCGAGCTTTTCGCGGGCCTCCTGCTGCTTCTCTTCGAGGGCCTTGCGCTCGACCTCGTGCTTGTCGTTGAGGTCCTCATCCTCCTCGGCCTGCTCGAGCTGCGTGCGCGACAGCTCGTCCTCCTGCTTCCACTTGGTGTCCTCCTCCTTCTTCTGCAGCTTGCGGTTCAGGGTGAGCTTCTCGCGGGCCTGCTTACGGTCGAGCAGCTTTTGCTGCCGCTGCCACTTCTGCACCGACACGTCCTTGGGCGTCGGGTCGTTCTTGTCGCGGATCTTCTCCACCAGGTCCTCCGCCTCCTCCTTGTGGTCCAGATCCATCGTCTGCGACGCATCCTCGTGTCTGTGTGCCGCACACACGCACGCACCGTTAACTCATTCCGCACACGCACACGCACACGCACACGCACACGCACACACGCACACACCGCACACCGCACACCGCACACCGCACACGCACACACGTACTTCCACTGCTGCTCGACGATGTCTCGGGAGGACTTCTTCTTGAGGGCGTACTCCTCGCGGGTCTGCTTGCGGTCGAGCTGCTTCTTCTGCTTCTTGTGCTGAAACTTCTGCTTGTCGACCTCGCTCTGATCCTTCTCCTTCTCCTTCTGCACCTTGATGTCCTCCTCGCGCCTCTTCGCCGCGTCCTTGCGCTGAATGTCCGACTGCTCCGAGTGCACGCGCTTGCCCACCTGCGCACCGCACACACCGCACACATGGCACACACAGGTGTGAGCAGCGCAGCTTTTGGCCCTTCGTGGAGACTGGGCGCGCGTACGGTGGAGAGGGCGCGAATCCAGTCGTCGAGGGTCTTGGCCTCTTCAGCGGCGATGTAGACGGGCTTGTAGTTCTGGTCGACGAGTCGGACGGTGTGCTCGTACCCGGTCTTGGGCTCCCGCTCCAGAATGTACGCCGTCATGTCCACGAACCCCGCCGGCGCCTGCCATCACCAACAATAAATAATTGTTTGATTATTATTTATTTTCATTTAAATTTGTTTGTTTATTATTGTTTTTTAAAAAAAAGAACGAAAGCGAAGGGGGGCGAAAGAGGGTGGGTCACCTTGCCAAGGAGGGCGTCTTCCTCTTTGTTGTAGTTGAGCAGAAGACGCTCGGAAGACTTGAACACGAACCATTGCTTCTTGAACGTCTGCTTACCATCAATCAAAACAAACCAACCAAAACGATCTTTGCATCAGTTCAATCCCACTGCACCGAAAAAATCCAAAGAGGATCTGTCAGTACCTTGCCGCATTGCTTGAGGAGGAAGCCCGACTTGTCCGACATCTTCTGAACTTTGTTGGTTTGGTCTTGATCGTTCGCTCGATTAGTTTTCTAGGTCTGTCGTTGCCGTGCTCGTGCGCTATTCAAATTGACCAACCACGTGCCTTGTCGGGTCATTTTAAATATTTATATAAAAAAATAGGTTACATTCCGCGCATAGTTCGGTTTACTGTGGCCCTTGGTCGGACAAGGTGGCGGTGGTGGGGAAGCAAATGTCGTAGATGCGCTCGGCGGGGTGGTCGGTGCTGAAGCTGAGCGAGTGGCGGAATTTGAGGACCTGGCCGTCGTGGAAGGTGACGAGCACTCCCATGTCGAAGACGCCCCAGCCCCGCCGCCTCAGCTGGAACGGCGGCTCACGAACAGTGACCTCCCTCGGGAAGAACGTAGGGTGCAACACGAACGTCACCTTTGATCATCACCATCATCAGCATCAGCGTTATTACCATCATCAACAAGCCCGTCATTATCATTAGCATCGTCATTTGGTTGGTGGTACGCACCTGCTTGACAAAGGGGGTGATGTCTTCGTTGTCAATGCCTCGAGCGTAGACGGTCCACTCGTACGGAACTGACTTGTTGTCTAACACGGGAATGGTCGAATGAATCAGCACATGGGTGCTGGTTGTGGTTGTGTGGTGTGTGTGGTGTGTGTTGTGTGTGTATTGTGTGTATTGTGTGCGTTGTGAGTGTTGTGTGTGTTGTGTGTGTTGGTGTGGTGGGTACGTACCAGTACTGGTGCAGCTGTTGCCGATTACAATCATCTTCTGGGTCATCCCCTTGCGCGGTTTGATGAGCCTCTCGTTCCTGGCCGTGATCTTCTTCTTCCGCACGCGGAGCTTCTTCGTCTTCTTCTCCTCGCGCCCCGGCTTTGCCTGCTCTGCCGCTGGGGCCTGGGCCGAAGAAGCTGTTGGCGACTCCGCGACTGGTCGAGGCGGCACTTCGACGTAGACCGCGGCCGACGACGACGGCGGCGGTGATGACAATGGGCCGTCGGTCCCACTGCCAAATGAATGGTACGTCCGGCTGCCGCTACTTCCACTATCGCCACTACTGGTCTCCTCGTCGTCCGAGACTTCAATGTAGGCCTGTCAAAACGCACACACACGCAACACACCTCGTGAGCCAACTCACCTATCCAAAGCTCTTTGAGAGTAGAGGAAGGGGGAAAGTACTCCGTCGCCAACTTGCCCGCTTACAGCGGAGGAGTCGGGCCTGCCGCGCGGCAGCCTGTCCATGAGATACCCCTTCTCCGCATCGGCAGGACCTGCGCAGCGAAACGAGCGTGAGAAGAGGCAATGAATGCAAATGATCGTCCCGCTCGGCCCACAAGGGTGTGTTACCAAAACGCTGCTTGAAGTCCTGGATGGAAGCGATGATCTGTGCAAAGGTGGGGCGCGACTCGGGCGTGTGCGCCCAGCACTGTGCAATCAGCGTACGCCAGAAGGGCGGGATCCGCTCGGGCATGGTCGGTCGATGTTGCTTGTAGGCCACCAGGTTGGCCATCTTGAGCGGCGATCCCACCTCTGTACCATCATCATCATCATCACCACCATCATCATCAATCACCACAGTGACCAAGCCACCACAGCACAATGTGTGCGAGAGGGCATGTACTTACCGTGCTCGGGCTGGTTGCCAGAGAAGAGGAACCACACGTTCATGCCGAAGGAATACACGTCGGCCTTTTCGGTGTAGTCGTTCCCCATAAACACCTCGGGGGCCTGGAAGGGCAGGTAGCCCACAGCCGCGGTCATCTTCTCGTTGAGCCCGATTTTGGAAAGGCCTGGTAGTGTACATAGAAAAGAGTAATCAGAACAAGCAAAGGGGGTGAATTCAGCTTAGCTTGGATGGACGCGAGCCAACATACCAAAATCGGCCACCTTGGCAGTGTAGTGGCGATCCAACTGCAGTTCGATCGTTTTAGTTGATGCAATCACGATTGGCCCTTCAAAGACTATAATTGGGCTGTGACCACGTACGAGCAAATTCTTCGGGGTCAGGTCGCGGTGTAGAATGGGTGGAACGCGCTCATGCAGGTAGCACATTCCTATCACGGGCGACTTCAGGGTTAGTAGTGACGAGCCGCAGCCGAGCGTGTCGCACGAAGATGGATGGTGGTGATGCACGATGCATGATAAGCACGAACCTCGAGCGATGTTGAGGATGATGCGCGTGCGCAGGTAGGGATTGGCTTCCAAAATGTGGAACTGCGAAAGCACCAGCTCGTCCAGCGACCCACCTGTGCGGAGGCGATCGTGTTGTATAAGCGTCGGGAAAAAGAAGATGAGATCGAGCAGTTGTAGGCCTTACCTCCCATGAGCTCAGTGATGATGCACCTCTCCGTGTCCACGCAAACGCCCAAGAATTGGACGATGTGGGGATGACGCAGCAAGCTGTGTCGCAGAGAAGAATTGAAGCCACAACCGTCTCACGTCAGCGGGTGCTCACATGCGCGGGCTGAAAGGTGAGGGGGAGGGAGGGAGAGGTTACCTGAGCACGCGGATCTCCTTCTCGAAGAGCTGGATCTGGTCGCTGTTGCGGAACTCGCGGCGATAGATCACCTTGACGGCCACGTCCGATCCGCGCCAGGTGCCCTGCCGCACCTCCCCGAAGAAGCCCTTCCCCAGCACTTTCCCCAGCTGCAGCTCTCCGTATCCTATTCGCAGCGATTGGTCTACACACACACACACACACACACACACACACACACACACACACACACACACACAACGGCACATACGCACGGTACAGCAGAATGTGAGTGGTACTGAATCAGGGCTGACAGAAAGGCGAGGGTGGGGCCGGTCTCACCAAGACTAGCGCCCTCGGATTCATCGGAGGAGGGATCAGAGCGGGTGGGTGGCGACGTTGCGGCAGCCGAAGGAGAGGAAGGTGCGGCGACAGAAGAGGAAGACGAAGTCGACAATGATGACGATGATGATGACGACGAAGAATAGCTGGGCGAAGGCGATGATGGCGGGGTCCCGAGCGACGCGAAGGAGCTGGATTGCGAGCTGCTGCCGCCCGCTCCTCCCAGGAGGTCGCGTATGCACTTGGTCAGGCGCGTGCGGTGGCCGAAGGAGCTGATGCCGAGCTCGTCCTTGAGCACGGTGCCCTCCAGCAGGCTCGGGAGGAGGTCGCCGGTGATGTCGTTCGTCACGAAGACCGTCTGGTACTGCGGCAGTGCGGCACCGTCCGCCGCACCCACCCACTTCCCCACCTCCTCCGCACTCCATTCGCTCACTGGGGCGGGTGGGGCCTGGGTTGGTCGCGACTCTAACATAAAGGAAAGCAACGTCCAGATTTTAGGGTTTACAAATCTGATCGTTCAATCAAACCACACATTGTATATAAGACCACAACAAGGTACCTGTTGTTGGTGGGGCGTCCATGTGCACCTTGTCCTGGTACTGCAAGGATAATTTCAAATACTGATTAAGATGTGTTGAAAATGATATTTTCACAGATTTAAGGTGGCGGCTGCAGTCACAGAACACAGCAAGGTGCTGTGTTATCACGAAAGAGCTCTATTGAGTTCGAGAAAGAGGGTGGCTGCATTGTGCAGTCGCACGTTCTTGGCTGCTGCGTATTGTTCCATGCATCCCACCACGGCGCTTGTGCCCACCACTAAGCCACACAGAGGAGGCAGTGAGCATGGATGAAGCAGGAGTGGTTGGAGCAGGGGCGGTGGTACCATTCTTGGAGACAGGTGAGAGGAGGTAGTAGAGGGTGGCGATGGCTGCCAGCACGGTCTCGATGTTGGTGCTGCTCAGACAGCCCACCACAGCTGGTACGCCATCATTGTCGATGATGAGCCGTGCGAACTGCGGGTCTGTCGAACAATGGGGGGAGCGAGTCAATCTCCGACGCACACAGGCGAGCACGACACGCACACCAGGCAATGTGCACGCACCGGGGCACAGATTGCAGAGGCCGGTGATGGCAAACTCGTGCAGGGCGGCCTGCTGTGGTGGTTCCGCCAGGGCATCGAGAAACAGGTCCACTACGTTGAGGCGCCTCAGGTGGTCATAGTTGACTGGGTCGTATGCAAAGTTGGCCAGGTTTGCCAGCACCTGTTCCTTCGCTCCTGAACGTGCATGTCGATGCATTTAGCATAAATTAATCCAAAATGCTGTTTGGGGCGGCACGCACGAAGGTCTGCAGTGGTAGAGTATTCGGTGACCAGCTGCTGGAGATACTCCAATCGGCCGCCCGAGCCGCTGTACTTGCTGTGCCGCGCCTCCACTTGCCCCTGCGTTCTGTACATTGTTTGTTGTTTCTTTTCGTTCTTTTTTCTTTTCTTTTCTTTTCTTTTTTTCACCACTGGCTGGCGGATGGAGCACAACGGACGAGGCCACCATCACCATGAGGGGGGCTGCTGTGCCTCCAACACCACTGGTGCCGCGCTTCATCACTTGCATCAATTTTATTGGTGACTTTATTTTTAGTTTAATTATTCACACTGCGCAGCGGTGCAGAGCCTGGACGAGATGGAGTGGGAGCGGGGGTTGTGGGGTTCCGCGATGAGCGGCGACGTGGCCAAGTGCGAGCGCCTGCTGGCCAAGGGAGGTGTTGCCGCTGATGACCGGGACTCGTCGGGCTATGCCGCCCTGCACTACGCGGCACGTGCGGGCAAGCTTGAGGTGTGTCGGCTGCTGGTCGGACGCCACCACGCCGACGTCAACGCCACAACGTGCAAGGGGCTCGCCACACCACTGCATCGCGCTGCCTACATGGGCCACGACGATATCTGCACCTACCTCATCGAGAAGGGCGCGAGGGTACGCACATGGAGAGATGACCTGTTGATGCCGCTCCTCACGCCTCGGACTTGTGGTGCAGGTATCAGAGCTAGACGATGATGGGATGACGCCGTTGCACAAGGCCGTGCAGCAGGGACGAGAGGCCACCGTGCGCCTGCTGCTGCGACACGGCGCCGACCGAGAGGTCCGCGACAAGCACGACAAGCGACCACACGACTACGCCACCAGCCAAGCCACGCAGGCCGCCCTCAGTTGATAAGGCTTCCTGATGCTCTCTTCAAGACCGATGTGTGATATCACGTCCAGCATTGCTGCTCGCTGGCTGCTTGGGCGTGAGGTGCTGCTCTGTAGTTGATCAACGGTCACGCCGTGCGACAAATTCCAACACAAAGAAGAAAGATCGAGTTTTTGATCAATACCGAAGATAAAACTTATCAATACTGAAGATGAAGCAGCTTCGTTCGACGACACCCCTCAACTCGCCTACGGCTGCAAGGCGTCTTGTGGCCTCCTCTTCTCCCACTTCCTGCAGCCTCACGCCACTGGCTCGTCGCGACCACTCTGCCCCCTCCTTCGTGGCAAGTAGCACCACAAGGATGTCGTCTACGTCTGCAACTCAGGCGGTGAAGCACGAGAGCGCGGTGGTGGTGTCTGCCCTTTTGCGGGGATTGGCGGCTCCACGGAGCCTAGATCTTCACCGCAACATCTTTCTCAACCCCAATCGAGAATCATCTCTGAAGCATGTCGAGCTGACTGACGATTCCATTCGATTGGTACCGCACCTGCCCTTCTCTGCCTCACAGTAGTGATATGAGAGGATCTCAGCTCAAATCTGCCCATCTCAGGAATTTTCGAAAGCAACTGCCGAGTATAAGAGGCACGCCGAGCTGATGTTTCTCACGGAAGAGGAGAAGGAAGAGCGAGGCGTTGAGGAGTGGCTGGTACCGCTACGATTAAAGAATCTCACCTTCTGCGGCGGAGGCGCCACTATCGAGCTGGACCGACGAAAGGTCATACAATTCCTCGCTCGGCCGCGTCTACACGAAGAAGTCGCAGCTGCGTCGCACGACCCCAGCGAACACCTTCATGCTCGTGCATCCATGCATTGATTGGCAGCTCTGTAATTATTTGTTTCTTCTTTTTCTTTTTTGGGTCGGAATATAATTCTGTAAAATTGTTTGGTGTTGTCTGCCAAAACCCCAGCAAAGGGCCAACCAGGCCTGTCACCCCTCCTGTTAGGCTCAACCCATGAGCTCCGGCCTCTTGGACACCAACCGGCTCAAGCTCTAATACCCTCCCTTTCGCCGTCCACAAGCGGCACCACCTCCTGAGCTCTTTCATCTTTTATATCTTGCCGGGCTGCTTCATCTTTAAGGCACCACTACGGCGATGCAGCAGCCGCAGCCACAGCCATCGCCAGCAAGGGAGCACGAGGAGCGAAGAAGGAAGAAGCTCGAGGAAGAGGAACGGCAGGCGGCCTACCTCAACGGCCGGCGCCTGCTACTCCCGGGCTCAGGCGGCGCCACCGGCGTGGCCAAGCTCCCCCAGCGCGGCATCGAGCTCCTCTGGCGCGCCTGTACACCCCCCCCCTCCGATCACCTTCTTCGACCTCAGCCTCTTCTCCCTTTTTCGTTCATTGGACGTACCACGGAACTGTTGTCTTCTCTTGCGTTGTGTCTTGCGTGTGCGTGTTCGGTGGTGCGTGTGCGGTGGTGCGTGTGCGTGCTTACATGTGTGGTCGTGTGTGTTGTGTTGTGCAGATGAGCTGGGCCACGAAGCGGCGTTGTGGGATCTGGCCTGTTGCGTTGGGGCGTCGGCGGAACAGGAACAGAACAGTTGCGAGGGACCCGGGAGCGAGCTCAACTACGCGATCGACTGGTCGCTGGCCGTCCCGCTCTACGAGGCGCACGCCAGGGCGGGCCACCCGATCGCGCAGAAGAACCTGGGCACGTGCTATTTCCGCGGCTGGGGCGTGGCGCAGAGCATCGACCAGGCCACCGCGCTCTACGAGAAGGCCGCCCTGCAGAACTACGACGTCGCCCAATACAACCTCGGCGTTTGTTATCGGTAACTCCCACGTGTGTGCCGTGATGTGTTGCGTGCCTGTCTTGTGTGTGTGTGTGTGTGTGTGTGTGTGTGTGTGTGTGTGTGTGTGTGTGTGTGTGTGTGTTGTTTACAGGTGGTGGTGGTATAGGCAGGGAGACGGGGTGGATGCGGATTCGTCGCGGATGCTGGAGCTGTACCAAAAGGCGGCGGACCAGGGCCTCCACGCGGCCCAGTGCGCGCTGGCCAAGTGCTACCTGTACGGCCGCGGGGTGCCCCTGGACTGGGCCAAGGCCACCTCCATCATGACCGCCGCTGCCGAGGGCTATCCCGCCGCCATGGTCATCCTTGCCAGGCATTCTTCCCATTCTTCCTCTGTGTGTCGTGTGTCTTGTCATGCGTGTGTGCCATCGCGTGCGTGTGTCGTGTGATGGTCGTGTTTTGCATTCCTGACGTGTCGCGGCTCGCAAGGTGGTACGAGATGGGTTACAACAAGCTGGTGCCGGACACGAGGAAGGCGATGGAGTACGCCATTCGCGCGGTCTACGAAAAGGAGATCGATGCCTGGGACATCTTCCTCCGGTACACACGCACACGCACACGCACACGCACACCCACACCCACACCCACACCCACACGACACAGCGCCAACATCTAATTTCATTGAAGATTGCTATCGTGCCACTACGAGGAGGACAAGAAGGGACCCGCGCGCGTGGTGCCGTCGCTCTTCAGCATCAGCTGCGACTACATCTTCCAGCGGGAGATCGTGGGCAAGTGCCACATGCGGACGCAGCTCATGCAGCGCAACAGCAGCGCGGTGTCGCGGACCAAGCCAACGGTCGAGCGAATCGAGTCTGCAGGCCGGCGCGTCCTGCAACGCGAGCGCCTGCGCAGGTCGCGCCTGCTGAACGTCTTGCCCGTGGACATGCAAGACAAGCTCCGAAGCGACCGGTTCGTCGTATCGTGTCGTGTCGTGTCGTGTGTGCAGTGTGTGCGGTGTGTGTTGAATGCTGAACGAGGCGTACAGGTCGCTGTGCTTCTCGCCCTGGTGTTCGCGCGAGTTCTACGGCGGCGGGCGAGTGCTGCGCCGGTTCGTGCAACGTCGTCCCACCGACCATCAGCGCGAGTACGAGGAGGGTGCCCTGCTTAAGTGCACTCTCGTCGGGCTCCCGTTTTCGTCGCCCGTATTCGGCCGAGACGACGTCGTGCTGTCCTTCTGCAGCATGGACTGCGCCACCTTCGCGAACCAGCCCACCGACGACGAACACACGCTCGCCTGACCAACACACGCCCGTGTAGTGATGCTTTCTGTGTAAATAGTTTATGTACATACAAACCAGTTCTGTACAGGAGTGGTGTCTGTGTGCACTTACACCCAGCAGTTCACCCACCACAGCAACACGACCACGAAGAAGACGAAGAGCGTGGCCGCCCCTGGCGTCTGTGCTGGCGGTGCCGGCAGAGTTGTCGCAGGGGGTCCCGCAGCAGCTGCTGCCGAGGCGGTCTCGCCGGGGCTGGTGGCCTCCTCAACCGTGAATGGGGCCGTGGCGGCGACCGTGGGCACGGCGGCCGAGAGGAGGTCGTCGAGCATGCGGTCGAGCACCTCCCTGCTCCCGACCACTTTCCGCTTGGGCGCGTCGCCCTCGATGGCCGCTGCTGTGGTGGCCGTGGTGCCCCCAGGGGCAAGGCCGGGAAAGGTCATGCGAGGAGAGCGCAGAGCCCGTCGGGCGGAGGTCTTGGCGGGCGCGAAACTCTCCTCCAGCAGCTTCTCCAGCTCATCGAAGTGGACCGACTCGCGCCTCGGCTTGATGAGGCGCTGGTAGTCCGTCGACGGCTCTACAATCACCGGCAGGCCTGCCGGGCCGACTCTCTCATTCTTCTTCGCTCTTTCATCGCCGCCGTCTTTGCCGTCACCTTCGCTCTTCTCGTGGTGTTCGGGTTCCGGCTGGGCGATGACAGCGGGCGGCGGTCGCGCTGCCAGCGGTGAATCGCGGCCGAGTCCACTCTGCCGCCGAAGTGCACCAAGCGCGCCGAGTCCCACGTCTTGCGCTTGCTGGCCTTCACCCGCTTGTCCCGCTCCTTCCACTCCTTGTAGCCCTTGCTGGCCTTCTTGGTGGGCTCCGCACCCGCTACGACCGGTGTCGCTGCGATCAGCGCCGTAACGCTGATGACCAGCGGCTGCTGCCCTGCGTCCGATCCCAACTCCAGCATTCGGTACTCATTGATGCGCGCCATACGCGCCGGATCGCCTGAAGCCCAGATGTACCAAAATCAGCTCACGAATATGAACGTGCGTGTGTCGTGTCGTGTCGTGTCGTGTGTGCGGTGGTGTGCGGCGCACCTTCGATGAAGCACGGCCGCTGCTCCACGCGCTGGTCAGCCTTCTTAGGGACGGACTGCTCGGCGGCCGCCTGCTTGGGCACCACCAGGTCGATGTGCCACAGCTTTTCATCCAACTTCTTGGCTTTCTTGCGTTCCTGCACACCGCCACATTAAGTCGTGCGGTGGTGCGTGTGCGATGGCGTGTGTGTGTGCGGTGTTTGTACGTGTGCGTGCACACACCTCTTTCGTCACGGGGTCGCCGTCCAGAAAGTGTAGTTTGGGCAGTTGGGAGATGACGAAGAAGCGGTACTTGAAGATGCTCTGCTGCACGGGGTTGCCGTTGAAATAGAGATAGCGCAGCTTCGGCAGGCTCTGCAGGTGCCGCAGGATCCTGCAAACTCCTTCGTTAGTTGCGCGTTGCAGGGGTTGATTGCATGGTCAGAGACGCACTTGTGGTGAAACTTGTTGAAGGTGAGCGCGATGTTGTTGTAGCTCAGGTTGAGCACCTGCAGGGCTTTCAGCTTGCCCAACTCGGAGAATCCGCCTGTGTGGCAACCCGCCAGGCCAATCAGAACCGCACGACACACGCACAACACGATACGCGGATATGGAAGTGACGGTACCACTGATGAGGTTGTCGCTGAGGTTGAGGTTGACCAAGTTGTGGAGGTACTCCATGCCACAAAGCATCTCCATGCGGTTGTGGGCCAGGGAGAGAAGGACGAGCGAGGAAAGCTGGATGAGGCCGGCGCTGTACAGGCAGTTGTTGTTCGCACGCAGCCGCTTGAGCCGGGACATGTGCGCTAGATTGTCCAGGTACTCCAGCTTGTTGTTGCTCAGGTCCAGCCTTGGCGAACACGCACCACGAATTGTGACCAATCAGCAAGACACTCCATGTACGCACAACGAAATGGAGAGAGAGTGGCACTCTTTGATGATATCGGGGCACAGAAGGAGGAAAGAGTCGGCGGTAAGTGCGTATTCTTTGCCACTGAGATCGAGGAAGACCGGATAGGAGCCTTTGCCCAACAGGTGTCGCAGTTCATCGTCCGCCAGCTCCGCCTTGGGCGCCTCCGGCGGACCTGATTCAGCACCACACAATCGCACACGCACACGCACACGCACACGCACACTGGTCAGCATTTGCTGTGGGCTGCTTGAGCACCGGGGGGCACCTTCTTCGTTGTCAGTGCCATCGTCGAGTTCGAGAGGGAGTGAGACGGCGAGGCTGGCGTGAAACGGTGTTGGCTGGGAGCTCGAGCAGGGCAGTGAGTGCGAGTGGCGGTGCCCCATGCGGGGCCGAGTCCAGGCGGTGGGCGACCACAGCTTGGACCCTTCGAGCTTCTTCTGCCGCCTCTCGCCGGGCAGGTGCTCTGGCACTGCGCAGCCGTGTGAGGGTCGAAAAAAGGGAAAAAAGAGGAGAAAAAAAGAAAAAATGGGAGGGGGCTCACCAAAGCTTGAGGCGGGAGGTTCAGAGCTCTTGAGGCCTGCTTGAGGTGCTGGAGGGGGCGTTGATGAAAGGGGAGCAGAGGCGGGATCGAGGGACTCGCGACAGGGCTGCCCGACTGAGTGCCGCCTGAGGGGGCTTACCGCCTGCCGCGCCGGAACGAGCCGCCCGTCCTCGCCACACACCCGCTCGCTCATCTCTTTGTCTCTTGCTGCACGCGAGCGCTACAACTCTTCAACTCTTCAACTTCCTCCTTTCAAGTTCGAAAAAAGTGTGAACATAAAAGGAGAAGCCGCCTAAATAAGGAGCGAAACCATAAAGGGATAAGGGCGCCAGGGCCGTCGCACGTGAGCGAAGCGGGAACTGTGAGGCTTGAGGGTACCGTGAGGCTATCATTGGTCCGCGAAGAGAAGCGGACGCCACTCTGGTGCAAGCTTGTTGCGGAGGGTGTGGGCGATGGGCGTCTGTCGCACCCGGAACTCGAACGGCCGCTTGCCCTCCAAGGTGTCACTGTCATCCTCCGATTCCCACGAGAACAGGGCCGCGCCTGGTCCCCAACCCAATCGATGTCACGTGGTTGGTTGGTTGGTTGGTTGGTTGGTTGGTTGGTTGGTTGTGGTTGTGGTTGTGGTTGTGGTTGGTTGGTTGGTTAAAGGTGTTGATACCAGTGCTGATGTTGAATGGGTTGAGCTCGAGCACGACCATCTTCTCGTTGCCCTGGTCATCCTCGACGATGGCGAAGTCGATCACGTACTTGTCGTAGGCGGCGAAGGCGTGCTGGATCCGGTGCCAGAAGGCGACGATGCGCTGCTCCAGCTCGCTCCGGCGCTCGACCAACTCGGGGAAGTGCAGCTGCGTGAAGTACTGCGACAGTGCCGTGAACTGGCCGCCGTGCACGAAGCCGCGGAACTCGTTCTGCAGCGCAATGTTCTCCCATGGCCGGACCACGATCGCCAGGTCGCCGACGTCGACATTGTCGCGCTCTCGGTCCTCGTCGTCATCGTCGGCTGCCCCCAGACCGTCGTTAAGGGCGAGGAAGTAAGTGAGGTCCCAGTAGATGCGGCGGCTCTGCAGGAGCAGGGCGATTCCCTCGGCGGCGCTGTGGACGCGCATGGCCTCGGTCGACGCGCGGTACAGGAGGCCCAGCCGCGCGTTCTTGTCGGCTTCTTCGGACGACGCGGAGGAGCTATCGCTGCGGCGTCGTTGGTCGAGCAGGGAGCTGTAGATTGCTGCGAACTTGTCGCCCTTGGTCGTCACGTCCTTGGGCGAGCGCGACGAGAGCTTCACGAAACAGCCTGTCACCCACAACAGAGCGCATTTAATTCCGACCAAGCTCAGCTTGTTGAAACACACGCACACGCACATGCACACGCACACGCCCAACACGTGTGGTTTACCCTTGTCCTGTCCGCCAACCGCTGCCACCAATGCATCCAGCCGCGACTCGAGCTCCTTCAACACGGAGGCTGGTCGTGCCACGAAATGTGGAGTAAGCCAACATGAAAGGGGTGGTTGGTGGTTGGCGTGCGGTACCGTCCTCGGGTGTGGGCTGGGCCTGCTCGTGCGTGGTGTTGTGCTCCCGCAGCGCCCGGACGTCAGCCGGGGTGAGCGGCAGCGCAAGAGTCGGGATCGTGTGCTCGGCGATGAGCGGCGCCCACCGGTCCATGTTCACCTGAAAGTGGGCCTCGATGATGCCCCGCTCCTCCTTCCTCGATCGCTGCTCTTCCGCTGCGTTGCTGCCGAGTCAACTCTGGGAAAGTCTGCACGCTAAAGCTTGTTGTTGGGGGGGGGGGCAATAAACGCACCTGTGGGGCGGGCGGTGGGCACCGCAGGTTTCGCCACCGCGACTCTCTTCAACCGCTGGCTTTGCTGGGCCAGGGCTTCAGCCATGTCTTCCTGGTGCTTCTCTTGCTGCTGCTCGTCCGCCATGTTGATGTGTTTTGGTGGAGACTGAAGTTTTGTCCCCATTTTTTAATTATTATTCAATATATTTATATTTAAATAACGAGAAATAATGAGAATTCAGCAGCAGGGGTGGAAGAGGGAGAGGAGGGCCTGGTGCACCTCCACCTGCACAGCTGTCGGTGGGAGGATCTCTCCGTCGACACCCATCTTGCCCACCTTCTTCTTCGCCCGGGGCGACATCAGCGGCTCGATCACGAGCGCCTTCACCTTGACATACTCCACCCCTGGTAAAAATCCCCCACCAGCCAAGGTGAGTTTTCCCCCAATGTACGCTGTGGCGCGTGGATAGATGAGGCGCATGCGTACCCTCGATACCGAGATGAGCACCGTCGCCCTTTTCGTTCTCGAGCAACACCTTGGTGAGGTTGGCACGAGATGCGGATCGCATGAAGCAAACATCCAAGCAGCCATCTGCGACACACGCAAGCACACAGCCAACGAAAAGAAAAGGTGAGCGAGTGGCAAATAAGTGCGTGCACGCGTCAAGTCGAGGCCTCGCACCGGAAAGATGTGCGTAGGGCGTGAGGAAGGTGTCGGTGGAGATGCCGCGCACGTTGGAGGCCACGAACAGGGAGAAGTTGTCCTCAATGACCTTCCAGTTTGCCTTGGCCGCCCGTCGGCCGATGTAGCGCAGTCCCGGCCCGACCTCCTCCTCTTCGTCGAATTTCTCCTCGTCGCTGACGAGCAGCCGCGTCTGCCGCGCGCCCTGGCCGTCGCTGCCGCCCTTGCTGCCGTCGTAGTCGTCCTCGTCCGTCGGATCGCCGTCGGACTCGTCGGCCAGGCCCTGGAACAGCTTCTCGGGTTCGACCGCGATGCCGCTCCCGGCGATGCAGACTGGGCAGTGGATCTGCACGCACGGCTGCTGGACGAAGTCGGCGAGGATGAAGGAGATGCGTGCCCGGTAGCTGTCGTTGGAGACCAGCTTCTCGATGGCGGTCACCGTGAAGCGAGCCTTGCCCATCCATCGGAACACCTCGCTGTCAAAGTCCACGTCGGAGATGAAGCCCCACGCCACATCCAAGAATCCGAACCTGCATTCCCCCCGGCCCATCATGTCAGAGCCCGACGTTACCACTTTAGCATGCGAGGAATGTTCATTACCTCTTCTTCTGGCCCTCCTGCAGAATGGAAAACATGTCGAATGGCCGCGACTTGCCTGAAGAAGCAAAAGGTAAGAAAAAAGAGCTGGAAATGGAGGGGAGATGCGATGGAGGGGGTTACTAAAATGATGGCATCGACTTACCTTTCACGATGGCAAAGGCGGCTTGTGTGGGCGTGAAGCAGCTGATGGACGCCGCGAGGCCGTTGCCGGATCCGCCGGGGATGATGCCCAGCGGCACCTTCACGGCCTCCTTCCAATCTGGCCTTCTGAGGATAGCGTTGACCACTGCGCGCGCGGGTCACCATGCAACACATTCGGACATAAATTGGGGTGAGTGCCTCGCGCCGCCGCTGCCGAGCGTTGTTTCAAACGCCAAAAGTGTGGCCAACCACAGATTGGCTTACCTTCGTGGAGGAGCCCGTCTCCGCTGATGGTCACAATGCCATCATATTTCTCAATATCCAGCGACGCCGCCACTTCGCCGGCGTGACCGGCGTACTTGGTCTCTGCGCTCGCCCGAGTGAGAGAGGGTTGCTTGTTTGGAAGTGGATGGAAAGCAACGTTGTAAGGCTCAGTGAGGAAGGCGATGGTACCGACGAGGTGCAGGTTGATGTTGGCTACGAGGAACATGGGTCGCACCTGCTTCCACACCTTTCTGCCGAGGCCGGTACCGCCAAAGGGGTTGACGAACACCAGCAGTCGCCGAGACGGGATCCCGTTGACTGGTGGCCGCTCGTCTTGACCGTCGTCGCCCGACGCGCCAGCATCGCTCGCGAGTGGTACGGCGGACGGGGCGAAGAAGGGTTGCTTCAGCACCGTGCGCACCGACACCAGCCATGTGAAGAGCAGCTCCTCGCTCGGGCATATGAACTCGTATGTCTTCAGGTATCGGTCGTTATTGAGCCCGGGCGCCTATGGTGGTTGTTACCGCGATCGGGTCATTAGTGGTCACTACGCTGGTGAAGGAGTAAGATGAAGGAGGGGATGGGTAACCTGATTCGGGTTCTTGAGTGGATAGGAGTGGAGGATGAAGCCGTTCTTCCTGCGCGATCGGCTCACTCCGACGATTTCATCATAGGGTAACTGCTGATAGACGTCGCCTGCGACCATCAGACCAACGTGTGAGCGCAAACGTGTTTGTACTTGTTCTACCAGGGCAGGCGCAAGCTTGAGAGCAGTACCTTGAAGAGCCCAGCAAATGGCATTTGGGAGGAGCTGCGCGTAGTGCTGTCGCCCGTTCCATACAAGCAGCCCCGAGAGTGGCTCGGGTGGTGCACTCACCACACCGCGCGCAGCAGCTACAACGAACAAAGAGATTAACATTAATTGGTATTTAATCGTATTATTGATAAGCAAAGCATTCCTGGCAGAGGAGGAGAAAGGTACCAAGAGCTGTGGAGGAAGAGGATCTGGGCAGATGAAAATGAGAATGCGAGGGCGGAGGCGGGATGAAGGGTTGGCGCGGATCGATGGAGAGATAGAGCACGTCACCGCTCTCCAGCTCGTCCATGGACTCTACCTCGGCTCCATTGGCCAACCACACCCGCTCGATGCGAAGCGAGGTCGTTGACATGGCCAAAGGGCGGCTCCTCTTCCCTTTATCGCTTTCATCTTCATTTTCGCCAATTTTTGAATGATTTGACACTGCCTCTTGCTGCTCGTGTGCTGCGTCGAGCGAAGCAGATAAGAAGAGCTTGCGCAGACACCGTGCCTTGAATTCAGCCCACGTTGCGTCGCTCCCAATCGACACCACCTTCCCTCCGCCATTCGTGAAATTGCCGTTGGGAAAGATGCATAAGCGCATCTTTCTCACCACAGGCCCCGCCCTCATCGAAGACGAAGACGAGTGCCCCTCTTCTGGCAGTGGTGCTTCCATTGCACATCAATTAAAGATGCCTGTGCTTTTTCACGGGCTTGCTGCGACTTCCAACCTGTCGACAGGTGCCGCACACACCGGTGTCCTGTACATCACCGCGTGGTGCATAACCAGCATTTGCGTGCAACGAAGAAGAAGAAGAAGAGGGGAGCAAGAGCTAACCATGAAGCGACAAGGGCACGGTAAGGCAGGCAAAGGCGGCCGACAGTGGAATGAACGGCTGTTCGTGGGCCAGGACAAGGTGGCTATCTTTGGTGCCAACACCGGCTGCTGGTGGTGGCTCATTCGCGACTGCCCTGGCCTCACCCACGCGCACGCGGTGGCCTCCAAAGGTGAAGTCAAGCTTACGGCCTCCAGCCAGGAGGCCCTCGGCGCCGCCGTCATTCGCGTCTGGGAGATAGCCTCGACCATGGAGCACACCACCATTGCCATTCAGTCGGCGCAGGCTGACGAACTCAGCCAGCAACGGCACCGCAAGCTGAAGCAGGTGCAGGCCACCTCTGGGGCGTGGGTCCACCTCGACCCCCACTGCGTACTTCATATCATTGGTACTTCCACGCCGTGGCCTTCGGACAAGCTCCATTTCTTTCCACTTCTCATTGGCCCTGCATGAACCGTTCCCACCCAGGCCTGAAGAAGCATGTGCTCAAGGCCAAGCAGCTGGTCGAACGGATGCTCACCACTACAGTGACTCGAGAGTTGGGCTCGCTTGCCAGTCTGGTGGTGGGGCCAGATGGTGCTACGGCCCAGGCAATCTCCGACTCTTCGGGCGCCGAGCTCTGGGTGAGCGACTCGGGGCTGCTGACCATCACAGGCTCTGAGGCAGCTGTCGCCCTCGCACTGAAGCAAGTGGCCGACGTCACGGCCTCGGTCAACGGGGCGAGTAAGGGAAGGGCGTTCCCTGCGACCCAAGCGAAGAGCACGCCACCGCAAGCTCAAGCAGCTCCCGCTCAAGCCGCGGCTCCTGTTCCTGCCCCTGCCGCAAAAGCGTCCCCGGCTCCTGCTTCGTCACCGGCTGCAGCTTCGGCCTCGGCTTCGGCTTTGGCTCCGACTCCGACTCCGGCTCCTGTTCAAGCTGCTAGTTCCCCGGCTGCCGCTAGGCCTGTACAGGTGGCGCCCGTTCACAAGGCCGACAAGCCAAAGGTGAGGTGGCTATGGCAGGGAGATCAGGGAGAATGGACTCAGTACCCGCGCGAGCACGAAAAGGAGCTCGAGCGCAACTACAGCCAGTTGGTCCACAACGAAGCCGCCACCATCCTGCACTTCACCGCCGACCGTTTTTCCTACCGGGTCAAGCGCACCCGCAGGGGCCATCTCGTTCAGATCAATCAACAGACCCGCACAGAGAGGGCGGTCAAGCGAAAAGGTATGGAGACCAATTGGTGTGATCCCATAGCGCTTGGCTCCTAACGACGCGATCTTGCCAGACGAGGCAGCGGAAGCCAAGAAGCAGACGATGCTCACGTCGTCCAAGCAGCCGTGGTACTGGCGCATGCCTCACCACGACGATCACGAAGCCAAGAGATTCCAACTCGCCCCCACCCACGCCCTCTATCGGAAGGTCCACCGCAAATTCTACAAAGATCCCAGCAACAGTACGCCCACGCTGTGCTGCTGGCAACGTTCTTGTTGGCCAACAAACTAACTCCTACCCAGATAAGTACAACATTGTGGCGGTGGAGTTCATTCAGTGCCCGAGAAGGTGGCGCGCCTACTCCTTCCACAGGCAGCAGTACCTCGACGCCGGTGGCCGAGCCGACATCAGATACGAGCGTCCGCTCTGGCACGGCACCGCCCTGGAAAACGTCTCGAAGATCGCAGTCCAAGGTGTGTGATTTTCGTCACGACTTGGGGTGATCTTCGGGCGCGCCTCTCACCCCCGATGATTCGCTGCCCCACAGGCTTTCTCAGGCAGTTCGGCCAGCGGCAGGCCTACGGAGATGGAGTCTACTTCGCCGTGAACGCTGCGTACTCGGCCAACCAAGCCTACTCCGTACCCGACAGCCAAGGCCTCCAATACATGTTCCTCTGCAAGGTCATTGTGGGCGAGTACTGCATAGGTGCGTACGCCACAGCTCCACACCAGACGGCTGCGGCTGACCCACAGGTGTCTCTGGCTTTGCTCAGGCTCCCCGGGCATGCAGATTCCTCCGCCCAAGAAGAGCAACAAGAACGAGACCTACGACTCGCTGGTCGACTGTGAGGACGACCCCACCATGTTCGTCATCTCGCGAGACGACCACGCCTACGCCGAGTTCGTCGTTACCTTCCAGGTCAAGGCCACCACGACGAACCACCACCCCACGCGCACCCACTTTGTACGTCCGGCGGCGGCTCCGGCCCCTGCCGCGCCGGCACTTGCCGCGCGTGCTCCAGCTCCCGCCAGTGCCACTTCTGCGGCCCCTTCCACCGCCACCACGATCGGCAGCGCTGGCGCTACTGCGGTCACGGCGCCATCGACGCCCCTGTCGCGGCCCCTCCACAACCCATCATCGACGCCCTCTTCCTCCACATCCTATTCGCCACTCTTCTCGTCGAGCCCTCTGCGCACAGTGAGCGGCGGCTCCCCGTACGGAAGCGGCCACGGCATCTCGTCGCCCTCCATGTCGTCATCTTCTGCTCCAGCACCCACGTATGCCGCGCGTACCCCGGCGCCCACGAGTGCTCCGGCTCCATCTTCGCCCACGCCTTCCTCCACAGCGCCCAAGCCGACACCCGGCTGCCTCCTCATGTGACGCGTGGACCATTCCCAGTGGCCGCTCAACGCTGTTCGTTGACGACGGCCACACAACGGAAGAAGAACTGCCCACCACCAGAGCCAAAGTCAAAACTGTGTATTGGGTGTCCTTACCAAAACGGAACTGCGAGGTGGATGGAGGGCCAGGACGCCAAAACGAGGAAGAAGGTGATGAGCGAGATCGATCAGCCAAGCGAATGTTTACTCTTCCCTATCGGCGGGGACGTCGCCGTTGGCCGGGGCGGGCGAGGGCGAGGGCGAGCGGCTGCCGCGCTTGGTGGCGGGGCTCGGGCTGCGCGAGCCGCTCGTCCTCCTGCGCTTGGGCGAGGGGCTCCTCCTGGGCGACGGGCTTCCCCTGCTGGGCGAGGGGCTGCGACGCGGCGACGGGCTGCCGCGGCGAGGCGACGGCGAACGCCTGCCGCCCGGCGAGGGCGTGCGGGAGAGCTTCCTCTTCTCGGCGGGGCTGCGCGGCGAAGGCGATCGGCCTCGTCGGGGCGAGGGGCTGCGCCTGGGCGAAGGGCTGCGGCCTCCGCGCCTGGGCGAGGGCGAGTAGCGACCACCACGCCTGGGGGACGGGCTGCGTCCACGCCTGGGCGAGGGGCTGCGACCGCGCCTGGGCGAAGGGCTGTAGCGTCCACGACGGGGCGAAGGGCTGCGGCTGTATCTGTACAGATTGGGGAGAGATAGAGAAAGCGCACGGTGAGATGCCAGTAAAGTGGTCAAGGGAGCAGAAAGAGAGGGAGGGAGCGAAGACAGGGCATGAGTCGTACCCACGGCCGTAGCGAGGGGGAGAACGACCACGACCGCCGTAGCCGCCGCCGCCGCCGCCGCCGGGACCGTAACCGCCACCGCCACCGCGGGTGCAGTCCCTGGCCCAGTGACCCTCCTCTCCGCAACGGAAGCAGGCATCGCTGCGCGTGCCCGTAGCCCTCCGTTCACCCTTGGCCCACTCGACAGCGATGCGCTTGCCCATAAGGTGAGCACCATCCTGGGGTCCACAAAGTAGGGATGCAAATGGTTAATACCCCGATGAGCTGTGCAGTGGCATCTAAATCGCGTGGGGGGAACATACCAGATCGCGGACGGCATCTTCGGCATCACGTCGGTCCTCGTACTCTACGAATCCGAAACCGACCTTGACATCACAGCGGATAATGCGGCCGTACTTGTAGAACATGTCCTCGAGGTCGCGAGGCCGGCAGTCAAGCGGTAGACGTCCTGCATGCACATCACAGAAAAACACCAGCATAATGGGCATAAGAAGGGTTAACAAGGCTGATTGGTGCACGTTACACATCACACCAGCACATGGCTGAAGCTAGGCGGCCCGGCTGCAGCGAAGCTCGGGGGCTGGCCGCTGGCAAGCTAGCTCGGCGGGGCATGGCACTTCAGATTGAATTTTGTGAAGTGAAAAAGTGTGAATCAACTCCAAATGACTATAAAAATAGGTATGTAAATTCGTGGTGTGGCGATTGGGTCGATGCCGCGTAATCGCGTTTATAATTTTAGTGAGTGTACAGAATTAAGTTCTGGTGGCCCGTGCTACGCTTGGCCAACTGGGCGGCAGGCGTCGCGGCACCAGTGGGGCAGTGCGGCAGCAGTGAGGGGCACGGGATCAGGACGTCTCAATTCGTACCAATGAAGAGAGCCATGGCCGATGTGTCGTCTAGGTAGGTTTTGATTCAATTCTGCCCGCGCTGCGTCGGTCTTGCCGTCGGCAAAGGAAAATGACAGAAAAAGGCAGGAACCATTCCGCTCGTTTTCTGCACAACTCCTGAAAGTGCGCTGCAATCTCGCAGAAATCAGGCAGCACCAGATACATTAAAAATGAAATTTAAATCATTAAAAATAGTGATTTATCGAACAAAAATGGATCGGACACGGCACCAGGTGTGGCGAGTGCTGCCGCCAGCCCGGGAGGACGAGGGTTCCGGCAAGTGTCGGTTGAGCGTCGGCACCATGCGGGCGATGGGGCTGAGCCTGGCCGCCCCACTGGTTCTCCGCACGCCCAACAAGGTGCCCCTTCGGCCGGACTTTCGCGTCAGGCCTTCTTGCCCAACTGGCCTGTAGGTGTGTGCGTGGGGGCGAGGTGCAAAGTGGTGCGAGGTACTTACGTTTGGTGGTGGGAGTAGGAGGTGCTGGTGCGTGCATACCCCAGCAGGCAAGAAGGCGAGTCTGCGCTGGTGGAGGTGGACCAGCTCGTCTGCCGTGCTCTCGCTAGCGGCATGAAGGAACGAGGAGGAGAACAGCAGCACGGCAAGCTTGGAGGGGACGGCGAAGAAGAGGCCTCCCTGAGCGCGTGCAGCGTAGTGTCAGCGCAGAGCGTGTCGCTGATTCCGCTCACGCCGTGCAGCGCCACCGAGCCTGAGGTAAGTACATCGCCGCACAGTAGCTTCTCGCCTGTCTTGCGGTGGCTCACCATATGGTCGACGCCTAGCTACGATGTCACCTGGAACGGCTCGTGGTCAAGTCGGACTTCACGGTGGGGTCGGCCAACGGGCCTTTCCACTTCCGGGTTGGATCGACGGTGCCGGAGGCGGCATTCGTGCAGATCCACAGCTCCACGAAGATGAGCCTAGTCACGGAACACGCGGCTTCCCCGCTTGAACTCGGCCTCCACACCCAGCGAGCGCTGCAGTCCAAACAAACGCAGACAACGACGGACGAAAGCGAAGACGAAGCTCCCACCGGTGAGACGTCGAGGGAGAAGCAGGACAAGGGGAAGGGCGGCGCGATCGATTCGATCGGAGGACTCAAGGGAGGCCTGGCTTCGCTACGGGAGCTCGTCTACTTCTCGCTGGTGGCGCCCGAAGCCCTCAAGCGATTTTCCATCGAGCCGCCCAAGGGTACCCTTGCCGCACCCCCCCGAGTGAGCCCATGTCTCACTCGTTTGTCGCGATGGGCGTGCTCAGGTCTGCTGCTCAAGGGACCCAGCGGGGTCGGCAAAACGCTGCTCGCACGCACCGTCGCGAGGCACTACGACATTCCGCTCGTGGCGGTGAACGGCGGCGAGCTCTACACGGCCTATGCCGGCCAGACCGAAAGCCGGCTACGCAAGGTGTTCGAAAAGGCGGGCAAACTCCAGCCCTCGATCGTCTTTATTGACGAAATCGTACGCCCCGGCATGACGCTTCAATTTTAGCACTTGCTCCTGTATTCCTGGATCACAACGAACGTTTGGTTTCAACAAAATCAGGACGCGCTCTGTCCCAAGCGCGAGGACGCGCAGTCTACGGAGTCTCGAGTGGTGGCACAGCTGCTCACGCTCATGGACGGGTTGCGACAGCGCACGCGCGTCCTCGTCGTGGCCGCTACGAATCGCCCCAACTCCCTCGATCCCGCGCTCAGGAGGCCGGGAAGGTACTTGAGCACCTTGCCATGATGCACACTGTGACTAACTCGATGAGCCCGCCTCCGCATTCCACCTCCGCCCTCCGCATTCCGCATTCCGCCCTCCGCCTTTGGCCCACTCGCTTGCTTCAGGTTCGATCGCGAGATTGAGGTGCGGCCACCGGACGAAGACGAGCGACTCGACATCCTGCGCGTGCACACGCGCGCCATGCCTCTCCACCGGGAAGTCGACCTCCAGCAGGTCGCAGGACTCACGGTCGGCTTCGTGGGCGCGGACCTGGCAGCCCTGTGCCGCGAAGCAGCGCTGCTTGCGATCAAGCGGTATCTGCACATGGCTCGCGATGCGAGGTGCGTCGTACCACTACCGGTGATGATGACGGTCTGGCCACCTCAGCTCATATGCTCTGGTGTCGACACAGCAGCGGCGACCCAACGCCGACGGCGGGCCATGTCACTCCGGAGGACTTCGAGCAGGTGCTGGCCAAGATGTACGGTTCGTGTCGACGCGGTATGATCGTGGACGTCAACAAAACGGGCTGGGACGACATTGGCGGCCTCGGCTCTATCAAGCAGGTCACTCCCCAACCCCACCACCGACCTTCGCCATGGCGGAAAGATCACACCAACCCAAGGGGCTCACTCTTCTTGACTTACAGAAATTGATGGAGACGGTGGAATGGCCGATTCTGTACAAGGCCACCTTCCAGCGGTTCGGCATTGAGCCCTCGCGCGGCATTCTGCTCGTGGGTCCGCCCGGAGGCGGAAAGACCACCATCGCCAAGGTTCACTTCCGCCCTGTGCCCTTTTTGTTTGCCCCACAATCACCCAGTTTGCAGTTCTCATATCATCTCGTATTATGCTATCGGTGTTGTGCAGGCCATAGCGTCGTCGTGCAACCAGAGCTTCTTCTCGTTGAACGCAGCGTCGCTGTATTCGCCCTATCTCGGTGATTCGGAGGCCCTGATTCGAGACACCTTCAAGAAGGCGCGCCAGAACTCTCCCGCGGTCGTCTTCATCGACGAGATCGACTGCATCGTCGCCAAGCGAGCGACGCCCGGCGGTGCGCTCTCCGCATCCCATGACGCTTGGAGAGGCGATGAGAGTGGCTATATGCTCACACTCCAGACCTTCACCTCAACGACACAGAGGGTTCGGCTGACGGCGTGCAAGCTCGTGTACTGTCCACTCTGCTGAACGAACTCGACGGCGTGGAGAGGTCGGCCGGTGTACTGCTACTGGTGCCGCGGCCCCTCCCTCCCATCACTGGCGCCTGCGCATACCCTCATTGCATTGGTTTTTGGTTTCTTTTTTACAGGCGGCCACAAACAGGCTCGATATGCTCGACTCGGCGCTCATACGACCAGGTCGCATTGACCAAGTCTTGCAGGTACGGGCCAACGTCAGGCAACGCCCATGGATCGTGCCCTGTGACTGCGGTCGCTGACACTGCACGCACGCATCTGTTGTGGCTTCCAGATTCCGTTGCCCGATCAACAAACGCGACAGCAAATCTTGGAGGTGCACTCGCGCCAGATGGCGCTCGAGCCCGACGTTCGGTTAGCTACCATCGCCGAACAGGTACATGCTGGGACCACCCCCCTTGATAAGCGGGTCCCGTCCTTGTAGTCCTAATCGCCTGTTGTTCACACAGACCGAATCATGGAGCGGGGCGGAGCTGCAGAGTCTGTGCCAAGAGGCCGCCCTTGTGAGCTTGCGCAGAGACCTTCTCGCAGCCCGCGTGGTACAGAGCCCTCTAGCTCCACCCTCTTCATTGATTGCGTGTTTCCACGTGCTGATGTAGGACTTGCACACGTTTTTGTTACTGTGCGCTGCAGACAATGGCGGACTTTGCTACGGCTAAGCGAGCGGTGACCCGAGGTCTATCGCTGCGAGAGTGGAGTCAAGAGCGGCAGGAGAAGGGGCTGTCCTGGGGCGTGTGATGAAAGAAGGGTCGGCCCTGTTGCACTTCGAGCAAATAAATAGGGGTGCCTGCGCTGTGAGGAATTGTTATTTCTTTAAATTTTCCTTTTCTTCTTTTCGTTCTTCCGCACCTCACATAGATCTATGGCCACGAAGCGTGTGAAGACCCGTCTGGCTGACGCCGGGCGGCTGCCTCCCGTCCCACCTCCCTTGCCAGCTGAGCGATCAGAAGCACCACCAACCGCAGGTTCTCCCCCCCCCTCCAAAAAAGGCAACTGGCCTGTGGCCAGTAGAGCTGGGGCAGGGCAATGCCTCACCCACATCCGCGGGGGGGGGGGCTGAGCAGAACGAGCGGCGGAGGCGGCGGCAGATGGGAGCACGATGAGGAGGAGGCTCGAGAATTCGCTGGTGTTCGGCACCGTGGAGGCGGTGTTCAGCATGGCCGAGTACTTTGTGCTGGTGCTGCTCTGCCCCACGATCGCCGGCCTGGTCCTCTCCGTTCTCGACACCCCGCCGACCTACCCGCGCGTCCTGCGCTCGGTATCTCTCCTTCCTTTTCTCTTCTTTGTCACTGTCAGCGCCTTGACCGACGTAAGGGGGTGTCACAGTGCGTGTTTTCGAGCGAGGAAGCGGCTACAGGGTTCGGCGTCGTGTGGCAGTGGGCGCAAACACTCGGCTGCATCATCACAAGGTTGGTTGGTTGCAAACACGCGCGCGCGTTGAGTCGGGGCTAGCTGGCACTGACTCCAGACTGTAATTGACCCGCACGCGCCTTTCCCTGCAGTGATGCGTTCGCAATCGTGCTGCACGCAGTGCTTGCCGCATTGGCGTGTGCGACGGTCGTGGGCTGGCTGCTGTACCGCACGGTGCGCCCGACGCAGGCCAAGATTCGAGCTCTCCCCGAGTGGTTCGTCCCTCCACTCCGTAGCTTGCGCTGAACGTGATTTAACTCAACTCTCGCGCTCGACTCTCTGCGGACAGGCTGGGATTGCTGAAGCCTCGAGTGAGCTACCTGGCCATGCAGCTGATCGCCTACCAGCTCGTCGTCACTCTCCTGCTCGTCTGTATTCAGGTTAGGGTCTTCATCTTTCTTATTGATGACCCCGGCAGTCTGACATGTTACTCTTCATCGCGATGCGACGCGACCATCACCACTAGGCGGCGACTGGAAGCTGGTACATGGGTTTCTCCAACTTTTTCGCTCCGGACGCGAGCGCTGCCGAGGCTCACGGTGCTGGTGCTGCCGGAGAGGGTCCGAAATTGGTGGGCTACTACAACATCTTCAACCTCATCTTCTTCGACCCCATCAAGGAGGAGATCATCTTCCGGGGCTGCCTCTTCTACGTCCTCTATCACAGGTCTCTTCTCTTCCCTCTTCCCTCCTCCCTCGCCGACTGCTCAGTAGAGGGAGTATGTGGTGGGGGCTAACCACCCGTGGTCGATGTGGTGCGCAGGTCTCACAAGGCGGGCACCTGTGCGGTGATCGCCAACATTTTGTTTGGACTCTTCCACCTCATCAACCTCTTCAACGGCCGGTTCTCGTCTGTTTACGTCCTGATGCAGGCACGTCCGAGTGCACGCACGCACGCACGCACGCACGCACGCACGCACGCACGCACGCACGCACACTCTGCTCTTTTCTCTCACACTGCACGGCTAACCTGTGTGTGTGTGTGTGTGTGTGTGTGTGTGTGTGTTCGCGGCAGGTGGCGCTTGGTATCGAGATCGGCCTCTTCTACAGCGCTCGCTTTCTGCTTCTCGGATCGATTTGGGAATCGATCGCCCTGCACGTGGCCAACAACGTGATCGCCATGTGCATCCCCATCAAGGATGCCACCACTTTCTCTCATCCGCTCGTCCTCATCTCTCGTACGTTCCCCCATCTCACCATTTCACGCTCTGTGGTCGTTCGAGCATACCATCTTCTCACGATCCACACGACACACACGAATCGATAGTGAGTCACACGCTGGTGCTCTATGCCGTCCTTGGCATCTTCAGCTGGCGGCGTGTGGCTGCCAGCCCAGCGCTGCGTCGGCGATGAGTTTTGTTTTCTTTGTTGTCGACACCGAAGCAGCAATCCTGCAGCAAGCCTCCAACGTCGGGCCACGCCTCTACTTTGGGCAGAGATGGAGGCACCAGGGTGCAGGGGGGAGGGAGCTTCGAAGCGCCGGCTTGACCAGCGGTGCATACGAAACGTGAGCATCGTGGGCGCCGTCGGTCATGGCAAGTCTGTCCTCGCACGTACGACCGCGTTGCCCCCAATAGCAAAAGAAATACCTACTCCCTCTGGAGTCCTTGACACCGTGCCACGGCCCTGCCGGCATCACCACGCCCACGCAGGGGCACTGGGGCACACGCTGGCAGCAGCTGCACAGGGCACAGACCAAGCGCAGGCAGACTCGAGTAGTGGCGATGGGCTGCTCGGTTGGTCGTCAGTCCAGCTGCCCGCGCACGAACCTTGTCGACGGCTCAACGTAGTCGACACTCCTGGCCAAGGTGACCTGCTTGCAGAGGTGCCCACATGTGACGTTCATATGCAGCACTAGTGCCACGACGAGGCCTGACACGTGCGGATGCAGGTGGGTGCAGGGCTGCGTTTGACAGACGGCGCTCTGGTGGTGGTCGACTGCATGGAGGGCATGCGCCTCCTCACCGAGACGGCGCTGCGGTATGCGCTGTCGGAGAGAGTGAAGCCGGTGCTCGTAATAAGCAAGCTCGACCAAGCCATACTGGAGCACAAACTGGTGAATACACACAGCACACAACACCAGCAAGTAAGAAACTAAGTAAGACATCCACTTGCAGAAGCCCGAGGCTCTGTACGAACGTTTGTGTGCGATCGTTGCGGCGTTCAACGGCCTGGTCTCCACCCTGCGATCCGAAGGCATGAGCGACTCGCTGGCGCGACCAGACGAAGGCTCGGTCGTGTTCGCCTCGGGTCTCCATGGCTGGTGCGCCCAAGCACTCTCTCCCCGAGCCGCGTCATCACCGTCCGATGCTCACGTTTTTGTTATCAGGGGCTTCACACTGCACACATTCGCCGAGAGGCTCCGGAAGGCACTTGGCGGTGAAGGCGAGGCGGCGCAAATCACAAAGCGTCTGTGGGGTGACCACTTCTATGACCCCGACACGAAGACATGGTGCGATCTGCGATTCACTTGGCGCCAAGTGTGTTGGTTGTGTTGTTTCAAAACACTCACGACCAGTGAGCACATCAACAGGCTTACGACCAGTGTATGCCACACGACGGGTAAGAAGCTGCGCCGCGGCTTTTGTCGGTTCGTGCTGGAACCCATCTACAAGATCATCCGCGGATGCCTGGGCGGGTCCGATAAGCGTCGATTCCGCAAGACACACCTCCGCCAGCTGGACATCAAACTCGACGGCTACGACCACATCTCTGATGCCACGGAAGTGATGAAGAGCACAATGGCCACGCTTCTTCCGCTACCCGGTGTAAGTCTGCTCCTACCATAAGGTTGCCTCGGCCTTCCTGAGTACTTTTACTCATCTTTGGCGTGACATTGGTCAGGCGTTGGTGAAGACGATCGCTGAGCATTTGCCATCGCCTATGGAGGCCCAAGTGTACCGCGCGGAGGTACTGTACGCGGGCTCAGCGGACGACGAATGCTCCATGGCCATCGCGCGCTGTGACGAAGACGGTACGTGCGAGTAGGCGCACGAATAATGCTGACTAATAACACACATCACACATCACACTCGACACACGTCGTCCACGCAGGACCGCTGATGCTGCACATTGCCAAGCTTGTGCTATCTCCGGGGCACGACGCCAAGGAGCGAACCTTCTACGCTTTGGGTCGCGTGTTCGCAGGCACCGTCGTGCCGGGGCGGCAGGTGCGCGTCTTGGCTTCATCACACAACCGATTCTACTGGGACAGGGTGCGTCCTGCTTAGGCTCTTGGAAGCACTATATTGTTTGGGCGCAAGGAGCTAACTATGCCGCTCAGCCCGAGAGCAAGCTGGGGTCGGTGGCGGGCCTATACGCTGTCGTGCACGGTCGCTTCGAGCCCGTGGATGCTGCCACGGCAGGCGACATTGTGATCCTTCCAGACGACTGCTTCTTCGACTCCGGCACCATCACCTCGAGCGATATCACGCTCAAGCACAGCTTCAGGCCTATACTGAGACCTTCTTTCGTCATAGGGACAGCGCTTCAGTTAAAGGTACACACACGACAATCTTGAGGAGGGCCGGGCACATACTAACCACGCACACACTCACGCACACGCACACGCACACGCACACGCACACGCACACGCACACGCACACGCACACGCCCACGCCCACACCACAGAACACAACCTCGTTGCCTAGAGATATCACCGCTGCCTTGCGCCGGCTCTCGGGAACATGCCTCGGTGGCCAGTGTTGGCTGGACGAATACGCTGACGAGGGGCTGGTGATCTGCGGCGCGGGCACGCAGCCCCTAGAGCTCCTCGTGGGCCGGGCGACCACATATCTTGCCTCGCTGGGGGTCGAGTTCACTTCGCACTCGGCACCGGCGGTCTCCCTGCGAGAGACCGTGACCGCCCCGTCGAGCCAGGTGTGCCTCACCAAGTCGCCCAACAAAAACAACCGACTGTACATGACCGCGGAGCCCCTCCCGCCGGGTCTGGCCGACGCCATCGACACCCATGACGTCGATCCGTCTGCAGATCCGCACATTCTCAGCCGCCAGCTCTACACCTGGAACGTCGTGGTGCGCTGCTCCTTTCGCTTTGGTAGTAGTTTTTACACTTGCACATGCGCGCGCCCGCACACACACGCACACGCACACGCACACGGAAACTACAGTAGTAACGCAATCCAATAATCAGGACTCAAGGCAGATGTGGGGCTGGGGACCGAACGAAAGGGGTCCCAATGCGCTGTTCGACATGGTGCTGGACACCGGCCGGTACTGCTACCCGTACCGTCACGAGGTGAAGAGCGCCGTCGTGTCAGGGTTCAACTTCGCAACGCAGGAGGGCGTCTTGTGCGGCGAGCCCGTACGCGGCGTGCGCTTCAACCTGGTGGACACCACCCTGCACCCCGATGCCAGGCGAAGAGGCGCCGGTCAGATAATACCAACGGCTCGTCGCGGGGTGTGGGCCGCGCTAATGGCCGCGCAGCCGCGGCTCATGGAGCCCGTCTATCTGATCGAGGCTCGCGCGAACGAGGCCAACATCGACGCCGCGTGCGCCCTCATCGCCCAACGGCGCGGCCAAGTTCTCTCGCCTCATCCGGACCGCCGCACCAACGTCAACGACAGCACTGGCGGCCTGACCACCGACCACAATGAGCCAAAGCACGCGATAGTGGCGTACCTGCCGGTGGCCGAGTCATTGGGCTTCTGGGCTGCTCTCCGCGAGGCCACTGGTGCGTATGCAACCCAGTCCATTACCGTTGCAGTCCCCCCCTGCAACATGTTTGCGCTGATGCGTGCGTGTGCGGTGTGCCTGTGTGGTGTGTGTGGAGTGAAGGAGGCGCCAACGTGCAATTCGTGTTCGACCACTGGCAGCTGGTGGAGGGAGATCCACGCGACCCAAGCAGCCGCGCGGGACAGCTGGTGCTCGGCGTGCGACGACGCAAGGGCCTCAAGGAGGAGATCCCCTCCCTCGACGACCTTGTGGACAAGCTCTGAATCCCAGCACCCACACAGCGACAACAGCTTCAAGACATGTAACTCCTATTTTCGCCGTTAGAAGCAAGAAAGGCCGACCAGGTTGTACTCGCCACCCCACACGACCGTCATGCTGCGCCTGGGGCTTTATCAGGCATGCCACTGCCCACCTCGCCTCGTTGGTTGGTAGATGGAGACGCCCGCCTGACCTGAAAGTGGGTGGTCACTGCAGTGCGGCGGAGCGGACGACAAGGCCACCAACCTGGCCAACGCGGCGCAGGTGGTGGCCAAGGCCGCGGCCACTCACTGCACCTCCTCTTCTGCGGCTGTGCCGCTCCTTCTTTGCTTTCCTGAGGTACTCTCCCCCCCCCCAAAATTGTAATCTCATCGTTCATCTTTCATCTTTTATTGCATATCTTTGACATCCTTTCGCACACAGCTGTTCTTGACGGGCTACAACGTGGGCGACGTCCTTCACCGTGATGCCGAGCCGGTCGACGGCCCTTCCATCAAGGTTGCCAACACTATACGTAACAGTGTAGAAAAGCATGTCTTGCGTGTACGTGCTGTGAACGGGTGGTGCGTGTGGCGGCGGGTGGCAGGTCATGGCAGAGCTGGCCAAGGCCAACAGAGTGCACCTCGTGTTTGGCTACCCGGAGAAGGCGGTGGACAACGACCAGACCACCACTACCTACTACAACTCGGCCATCTTCATCAGCGCCGAGGGCGAGGTCCTCCTCAACTACCGGTACAGTTGTTATGTCTTCTTTTACACGTGCTGCTGCTGATGGTACTGATGGTGCTGATGGTGGTTGTGTGGACTACAGGAAGACGCACCTGTGGGGTCCCTACGAAAAGAAGTACTTCACGCCCGGGAGCAGCCTTGCGCCCGTGGTCAAGATCGGCGGTTCGCGTTCCTCTGTTTGCAGGGCTCCTGCAGCCAACTTTTATTGACTCTTATGTGTTGGGAGCGATGCCCTAACCACTTCGCTCGCGCGTGCGGTTGTGCGTGTGCGTGTGCGGTGGTGCGTGTGCGGTGGTGCGTGTGCGGTGGTGCGTGTGCGTGCATCGTGCTTGTGCGCACCAGAGGTGTCCGTGGGCCTGCTCATTTGCTGGGGTACGTGGCTGGTGGCGTGGGCACCCAACAACAACAACAACAACAACAACTTGCTGACCGTGGCATGCATGGGTGGCTTGGGGGGGGGGCAGACGTGGAGTTCCCCGAGCCCTCGCGCGTGCTGATGCTGCGCGGAGCCGACCTCATCCTGGTGCCCACCGCGTGCATGACCAGCTTTGCGCCGGAGGTGACCGTCCGAGCGCGCGCCTTTGAGAACAAGGTATAAATCTTGTGCGTGTTTTGTCATCAACACCTCATAATTATCATTACCATCATCATCACCACCACCACCTCCTCCAAACACAGCTCTTCGTGGCCTACGTCAACCGAGCCGGCGAGGAGAACGGATCGCGTTTCTGCGGGCTGAGCTCTGTGGTGACGCCCAACGGGTACGACGATGAAACACTACTACTACTATGGTCTCCCAGGGAGCGTGTTGACTTGACGCACCGCTGTGCAGGGACTGCGCGTGCAAGGCGGGCGAGGAGAGCGGCGAGCTGCTGTTCACTGACATCGAACCGAAGCGGGCCGACTACCAAGAGTCGCGGGACCGCGACCCCATCCACCTCGAACGCCGAACCGAGCTCTACCGCGAACTCACCCAATAGATCAGATGCGGCCTTCCCACTCGTCATCAATTCAATTACCAACTACCCGTGGTCCCCTTTATTATGGGAGGTGGAAGCTCTTCTTCTCGCGGTCGTGTGGTAGTGGTCGTATTGTTGTTGATGATGGTGGTGGTTGGTGAGTTGTTGGTGATGCACCAGGCTCGGCTGCCGCACGCAGTGGCTTCGTTCAGGAGGAGAGCGCCTTCTCCGCCTCGTTGTCATCTTCGCCGCCGTCGTCGTCGGAGTCCTGCTGGTCATCGGCGTCGTGGTCCTCCTCCTGGTGGCGATCGTCGGCGGCCGCCATCTGCACCGAGGCCCAGCAGCGGTCGCACACCCGCTCCACGCTGCCGCCGAACTCCTCCAACGCCGCGCTGTTCGACGAACACCTGCGTTCCATATCCACATCATCAGGACACAGCATCGTCATCGTCATCGTCATCGCAGCAGCGCGTTGCAGTGCGTCGTACCCGCTACAGACTGAGGCGCAGCACTTGCGGCAGTGGTGCTGCGAGGGAGGGCGGACAAGTGAGAGAACAGAGAGGGAGAGGGGGGGAAGGGGGCGACGGGGCGGTACCCTTCTGACGAGGAAGGAGAAGGGCGAGTGGCACAGGTTGCACTCGTCCTTGTACTCGCACTTGGCCCAGAACGCCGACATCAAACCCTGCGACGACGGCTCACGCTCGCCCTCGCCACCCACCGACTTCTCCTTCTCCATCTCTTCCTCCTCCTCCTCGTTCTCTTCTTCCTCTTCGTCCTCCCCTTCATGCTCGTTGTCGTTGTCGTCGCTGTTGTCGTCGATGCCGGCATCGTCGAGGTGGACGAACGAGGCGGGGTCCTCCATCCGCATGCGCTCCTCCTCGATGGCGGCGGCGGGCTGAGGCGTATCGAGCACCAGGAACTCTTCCATGGCCATGAAGCTCTCGGACATGTTGACGCCCATGTTGGCCGCCATCGCCATCGCCCGCGCCATCGTCTCCTCCATCATCTTCTCGTCTATCAAGGGTCTATCTTCGTTGTTGTCGTCTTCGTCATCTTCGTCCTCGACCTCTTCGTCGCCGCCATCATCATGCTCGGTCACGTCCGTCTCAGCCGCTTCATCGTCGTCGTCATCTTCATCTTCATCATCATCTTCCTCCTTGTTCAACGGCGAGTCTTCGTGTTGGTGTTGAGGAGGTTGAGGAGGTTGCTCGTCTAGAGAATGCACGCTGCTGTCGTCATCGTCGGCTTCGCTGGTGCTGTCGCACTCGGCCAGGAGCGCGTCGTGGGCGGCGGCTGCGGCGTCGTCGGCGAGGGCCATGACCTTGGCCGGGTCGGCCGAGTCGAGGCGCGTCTTGGGCTCCTCCGTGTGGGAGCGACACCTCCTACGCGCGACCCACCAGATGGCCGCCGCCATGCATAGCCCGACCACACATTCCACGCCCAAGTCGGTCATCGTCATCTTCTCTACTTACTTGGCCTTGCTTGGTTCTAGGAGCCTAGCCTGGACTAGTTGGTTCGCCTGCTTGTCGTGTGCTGCGCTGCGCAGAGTAGAGTGGAGTGGTTGTTACCTTCTATGGGCCAATGCAGTGAGTAAGCCGCTTGGGCTGGGGCTCAAGCCACACCCACATCCGCAGAACCGGATGTCTCACACGAAGGAGCTCAGTTCGGCGTACCGCTCGTGAAGGGAAAAGGTTGCTTCGGCTCGGGGCTGGAGAAGAGTTGGCTGTTGTTGGCTCTCGCAATACGCGTGTTGTTGGGGTGCTTGACGGTCGGAGTCCTGTGTGAACGTACTGGTTGGCCTCTCGAACATCCACTACTGGCCAGCCCTGCTCGTGCCTCTTGGCCGTTGTCGACCCACAGCCCACCGAAATCCGACCTAAACGCACCACCGCCCCACATCGACACCACAAGGCACTCTGTGGAATCGGAAATTTCCATCTTGAAATTGATCGCAAATATTTCACATTCTCACACACCAACGTATGCCACGTCAGCATTCTAACGCCCTTTTAGGCTCCCTTGAGCCGCTTCTCGCGGGCGATGACCTCGGGCTCGAACTTGATCAGGATCACTGTCTTGGGCTTGACGTAGTGCGCCGACACCTTGGACGGCTGCGATGGTAGTTGGTTTGCAAGAGAAGAAAGATGAGCGATTAGCTCTGACGGTGATGAGGCATTGCAGAGAGGAATGGATGTGAGTGGGTGTGCGCACAAACTCGGCGGCATCGAGCACGCCGTTCACCACTCCGGCCACGAAGGCGGCCGTGTTGAGGCCTCCGTCTCGCAAGGACACATACTTGTTCACCAGCACGTCGCCGCTTATTCTGATCATGTCTGCAAAAAAGAGCGTGAGCGGTCACAGCAAAGAAGTGAAGAGAAGCGAAGCGAGGCGAGAGATCGTACACTCGTCCTCGTGTTCGGTGCTTCGCTCGAGCGAGTCGGCGCGTTCGCCAAAGAGGGCCTTCCACACGTTGACCGAGATGAAGCCGAGGATGCCCACGATCTCCAGCTCCCGCTTGACCTTCTTCTCCCGGAAGCTCTGCAGCTCCAGCATTCGGAGACCCACCTGGTAGCCCACCTCCCACAGCCTGTCCCATACCACCAGCAGCAGCAGGGTGCAGGGTGCAGGGTGCATTGTGATGTGTCAGCCAAGGACCAGTTGACAGGAGCAGCTGGAGACAAGAGAAGCCTTCGAGACGCACCGCTCCTCGGCTTTGGAGATGTTTGTGACCTTGGTTTGGGCGTATTGCACCAACTCAGAGAACAAATAGGCATAGGCGCTCAAGCTCACCTGCACCCCACACGACAGCATGCCAAATGAATAAAATAAATCCATGTGGCTGGATGTTATGTAAATTCAAGACTGGGGTGGGGTAGGTACATCTTTCTTGGGCTTGTTGAGTGGTCGATCGATAATGTTGAGGGGCGTCTTTTTGGCGGCTGTGAAGAACTCGGTTGCCGTTTGGGTCACGTTGTTCATCTCCTTCTGGATTGAATTCATGTTTTGTGATTTATGATTTATGTTGGTATTTTCTTGAGTTTCTTTTGCACTGCTGCCAAGAGAACAAAAGATGGCGGAGCGGAGCACACCTTCTTGTGTGAACTACTGGGACGATTTCTACAGTGAGGGCGGACCGGGCTATGTGGACACCTACGAGTGGTACCTCCTCTATCCCGACATTCGACCCTTCCTCGTCGCCAATCTCCCAGCCGAGGGCCAACGGATTCTTCACATCGGTACGCACTGCGATATTTATTAATAATATTTATATAATAAGCTTATTTTAGATAATTTATCTATTTATCTAAAATAATTCCTAATTTGATTATTTAATGTTTATCTTCAATTAATTAGTAACATTTTTTAAATAAGTTAACTAAAAATATGTCTCTAAATATAAATGTAAAAATATGCTGCGGAAAGTGCAGGTTGTGGCAACTCGGTGGTGGGCGAGAAGATCGTGAACGACCCGGAGCTGCCGACGGGAGTGACGGTGGTCAACATCGACAACTGCGAGCTCATCGTGGAGAAGATGCGCGAACGGCAGCGAGAAGCCTACAGCGCTGCCGCTTCAGCGTCGACGACAAAGCCATCGGGCCGCGGACAGACGTCTGCCGACAAGAAGCGAAGAGCGGCAGGCAAGAGCGGCCACGGCGGCGGAGCTGCGCCGGACATCGATGAAATGCTGTCACGATGCACCTACGAGCTCATGGGCGTCGAGAACATGACCCTAGAAGACAACTCATTCGATCTCTGCCTTGACAAAGGCTGCCTAGGTGTGCACACGACGATACGACACACACGCCGCACACACGACACACGCACGCCGCACACAATCAGTAACTGACCGCAATGTGTTGTAGATGCCCTGTTGTCAACGGGTGAGGCGGAGGAGGGAACGAACGAAACGATCCAACAGATGATGCGCGAGGTGTATCGAGTGCTCAAGCCGGGCGCCAAGTTCCTCATCTTCTCCAAGAACGACAGCTTCATCACCAATCCCTACTTCTACATCAGCGACGACGTGGACTGGGAGGTGCAGGCCGACACCTTCGATCGGTCCACCGTGGCTGCCGGTCGCGAGGGCAAGAAGGGCGGTGGCGGCCGAAGCAATGCTAACAGCAACGGAGACGGCAGCGGAGGACCCGGTGGCGCCACCCTCGCCCGAACCTTCTATCTCTACACCCTCACCTCCTGCAAACCGGAGTGACCGGCAGAACAGAATTTTTATTTTGTTTAGCTGACGTGGCAGGCAGGGATAGGCCTTTTTTTGGGTGTTTTTGGCATTTTTGTTTTATTTTATTTTGTTGCTTTCATCGTCGGTGATCGAAGAGGAAGAGCCAGGCGGATCATAGAGAGAGATCTGAACAACAGAAGATAAGATGCTGTTCGATCCCAGGGGTACCAAGTGGGTGCTGTATGGCACCCTTCTCATCTGGGCTCTGGCCTTCTTCGTCATCGGTTTCCGAACGGCACACGATAAGACTGCCACCGATTTGCAGCACGACAAACGCGACGTCGAACCCAACATCGACACCGAGGAAGGCGATGACGAGGAGAAGGATGACGAGGGGGATGATGATGATGGATCTGCGGATCACGACGAACACGACGATGATGAGGAAGACGACAAAGATCTCGATGATGAGGACGATGTTGACGAACGACGTACGACGAACGAGCGACGGAAGAAATCAGACACCAAGAACAAGAAGAACAAACTGGCCAAGAGTTATGCCAGCATGTAAACACAATCACCTCCCCCCCAAACGGCTCTCTCCTTCGATTCAGTCCTCTGCTCTCATGATTTTATTTTGTTCGCCTACACGGCAAGGTTCTCGTAGTAAATCAAGCCTCTTCTCTCCCCTGCTCCCCATCATGAAGCTCATCTTTTGTTTATTATTTTTATTTATTTTATTTTGGGGCATTGTTCAGAAAAAGGAAGGCCAACGCCTCTCTCCACAACAACACGGCCGTAACGAGCTGAAGAAGAACAAACCAGGGCACCAACGCGTAGATCAACAACGACTCCTCAATCATGAGCGAATATTCCGGCTGGCTTCTGCATTCAAGTGATGCGCGCACCTTCAAGGTAAACGTTTGTAAACTTCTTTGCGAAGGGCGTGAGCTCATAATAGTGGCATCGTCTGAGTAGGGAGTCAAGGATAGACGGTTCCTGGTGCTCAGGCCCAGCGAGCGGGCCATCTCCATCTACAAGAAGCAAGAAGACGTTGTAAAGGTGCAACAAACTCTCAATCTCTTTGCTCAGGGGCGTGGTTGCGCTGATCTTCGTTCATCCCCGACAATCATTTTGCTGTGTGTGTTGTGGCTGAACAGGCACCCAGTGTTGTGCTGGACGTGACAAGCTACCTTATCGAGAAGGAGTACGTGACGGGCCACGAGCACGCCTTCAGGCTCACCACGCAGAAGGGACCCTACCTCTTCTCCGCGGAGAACGCCATGCTGCTCGACGGGTGGTTCAACGCCATCACCGCCGTACGCTCACACCTCCCCTCTCTCACTACACTTGGTCGCCTGGCCTGCCAGCGTCATTGACGCCTACGCCGACGCTGTACTGTCATGGAACGCAACACCAGGTGGGCATGCGGGTGGCGACGGAGCCGGCCGACCTGGCCAGACGGGCGGCGAGGGTACGGCAGGAAGAGGACAACCGGGCCGAGAGCCAGAGGGAGCAGGACGACCACGAGCAGGAGAAGCAGCGGATCAACCACCAGAAGCAGAAGCAGATCATGAGGCGCAAGCACGCCCGCGAAGCAGGCAACCAGAAGCGAAAGAACGTCAGAGACGAGATCGAGCTGGAGTGGAGGTGCGCGCTGCGCTCCACCAACTCGCTTACACGAGTGCGCTGTTACATTGAAACGCAGGTACTCACTGTTGCGCGCACAGGCATGCCGATGAGAAGAGGAGGCAGGAGTACGACCACAAGGAGGAGGTGGAGGACCTGGCCGATAAGATTCAGGAGAAGAACAACCCGTCGGAGCCCGACGAGCTCAAGCGAAAGAAGCAGATCAAGCTGCTCGCGCGCAAGCAGGAGAAGGAGATGCTGGCCCTCCAGCAGCAGCAGTCGAAGAAAGAGATGAAGGCGGCGCTCAAGCATCAGGACGACCTGCAGAAGACCGCTGCCGACCAGCACGAGGAAGAGGAGCAGCTCATGGAAAAGCAGGAGTCCGAGATGCACGCCGCCGCGCAAAGGCGCAAGAAGGAATACGCCAAGCTCCAACAGAAATGCAACGATGAGGTACTCATCACCACACGCACCGCACGCACCACCGCACGCACACACACCACCGCACACGCACATACTAACATTTGATGGCCAGCTGGAGAAGCAGATGGATGCGATCCAATCGCGTAGAGAGAAGGTGAAGCTGGCCAAGGCCGCTGCGCAGGTGATCGCCACTCAGGGCGCACCCTCCAGGGCGCCGCCCAAGCCCGTCGAAGACCAGCCCGAGGAACCACCCCTGCCCGAGCCGCCCGTCGTCGAAGCCGAGGCCGAGCCTGAACCTGCCTATCCCGAGCCCGAGGCATATAACGAACCCGAGGAGGCCAGCGAACACCACCATCACCACAACGAAGACGACGCCCCCGCCGACAACAACTACGATGGCAGCTACGAGTGAACAGGGGGGGTGATAGCTCCAATAGGAAGAGAGGAAAAGATAAAAGAAATCGGTGTGAGACGACCCACCTTGCCACATGAAGATGGAGGAGGCGGCGGCGGCCAAGCCCAGCGCGGGGACTGGAGGGGGTGGCGGCGGAGGTGGAGGGAGGCAGCACTGGATGGAGAGCGTGCGGGTGGTCCAGGCCAACTTCCTGGTCTACTACCACAACATGCGCTTCTTCGATGGCAAGCGCAACTGGTTGCGAGTCAACCCCGTGCCGCCTCTCGACGACATCGCCAGCGTGCGACACTACATGGTACGCCTCTCTGTGGTTTAATCAATCTGTATTTTTAATCATTTTTAATCAATCAATAAAAACTCAAAAATCATTCCTCTACGTGGTAGAATAATTTTAATACGTGATAAATATTTAGATTTTTTAGATTTCAATTATTTGTTCATTTATTAGTTCATATTTAAATCGGAATACTGATTGGAATATTCTGCCATCACATGTGGTCACCAGGGAGCGGTCCACAGCGTGCAGAGGGGCATCTTGCAGGTGGGGCTCAATATGTTCTTCGTGCTGAGCGGCGCGTCGAACATCCTGAGCATGAAGGAGAAGCAGAACCTGTGGCGCGTGGTGGGCGAGCGCTTCTTCAAGCTCATCGTGGCCTTCTTCTTCGGGTTCCTCATCATGGGCCTGCCCGTGTCGCTCATCATGCTGCTCTACAAGGAGGGCACCATCATCAACGCCTCGGCCGACGCCTGGAAGGAGGTGCTCTTCACCTCGCCCGGCCAGCTCTACTTCCTGCCCTACATGTTCGCCCTGTGGGTCCTCCACCTGCCGCTCTTCTGCGTCATGAAGGCCTGCTACGACACCAACTCCCGCTGGCTCTCCTCTTCCACCACCACCACCACCACCACTACCACACCCACTTTTGACACCTCTCAGGTACCACCAGTTGTGTGTTGTGTGTTGTGTGTTGTGTGTTGTGTGTTGTGTGTTGTGTGTTGTGTGTGTCGTGTGTCGTGTGTCGTGTGTGTCGTGTGTCGTGTGTGTCGTGTGTGAGAACTCAGATGAGACACACAGCTAACGGTCGCTCACGATGCGTGGTGGTGGTGGAGAGCAGAGGCTGAACCGACACAGGTCGGCCTGGTCGATGGCGCTGTTCGTGTGCGGCACGGTGGTGGCCCCGCTGCTGTGGATGTGGTGCTGGCTGGGCCTGGCCTACGGCACGCTGGTCGGGTTCGTCCTGGGCGCGTCGGCCTTCCTCCTCTCCCACCTCGCCCGGGCCAAGCCCAGCGGCGCCGGCGCGCTGCTGTCGCTGCCCGCGCTGGCGCACCACGCGCAGCTCACGCTGGGCCGGTTCATGGAGTACTACTTCGACCTCCAGTACGAGTGGATGATCCCAATGAGCACCCTGGCGCCCTCGTTGATGCTGACGTGGGCCAACCAGTACTTCTCATCGCTCCTCATCAACACCGGCATCGTGCTGGTCTACGTGCTGCCCCTACTCACCGCCGCCTTCCCGCTGCCCACCGCCATCACCCTCCACTTCTCCTCCCTCACCTCGTGCCACGTCACCTCCACCTACGGCGCCGCCTCGTCGTCTTCGTCGTCGTCATCGTCGGCCGCCCGCTTCGGCTCTGATGATGTGATCGATGGACGCAAGGCGCAGAGCCGAGCGGCGTCGCGGCTCGCGCTGTCGATCAATCTGCCGCTGGTGAGCCTGTTCTCGATCGTGGCGGGCCATGTGCTAATCATCAGCGCGCCCGACATCCTGGGTCCGGACGAGATTCCCTCGCCCACTTCGTTCTTCGGCGGCCTGGTGTCGCTGAGCCCCGACACGAGCCGCTCGCTGGGCACCTCGTTCTTCACCAGCGTCTCACACTCGGCCTTCTACGTGTTCGGCTTCGCGTGGATGCTGTTCGAAGACCGTCTGCCCTGCTTCTGGACCGCCTGCTCCAATCTCAGCCTCGCCTTCTACTTCTTCATGAACATCGTACGCTGCTCCCCCCCCCGGCACCAGTAAAAAAGAACGAAAGCGAAGCGGTGTGTGGCTCATTTCGTTCTTTTTCTGTGCAGTGCCTGTTGAAGTGGTCGTTCCCGGACCAGGAGGGGTTCGTGTTCGTAGGTCCGGGCTACATCACCTACAAGCCTCGCCTCCAGCGATTCTTCTACGTGTACGTGTGCCACCCTCGCGCCACTCGCGCCTAGCGTGGCTCACCCAACCGTTTCTCTTCGTCTTCACCATCACCATCGTTTTACTCTTTCGCAGCGTGGGGAGCTGGTATTGGATGTGGTACGTCTCTTTTTCTTTGGACTCAGCAGCGCAGCACTTGCTGCTTTTGTCGAATGCTGACTTGGTACGTACACAGGATCTATAGCCAACTTTGTAAATACCATGGCAACTACCCCTTCCAAAGGTTAGCCACAACGCATCGACGCCCTTCTACTCATATGTGCTGCTTAACCGCTCTCGCGGTTGTGTGTGTGTGTGTGTGTGTGTGTGTGTGTGTGTGTGTGTGAACTCTACGCTCCAGTAAGCTGCAGCAGTTCATCCGGGACAGCACCTTCGGGCTGTTCATCATTCACCCCGTCTTCGAGGTTACACACCCCACCTGCTCCCGCCCTACTGTTTCCTTTTCCCTCCCGTCCACTACGCGAGAGGGACTAACCAACCCACCGCACACGCACCACCGCACACGCGTGTTCAGTACCTCATGGCGTGCTCCATGAATGCGGGCTGGTGGGGCATGAACGTGTACACCTGGGGCCAGAAAGCTGTACGTCGCTTCTTTCACGGTTCACGAGCCGCCCTTGGCTGACACCCACCTCTCTTTTGCTTCGACCACTCAGCTGATACTGAACGTGGTCACGTTTGGGATGAGCTACCTCACGGTCTACCTCCTGCTCAAGATCCCCGCCGTGGCCCCCTTCCTCGGGGTCAAGCCGCCACGACGACCCAGCTCCAGCACACTCCCGCGCAGAAGCGAATCGTACCATTCACTCTCCTCCCCCACTTCTTGAACGCGGCAGCATCAATACAAGTTCTCTCTCCACTTTTCCTGGTGGTGTTGATGAATCAATCGCAAGACACGTCAGTTGTGGGAGAGTGTGTGTTGCTTTTTAACCAACATGCGCACTGGGCAGCGGTTGGGTTGTGGTGTTTGGTGGGTGCTTGGCCTCACCAGCCCAGCTCCAACTCGGTTGGACATTTTCTGGGCGTGAGGATGGCTGTGAAGAAGCGGGCCAGCTCCCGCGGTGGCACCACCAGGGCGCGTGCCGGGCCAAAGAGGAACTCCATCACTTGTTCCACTTCTTCCTCTGGTTCCCCACCGTGACCACCTTCGAGGGCTGGAAAGGGAGTACCGGTCTCGCCACCTGTTGGGGGGAAGATGCGATCTGTCAAAGTGCCATCAAAAGGTCGGGCTCATCCGAGCTGAGCGTGTGGAAGGACAAGCCGAGTCGTACAAAACGCGGTGAGCTCTTCGGTGGCCTCTGCATCATTACAGCTCCAGGTCAGCCCGGTGGTCAGGCTGTAGATCTCGGCCTCCACGTAGTGCGCCCACAGGCCTTCCCACCTCTCGCTGATGATGACGGCCAGGTAGTTAACAGACTTGCGCTTGGTTGATGAGGATGACGTCGCACGTACGCAGTGACCCTGACGTAGAGCGTGTTCTTGGAAAGGCCGAGTAGCAAACGATGCACTTCGCGCCAACGCTTCCCCTCCATGCTGTGCCATTCATTTACACGCACACACAAAGAGAGTAGTGAGTCTCGGTGAGCAAGCTGGCACGTCAGGTGGAGTTTACGTGATGGACGAGAGCAACTGGGCCAGGCTGTGGCGCATGAAACTTATCTGGTGGAGCGAAGTTGCGATCTCCTGCACCTGGCGGGCAAGACGCTTCGCCTTCGCGACCTGCTGCGGCTTCGTCCAGACAACCATACCACCCTGCGGCGCTTCATCTTCGTTCTCTTCCTCCTCAGACTCCTCGGAGAAGGAGGAAGACTCATCATCTGCCGAGGATGATGATTCGTCTGACGACGAATCATCTGCCAAGGATGATGACCAGTGGTCTGAATTGTTGAGGCCGCCTGCCCTCTTCTGCTTCTTCGGTGAATGACGAGGCTCACCCGCAGGCTCCATCTCGACCCTCGTACGTTTCTCTCCGCGCTGCCACGTCTTCGGCTCATCGTCTTTTTGCTGAACAGATTCGGCAATCTCACCCACGACGCCGGCCAACTTGACCATCTGCACCTTGGGGTCACCTTCTCACGACACATGACACACAGCCTCGTCAGCCCCCCCCCTCCCCGCCACCAGCTGGTGCAGCGCCCAATGAACGAAACAAGACAGGAGGAGGGGGATACTGTAGCGCTCGGGTGAGGCGGTCCCTGCACAGAGCCCACCAGAATATGGGCTCGTTGGGCACATCCTGGAGGGCCAAGAGCGGAGGCGGCCAGGTGCGGTGGTACGCGTCCCGCCACAGGGCCTTCCACCTATTCTTGGCGCAGAGGCTGCGCCACAAGCGGCACACGTGCTGGGCCGAAAACAGGCCGCGTGCGTCCAGCCACTCGAGCACCGCCAGCACCATCTCCGTCGGCAGCTCGTTCATCTTCTTGCTCTTGCTCTTGTTGTTGCTTGGCCGATGCTCCGTTAGAGAGAAGTATCATCACAACAAGCCGGCAGCGCGAAGGGCTGAGGCGTCTGCTGGCGCACCGCCAGGACATAGACCAAAGAGGGGTCGGGGGCTCTTGGTTGGTCATCGGCCGAAATCTCCTAATTTAAACAGTTGCGGACATTTCTGTTTTGTGGAATCCATTTCACATTTAAACACACCACACTCTGGCCGAGCGGCGCTACTGCTGAGCTGGTGGCAGTTTACGCGAGGAGGCAGGGGTCGGACTTCTTATTCTTCTTCGTCCTGGTCGTGGTCGTCGTACTGGCGGCGTCCAAGATCTTGCCGGTCGTAATGGCCAGCGCCAGGCGCGCTGCTCCCAGCATGGCCTCGTCGACGCCCTCGCGCGTCTTGCAGCTCACCCGGGCAAAGAAGCAGCCCATGGCCTGAGCCGCCGCCGGTCCCGCATCCGGGGGCACCTCGCGCTCGTCGCGTAGATCGATCTTGTTCTCCACCATGACCACCGGCACCACCGCGGGCTCCTCCTTCACCTGCAGGACCTGAAGAGGTTTGGTAGCAGCAGTGCAGTGGTTTTGTGGGAGCAGCCGCGGCTGTTGGTTAGTCTCATCGCCGCTCGGTCGGCCAGTGAGGAGAGGGGAGGCACGGAGCCACACTTCTTTGATAAACTCCTCGCAGCGGCGGAACGAGGCGAAGGAAGTAGCGCTGTAGACCACCAAGAACGCCGCACTGGACTGTATCCACTGAGGCCTGAGCGCCTGTGTGCGGTGTGTGCGCGTGCGCGCGCCTCGGCTTAAGGTCATTTGAGTCCGCCACAATGGAGGAGGTTGGGGGCAGACGGCGCGGTACGGAGAATTCTTCGTTGCCTGCGGTGTCCAGGATATCGAGCACTCTCGCGGTGCCATCCAGCATCACGCGCTTCCGGTAGGAGTCCCCTGCACATCGTCCACATGCGCACAGCTCAGCTCCGAGCCCACATTGTCGGCGCAACGTCGGGGCATTCAACCGTGTGTGGCTGAGCCAGTGCGGTACCAATGTTCGGGTCCCAGCGCTCAATGAAATGATTCTGGGCCGTGCCGCCATTACATTATGAGCAGGTCAGAGCACAACAAAGCGAGAGTCCAGCCGTACCACGCAATATTGTACAGTCAGGCAGGTTTTCCCGGTACCGGGGCAGCCAAGCACCACCTGCGCACAATGCAATTAGTCATCAGCTGGTTGTCACAGCCACCCACAAGCTCACACACCAAACGAATCTCGGAACCGGTTTGCTCGCGTGGTGCCGTCGGAATGCTGCTGAGCCCTTTGTACGGAAGCGGAGGCGGCGTGAACGAGAGAGACTGCCACCACCGGCGCACCGTAGCCTCTCGGATGAAGGCGCCCTTCCAGTCGCCGCTGTCCGTAGCTCTCTCCTTCGGCGAGGCTGTGTTTTCGGTCATAAACAAAATGGCATAAAAGAAAATGAATCAAAAGAAAGAGTGAAGAGGGGGGGGGCACGGTAGCGGGAGTGGAAGAAGAAGCGCCAGAGGCTGTCGTCGCAGCTTATCGCGTGCCACCGGCGACACACGGCCGTAGCGCCCCGCACGGTCCCCTCCCAACCCACCTCTCTGTTTCACACCACCACCACACGGAAGATGAGGAAGGCACCCCGAGAGACTTGGGAGAAGGTAGAGGGGAAGCTGTCACGTAACTGGAAGACGAGGAGCAACAGCTCATCAGACAGAGCCTCCATTACACCACCCAAAAAAACTGTGTTGCACCCCCAAACCTTTTCGTGGTGGCCAATGGCGCAAGCGGCTTCAAACTGCCTGGAGAGGTGCTGGAACGAGGGGCCTCAAAGGCCTTGACAATGTCCAGCCCCGCGAATGGCAATTCACAGCCGGTCCAGGTAGGTGTCGAGGGACGGGATCTCCTCCTTGAGGCCCTTGCGTCGGCGCACGGCCAGCATCAACTCGGCAGCGGTGCTGTGCGCCTGGAGCGGGTCGCCCTCCACCATCTGCCAGTGATCGAACACGCACTCGCCAGCCGGCCGCCCTGTGTACACACACACCGAGTTGAGTTCAGCCAAGTAGTGGGCGCCGACCACGAGCAATTGTGGGTCTGGCGACTGCTGGTGAGCAGGGTACCGGTGGCCTGGCGAAGAGCGGACGCGAAGCCAAAGGACTCGACGACCGGGAGGTACGCTTTGACCCGGCACATGCCGCCGCCGTCGCAGGCAGACGACAGCATGACCTGGCCGCGCCGCTCGGCGATGATGGTCGTGACGACGTCAATGTCCGACTGGCGCGCGTGGGTCTCGACGAGGTAGACGGGCTCCATGAGCCGCGGCCGTGAGTCGAGTTGCGCCGCGCGCAGCACGCGACGCCCCGCCGGAATGAGCTGGCCGGCGCCCCGGTGGATGGCGTCGGTCGTGAGTACGAAGTCGACCAGTTTGAACCGCACGCCGCGCAGAGGCTCCTCGCACAGCGCACCCTCGCGCGTGCCCCACTGGAACGTCTGCTCGACTAAGCCCCTGATCTCGCCGACGTACTGCAGCGGATACTTGAACTCCTCGGACATGGCGTTGGGTCCCCTCCCGTCCGGTCCCCAGCACCAGATCCGCCTCGCATCCTGTCCGTTTGATAATAATGATTATTGTTAATGTTGTATTGTTGCGATCATAGCGTCATTTTCGTTCTTGTACTTGTTTCGTTAAAGAAAGAAGCAGAGTAGGAGACGCACCAGGACCTCCCAAGTGTGAAGCTGGCTGCTGAGAGCGGCCCGGTCGGCGCTGGTATTGAAAGAGCCGCTCTCGATGGCGTCGGCCAGACCCGCGGGGAGGGGCTCTGCGGTCATCCACAGCCGGGTGTGCTTGTTGGGCGACTTGGCCATGCACGTCTGGCTCGAGCGCGCCACCACGGTCTCCCGTAAGGATATTGCGGGCACCGACGACCGAGCGAACCCGACGCCCACCGCGGCGAGGTCCCTGGCCAGCGGGCCCAAGAGCATCTCCAGGTGCCGCTCGCTCATGCCAGAGACCACCAGCTCGCCCGTTCGCTCGTCCATCGCAGCCCCTCCGTCCAGGTGTGTGCGTGACATCTTGCGTAGGGCCTCGATCACCTTGGGTAAGTCGGCTGGGTTCTGTGAACAGGGACCGAGTGTCAACGCCATTGCCATTCGGTCATCATCAAGCATTGAAGGTGCGGTGTTGTGCTCATGCTTGGGGGGGGGGGTAGAGGAGTAGTACGTTTGGCTGAATACTCTGATGAACGACGGGTAAAGGCTTCCGGATGGGCTTGAACGGGTGCGCGGTCGGGCTCGAGGTGATGGTGCTGGAGTCTACCAGGAAATGACCGGCCAGGTAGACCAGGTTGCCCGCCGACACTGCATCCGTCTCTTCTAGGCGGCCATGCCCGGCGACCAGTAGCCTTTCAATGTCCTTCACCTTGATAACACCCTAGAATGTCACAGCCACCCAAAGAATAGACGTAACCAGTAAGCCACCTGGTGGAACGCGCAGAGAAGAGCCCAAGGGAAGGGGAGAGACCTTTTGACCGGGTCGGTCGTCTGGACCCAAGATGCGCACTTGCTGCCCCGCGACCAGAGTGCCCGAGAACACGCGGCCGAACGCGTAGAACCTGTTCTCTTCGTGGGTGGAGGGGGCCAGATTCGCTACGTACAACATCAGAGGACCTAATGAGGGCGCGCCGAATGTAAGCTTGGGTGAGTGTGCTCGGCTCTACATACAGTTTCCCAGAATGTGGCGTCATACCGTCCTTGTCGCAGAGCGAGATGGCCAAGGCGCATTCATCGTCTATCGGACCCGCGTACAGGGCTTCCATGCGATACTTTTGCGCCACCACCGACGATGGCAGATGCGTCGCAATAGCGTCCATCAGCGCCTAATCTCCAGAAAAGACGATGAGCAATCAAGCAAGCACGAGCAGGAACAATGAGGGGAAAGCGGACGTGCATCGGGCAGAGGAAGAAAATTGGCCATGACCCTCTTGATCAAGCCCTCGCCTTCTTCCGAGGCATCTGTGATGTCGATTCCCAGCTGTTCGAGATGCCTGTGAAGTGCTTCGCGCTTATCGGGTCCGCCCACGCAGCCACGGATGAGCTTGTAGATGGGTCCCAGAACGAACTGGCAAAAGCCCCTCCGCAACTTCTTGCCCGTCGTCGCCGATACGCTGGTGCCCAGCCTGCACCCCCTCCCCCACCCAGTGTTAGTTGAAAGCAGCCCCTATCCGTGCGTGAAAGCCAACACGCACCATTTCTTTGTGTCGGGGTCGTAGAAGTGTTCGCCCCAATGTCCAGGCACTCACTGGAAGCCTCCATCACATCTGTGGGCTGTGGCTACCACCGTTCCTCTTTTTCTTTTGTTTGTTTTATTAATTTCCCACATTTCCGTTTTTATTTGGTGGCGAGGTCACTGTCCTGCTCTTTGTGCTCGGGCTGTGAGCTCTGGGTGGCTTCGTCACCACCACCAGGGGTCGCGGGAGGGAAGTAGTTGTCGAGATCCTGCTTGTCTCCCGCGATCTTTTTCATCGTCTTGCGGAGCAGCGAGGCAGCGTAGAACAGAGCATCCGGGTTGTTGGGGTCCCAGAATCGCACCTTCAGCGCGGCACAGCACGAGCCAATGTCAGCTCACGCTTCAATACGATCAAACATTGAACACACGCCACGCGATTGCGTACCTCGTTGAAGTCCCTCATGGCACTCTTGTCGTCCCCGAGGTCCATGTACACCTCGCCGCGCGCGAGGAGGGCGTCGATGTGGTTGGGCCGCATTTCAATGACTCGGTCAAGATAGCTCAGCGCTTCCTGATGCCGCCCCAGGCAGAGGAGAGCATCACCGCAAAGATAGAGGCTGCGCATTGATCAAGAAACATGTCGTCAGTCACCTTCAAGTGGGTTCCAACGTCGTCTCTCCCACGCTCATAAGAGTAAAAGAGTGGGCGTACCCTTCTGCCTTGAGCTTGGTGAAGAGCTTCTTCTCGTCCTCGTTCTCGGGCAGCTCGATCTGCTGGCCTTCATCTTCGATCACTGTGATCTGTGGGCGCCACAGGTCCGTACATTCGAATAAGCCTAAGACCAACTGTGCATGGGTCATCAAGAGTGCAGTGAACCCGCGTACCTTGAGCTCTTTGCCGAGCGTCTCAAGCCGAGTGACGATCTGCGTCGCTTCGCCAGCGACTTTGTCAGCCTGGTCGCTTTCCTTGATCCGCGCAAGCTCCCCCTCTATCCGCTGCAGCTCTGCGATGGCGTTGTTGGCCACCTGCCCTGTCCTGTGGTTGCCGCCCTGCTCTCCTTTCTCCGGCGCTTGCACCCTCGACCACGTCCTCACTAGAACGACGTCGTGAACGCCAGGCAACCCACAAGCACCTTGAGCAAAAAAAGATGTAATTGTCCGTACAATAAAATCTGGTAGGTGTTGCGGTTGATGATCGGAGCAGCAGCCTCGTAGAGGCCGATGCACGAACTGCCGCCAGCGACGTCACTTGCGGCCTCCGCAGAGTCGTTCCGGCGACGACTATTCTTGTCCGCCTCATCTTCGTTGTTCAATTTATTTATGTTTTTTTCCATCTATTTTTCCCTTTTTCCTCTGCTGACGTCAGCGGTGAAGCCCCGGCTTTTGCGCCTTTCGAGCAGGAACCACGGAGGAGAAGCACGTACGTGGCGCTTCAGCCTTAGCTCCTGTTCGTCTTGCCACAGTGTTTTTCTAACAACACCACCTCAAACACTCCTTGTTTAATCGCCAGCCGTTTCAATTCAAAGATGAACACTGCCGCTACGCCGAAGGAAATCAAGGGGGTGCTGTTCGACCTCGACGGACTCCTTCTGGACACTGAGCCCCTCTACGAGAAGGTACTACTCCTCCCTCTTTTTTTTGTTTTTTGGGCTAATTTTTGGTGCCTCTTTTGCTCCTGGCCGCAGGCCATCGCAGCGGTCCTGGCTGAGTACGGGCACGTGTACGACCAGGAGCTGAGGTCGCACGTAATCGGCCGGGGCGAGGTGGAGGGCGCCAACCTCATCATCAACACCAAGACCCTGCCTCTCGGCCCGCACGAGTTCCTCGAGAAGCGCGAGGTGCACCTCAAAGAGCTCTTCCCCACCGCTGAGCCTATGCCCGGTACGTGGCTGCCGTGGATCTCATACAAAAACTTAAAGACCTAGTTGAGCTGACCAACAACGTCGAACAGGCGCGAAGGAGCTGACGGCCTACTTCCACAAGAACAACATCCCGATGGCGGTAGCTACCAGCAGCCACAGGGATGCTGTCACGTTGAAGCTGCAGAAGCATCAGGAGTGGTTCAAGGTCTTCACCTACCTTATCTCTGGCGATAACGAGCAGGTGAAGAACGGCAAGCCCGCGCCCGACATCTTCCTTGCCGCCGCTCGTGGCATCAATATCGACCCCGCGCACTGCCTCGTCTTCGAGGACTCGCCATCGGGTGCCGAGGCCGGCGCCAACGCCGGCGGCATCGTGGTGGCCGTGCCCGATCCCATCATGCCCCACGACAGGTACCCGCGGGCCAACCTCATCATCAAGACCCTCAACGACTTCCGCCCGGAGGCCTACGGCCTTCCTCCTTCCCAGTAGGCAGCCACAGCGCTGTAGCGGCGCATCGTGTTTTGCATTGGAACTAAGCACCGCCATTACACCTACAGCTGTCGGTGCTTGGCTTCACACGTGTTCGCCCACCTTGCGGTCGCGGTGATGGTGCTGGTCGGGCACGGTCTTCTCGTGGTGCGCTTTGTTGTACAGATAGCCCGCGCCGGTGACGGGCTGCCCGGTGTGGCCCTTCTCGTGGTGGAGGATGCGTTGGCCCTCCTTGATGGCCTCGTCCAGGTCGTCGGGCCGCTTCAGCCCGCGCTGGTTCCAGAAGGCGTCGTTGTTGGGGTTGTTTTCCAACGCCTTGTGGTCCTGTTCCTGCTGCTCCTCCTGCAACTTCTTCGGGTCGCCCAGGTTGTGCTCCAAGAGTGTGGGTACGTCGGCCATGTTCGTTGATGCTTCTTCTTCTGCTTCTTTTGGTTCTTGATCAGAATCTGCTCTTTGTGCGGGAGCGCCGGGCGCCTTTGGGCACCATTTGCCCAAAGCCGGCACCGAGTCTTGGAGAAGGGAGCGAAGAGTAGGGGAAATGTGGACCGACCAGTTCCCACTTCGTAACTCGACCACTCTGGCGTCGTGGGTCCACGCGCAGGTGAAGACACTGCTCCGCAGCTCCAGCAGGCGCCAACAAGAAGCTGAGAGAAGAGACGTCTGCAGCTAAGGAACAGTGGCGGAGTTTCCGGTGTTTTTTATTTATCTTTTCTTTATGTCTTTGTCTGGGCTATCCGATTATCGTCATCCGCGAGAACAAGACAAGCACGCAAGGCCACAACATGCACCTGGTGTTCTCGAATGCTTATGGCATTGAGTGAAGGCGATCAACTCAAGTCCGCCGTGCGGGCTTTTACTCCTTGCTGCAGGTCAATGAAATCGCGATTTAGGCGTGTAGGCCGAACGCGATTTGCGACAGACGATGGCCGCCAAGGTACCAACTCATCTTCCCTTCGCCTGACTCTAGGCCACAACATGAGGATACATAAATAGCCTGACGGTCTTCAATTGAGAAGGCCAGTGGAGCTTCGATTAGTCTTTCTGAACACACTCAAATTAATCACTCCGCACTCTCCTCCCTTGCTCTTCCGCTAACCTCATTTTTTCGTTCTCAACAGGCGCTGCATCGTCGCTGTCCTTTGCAGCAGCAACCACAGATCTCATGGCTGCACCCACAGCTGCGGGTGCAGCCCATGCTGGCATTGTCATCCCTGCGATTTGCTCGTTCGCGCCAAAATAAATATCCCATTTTATTCGTATTTCCAATTACGTGAAATTGAAGCGGTGCTTTCTTTTTCGTTCGCACACAACCCAACGCAACCGCACATCTTGTATCACCTGGCGTGGATTGGTGTCCCTCCTGGTACGTTTTGCTCTCTTTTTTTTTGACCAAAACTTGAATGATTTTGATTGACGCGTCTGCTGGGGCAAAGAAGAAGAGCGAAGAAGAAAGAAGTCATGGCCACCGACAATCCAGAAATGCGGAAGGGGCAGCTGTTTCAGCAGGAACAGATCTACTCCCTCCTGATGCAGAACCCAGCCACCGCCAAGTACATGGGCCAGGCTGACGTTTGCCGTATCGTCGGCGAGCTCAGGTCCAACCCCGCCGCCTACGCCAAGTACGTCGCCCTTCTTCCCTTTTATAATCAATAACGTGAATAATTCGCCATAAATGCAAAAAAAATAAGAAATGTACTTTCATATAAAAAAAACCTGATTAAAGTCTTCATGCATTGCACTTCATGCGCGTGCAGGTACCGGAATGACTCCCGCATTGTGGAGTTGGCCACCCATCTGGCCAGGTGAGAGTGCCTCTCCCTCACGACATGCCCTTCCTTCAAATGTTTGATGAAACCCTCACCACCACTCTCGCACATCGATCGCCGTGTCGCGCCATTCAGTCAGACTGCACGTCCGACGTGGCCGCCTGCATGGAGCAGCTACAGCACAACAAAAAATGCGGATCAGGGCGGCACGACGAGCGACGCGTCGACGACGTGGCTGCGCGCACGGCGGGACCGAGGGGCCACCTCCTCGCCGGCGTCGACGTCGACGACGTTCAACGCCTCCACCTTCTTCGCCGCTGTGCGATCGGGCGGCCTCGCCAGCGTGAGCGCTGTCGTCGACAGCAACCCGACGGCCCTATTTCAGGTACCTTGTGCGCCCCAAGTCCAGTCAACTTGCCTGTAAAGCAGGCCCGATCAGTGATCTCACCCTTATCGTCGTGCGTGGGCGATCGTGTGTGTGCCGTGTGGCTGAACACAGGAGGACGACTTCGGGTACACACCGCTGCATCTGGCAGCGCAGAACGGGCACACGCACATCGTGAACTACCTCCTCGGAAAGGGCGCCGATGTTGACCAGAAGCAGGCTGCCGGCTACTCGCCCCTCCACATCGCCGTGCTCTCGGGTACGAGCTTGCCAGTGACGGTGTGAGTCTCACCATGCGCTGACGCGTTAACCCGCTTTGATGTACATTTTTTCGCAAACAGACAAGACCAGCGTTGCGTTGACGTTGATCGAAAATGGCGCCAACATGCAGCTGCAGGACAACGAGGGTAACACGGCTCTGGGTACGTCACTGCCCCGACCGACTGACGAGTGGTTCGGCTTCCTACGCCCGACGCTTAACTCCTACCCCACTCGCTTTCAACGCCCTGCAGAGTACGCGCTACGCAACGACAACCCGGAGCTGATTTCGGTGCTGATCGAAGCGGCGACGGGCGGCGCAAGTCAGCAAAGCCAGCGGGAGAGGCGACGGCAGGAGAACGAGCGAAAACGGCAGACCGCCGCGCTCGCGCTGCCGGTGCAGGTCGAGCGCAAGATCGTCCGAGGGCAGCGGAGCTACGCGCCACCACCGCGCCGGCCGGCTGGACCCTCCCTCTTCGGCGATGACGATGACGATGACGATGACCTCTCGCTGTTCGATGCCGAGGAGTCCACCGCGTGGCCCAGCCACACCACGTCGTCGTCGTCGGAGAAAGAGGAGAAGGCCGAGGGCGGCCTGACCGACCTGTTCGGCTTTGGTGATGACGACGACGAAGACGACTACGTGCCCAAGGGCAAGGAGGTCAGCAGCTCGACCAGCCACAGCCACAGCCACAGTGGGCGCAAGGTCTCGTGGGCCGACCTGGAAGCTGAAGACGATGACGAGCAGGAGCAGAACCAATGGCAGGGCATGATCGCGTCGCTCTTCCCCGACGACGAGGGCGATGATGAAGAGGACATCTTCCCCACCAGCACCAGCACCAAGCCCTCCTCCACGACGACCCTGGCCCTCACGCACCCGCTCGCCCAGCCCACTGATGTGGCCCGGTCGACGACAGTGTCCGCATCCGCCTCGGTCGCCATCAAGACCAACACGTCGCAGATGACGGTTGTGGTCCAGACGACTTCCGCCAAGGCCACGTCGTCGGCAACGGGCGGCGAGGTGGATCAGCTGCTGGCGCAGATCCAGCAGCTCGAGGCCAGGCTCGCCGAGAAGGATCGGGAGCTGCTGGCCAAGGACGACAAGATCTCCGTCCTCGAGGAGGACACCTGGTGTCGCATCTGCATGGACAAGAAGATCGAAACGGTACCTCAACTTCGTGCAGAAAGAGAGAAGCGGGCTTGTGTTACTTTCATTCTCACACGTGGTCGATCGTTGTGTGGCCAGGTGTTGTTGTGGTGTGGCCACAACATTCTGTGCACGCCGTGCTCGCAGAAGGTGCAGAAGTCGAAGAAGGACTGCCCCGTTTGTGCCAAGCCCATCGCCCGAGTCGTGCGCACGTATCGGGCTTGATGAGCCGGCTTTCTCCGGTGTTGCAGCTTCCCGTTGACTCTTTTATGAATTATCGTCGACAGTGTATTTTCTTTTTTCACTTCAGCGGGCCACCCTTTTTCCTGAACATTTCTGCGCCAGCCGAAGCAATAAAAAGGGGAGTCAACTGTGGACGAAGCAACCACCCAGTCAAAGCCGCAGAGACCCACAACAACACCACAACGCACAAACAAACGGCCAGCAGTCGCAGCTGCCCAAAATTTTTGAGTGCAGCGCCAACCATACCACCAACCCGTCGCTTCACCAAACGTGAAAGAGAGGTCGAACAGAGAGGTCGAGTGCGAACAGCAACCACCAGCACATACCACAACAACAAAGTACAACAGCACCCAACAAGCTGCAATGCAGGTTGCAAAACGCCCCAGACTTGTCCGGCCCGCGTTTGGCCTCCGGTGTCGCTGCGGCCACGTAGCACGAAGCACTGGGCGGGCGCAGGCCCTCCAGTACCGTGAAGAAGAGGAGCCGCACACCAACATCCCGCTGGTGGGCGTGAAGGCGTCGGCCACCATCACGGACGTAGCGTGCGAGGTGACCCTCGTTCAGCGCTACAGGAACGACGAAGAGGTGCCGCTCGAGGTCGGCTACACGTTCCCGCTGGACTCGCGCGCGGCCGTGTGTCGGTTCGAAGTCGAGCTCGATGGCAAGCGGGTGGTAGGCAGCGTGCTGCCCCACGCCCAGGCGCGCGACGCCTACGGCGATGCCATCGCCGAAGGCAGTGGCGCCTACCTCCTTGAACAAAGTGAGTTCTCCCTCGGTGGTGTAGTGCCCTTTTAGTGTAGTGTAGTGTAGTTTAGTATCTTCTTGAGTGTCGTGTAGTGAGTGCATGTACCCCACAACATGTCGCTGACTGTCGGTCGCGGGCGCAGAGAAAGAAGAGATATTCCAGATGAACGTGGGCAACCTGCCGCCGGGCAAGGAATGCACTATTTACGTATGAACTCCTTCAAGTTGACTGGTTGTCATTCTGTGTTACAATGTAATGTTTGACTAAGATGTACATATATCTCGGCCGACAAACAGATCACGTACGTGGCCGAGCTACCGCTCGAGGGCGAGATGGTGCGGTTCACGCTGCCCACCACCATCGCCCCGCGCTACCAGGGCCAAGGCACCACGGCCAGCGAGCGCGAGGCACTCAAGGAAGTCACCACCATGTCGTCGACCTCTTCTTCTTCGTCATCGTCCAAGCCCTACGGCCTCGAGTTGGACATCGCCATCGAGATGCCGTCGCCCGTTCTCAGGTATGTTTGCGATCTACACTTTCGCCCTCCCAGCCTTTTATTTCGCTCAACCAGTTCCGAGTGCGTGTGGTGTCGATGCAGCGTTGAGTCTCCGTCGCACCCGATCAGGTTCCAGCTGAACGGCGATACGCCCACGAAGGGGCGCGTGACGCTGGCCACGCAGGAGACCGCGCTGGACCGCGACTTCGTGCTGATGATCCAGCAGAAGGACGCCCACCAGCCGGGCCTCTGGGTCGACAGCGAGCGGCAGGCCGTGATGCTCTCGCTCTACCCCAAGTTCATCGAGGTGGAGCAGAAGCGCGAGTTCATCTTCCTTCGTACGTCTTCCGCACCTTCATTCTCTCATAGAGCGGCCTATTTCTTATCGTTTTCATTCTTTTTCTCTTTTTCGTGGCGTAGTGGATCGCTCTGGCAGCATGGCGGGTTCGAGCATGAACGACGCCAAGAACGCGCTGCAGCTCTTCCTGCGCAGTCTGCCCGAGGGCTGCAAATTCAACAGTACGGTGACACCTAATCCAATCTTCATTCATTCAAAAACATCACTTAGCTCATCAACTAACAACTGAACTTTGTACGACGACCACAACCAGTTGTGGGATTCGGCTCCAAGTACGAGTTCCTCTTCAGGCAATCGAGGGCCTACGATGACCGCAGCCTGCAGGAGGCCAGCGACGCGGTGCCTCGGATGAACGCAAACATGGGCGGCACGGAGCTACTTGCGCCCATCACGGAGATTCTCGAAGACCACTCCGACCCCTCCTACTCGCGCCAGATCTTCGTGCTGACCGACGGCGAGGTGTCCAACACCGAGGCCGTGCTTCGCACCATTCGTGAACGAACTGGTACGCTGCTCGCTTCTCCAATCACGATCACCATGGTTTTTTATTTGTTGACTCTTATTGGACGATTGATATATATCGTGGGCTTGTATGTGGCGGATGATGGAAACATACAGGCCGGAAGATGTCGGACGAGGTCATGAGCGCCGTTGAGAGAGGCGTGTGCACATATCAAGGAGCCCGGCACTTTGCGGACCAGTTCTGGTATCACTGTAAGACCTGTTACAGGTGCGCACCTGCTCTCCCTTATCACCCCCGAAGCTCAACAAGCTCACGTTTTCATCTCTACTCCTCTCCGGCGTGTAGCAGCGACCCGATGTCTGGCTGCTGCGTGGTGTGCAAGGAGGTGTGCCACAAGGATCACGACCTAGAGCCGCGCTACGGTGGCTTCTTCTGGTAAGACGACCCGCTACTGGCCCATCTGTGGTACGACGAGCTCACCTTCTCTTTCTATGTTCCCACCACAGTGATTGCGGCAGCGCTCGTGACCACCGCTGCCGAGCTCGTACACCGGAGGAAGGGCGCAAACCCATCTCGTTGCCGCCCACGGTGCAATTGCGCGTGTTCGCTCTGGGCATCGGCGCTGCCGTATCGCGCGAGCTCGTGCTCGGCATGGCTGCAGCTGGCCGCGGAACTGCCGGTACGTGCATCATCAAGAACAGCTCGATCGAGTTTCAACAGCTTCACCTTGACTCAACCCTTTTTTCGTCTCTCATCAGAGTTTGTGGTGCCGGGCGAGCGCCTCGAATCCAAGGTGGTGCGCCAGCTCAGGCTGGCGATGCAGCCTTCCGTCGATGACGTGACCGTCGACTGGGGCGCCGGCTGGGGTCCCGTGCTCGCCCAGGCTCCGGAGACCCCGCCACCCCTGTTCGACGGCACCCGCCTGTGCCTCTTCGGTCTCGTCAAGCCCGACGCCGCCTTGCCGCAGGGTACCACTCCCCATTAGCTCCCTCATGTGCTCACCATGCAGGACCATCAGCTCATTATTTCTCGACTCATGTGGCTCAGGTGCGGAGGAGCCCGTGCAGGTGTCCTACACCTCGCCGGCGACGAGGGAGAGGGAGACGCTGGAATTCCCGCCGGCCGCAGCCGCGACGGCTTCGACGTCGGTCGTGCGCACGCTGGCGGCCAAGCACCGGATCAGCGAGCTCGCCCAAAAGGAGGCCGACGCATTCCGTACCGAGAAGGACAAGTTCAAGGCCGAGATCGAAGCCCTCGGCGTCAAGTACGCAGCAATACGCCCCCCCCCTCACAGCCATTCTCCTACTTGCCCTGGTTTGACAGAGCACTGACTGACTATGCTCTTGGATGAATGATTGGGCAGATATCAACTGGCCACCGCACACACGTCGTTCGTGGCCAGGGACGAACGCGACGAAGCCACACAGGGCACCATGCAGAGGCGGGTGGTTCCCAGCTACAACGGTACAATTCCATCGCCATCATCACCGCGTCTCCACCTGCAAGCAGTCTTGTCTAACCAGGTTTACTTACTTTACTGCGCTCACAGTTAGCGGAGCGCTGTTCGGGGCCGCGTTTGGAGGAGGCGGAAGAGGAGGCGGGCGTGGAGGGCGCGGAGGTAGTCGTGGCGGCAGTCGTGGCGGGAGGGGAGGAGGTCTAGGAAGTGGCGGTCGCGGTGGCTTCGGCGGAGCTGCTGCCTACGGTGGTTCAGGCTACGGGGGCCAGGGATTCCGATTCGACGAAGCCGACCGGACAGACCACCGCGACAGAGAACGATCGCGCTCGCGCAGTCCAACGCGCGAGGTTGGCGTCAAGCGTAAGCGCGGGCGCGCGCGCCAGAGTGCCTCCATTGACGAAGACGAAGGAGAGAACTTCGATGAGATGCAGATCGACCGGGCGCTGGCGGGCGCCCAAGGCGAGAAGAACGGCCACGGCCAGCTGGCCCGGCTGGTGGTACTTCAACGCGCCAACGGATCGTTCGAGCTCAACGACAAGCTGGCTCAACTCATCGGCGTCTCCTTGAGCGAGCTGCACGCGAAGCTGCGCCGCATCTGCTCGGGCGAAGCGAGCGAAGGCAAGCAGCAGCAGGTGTGGGCCACGGCGCTGGCGCTGGCCTTCCTGGAGAGCCGGCTGGGCGCCATCGCCGACGACTGGGCTATGATGGCGGACAAGTCGCGCCGGTGGTTGCGTCGCGAGACCGCAGCTGACCGTGCGCTGGCCAATGTCGACTGGCTCAACGAAGCCAAAAAGGCCCTCTAGCCTGCTCAGGGGGAGATGCATTGCGCGGTGGGGTCTACGTCACGGTGAAGGACAATAAAATACTCATTGGCCTTATATTATTTGTTTTTTTCTTTTCGATCAATTTTATTGGTCCAGTGCTGCGAACGCAGGGCGGTGATGTGGTCCCTCGCGGACACGGCAACGAGATGGTGGAAGATTTTGCGAGTGCTGGTGGAGATGCTGTGGTTCTACGTCAAAATCGCGCCATTTGGGCTGCGCATGTACCACGGCTACTTCATCTCTCATAATCGCGCCAAAGATGCCAGCCTCGATCTTGCCTACGGACCCCTGCCACGAAACAGGGTTGATGTGTACACCCAGCCCACCACAAAGCAGGACCTCAATGCCATTCCAGATGTCGCCCAAGAGTGTGCCGTGCTCGCACCGATGGTCGTCTTCATCCACGGCGGGGCGTGGTCTTCGGGCGGGAAGCACCAGTATGGCACGCTGGCCCGGGCGCTGCAGGCGCGAGGCCTGGCGGTGGCCGTGGCCAACTACACCCTCCACCCCGCGGGTCAGGTCCAGCAGATGGTGCGCGACCTCGCACTCCTCTTCAAGTTCATCGAACGCAATGCGCACTCCTTTGGCGCCGACCTCGTACCTCTGCACCCACTCTTAAATGCGCGACTCGTGTGTGGTGTGTGTGTGTGTGTGTGGCGTGTGTGGCGTGTCGGTATGAATGTTAGTGGTGAGTGTGTTGTGTCGTGCGGCGATGTCGTGTGTCGTGTTCATGTTGTGCGTGAACCGGGTCGCTGCATTCCCTAACGAACGGGGTGTGACAGAGGCGTGTGTATGTGGTCGGCCACAGCGCTGGGGCGCATCTGTTGGCGCTGTACATGGCGCGACTGGCCCTGCTCAAGCAACACGGCGAAGAGATCGGCCTTGGCGAACACTACCGCTCGTTCTTAGACGACACCCACCTGCTGTCCGACATCACCATACAAGCGTAAGTCATCTCTCTCTCTCTCTCTCGGGTGTGCTGTGTGCCGTGCTATGTGTGCGGTGTGCGACATGGAGAAGACCGTACTGACTAGCATGGTGTGGTGTAGGTTCGTGGGCATCGGCGGCCCCTACCACATCGCCGACCACTATGTGCACGAATCGAGCCGCGGCGTTGAGAACCTGTCGGCCATGAAGCCCGCAATGGGGGGCATTCCCAACTTTGACCATCACTCGCCCACGGCTCTGCTCAACGAGGCGGAGCTGCAACCCGGCGCACTGCCGCCGACCTATCTCCTCCATGGTGCGAGGCCTCCCACCACTTCTTGCCCACATACCCACGCGGGGTCGAGCCTGTGGTGCTGACGCTCTGCTTCGTGAGCGTGGTCAGGCACTGTTGACGGTACGGTGCCGAGCAGCTCGAGCGTGAAGTTTGCCGAGGCGCTCAAGAAGGGCGGACACGATGTCGAGTTGCACCTGGTGGAGGGCGTGGGCCATTCGGATTTCATCTTGCACCTCATGAACGACCGATCGACCCAGCATCAAGAGATGATGGACCACCTCGTCTCCCTTCTCCTCCGGCCCACTGGCGACCAAAGTTGATGTTATAATTTATTTATTTTTGTGTCCGCTATGAGTGTACATTCTCACCTCCACCAGGGAGGTGAGGCCGATCGCTTCGGTCTGAACAGTCTTCGCTAACCTTCATCATCGAGTGGTGGTCCCTCCGTCTTCAAGGACTGCGGATCACGAAAGTCGGAAGGAAAAGAGACCGGAAAACCCGCAGCAGGGAACAAGCGAACAATACTTCTATCGATCGCGACAGCCACGTCTCTCCCTTCTTCGCGCACTCTCCAAGATCGCCCGCTACATCCTTCCATCTTTGCGCACATCCAAAAAATCATGTCTTCGTTTTGGTCGGGCCTGGGCGGTGGTGGTAGCAAATCAGCGCCTGTCTCAGCCACCAGCAGCTCCTCGCGATCCTTTGGCACAACCAGCACCATCAGCGGGAGCACTCGTGCAGCAGACTCTGGCGGAGGGCTCATGAGCTGGTTCGGTGGCGCGCCCCCACCGCCACCGCCACCCCCTCCTGCCGATGAAGAGGGCCTTCTCTCCTCCTTCCGCCGCACGATCGGCCTGGCCCCACCCCCTCCGCCCCCGCCTGCCAGGTGCGTACAGATGATTATTTGTGATGTTTTTTTATGATTTATTGATGTTTTATTTGATTTGCAGCAAGCTAGACTCGGTGATGGGGATGGTGGGGTTGGGTCCGCGACGCGAACCCACGCTTATGGACGAGTTCAACGAAGCCACCACGCTCTCTTACAAAAACGTACGCTCCTTCAGCTTTCCACACACACACGGCAGTCGCTGGGCCAGATCGCGTTGCGTTGTAGTGCTTATCTTCTGTTGCGTGTCTTTGGCAACCACAGCGGTTGTATGGCTTTGGCATCTGTTTGGCCGTGTCGATTCTCTTCTTCTTCCTGGTACGCACCACCGGCTCGCGACATCGCCAGGGCTTCTGCACCAGTTTTGTTGCTAATCACGCAATCCACAGTCGGTGCTGTTCATCTACATCTTGCTTTTCGCCGCCTTTGGCGTGTTCTACACCATCGGCAACCTTTGCCTCTTGGGAAGGTATATTCTATCGCTTCAAGAGAGGTGGGTTGCACGTGAGACTGACCGATCGCTGCATCTCCAGCTCCTTCTTTTTGATCGGTCCGACGCGACAGCTCAAGATGATGTTCAAGCCCATTCGACTAATCGCCACCATCATCTACCTCGGCGCACTGGGCATGACCCTCTTCGTGGCCATCTACGTATGATCTCAATTGATGGTTTTTTGTGTCGCACATGCTGACGCCCTTCCTCTGTTTCCACTCCAGACCAAGTCAGCCCTGCTCGTGCTGATCTGCGTCATCATCCAAATCTGCGCCATCGTGTGGTACGTTGCACACCCCTCCCTTGAGCTCGAGTTCATGCTCTTGTGTGAGGAGCAGACTCTCGGTTCTCTCTCTAACTCGTGTAATCTCCAAGGTATGTGGCGAGCTATCTGCCTTTCGCGCAGACGCTGTTGAAGAAGTGCTGCGGCGCGTGTGCGGACAGCATCACCAGCGTTTAGTTCTCCAATACATCACCTTGCCTTTGTACAGACACGAGTTGGTTGCGTCTTGTTCGAATCGCCGGATATTACCGGGCAGCGAAGGAAAAATATTTTCTTTTTTCAGTGGGCGGTTTTGATCGTTCGAACACAATCAATCACATAACAATGGCGGAGGATGCTGATTTCTATGTGCGCTACTATGTGGGCCACAAGGGCAAGTTCGGCCACGAGTTCCTCGAGTTTGAGTTCAATCCTGATGGAAAGCTCAGATACGCCAACAATTCGCACTACAAGAACGAAACGCTGATCAGGAAGGAGGGTACGCAGGAGGAGGAAAATTGGATTTGCCGCAGCTTCCACTTCATCTCGAAGCTGCCACTCACCACCAATTCCAATTGATTAGCCTTCGTCAGCCCCGCTGTGCTGAAGGAGCTCAAGCGGATCATCATCGACAGCGAAGTCTTGAAGTGCGTCCCCCCCCCCTCATGTGATAGATTTTACTGGCAACAAAACAACAAGTTGCTGATCGTGCGTGGCATGTGAATGAGCAGGGAAGATGACAAGCACTGGCCTCAGCCCGACAGAGTCGGCAAGCAGGAGCTTGAGATTGTGATTGGCAATGACCACATCTCGTTCACGGTACTGCCGAACTGCGACAATTTCTGAATGACGTTCTAATCATGATTGGCGCTGTGCAGACTTCAAAGATCGGATCGCTGCTCGACGTGCAGGGCAGCCAGGACCCTGAGGGTCTTAGGATTTTCTACTACCTTGTCCAGGATCTCAAGTGCTTTGTCTTCTCTCTCATCTCTCTCAACTTCAAGGTTCGTTGCATATCCTTGTTTCTTTGGCACTGCGTGGCGCTCCACCGCAGTCTTTGTCTGCCTTGGCTCTGCCCATTGCTCGTTTCTGCATTCTCCGCTGGAGTTGATGACTCACGGCACTCCATCGTCGCGTACACAGATCAAGCCCATCGGTTAAGTGTAGCATACCCCTCCACAACACAGCGCAAGGAAACGGAACAGCTGAGGTTATGCGTGCTCGATTGCCCTCCTCCGCTAATAAAGCAGGCTACCCCTCCGCCCTCCTTCAAAGGCGATCTTGCTCCGCCACCAGCCCTCTTTTTGAAGTGGTGGCGCCGAACGCCAAACGACACGCGCAGAACCAGACCGTGCAGATGGTGTGGCCGCGATCCCGCTCGCCTCATCAAGTGAAGCAGCTGCCGCAGGGGCCAGAGTGTCGCGTCTCACTGCTGCTGCCGCTCTAGAGCGCAGTCCTCGTCACCCTCGACTTCCTCCGTCACTCCCCTCGTCCCGCCTCGTTCTCTCCCGCCTCTTCTCCTCCACACTCCTTGTTGCTCCACCTGCCCTTTCTCGTCTGGCAGAGATCGTAGCGCACTGGGGCTGCAGTGAGACACACCCCAGACCGCAGAACGGGCCCAGCTCGCGAACAGCGGTGGCAGGCGACCAACCGCTTCCTCAGAATTCTCGCTGCAGGTGCGGAAGGTCGCGTGGGCTCGTCGGCCTATCGAGCGCGAGAGCGAGCTTGACGTCGCACACGACCGCCTCTGGCAACCACGGGAGACGACGGTGGTCGCCTTGTCGAGCGCGTCGCGTTCTGAAGTCTATTGCAGCCCCCCCCCTTCTTGTGGGTGGCAGCTGAGGGCGCACGGACCCATCATCGGGACTCAGACGCGGAGACGGGAGGACTGGGCCGGACTTTGCCCGTCATCGGTTGGCCGTATAAAGAGTGCAGGGTGTCCCCTTCTTCTCCTTCTTCATCCAAACCACCCGCGAGACTACTCTACCGTCTAGTGTACTCCCTCAGCTACACTAACACCCGCGCACCATCATCATCACCTCGCTACACCACCACTAGAGTCTTTCTCTTTCTAGAAGCTCTCTCTACATCATCTAGAGAAGCGTCTCGTCTCATCTCGAACGCACCTGCAACTATTCGACACACAGCACCTTCATCTTGCAAGATGCTCGGAATGGCTGCCACGGTATTCGAACCGGCGACCTACAACGCCAACATAATGGATGTCGACTACGGAAGCGGCGCCAACGCAACGGGGTCCACGACAACCATCGCCAACAACAAGAAGAGGGATTCTTCTTCGTTGATGGTGGCCGGGAGTGAGAGTGCTCCATCTTTCATGACCTGCGATTTCTACTCGAACAAGAAGGCGACCGCGCTGTTCACCCGACCGAGCTCGATCAACCAGCTCGACGACGACACTCTCGAGGCGGAGGACATGATGGAGATGGCCGACCTGGCCTATTTCACCACTGGCGCCTTCACTGACCGCGCCTGCTTCGACGACATGCCGGAGGAGCTCGTCTACCTCATCTTCACCTTCCTCCACGGAAGCGACATCGCCAACGGCGTTCAGAAGGTCTGTCGCAACTGGCGTCGCCTCGCCCTCGACGATCAGGTATGCATCACCACTATTTCTTCTCCTCCTCCTGGTCCATTTCCGTCCATCTTTATTGAACATCTCCATTTATGAGGTTGTCAAAAGTTTAACATCCTTTATGTGACGTTCTACTACAGCTCTGGCTCGACTTGTTGAGGCGCACCCAGCAGAAGTCCGAGTTTACTGAGGAGCTGACCAAGCCCGCCCAGAAGAGCTGGAAGTGGCTCTACCAGAGCCGCAACCTGGCCATCAGCGACCTGGCGCGCATCGGCGCCATGGCCGTTGTCGGGCGCCACGAGAGCGCCGAGTACATCTACGAGGGCGAGTGGAAGGACGGCAAACACCACGGCCACGGCAGGAAGATCTGGAAGGTACACAACACTTCTTCATCTTCATGACCTGACCACTGCCCGAGTACCGCGGAAAGGTGGTCAGAAAATTCACCATCACGTGATCGTCTTGGTGTCCTTCTGCAGAACATCAAGTCCGAGGAGGCCAAGGAGGAGAACGGCGACGACGGCAACGCGCTGGTCGAGGGCACGGCGGCGGCCGACGCCGCGGCGCCGGAGACCAACCAGCAGTCGATGGCCGACCAGCACCAGCAGTCGATGCCCAAGCGGGCGGCGGCGCAGGCCAAGCGCAAGCAGCCGGTGCTGCCCTACTACGAGGGCGAGTGGAAGGAGGGCAAGGAGCACGGCCGCGGCAAGCGGCTGTTCGAGGAGGACCACTACTACGAGGGCGAGTGGAAGGAGGGCGACCGCGAGGGCTTCGGGTTCTACCACTGGCCCAACAAGACCTTCTACGAGGGCGAGTTCAAGGAGGGCTTCCGCCACGGCCACGGGACCTACACGTGGTCGGAGAAGGCCAAGTACATCGGGCAGTGGCAGAAGGGCATCGAGCACGGCAAGGGCGTGCGGACGTGGGCCGACGGCGACCGCTACGAGGGCGACTGGGTGCACGGCACCCGCACGGGCTACGGCCTCTACGCGTGGCCCAACGGCTCGTCCTACGAGGGCAAGTGGCTGCAGTGCGCGCACGAGGGCTACGGCGTCTACAAGTGGCCCGACGGCCGCACCTACAAGGGCAACTTCTCGGCCAACAAGAAGCACGGCGTCGGCGAGTACTACTGGCCCGACGGCGCCATGTTCGCCGGCAACTGGCGCAACGGCGTGCGCCACGGCGACGGCACGATGGTGTGGCCCGACTCGGCCAAGTTCCAGGGCGAATGGAACTTTGACCGCCGCGGCGACGGCCGCTACTTCGGCACCGACAGCCGCGAGGTCCCGCAGACCATCGGCGCCTCGTGGGCCAAGAAGTACGACTACTACTTCGCCATGCCGATGGACATGTGGGAGCAGATCTACCTCCCCGAGATCAACAAGCTCATCCGAGAGAAGAAGCAGCGCGAGCTCGAGGAGGAGGAGACCCGACGGATGAACCTCGAGTTCTCCCAGAAGGGCCGCGAGGACCCCCGAGCCTGGGGCAAGAACGCCCTCACCTCCCGGTCCTAGGTCTGACCTAGTCCGCCTCTTCGTCTCCCTCGATCGTCTCCTTCATCATCACCATCACCTCGACCTCCAGGATAACTGGTTTCTGCATCTGAACGGACACCGGAGGAAGGACGAGATGATGCTAGCCTTCTTCTTCGACTCGATCGACCCTATCTCCGCCTGCTGTGAATATATATCTTTATCTTTACTATCACCACCCGCTACACGCGCGGTCTATTCGACAGTCTACGGCATGGGTCTCTCGATGATCTCCCTTTCACCACGAACCGACTGGCTGCATCATCATCCAACCACCGACATCAACATCGACACCTCCTCCACTTCTTTTTCACCTGTTCATTTGTAGTTTTATTATCCATTTGTAGAGTAATAAAACCATCGATATTCGTGTAAACCACTTGTTGATCACCAACAGTTGGTTCGGCTCACCTCGAGGGCATCGTTGCGGTGCGGCGATCAACATCTGATCTGTTGAATAGAATACACAAAGTGCCTTGTCTGTTTATTATACTACGATTATTTATCTCGCTCATGCGAAAATAATAGCCAGGGCAGAGCCAGAGTGCAGCGCAGCCCCTAGAAGAGTTCCTTTTCCTTCTTCAAGTGGTCCTGCTTCCTGTACTCGGACCAACCAACACGAAGATGTTGTGAGCACAGCGGCAATAAGAAAGAAGAAGCGGAAAAAAGATGCTGCAACCACGCACCATTTGGGCTGTCTCTTGAACTCGGCCTTCGACATGCCAAGCACGCTCTGGAACTCGGCTTCCGAGAGATACGCCTCCTTCTTCGTTGTGTCGAGGGACGCCGGGTAGTCGCCGTCCTTGAGCTGCTGGTGGGTGTAGGTCTTCTCGTACTCCTTCAGGATCTGATCGACGCTGCCCTCCTCGCGCATCTCATTGCCCGCAGCCGGAGAGGCCCTGTGTGCCGGCGCACTGCACAGACGAAGAACGAAGAAGAACGAAGGACGAAGAACGAAGGAAAGAACGACGACGGTAAGCCATAAGCGCAATCGAGTCACGCGGGGGGGAGGGCTACGCACCGAGACGAGGCCCTCTTCGATGACCGGGAGTCGGTGGTGAACCACTGGTGGAACTTCTCCTGGAACAGTACTGGCTCCATGCCCTCGTTGATCTTCTTGAGCGTCGACCATTTGGGACGGTCTGTCTTCTTGGCGAACAGCTCCTTGGCCTTCTTCATGTTCTCCTCGCGCCTGTTCTTGTCCGTTGCCTGTGCACATCGCCAAAGAAAGAGCAAAAGTGAGATACACCAACCGAGATTAATAATAATAACAAAGAAGAAGAATAATAAGAATAATAATAAAAGCAACAAAACAAATAATAATAAACGAGCGGAGAGGGCGCCAACCTTGCCACACCAGTAGTACATCTCCTCGTGACAGTCGAAGATGAAGTTGAACTTGGTGTCCAGCTTGGCCTTGGTGAACTTGCTGTCGATGGGGAACAGCTCGTTACCGGGGTTGACCCTGTAGAGCTTGTCGGCCGCCTCCCACTGCTTCTCCATCTTCTCGTCGTCGCCCGGCGGGGCCGTGGGGATGCTGTCGGGCCTGCCGCCCAGCGCGTCCCAGAAGTCCTTCGGCGGCTCCATGTGGCCATCCTCCAAGATGATGATTTCTGGTTGATGGGGAAATCGACGTAGCGTCAGCATCAAGAACCTCGGTTGCGATGAGCGATGATGAAGAAGAAGGAAGTGCAGAAGAAGATGTACCGGGCTTCTTGATCTTGCCCACGGCTCGCTTTCGCTTCTCCTCGCTCAGACGGTTGGCCACTTCCACGCCCTTCTCTCGCTTCTTCCTGTCGGCGGCGGCGCCGTTCCAATCGTAGATCTGATCGCGAGACAGACAGCGCTCAATTAAATGTATAAACAAAAACAAATAATAATAATAAAGTGGTGATAACAAAGAGAAGAAGTGGTGGTGATTACCCTGTCGCCGAGATCGAGAATGAACACGTCGGCCTTGTTGAGGGTCTTGCTCGAGAGCTCGACCTGCCGCACGTGGATCCTGTTCTTGCCCTTGAGCTGGATCAGCACCTTCTTCTGCGGCTTCTCGGGCTTCTTGGCTACGGCGACCAAAGAAAGAACGAAAGTGAGAGAGACAAAAAGTGAGTCGCTCACGTGCATCGCCAAACAAGAAGAGCGAAGAGCGAAGAGAAAGAAAGAGCGAAGAGGGGGGGTGACGTACGCTCCTTGCTGGCTCGGCTGCTGGCACCGCGGCCAAGGGGCGAGCTCTTGCCGACGGCGCTCTCCCGGCCGCTGCCTTCCCGCTCGACGGTCTTCTCCTTGGCGAAGTCGTCCTCCTTCTCGTCCTCGTCGCAGCCGCTGCTGGCACCGCGCTGGCTGCCGTGGGGCGACTGTGTGGGCGACGCGGACACGGCGGCGCCGCTGCCGCTCTTGAGCGCCTTGACCTCCTTGAGCAGCTTATCGCGCTGCTCTTCCAGCTGTTCGATCTCCTCCTGGAGCTTGGCGCGATCCTCCTGCACTTTCTTCTTGAGCGTGGCCAGCTCGGACTCGAGCTCGAGCTTCTCGTCTTCGATGAGCTGCATCTCCTGCTTGTGCAGGGCCTCGGCCTCGGTGCGCTCCTCGGCCTCGAGCTCGAGCTTCTCCTTGAGCTCGTCGACCTCGGCCATGAGCACGCTCACCTTGGTGTCGCTGCCGCCGCTGTCGTCGAGCAGCAGGGTCTCGACCTCCTTCTTGAGCTTCATCTTCTCGCGCCTGAGGCGCTCGTTCTCCTCCTCCATCTCGTCGATCCCCTTCTGCATGGCCTTCTTCTCCTTGTCCGCCTTGGCGCTCTTCTTCTCGACCTCCTCCAGGTCGCCCTCGAGAATCGTGAGCTCGTTCTTCAGCTGCTCGTTTTGCTTCTTGAGCTTCTCCACGGTCTTCTCCAGCTCGGGGTTGTTGGCCGCCGCCGCCGGGGCCGCCGAAGCCTGCGAGGCCTGGGCGACCTTCTCCATGAGGCTCTTGATCTTCTTCTCCATGTCGGTGATATCCTCCTCGAGCTCGGCGCTCTTCTCCTCCTCCTCCTTGCGCTTGCGCGACTCCTCCTCGAGCTCGGCCTTGGTCTGGGCGGCCTCCTTGGTGAGCGTTTCTTTCTCGGCCTTCAGCTTCTCCACCTCCTGGGTGAGCTCGGCGAGCTTCTTCTCCGACTCGTCGTCGCCGCCGGGCCGACGCCTGGAGCTGCTGTAGCTCTCCCGCCGCTTCTCCCGATCGCGCTCGCGCTCCAGCCGCCGCACCTCGTCTTCGACGTCGGTTCGCTTGCGTCGCTCCTCGTCCTTGGCCTTGCGCTCCTCCTGATACTTGCGCTCCCATTCCTTGGATTCCTTCTCGAGTCGCTCCAGCTTCTCCTGCGTCTCGCGGTCCTCCCTGGCGCCCCGCCGGCTGCTGGCCCGGCTCTCCTCGCGCTCCGCGCGCTGGGCCGCGCGCTTGAGCGTGTCGAGCTCGTCCTCGATGCTGAGCTTCAGCCTCTTCTCCTCGCGCACCTTGGCCTCCAGCTCGCGCACCTTGTCCAGCGCCTCCTGCTTCTCCTTCTCGGTCTCCTTGTGTCGCTTGTTGGCGTCGTCCAGGTCGCGCTGCAGCTTGTCGAGCTCCCTCGTGCCTCGCCCGACGTCCCGCTCCGAGGCGCCTCGCCTGCTCGAGGCAGCGTTCAGCTGTTCCTGCAGCTCTTCCTTCGCCTGTTCTCAGCCGCACGCAGAAAGCGACCCATCATGCGTGTGTCAACATCAACATCAACACCCAACAAGTGTTACACGGAGAGAGAAGGGAAAAAACCTTGGTCTCGGCCGCCAGCTGCTTCTTGAGCTTCTCCAGCTCTGCCTTGACCTCGGCTGAGTCCTCTGTCGTTGGAGCACGTGCGTAAGTCCAAGTCGGCAAACGTATAAATAAATGCCTCCAAAAATAAGAATATGCATCTTTTAAAAAATCTAATGGTGGCCCACCTGTGCTGTGGCGAATCCATCAAATAATGTTTGCAGCCATTACTTGACATGAAATTAAAAGTTTGATAATAATAAAAAAAAATCGTGGTGCATAATAAGGCTTGTCTGGGGAGTACCAGTGGTGCCAGGGCGTTGGGAGGAGGTGCGAGAGTTGATCGAGGGCTGGTTGAACTCCAACTCGTCTATTTTGCGCTTGAGGCTCCTGATTTCATCTCTTTTTTCCTTGACCTCCTTCTCCTGCTCAGACCCTTTATCAGTTATGAAAATTGCAAAAAATTGCTTTCCGGATCGATAGCGAGAGGTGAACACGACTACGTACCAACATGTCCCTATCTTCAACAGCGGCCTTCAGTTCGCGCTCCATCCGCCTGAGGTCGAGCTTGGCCTTACGAGCCTCGCTCTCCATTTCATCCCTGGCGTCGGATTCCGTCTTGAGTCTCGTCTCCAATTCATCTACCTTTTGCTTGAGCCTGTTCTTCTGCTTTTCTATCAGATCCTTCATGCTCTTCTCTGCCTCTAAATCGGCGGTCAATTGGGAAATGGAAGGCGCCCCGCCCGACCCACCCCGCTCTGACGAATCTCTTCCTGTTCGTCGCGACGACGCCATCTTCGACTTGAACTTGCGAGCGAGCCGGTGTAGTCTGGACGAATGAAGAGCGTGTTTTAATGAATCAGTTGTGCCGTTGCGGTGAGTTTGGTTTCGTCGCAGAGCGAACTACTGCTGACCTCAGCAGAACCCTTAAATTCGAGTTTTTTATTTCTTTTTCTTTATTGCGTTTGCCCGCACCCCCATGATAGCCCAGCGCACCTGCAGAAAGGCACGCTGGGCTGCACGCGCGCCGAGTTCTTCTCCGTGAGATCACCTACTGGCCCTTCTTTGCGCTGATGCTGGTGGTGCGGCCACGGCCTCCAAGACCGATGAGCCTGTTGATTGATGCAAGGCATAAGCCTCATCAGGGTCGAGAACACGTTCGCACGACACACGACGCACGACACACAGTGGCTTGGGTCGAATAACCAGAGCTTTGGAAGACGCGAGTTGTTTATCACGCAAGGTGTCGTTTACACCGGCTCTTCATCAAGGGGTGGCTTGCCTTCAAATACGACAGCCCAAGCTTGGTTCAGGGCGGCAAATCGTTCCATCTTCTCTGCCATCGCCTCCAAATCTTGCCTGATTCAAGGAATGAAGGGGTCAGTACCGCTTCGGGCAAATGGAAGGACAAAGCTTGCGGCAAATGCGCACGTACAAGGAGCCGGTGAGTGTTCCTTGGAGGCGCTCTAGTGCAGAGCGCACCTCCTTGAGCGCGGCGGCCTCTGCTCGCAGCTGCTCGCCTTCCATCAACAAGAGTCAAGAAAAACATTTTCTTTGTTTCTTTCTTTTGGTGAGGATGAAGAGCGGCCGCAGTGACACGGTGGCGGCCAGGGAAAGCTCTCGCGAGCTTGATGGCCTGCTTAAATCCACTTTCGCAGATGACCGATTCGATAAAGACAAATGTACACCCACCCTGAATTGATTATTTTGCATTTAATCACCTACAACTTTTGAATGGCATTGCCTTGCAGGGGTCCGCAAGCACTTCCTGAATGGATCAGAGGAGCAGCTGCGGCAGCTGTTCACAGAGCTGCAGAAGAAGAAGGAGGTCGCCGCCCACGCGCTGCAGAACAACGTCTTCCACAACTACCCGCGCTTCATCTCCACCTCCAAGGAAATACAGAGTACACACTCGCCCCCTGCGCCACGCCCCATCTCGCGGCGCTTTCATGTGCGCGTGCTGTGTGCTGTGCTCATCGGTGCGAGCGTTAAGGTATGGAGGAGGACATGCTTGAGGTGCGCAACATGATGACCAAGTGCGGCGGCATTCTCAAGACGCTCGAGGGCACCCAAGTCACATCGCAGGCCAAAGAAGGTCGTTTGTTGTTGCGTGTTGCGTGTTGCCTTGCGTGTCGTGTGTCGTGTGTCGTGTGTCGTGTGTCGTGTGTCGTGTGTCGTGTGTCGTGTGTCGTGTGTCGTGTGTCGTGTTACCTCGTGTGTGTCGTGTGGCGTGTGTCGTGGGCCGTGGGTCGTGTCATGTTCGGTAGCTGATGGGAGTGATGCGCAGGAATCACAAAGCCGGGCCTCGCCATCAAGCCGCCGACGGGCCTTGCTGGCCTCGCTGACTTCAGCGACGAGGGCGTGCCGCTCGACGACCTCCTCTCAGAACTCGACGTCTACATCGGCGAGCGGCGCTACCGCGAGGCGTCGGACCTGCTGCAGCGGGTCGAGACCATCGTCGACCAGCACGCCCGGCTCGACTCGAGCCTGGGCAAGGGCCGGAAGGCCAACGAGCTGCAGAAGCGGATCGAAAAGCAGCGGCAGCAGCTGGCACGCCTTCTCATGCACGACCTCAAGAGCCCCGCGCTGCACAAGAGCGAGCACCGTCTGCTGATCACATGCCTCCTCAACCTGGGTCTTCCGCTCGTTGCACGCGATCTATTCCTCGGTATTGCTTCTCCCTCTTGTGTCGTGTCGTGTCGTGTCGTGTCCCGAAGAACTCACGGTGAATGAACAGATGCGAGGTCGGAGCGCATTCGGGCGGACATCCGAAAGCTGCAGTTCGACGGCGATCTGGTGAAACACGTGGAGGAGCTCTCGCGCATCGTCTTCACCACGATCGCCGCCTCGTGCGACGAATTCCGCGCCCACTTCCCCGACCCGTCGCTCTCCTCCGGGCTGGTGGTGTGGGCCGTCGAGGAGGTGAGCAAGTTCGCCCAGCGGCTGAAGCGGGTCGTGTTCGCGTCGAACGACTTTCATGCCATGGCGCGCTGCGTGCACGTGGCGATGCTCTTCAGCAAGCTCACCGAGGACAAGGGCCTGGCCCTCGGCTGGAAGCTGTGGACGCTCTTCTCCGAACAACTGCTCGCCTCGCTCCAGGCCTATGCCCAACGGTACCCAGTGACTTTTATGTGCATCGTGTGTGTGTGTGTGTGTGTGGTATGTGAGTGGCTGACTCGCCCGTCTTGCCGCCTTCAGCATTCGCAACGCCCTCTCGAATCAAGTAGCCAACGAAAACTGGGTGGCACGCATGCACTGGGTCTACGACTCTGTGCCCCGCCAACGTATCCCCCCGCCACCTTGTTCTGCTGCTGCTGCTGCGCCCTGAGCACGGCTCACTGCTTGAAACAACCACCACCGCGCCCAACAACAACAACAACACAGAGACCGACGAACACGAGGGCCAGGTGGAGCTCAAGCTTTCCGAGAGCGGGAAATATCTGTACTCTTCCCTCCAAGCCTTCGCCGACAACGCCGCACTTGTGCTGCACCCCACGGTACTCTCGCACACACGCACGTCTTGGCCCACGTTCGTGCGTGTCAGTCGTCTGACACCGCGTGTCGATCGTATGCGATCAGATGGTGAACAAGGTGGTCAGCATGGTGTGCGCCATGCTGGTCGAGTACCTGAACACGCTGGCCCAACAGCTCAAGTCGCCCAGTCTCAACGACAAGCAGGTCCTCGCCATCCTGGTGAATTGCCGGGTGGCTGTGCACCAACTGCTGCCCAACGTGCTTGGCCTGTTCTATGTATCCACCTGCCTTGCCCACGTCATATTGCGAGACCAGAAACGCATTAACACGCACACGCACGAATGCATACGCGCACAAATCAGGCGAAAGATCAGGAACAAACGCGAGCGCGCAGTGCGACTGTAGAGCTGGCCATCGAAAAGGCCGAGAAGCGCGTGTGGAACTCGTTCGCCAACACCCGCGCCGACAACATTGTCTTCGAGAAGCTCAAGTGGAATGAGACCGACTACTCTTCCGTGCGTTCTCCTTCGTAACACACACACACACACACACACAACACACACACAACACACAACACACACACACACACTGACACTCGCGGTCGAATTCACCACACGACAGTCGAGCGTGGATGTGGAGGGTCCGTCGGGCAAGTTCGTGCGGCTGTACGAATACCTCAAGCAGCTGACGGAGTGGATCGCCGACGAGCTCGATCCCGCGTGTGCCACACCTATTGCCTCGGCCATCATGTCTCACATCGTCGTTCGCCTCGCTAGTCGTACAGCTCCTCCCTCCCCCAAGGGGTTATGCGCGTGTGCGGTGGTACTCAGACTCAAAATGTCGTGTGTCGTGTGTGTCGTGTGTGTCAAACTGTTCGCAGGGGACACACTGTTCTGGGCTTTCGAGAAGGAACAGGACTCAAAGTCCGCCAAGTTCGGCGCTGGTGGTACGAACAACCCACCTCGCTCCTGCGCGCGTGCGCCTTTATGCGGTTTCCTCATCAACTCATTCTCTCTCTCTCTCTCTCTGCTTGCCGCTGTCTGTCGCCGCCGCCAGGCATTCAGCAGTTCATCGTCGACCAGCGCTACCTCATGCAGTTCTCTGCCCGCTTCAAGTGCGGCGAAGAGGTGAACACGAGCCTGATGGAGATGATACAGCGGGCGGTCATCGCCTACTGCCGATCATCCGGCTCTGAGCCTCAAACCATTATCAAGGTGATCACGTGTGTCGTCGGTCGTGTCGTGTGTAGTGCGGCTTCTGACGCGTGATACGATGCAGGCGGACGAGTGGTACGCGCAGAGGACCAGAAAGGGCCTCACCGCCGAATCGTCGGCCGACCCACCTTCCCTCACGACGAGCAGGAGCCGAGAGCGCGACAGGGACCGCGATCGAGAACGAGACCGAGAACGAGATCGGCCCAGCAGGTCCGTCGGCGAGCGCTCCGACAGGGACCGCAGAGAAGAGAGTCAAGACGAGCGGTCCTTCTCATCATCATCGAGAAAGGCCGACTTGAAGGAGAGGACCACGGCGGCCAAGAGCACCACCGCCACCGGCGAGAAGAAGAAACGAGTCTCCAAGAGCAGCAGGGCACGGGGAGATGAGTAAGGTTGTGGTATGTTTGTTTTATATTTTTGCTAATTACATGTTCATTATTGCGAGCTCTTCTCCTTCTTGGCCTTCTTTTCCTTCTTCTCCTTCTTGGCCTTCTTCTCCTTCTTGCCGCTGTCGCTATCGGTCTTGTTGCTCTCCTTAGCTTCGGCGCTCGCTCCGGCTCCGAACTTGCCGGCGTTGAGTCGCTTGGTCCACTCGACCAGCGCGTCCAGCAGCGCCTTCACCTGGCCTCGGGTCTGGTCAAGAAGAACGAAGAGCGAAGAAGAACGAAAATGAACAAAGAAGGAAGGAAGAAGGTTAGACATAGAACAGAATGAAAACGTGGGCGTGAGCGAGTCGAGTCGTACGGCGTCGTCGATGAGGTTGCCGTCGGAGTCGGCGATCTGCTTGCCGCCCCACAGGTTGACGTTGACCTCCGGTCGGTTGACGAAGTGCCAGTTGAGGTAGACGCCCACCTGCCTCAAGTGATACTGCGCCCGGCTCGTGCCTGCAATGATTGTGCTGTGAGTCACAATGCGCGGTGTGTTGTGGTGTGTGTGTGTCAGTGGAAGTGGGCAACGCACCCATGCCGCCACCGGCGCCCATGATGGCGACCGGCTTGTCGAAGGTGGGGAACGACGAGTAGGTCTGGTCGTCGGGCCGCGACGCCCAATCGATGGCGTTCTTGAGGGTGCCGGGAATGCTGTAGTTGTACTCGGGCGTGGCGATGAGCAGCGCGTCGGCCGATCGGATGACCTCGCGCCACTGCTTGACGACGCCCTTGAAGCCCTCGGTCTCGATGTCGCCGTCGTAGAGCGGCAGCTGGCCGATGAGGTCGGTGACCACTTCAAACTCGATGCCGTCGACGCCCTTGGCCAGCTCGGCGGCCGCGCGCACCAGTCCGGCGTTGGCCGAGCTCTTGCGGAGAGCGCCGGAGAAGGCGACGATCTTGATCTTCCTGCCGCTGCTGCTCATGCTGATGTTGAATGTAGTGTGGTGTAGTAGTGCTGGTTGTTGTTGGCTGTTGAGTTGAGAAACATGATTGCTATCGAGAGCTAAATAGTGGCTGCGGGGATATGAAAACGCCGACTCCCGGGCCGGGCGAAGGTGGGAAAGTTGTGGTGAAGGTGGGAATCTTCCAACAAATCAACCGGCGCCCCAATTACACGAAATACTATGCATAGCAGAATGCCACGTCATCCTGTGGGCCGAAGATCTTCGGCCGAGATAGGGTGCAGAAATTACATGCACTTCGGGACCGGTTGGGCGAGGCGTACTGCTCGGGGAAGAAATCGAACACCACGTAGCAGTCCTCGAATTTGTTGAGACTCGCGTTGCCCGCATCAGATCAGAAGATCGAGATGAACTTTCTCGAGTTGGTAAATTTGGTGCGCGATGGCTATCGAGAGGCCTCGCTGCCGTACAAAGAAACGAGGGAAGAATCGCTGGTGAAGCTTCCGGTCTTCACGCACTTCGTCGACCTCCTGCCCTTCTATCCCGACCTCGGGCAAGATGGACACGACATCTTCGCATCCCTCGCTGCCGGCCCGGCGCCCACCTCCGTTCTTTCCTCTTCCCCTTCCTCATCGTTTCAACGCGAAATGCGCCAGCAGGCAAGTGACAACGTCGTGCTCGAGTTGGGCTGCGGTTGTGGTACGACCTTGCAGGCTGTCATTCATCCCACCTTCGATCATTCGTTCATTTTGTATTTTATTCGTTTCAAGGGGAACCGGTGGCGGGCTACATCTGCGCGCGGCTGCACGGTACGTCGACGTCGTACCTGGGCATTGATCTCTGCGAGACACAGGTACATGCCCGCCACCGTCTATTGCGGCACACCAGCGCACTACACGCACCACGTACACGCTTCTCCTCACACTATTATTCCCTTTTTGTGTGCAGGTCCAACTGGCCAAGAGTACGTGTTGGCCTGTATAGGAGATGTTCAAGTTGTGATGATGTGGCCGTCCATGTGCAGTAGTGGTGCTCACCGAGCCACACCACCACAGAGCAGTATCCGTCGTACGCCGAGCAGTTCCGTGTCGGCGAGATGTTGGAGTTCACCAGGTACGTTGCCCATAGAGAGTGAGAGAGATCGGTTGTGCGTTCGGTCTGGACCAACTCCATTTCTCTGGACAGATGCCAGAAGGACAACTCGTTTTGCGGCGTACTGTCGCTGTTCACAGTGTTCCATCTGCCTCGAGCAACGCACATCGAGCTCTTCATGAACATCAAACGGTACACATCACTCGCGACCACGTCTTGTATATGCGTGTTCGCTTCGCGCTGCAACGAGCAGGTTTGCTGATCTAGCGTCACATGATGATGGCGTGTGTGTATGCAGAATCATGAAGAGCGGTGCACCGCTGCTCATCTCAGTGCCCGAAGAGGCAGGCGAGGGCACCTCGAACAACTGGCTGGGAGGCTCGACCATGTATTGGAGTGCGTTACCCCCCCCCGCGTGCGCACGACACGCACCACGTGTGCATGGGTTAACCGTGTGCGTGCTGAATCGTGCGACATACGTCAATAGGTCACTTTTCAGTGGAGTGGTATGAACTGACGCTCAAGCAGCTCGGCTTCGAGCTGATCATCAAATACAAGGACGTGCGCGAATTCCTTGGAGAAGAGGAGGTGATGTACTACCTCTTGTTCAAGGTATAATCTTATCTCTACATCCGCCCACGCACACAAGTAGATCATCATCATAATTCCAGATCGTTTGAACCTCTCCCCACCAGGTCAAAAAGGACAAGGGCGGCGAGCGCTCCGGGTCAGACGCCAACAAGCTGACGTTATGAGAGCTTGTGTACACTTGTCACAGGCATCTATGGATGAGAAAACCAATAGACGGCACGAGCGGCTGCGCCACAGTTTTGACGGTAATGTGTGTGTTTATGTACATATGTATATCTCCACACACACCGCACACTCTTCCCTATTTACGTGTACAGACAGAGCCCGAGCAGAACTCGCCGAAGAGGAGGAGGAGGAGGAAGCGCGGCTCACTTCTTCATCTGGGTGGCCTGCAGCATGTCCTCCTGACTTCGCATGCCGAGGGACATCTGCGGCCGCTCGCCCTTGAGCTTGCACGTGTAGGAGCAGAAGCACTTGGCGCCGTCCTTCGACTTGAAGTCGCGCTCGGTCACCTTGGCGCACGTCGCGCACACATGGCAGATCTCGTCGACGAGCAATGGTCGCACCTCCTTTTCCTCTTCTTCCTCGGCGTCGAACTTCTCCTTCTCCAACTTCTTCGGCTCCATCCTCTTCTGGATCTCTCCCCGCTTCTGCTCCTGCGCTACCGCCGCCTTGAGACGTCGCATCTCGTCCTTGTCCTCCTTCAGCAGCGGATACGACGGCGCGTACGTCGGCCCGCGGTGCATGAGCATCACGTTCCTCTCCACCACAAAGTTGTTCTTCACGCTAAGCATCTTTTCTTCAAGTAGACTCTTTTTCTTCTTCTATATCTTCTGTCGTGCGTGTGTGTGTGTGGTGGTGGTGTTGGTTTGGTGAGCTGCTGTGTGTCTATCTGTCGATGTTGTGATGGTGGAGAGAGGCTGTGGTGGTGAATGATGAAGCTTTCGTTGATGGAGTGCTTTTGTGTGCTGCTGGCCTTCTGACTTCCGTGGTTGTCGCCTATCCTTCGAGATTGTGGACCAGGTCGGGTGACGGGCGTGTGACACTCACGCTGGACCCACCTGCGATGGCGCCGCTCCGACTGGAGCTGCGTGACTCCGAGCTCGGCCCGCGGAGTGGCTGTTGGCTTTTCGACGAGTGGGGGACCTGCCTCCCCCCCAACCCTCCCTGACAGACACCAACCAACCACTGGTGGGCCACCACCTCTGCTGAGCCACAGTGACGCACAGTCAACGTCTCTGAAAAGAAACAGAAACCCTCCCACGAAGAGCCGAAGGCGAACGCAGCTTTAGATGGCGCGAGTTCCTCGCCCTTTCGCCAAAATTTCAGCCAAAGAGAAGGGCAGAAATTGCACGCATTTCTTGAAGATGACGTCAACTTCATGATTTCTGAATTATTTTCTTTTGCCATTTCCTTTTGGTCTTCATTTGGTTTGCTTTCTGCTGGGATGCTTCGACACTCGTGGCGCAGCAGCCATGCTTCACTCTCGCTTCCCTTCCTGTCATCCTTCCCTTCCTCCTCTTCCTCCTCGTTACAATCCCTGCCCCATCTTCGACATTACATAAATCCACATCGAAGATGGACAGCCTCTTTCCGAGCGACGATCAAGCTCGTGCGCCATGGCGAATCGATGGCCAACACGGGCCACCTGTCCCACCTCGAGGTGGGCGACTTCCTCATCCCCCTCACCGCCCGAGGCCGCAAACAGGCCCGACAAGCCGGCACCAGGGTCGGGCCTGCCTTCATCGACGATTGTCTCATCTTCTGCTCGCCCTATCGACGGGCACAGCAGACGCTCGAGGAGATCCTCAGGGGTGGCGGCGTGCAGGAGGACTACCTCCAGCAGGGGGCGGGCGCCCAAGACGACGTCGACGATCTGGACTCCTCCAATGATGAAGAAGATGGCAGCAGTAGCGAAGAGGATGAAGAAAGAGCTGGCGACAACCCGCCTCGCCCCTACCGCATACGCGAAGACCCTCGACTGAGGTACGCACACAGTACCGCACACGCACACGCGTGCGAACGTAGAGCTCATGCAGTGGTGTGTGTGTGCAGGGAGGTGGACCATGGGTACGAGGACCTGCAGGCCCAGGAGGCCAAGCGCGAGCGCCACGGCTGGTTCTACTACCGATTCAACGGAGGCGAGAGCCCCGCCGACTGTTACGATCGGTGACCACCCGCACCGAGCTCTCGGGCGTGCTGACCCGCCAGACTGATCGTGGTTGGTTCGCGTCCTACGTAGAACGAGCATCTTCATGGAGAGCCTGATTCGGCAGGTAGAACGCAAGGCCGAGCGGGAGAACAAGCCGGTCAAGGTCCTCATCGTGTCGCATGGCCTGACCATCAGGTTCCGCCGCCCACCTCTTTTCTCTTGACGGTGGTCTGACTGCGTGTGGCGTGTGTGGCGTGTGGCGTGCGTGTCGTGCGTGTCGTGTGCGGTGCGTGTCGTGTGCCGTGAGCGCAGATGCTTCGTGATGCGGTATCTGCACTTGAAGGTGGCCGACTTTGACACGATCGCCAACCCACACAACTGCGACGTCATCACGCTGGGCCTCAAGGACGACCTCACCAAGGAGTTCGGGAAGGACTCGTGGCTCTTCTCCACCGGCCGATGGGCCGTCCACGGCCTCAAGAAGCGAGATGACTAAGCCGCTGACGCCAGCCACAACACAACACAACCGCACACGCACACGCGCGCGTGCAGTGCTGTAGCTTTACCTCCTATTTATTCACACGCCACTCGCGTTAGTTCGCCATTGATGTCATCAGCGCTGCTGGCGCAGCAGGCCCCGCTCCTGGAGCCACTGCCGGCCCTTGGGGGTGAGGAACACGACGCGCGGGTGCCGCACGTGCTGGTCCTCCTCGTCCCCGCGGCTCTCCACGTAGCCCTCTTTCTCGAGCGTCAAGAACACGTTCCTCATCGCCTCCGCGTTGTTGTTCGCGGCCACCTTCTTGTTGCCGCCGCCGCCGGCTCTCTCACTCTTGCTCTTGCTCGTATTCCGGGGCCGCAGCTTGCCGTAGCTCGCGAGTCGGTCGAGGCCCAGGTCGGCCATCTCCTTGGCCCGGCTGCCAGCCAGCAGCTTGATGATCTGGTCCTTGGTCGCGCCGACGATGCCCACGGCGTCGCCGCCGCCCCACTTGTAGAACTGGGTCACCTTCTCGGTGGTCTCGCGCACAGCCTCGAGGGCGTGGGCCATCACCGTGCGGTCGGCGACCGAGCGGGACTCGACGGGGAAGGCGGCGCACACGTCGCACCGGCCGCACGGCCGCGCGTTGGCCTCGCCGAAGTACTCCATGATCCACTGTTGTCGACAAATGCGCTCCGTGCGAATGAACTGGAGCATCGCACTGTCGTGTTGCGTGAGTCGCGCGCGTGCGTGTGCGATCGTGCGTTGCGTGTGTGGTGGTGCGTGAGTGTGCGTGCGGGGAGAGGTACTTGAGTTTCTTCTGCTGGCGCGCTCGGTTTTCGTTGACGTCGGTCAGATCGAGTTCCAGCTCCCGCTCGGAGACCCACGGCCGCAAGAGCCTAGTGCCGCGCACCCGTTCGCCCACCACCTGGAATCGTTCCAGATAGCCGTGGCTCTCTGTGGCACGACGCACACACGACAGCACACACGGCACAGGTTGAGCTCAACTCTGGTGGGTGTGAGACGGGGAATGAGGAGTTGGAGCGTACCGAGGATGCTGACGCAGCGCGACAGTCCGGCAGCATCGACCTGGCGCGTGAACTCGGCCAGGTCGACGAGCGAGATGACCAGGTCGTCGTCGCCCAGCTCCGTTCGCCTCCGCTTGACCAGCACCTGCGCCGCGGTGGTGCGAGATTAGCGGGGCGAGTACGGGTACTCTGTGAGCTCCGCTGTGCCAGACACGCGTACCCGCTGTTTGTCGATGCCCTTGTCTTCGTCGTCGTCCCCCATCGGGACGGTGTGATGGAAGGGCAGCGGCTTCTCCTCGCCCTCGACGGAGGCGTCGGGCTCGTCCCACAGGCCCAGGGCTCGTTCCCTGTCCCGCTCCTCGAGCTGGGTGCGATGGACTCCCCGCAGGGTGCGCCACGCCTCTTCGATCGCCGCCCGACTTGGGTTGCCCGACTGAGAACGCACGCGCGGGTCAGCGCACGCTCATAACCAACCGCACGACACGACACGACACACGGTACCGTAATAAAGTATTCCTGGAGTTGAATGTCTTCCCGGTCGAACAGGAGTTCGCACCGAGCGGGCGCGCCGTCTCGTCCCGCCCTGCCCACCTCCTGGTAGTAGGCCTCCACGCTCGCCGGCATCGCGAAGTGCAGCACAAACCGCACGTCCGCCCTACACCACACACACACACACACACACACACACACACACACACACACACACACACACACAACGCCCATCGCACGCCGCGCAACAGAACAACATAGAGCCAAATAGACATCAGACGACAGCGATAGCGACGATTCAGGGGCGGAATCTGAGCGGCGTACCGGTCGATGCCCATACCGAAGGCATTGGTCGCCACCATCACGTCGCATTCGCCAGACATGTATCTCTCCTGCCGAACAACACGGCACAACACACACACACACACACACACACCACACACAACGTTGGGTCTTGCGCGGCAGACTTAAATGGAAAGACAACGGGACGCCGCACCTGTGCCGAGTCGCGCTTGACGTCGCTCATCCCGGCGTGGTACCCTTCGCACTTCTCGACGCCCCAGTCGCGCAGTAGTTCGAGCACCTGGTCGACTCGCTTTCGCGTCGACACGTAGATGATGCCCTTCTTCATCTCGTGCACGATCTCCTTCATCCTTAGCACCTTGATCTCGTTCAGCGTCTCTCGATAGGCTCGGCGACGACTCGTCTCTGTCGACGTGTGCGTGGTGTGCGTGTGCGTGTGCGTTTCGTGAACAATGACATGTAAGGACAGAGGCTGCCCGGGATCGATTCGGGCAGCGGCGCCATACCTTGGGTCTCGGTAATGTGCAGCGAGAGATTGGGCCGGGCAAAGCCCTGGACCAGCTCGAAGGGATTCCGCATTTGCAGCCGGCTCGCGATGTCCTTCCGCACCTGGACGCCCGCCGTGGCGGTGAACGCCGCCACGACCGGCCTCCCGCCACGCGCCGACACCAGCCGATCCACAAACGTGCCCAGCCGAGCACTGACATACACAGACGAGAGAAGACCGCCTGTCATCAGCTGCCGAGCAGTGCGAAAGAGGTGTGGCGCGAGTACTAGTCGGGCCGGAAGTCGTGGCCCCACTGCGAGATACAGTGGGCCTCGTCCACGGCAAAGAGCGACACGGTTGTCTTTTCCTGGCGGAGCAAGGGAGTGGGTGAGTCTTCGCCTCGCGTGCAGGACTGAGGTTAGCGCTCAGTACTCACCAGGGCCGCGAGGAAAGTGTCGTCCTTGAATCGCTCGGGGGAGACGTAAACGAGCTTGTACGCCCCGCTCACCATCTCGTCGATGACCTGGACCTGCTCGGCCTTGGACTGGAAGCTGTTGATCGTCGCCGCCTTGATGCCCTTCCGCAGCAGCGAGTCGCATTGGTCCTGCACTAGCGACACTCAGTACTAATTGTGTGTGTGTGTGTCGTGTGGTGTGGTGTGCGTGTCGTTGGTCGGGTCGGGTCGGGTCGGGTCGTGCTGAGTTGGGGTGCGCACCTTCATCAACGCAATCAACGGAGAGACCACAATGGCCACGCCGGAGGTGTGCAACAAGCTCGGCAGCTGGTAGCACAGAGACTTGCCGCCTCCAGTGGGCAGCACGGCGAGCGTGTCTCGGCCGCTGAGGATCGACGTGATGATCGCCTCCTGTCCGGCGGTGAAGCTGGTGAAGCCAAAGTGCTTCTTCAGTTCCTCCTCGAGGTCGTGAGTGGCCTTCACCACGCCTCCTGCTGGCGCCACGGTGCCAGCGGCGTCTTCTGAGGCACTTGCGCCACTCAGTGGTGCGGTGGTGCTTCTGAACCACCTCGCGCCTCCCCGAGCGCCACCGCTGATGCCCCACGCCCTTGTGCCCGCGACTTGTGGGCATAATCGCGAAGTGCAGGATGGAGGAGATTAGATTAGGATGCAAAACGTAGGACAATGAAAATCCTCGTACCGATACGAGAAAGGAGACCCGGCCGCCTTGCAGGCATGGCAGCAGATGCGTGGGCACCCACACAGCCGGAGTGCAGGCTACGCCGAACAGCACCAGCGGCTAATCGACCGCCCATCAGTTGTGCGTTGCCCGCCCGCCTCATCTTCTTCTTGGAAATAAAAATGAAAAGTGCAAAGCAGAGCTGGCCGTCATCGAGTGTATTGGTCGTAGGTGCGTTCGAGGAGGCTGAGGAGTAGGGTCAGCGCTCGCTTGGTCTGCGGCAGCTTGGAGGCGCCCACGGAGGTGTCGATCTGTTTCATGGCCTTCTTTACGATCATCACGTTCTTCCGCAGCACCGTCCCTTCCGTCTGATCCGCTGCCGACACTCTGCCGACCGCCCCCAATGAGCCTCATCTCGGTGGTGGAGTGTGCATGCGATCGAGAACACATAGTGGGGGGGGGGTGGAGGAGTACCGAAGGAGTGCGGTGTTGTGTCGCTCCCAGTCGACCAGAAAGTCCTCGACCTTTGTTCGGTACTTGTCCCAGTCCTCGCCGGCCTTCGACACCACGTCGTGGAGTTCGGTCTTCATCATCGACAAGCCGTTCCTGCGAGTGTGTCATGGTGTAAGTGCGCAGTTGAGGTGCAAAAGCCAAGAGGCGGAGAGGGAAGGGTGTACAGTAAGGACTCCCCGAACTGGGTCCAGAACTTCTGGTGCTGCTTGTCCTCCCACACCAGCTGATACATGAGAAGGTACAGCTGCGCAGCTTTGTTCATCTGCAGGTGAATCACCCTCTGTAGAGTAGAGAGAGCGATTTCAGCGTTGGTTCACCATGATGTATCAATATTGGCCGGCTGTGTCGGTACCTTTTTCATAACTCGAAACGGTGCGATGAGGTCCTGCGAAAAGAGGACGCAGGCCGACTTGATCACTTCGTTCACGCGCCTGCAGGCCGAGCAAGGTTGTCCCAGAGGGGGATTAAGCATTGTGTTTGGCCTTCACTCACTACAAGGGAAAAAAGGTCGCACCTCTCGGCCTCGGTGGGTGGTCGTATAAGGGAGATCTCCTTCACCGCGCGCTCGAACAGCTTGGTGACCTTTTCCAAATTGGCCTGAACGGTCAGCGCTGCCTGTAGGTTGGTGAAACAATCAGACAAGCAAAGACGGCACGCACGCATGAGATTCGTGGTGAGCGAGGGCGAGCGCACCTCGTAGTTGTGGATGAAGTCGGCGTCAATGTCGTTGGCCGAGTGGTCAACAGAGAAGCCCACGGTCTTGGGATTCGAGAAGGGGTCGAACACCTTCCCGCTGCCCTCCCGGGAGATGGCGTCGACCAGCCGGGCATAGCGCGGGAACAGCTTCTCCATTTCGCGTCGGCTCCACACGACGCCCTCCTCGTAGATGATGCGCAGACGATTGTCCCTCCGGCCCCACGCGAACACCTCCCTGTACATGCGCGCCTTCTCCTGGCGCGTGACCACGATCGCGCACTTGGTGCATGCCAAGAACTCTTCTGGCTGCTGGGGCTGTTGTGGCTGGGGTGGCACGGTGGCACCGGCGGGAAGCTGTGCCTTGAGACGTTCGCGTTCGATTTCGCGTCGTCGCAGGGTGAGCAGAAGGTGGAGCTTCGGGTCGCCGGCGATCTGGGCGTACGATAGGAGTGAGGCGCACTTGGCGCAGTGCTCCTTCTGGCACATGAAACAGGTGGCCCGTCGCTCCCACAGCCCAAACTCGGTTCTGAAGCACCATGCGCACGTCGGAATCGGTGAGCCACGAGCATGCATGCGAGCAACGTGCTACGCCCGTGCACATGCACGCTGCAGATCAGGCCGCAGAGCTGCATGGTAGAGCGGAGAGAGCATACCCACACGACGCACATCGCTGGCGAGGAGAGAGAAGTGACCCGATGGACACTTGCTTCTTGTCCCCTGATATGCACTACATTGCGGTCTTGTGTAAGCTGCTGGTGTGTGCTTTCGGCACACGACCACATGCCCTAGCATGAAGTGCACAAGAGGAGAAAGGTACCGTGGGCGCGGCTGCGAGGAGCTGGACGATCATGGCGTCCACCTTCTCCCTTGCCTCGGCACGCGCCAGTTTGAATGCCTGAGTCAAATCTCTTGACTCTCCTGCACTTGCATTCAACCTTTGAGATTAAGAGAGTGGCGCGGCAAGCAAGGCATGAGGCGGACCATTGATGTGCCTGGAGAACAGTACAGACGTGGCATCCATCAGACTGTGTAGGGAAATTCAAATCCTCCTCAGAAAATAGATATAATATAATATATCAGACAGATCTTTCATTCAAGGAATGTTGTGCGCTCATTTCCCGGTTTAGAACCAACCACCCCCCTTTGCATCTGTCGAATGTCCTCACGAGATGATCTCTACGCGGTGTTGGGGGTACACCCTAAGGCCTCGTTAGTGGAGATCAAGGAGAACTACCGCCGATTGGCCCTCGAATGCCACCCGGACAAACTGCCAGCAGGTGCAGCTTGTGGAGATGAGAGGGAAGATGAAAATGCTCGATTTCGGCGAGTTCAGGAGGCATGGCGCATTCTCAGTGATTTTCAATCGCGTACCACGTACGATGCACAGCGTGTTGGTATGCCGCCCCGAACGCCTCCTCTTGACTTCTACTCTTTGCCATCAACTCACCGGCCGCCGCAGCCGGACAGGCAGGAGAACTGCCGGTGGGGGCGGAGGTGGATCTGGACGACATGGCGTTTGACGAGTGCAGTGGCACATACTCGCATCCTTGTCGTTGTGGCCATCGCTACGAGGTGCATCCATCTTGCCTTTGTTCCTTGTCCGCTTGCAAGCAGCGATTGTGTGCCGGCGGCGGTCCGCGCGTACTGACATTACGCCACGATCGCAGGTGAGCGAAGAAGCGCTGGAGAAGGGAATGGACACACACTCGTGTGCCGGCTGCTCGTTTGTCATCCGCATCATCTACCAAACCGCTGACGATGAAGACGACTAGTAGCACACCAACACTTGCATTCCTGCTTCCGCGGGCACAAGCGTGGCGCACGACTGGCGGAGGTCGGCATGCCAAGTACAAGCGCCGAGCGACAGCGATCGCGCACCATGAGCGAGTCCCAACGCAAGGCGGCAGCTGCCATCACCGCCACTTGCGCAGGACCGTGCGTGGGCGAGGTGCTCAAGGACAGGAGGACGGGATATTTTTATTTTATTTCGCCTTTTTGGGTCTGTGGTGCCTCTTCACCCACGAACAGTGGCACAGGTCGTGACTGTGAAGACGAAGGTGCACCACAGTCTCATTCCTTGGAACAAGAAGACCAGCACCCTTTCGCGTGCGCACCCACCTTACAAGATTCGGAGAGTCAAGAGTCAGGAGCCAAAAGTGTAGTAACCAACGATTTATTGAAAGTGACCGGAAAAAGGTGATCTATTCAAGAGGAGGAGGCATCGTACGAACCTGAAGAAGCAAGGAGGAGGAGTTAGAAAGGGTTGCACACTCAAAGGAGTGAAAAGAAGATGGCAGGCAAATGGCGAGTGTTCAGATAAACCCCTTAGTTATTCTCATTGATCCCGAGGGACTCAATAGTAACAATTGTTGAAAGATACATCACGACGCCACGGTAAAATTGATGAAGAGAAAGCGAGTGCGCACCTTGGATGGGACACTGGCCAGGTCTGCACCGGAGCGGCAGCTATGCGGAGCTCGCGCGACCTGACATTGAACGGAAAATCAGGTTAGGTCAACAAGAAAGAGATTTGCCTTGGAGCAATCGAACACTGAAATCAGTGTTGGTTCTTTTCAAGCAGCTCAACCAGTATACCGACTGAGCCTCAACAGTTATAGTTTATGCATCATCTACAGCACGCCACGATGAAGAGAAGCGATTTCTTTACCTTGGGGAACGGACGCCGGAGTCCAGGCCTGGGCGTGAAGGCCAGGCGTCGGAACACCTGATTCCAAATAAAAGTGAGAATTAGAATCGGGTATTAAGAAGATGGGAAAATAAATAAATGAAATGTTGGTGCATTGGCATAATCAATCGCTATGTTGGTGAGCGATTGAGTATATTAAATGACCTCCGTTCGTTCTTGCATCATATTAAATGATGATAAGGCACCTGACAGCCTTTCACCTCAGAGATGGTGCTAGTGAAATGTTGAATGAAAAGCTCGCGAAGCGTACCTCACGACGCTGACTGTAAGCGGCAGCAGCGAGTGTAGATGTCTCACATGTAGTGTGGTTGAGAAGAGGAAGACGACGAGGAAAGAAGAAACAGAAGGCCGGAAGAGGTTGGGCCGGCGGTGGAGTTTGCGAGGACCATAAAATCCCAGCTTTTGTTCGGATTTCATTTTCTTTCGTTTTTCTTGGTCGACAAGAAATGCAGTTTGCCGGCGTTCTGGATTTGTACCGCGATTTGTGATTTCCATCTCATTCGTTCATCCGCGAATCGCAACAAAAGTAGCAGCAGACAATGTCGAGCCGAGGAGGATCCAAGGGCGGAAGAGGAGGCAAGGCCACCAGGGGCGGAAATCGGTACTTCGCCAAGGCCGATGGTGCGGCCGCTGATGCGAAGCCGGAAGAGGTGAAGAGCAAGAAGCAGAAGGTGGTGGCTGCTCCCGTCGCCTCCACTGATGGCAAGAAGGGCCAGAAGCGAAAGGGCGGACCCGAGGCCGAGACATCGGCCCCGAAGAAGGAACAAACGAAGAAGGTCGCCAAAGTCGCAGTGACGGAACAAGTGAAGAAGACAGTGGTGGTGGAGCAGTCGCGCAAGCAGCGGAAGCCCAAGTCTGAGAGGATGGGGAAGAGGGCCTGGGAGGTGGAGGAGAAGGCGGAGGAAACGAAAGAGGAGGCTGAAGAGGTCGAAGAGGTTGCTTCGGACGCCGAAGATGATGATGATTCGGATGTGGACAGCGAAGCCAGCATGCCGAGCGACAGCGAGGACAGCGATTTTGAGCAGCTCGTAGCGAAGGAGGGAGGTTCGGCCCGATACAAGGCTGCATTGGCCCTCAGGGACACTTTCCAGGTACAAATCGTTCAAATCTTCGCATTTGAAAGATGTATAAACTTCATCTAATCTGGAATTAATCTAATCTGGAAAAATACAGAACTTCAGACAAGAGGGTGCGGAGGATGAGGACGATGAAGAGGACGACGAGAGCGAAGGTGAAGAGGAGATACAGAGGAGGACGGAAAAGCTGGGCGATTTCGTGCCGCTAAAGGGCAACAGCGATGACGAGGACGACGAGGAAGACAAGATTGTGCAGAAGTCGGAGAGCGAGGAGAAGAAGGTGACCAAGGGTAAGCAGGTTGAAACGAGCAAGCAGACGAAGGCCAAGGTTGAAAAGAGCAAGCAGACTAAGGCCAAAGTTGAAAAGAAGGCGACCACTACTACAACCACAGCGACTAAAGTCAAAGGCAAGGAGCCCGCAGCCAAGAAGAGGCGCGTGAAGGTTCGCACTTTGGCGCAGAAGCTTGGCGGCGCTGGCGCTGTTTACGTCGGTCACCTTCCGTACGGTTTCAACAAGGAGCAGATGATGGGTATGCTTATCGCTCGTTTCCGACCTCGTGACCGCCTTTCCGCAAACTCATCCTTCTTTCCGCACTAGGCTTCTTCGCCCAGTTCGGCCGCGTACTCAAAATCTCTCATCCCCTCAGCAAGAAGACCGGAAGGGTACTTGCTTTCGACCTCTTTTCTCATCGCATGTTACTCCGTGCTCACATTTCACCTTGGCGCGCGTGCAGTCCAAGGGCTACGCCTTCATTCTGTTCCGCCACAAGGAAGTGGCCCAAGTCGTCGCCGACACGATGAACGGTACGCGTCCTTCCATCTTCCCCTTCCACCACGGTCCACATCCGCGTGCGCTTATGATGCATAAATATTTGCTACTCTTGACTTCTTGCATGACGACATTTTCCACCAAGATCTCTGAGGCGCACGCTCTGCTCTTTCTTTCGTCATCAGATCATCCGTCTCTCTCTCTCTGATGCTAACAATCCTCGTCTCTCGCTCCATTTGCACTTGTAGGGTACCTCATCTTCGGCAGGATCCTGAGGTGCAAGTACATCCCCGCCGCCCAGATCGCAGAGCATGTGTTCAAGAACGCCAAGATGCCGTACCCCGAGTTCAACTATCAGGAACTCGAGCAACAGAAGAGGAGCAAGGTAAGGGCTCTCTCTGCTCATCGTCAACGAACGTTCTGAGTCCATGGAGGCTAAGCGATCATCTCATTTCGCCTCTTCTCATCGCCCTGTATACAATGTCCGTGAGTAGTTGAGGAGCGCCGAGAAGCACGAGAAGCTGACGAAGGCGCTCGTGGCCAAGGAGAAGAAGAGGAGGCAAAAGCTGGCGGCCCTCGGCATCGACTACGATTTCCCCGGCTACGTACATACCCCTCCCACCTTTCTTTCAGTTGTCTTCTTTTTGTACTCATCACACAAACACACTCAACACACTCAACACACCCCACAGGCTGCTGCTGTCGCCCAGACCAAGGCCAAAGCCGAGTGAGCTGTTTTAGACTTCCTTTTTCTGTCTATTTTCCTATTATTTAAGATACATATACAAACACTTTAGGCCCACATCATTAACCCAAAGTTTCCTAGTGAACTGCGCCCGGAGTTGGTTGCAGACGAGGAGTCCGCGCCCGGCTACAGGGCAAAATTGTTTTATTACGATATCGTAACCACCCGACGAAGAGGAAGAAGCGATGATGCGTGCGAGGGTGGATGTCGGGCTCATCCTCCGACTACTCGGCCTCCTGTGTATTTTGGTGGCGGGGCTTGGCCCGCCGACGGTGCGGGGTCAGGCCATAGCGTGTCTCCCCTTCCGGGTACTCCCCCCCCCCGCGGCGCACCCCGTGTCGTCCTCAACTCCTAAAAAACAAACATCCTCTTTGCGTGACTGACGCCACCGACCTTGTAGGGCTCCCCAGCGACTGCACACCGGTGTGACGTGTTCCTCGATGGACACAACGTCCTCCTCTTCGGAAAGGTGACCCCCTCTACACGAACTGCTGTTCGTGTCCAATTTTAAATGCCCGAGGTTCGGCCCTAAAATGGGAATTGTCTGGGAGCAGAGCTACGAGGAGGCGGACGCCGTGGCGGGTTCCCTCACCAGCGTGTTCGGCGCGTTCGTACCGGCCAAGTGCCGCAACGTGGCACTCCAGCTCATATGTCTCAGCGCGTTCCCCGTGTGCCAGATTGGCACCACCCTCTCGCGTACGCCCCCACGAATCTTCGCTCTAGAGTTTGGAGTGTGACTGATCGCATCGTGTGTGCATCGATCACCTTTTCTTCGACAGTGACGCCGCCGTGTCGCTCGGTGTGCGAAAACATGTGGCTTGAGTGTCTACCCCTGGTCCAGTCTCTCAATGCCACCAGCCTGATGCCGGACTGCGACACGGTGACGCTGGTGGACGGCGTGGCCTACCCGGCGTTCCCGCCCGACGGCATCGGCATCCCCTGCTTCCCCTACTCGGCCGACGTGGCGGTGCCCTACTCGCAGGCCGACTGCCCCTACCCGCTGAGCTACACCGGCGAGTCCGAGCGGCCCGAGGAGTCGTGCCAGCTCGGGTGCCCGGCCTACATCTACGGCGGCGAGGACGAGTACTGGGGCAGCGTGGCGGCCATTTACATGACCACGGTGCCGTCCATGGTGCTCAGCTTCCTCATGATCATCACGTGGCTTCTCAATCCCTCCAAGAGGTACGCCACGGCACGCACCCTTTCACTAACGCACGCGCTTCATTCGTTGCTGTGTTTCGCTAAAATTCATGGTGTTATGTACGACAACAGGCGGTACCCGGCGGTATTGATCCTGTGGCTGGCGGTGTCGGCCTTCGCGGTGGCCTTCTTCATCAACATCAGCGTGCTGGTGGGCGGGCCGGTCCGCACGACGTGCACCTGGGACGACGCCCAGGTCGCGATCAACATGGACAACGCGAGCGAGAACAACGGGCAGGGCGTAGTGTGCATCATGCAGGCCATCGGCACCTACTACTTCGGTCTCACCTGCAACACCTGGTGGCTCGCCAGTACGTGGAACCCTCTTCATTTCGTTCCTTTTTGTTTTTCTGTCAATTCTCTGAACCTTGCTCACGCACTTGACGCGTCGCACACATGCTGCCCACAGTAACGATCAACATATTTCTGATGCTCTGCTTTCACAAGCACGAGTGGGTGCGTCGCTGGAGCCGCTACATCCACTACGGGTACTCCATCCCATCGAACTTTTCTTGGGTGTGTGCATTGTGCTCACACATGAATGACGACAGGTTCCACGTGTTCTGCTGGGGCGTGCCGTTGGCCGGCCTCATCACCATGCTCTCCATGAAGAAGCTCGGCGCGAGCGGCATTACGCCCTTCTGCCAGATCCTCTACGACCGGGACGAGAGCTGGATCGACTGGGTCTTCTACACCGCGCCGAGTACGCTCTCCTTCCCCGTCAACACCTTTTTTTCCCCAGGAAGGTGCTGACTTTGGCGCATTGGCCAGTTCTCTTCTGCATATTCGTTGGCACCATCCTCATGGTCGTCAGCATCGTCCGCTTCGCCGTAGTACGCCACTATCCACCATCGCGCATACACGACACGCCGCACACTACACACTACACACGAACCCAGACCCTAACAAGGAGCTGGTGGTGTGCCAATAGGTGCAACTCAAATATGAACGATCCCGTGCTTCGGAGTTGATTCACCTGTTTCGGTTGGTCTTGCTCGTCGCCTTTGTGTGGCTTAACAACGGTATAGCGCTCTCTCCGCCCTCTTTCCAAACCCCTTCTGCACCGCTAAACTGACCACCACCGTCCCTTCTGCGCGCAGTGTTCTACTTGGCCTACCGCGTGCATACGGAAGCGGACTTCGACGCTATCTTCGACAGCTTCAACGCGCAGGTTTCCCCTCTCGACTCTCCTCTGAGCTGTAGCGAAAATGCAGATACGAGGGTCAGGTCCGCTCATCACACACCACGCCACTACCCAGATCGTGTGCAGTCTCCTGACCGGCACGGACTGTCCGTACGACGTGGTGCTCAACTACCCGTTCTACATCGTGTCGCTCATCGCGAGCATGTCCACGGGCGCCTGCGTCTTCCTCACCATGTGCACCACCAAGGTATGTACAGCGTACCATGGCCACGCGTCACAACATTAAGAGCGTATGTGTGTGCTAACTATTCGGGTTTCATGGTCGCAACAGAGCTCGGTGGTGTTGTGGATCCGATTGCTGAGCGGCTTGCGACATCCGCGATCCTTCGTGTCGCACGTCCGGCTCGTGATCGGCTCGCACGCCTGGTCGTACACCTCCGAGAGCTCATCGGCCAACAAAAACATGAGCTCCTCCGACAACCCGAACACCGAGGGCACCGACCTGAGCCTCACCCCGCCCACGTCTTACTCCCACCACGATGCCCTCTGAACCGACGTCCGTCGGCGGATGAGTCGGACTTATCAATGATATAACAATAATAAAACTCCTGGCATCAATGGTGTTGTTGGCCGGGTGGTGCTGTGGTGGCGCCTGCTAAAGGGCCTCTACCATCCGCGATCGTTCCCCCTCAAAAAGCCATCGGACATAAAAAATAAAATAGAACGTTGGTGTTTGTCCGGTGCAATTATGAACGTCACTGCCCTGTCAGTGTCGTCGGGATGTGGCGAGCACAACGTCCGCGATCAGCAGCGGAAGAGAAAAGAGAAGAGCGAATGCAGCCACGCACAGAATAATGTGCCCCAATCGCCCAACTGAGTTTGCCCCCAACAACCCAACAACCCAGTCTGTTCTTGTTGACATACAAACAGAGAATGGAAAGAGGAAAAGGACGAACGACACTCCTACGGTTAGGCCTCGACTTTGTTCTGGTGGCCCTAACTGTCTTGTTGAGCGCCTTCATTCTGGTATGCCACGGCCAGCAGGCCTGTGTGCCCTTCAAGGTTTGCCCCGCCCCCAACACGACACGATCTTCCTTCCTACTCTGGTCGGTCTCATCTCTTTCTTTTGTCACCTGCCGCGCAGGGCTCGCCAGCCACCGGATACAGATGCGATGTGTTCCTCAATGGGCGCAACGTATTCCTCTCTGGCGCTGTACATCCCCCCCTCTCTTTCCCTGCCATCTCTTCTTTCTTGTTGCGCGGATCTCGAGGTATCCTAGTCCAGCTTTGCGGAATGTCTGGAATTTGAAGCAGGCACTGCGAGGGGCACTCCTTTTTGCACGTTTACTGAGCCCTCACGTGGGGGGGGGGTACAGAGCTATGACCAGGTGGACGCAACAGCGGGCCGGGTGGTCTCCCTGTTCGGCGCGCTGGTGCCCCGCAAGTGTCGGGCCGCCGCGCTCCAGCTCGTGTGCCAGAGCTACTTCCCCGCCTGCCAAATCACCGCCACCGGTCTCTCAGGTACCCCCCCCCCCGACCACCCCCTTTCCTGCTACCTTCGACAGCCAGCAGTGCTGACGGTGGTGGTGGCCGGCACAGTGATCACGCCGTGCCGGTCAGTGTGCGAGGCGGTACTGCTCGAGTGCCTGCCGCTCCTGGCCAGCGTCAACGCCACGTCGCTCGCGCCCGACTGCGACCTCACCCAGTCGGTCGGCGGCGTGCTCTACCCAGTCTATCCGCCCGACGGAGTCGTCCCCTGCTTTCCCTATTCCTCTGCCACAGGTCACCACCCTGTCGCCGAGCGTCTAGGACGTCACCGGCACACCAACTCACTGCGTCGTGTGTCGTGTGGTGTGCGTGTCATGCCATCATATATGCAGAGGTGGCGTATTCACAGGTGGACTGTCCCTATCCAACCAACTACGACAGCGACAGGTTCAACCCCGAGAAACCACAGGACGCATGCGTGTACCAGTGCCCGGTCTACGCCTTTGGCGGCGAGGAGGAGTACAATGCCGTAGTGGCGGCCATGTACACCACTACCGTGCCTTCGATGCTCTGCGGCTTCGTGATGACCCTCACCTGGCTCCTCAACCCTGCCAAGCGGTTCGTGGCCTTTGTAGCCTCACGCACGCACGCACGCACGCACGCACTGGTTCCTAACGCTACCTGAACACCACAACAGGCGGTACCCGGCGATCCTCATCATGTGGCTGTCGATATCAGCCTTCGCCGTGGCCTTCTTCGCCAATCTCAGCGTGCTGATGGGCGGTCCGAGGCGCACGACGTGCACGAAGGACGAAGCCCCGACTGCTGTAACCATGGACAACGCGAGCGAGAACAACGGGCAGGGCGTGGTGTGCATCATGCAGGCCATCGGCACCTACTACTTCGGTCTCACCTGCAACTTCTGGTGGCTCGCCAGTACGAATGCACTCCTTTCTTACTTGAGTAGTGCGTGCTGAGTCCGGTCTGACCCAGCCTTCGTCGCTCAGTCAACATCAACATCTTCCTGATGCTGTGCTTCAGCAAGCACGAGTGGGTGCGTCGCTGGAGCCGCTACATCCACTACGGGTACTCCATCCCAACGCAGTTCTTCGATCTCTTGTGTGTGCGCGCATTATGCTTAAATAATGGCGACAGGTTCCACGTGTTCTGCTGGGGCGTGCCGTTGGCGGGCCTCATCACCATGCTCTCCATGAAGAAGCTCGGCGCCGACGGCATCAACCCCTTCTGCCAGGTGCGCTACCAGGACAAAGACGAGAGCTGGGTCGACTGGGTCTTCTACACCTCGCCCAGTACGTGTGCACCCCCCATTCGCTCCGGCGGAGGCCTGGGACGCATCACAGTCGACCAGTTCGCTCACTTGTCGTGTCGGGTGGATCTGCAGTCATGTTCTGCCTGTTCGTCGGCACCATCCTGATGATTATCAGTGTCACGCGCTTCACCATCGTACGCCAGGCTGCCTTTGCTCTTCTTCAGCCCACATCGCTCAAGTTGCAGTTTAGTTTCCACCACGGCTAACCATTTGGCCGAACTCGTTGCAGGTGCAACTCGGCTATGAGCGGTCGCGCGCTTCGGAGCTGATCCATTTGTTGCGCCTACTGCTCCTGGTCATCTCCGTGTGGCTCAACAATGGCACGTTGCCCTCCCTCTACTGCATCATTAACATCATTCGCTGACATTCCGTATATTGTTGTTTTGTTGCGTCAGTGTTCTACGTGGCCTACCGCATCTACGTAGAAGACATGTACAACACTGTAACGAATTCGCTCGTACGGCAGGTATGGACCGCGTTCGCCTTGATTGACAGCGTCAAACACTCATTCTCCTCCTCCTCCTCGCTCTCTCTCACACGTCGATATCGATCAAAAAGGTCTACTGCAGCTTCTTGACAGGCAGCGAATGTGACTACGATCCCGTGCTCAACTACCCGTTCTATCTGGTGACCCTCATGGCGAGCTTGTCCACGGGCGTGTGCATCTTCCTTACCATGTGCACCACCAGGGTATGTATCGCACGCCACACACGCACAGCCACACGCAAAGCATGGGAGGGATGGGCCACTCATGGTCATTGGTAAATCGTGCAGAGCACGCTGGTGCTGTGGTGGCGCCTGCTCAAGGGCCTCCGCCATCCGCGATCGTTCATCGCTCACACCCGCCTCATCGTGAGCTCTCACGGCTCCTCTTCGTCATCCTCCACAATGGACAGCCCGTCGGCCGGCACGGAGATGAGCGCGACCCCGCCCTCGTCACTCCAGTCTGCCGGTGGGCTCTAGCGTTCTACACCCTTCTTCTCCCTCTCTTGCTGTACAGTACTGTTGTTGTACCATTTCTGCTCGCCGCTGTTGATAGGCTCGCACAAAGTGTCGCGTGTGCACCCGGCCATATCAGGCGATACCCACAGCTCCTCCTGCTCGTGCCCTAAACCTCAAGCTAGGTTCTCCTAATTTAATTTGCCTCTATTATAGTTGGCCCTTCGGCGTAATAAAACAACATGTCCGGCTGGGTCTATTCATGAACACGCAAGCACACGAGCGAGAGGGCTTAGAGAGTCTTCTCGATGGCGGCGGTGACGGTGTAGGCGTCGGAGTAGGGGTACTCGTAGCAGATCTTGTCCTGCTGCATGAGGACCTCGATCGACTTGCCCACCTTGACGCTGTAGCGGTTGTCCACCGTCTCCGTGTCCATGGTGATGATGATCTTCTTGTCGGTCACGGCGTCGTTGACGGCCTCCACCATGTCGGCGTCCCACTTGGCAACCTCGGCCGCGATGGCAGGCACGTAGTTCTGGTAGACACGGTTGGGCACCCACTGGCGCTCGCTCTTGGCCCTGTCGTTGGTGGCGGTATCGCCGGTGAGCTTCTGGAACGTGGGCCAGTCAATGACGAGCTTCCAGTCCGCGCCGAGCTTGTCCTGGATCTGCTTCTGTACTCACAAAAAACAGAGTCGGTGTAGTGGTGAGTGCTACGCTCAAGCGGGCGAGGTGTTGGGAAGAAGAGGATTGGGGGGGGGGTAGCAGTGCGAGAAGAGGTACCTCAGCAGGGGCGTGGGTGACCTCGTTCTCCTTGAGGACCTTCTTCTCGCCGAGCTTGTAGCCAGTGTAATCGAAGGTGGACATGTTGGTAGGGGAGTGGTTGTGGTTTGTAGGGGTGGCTGGTGGGTGCTGAGAGAGGTTGTTGGTACAGTGACAATGATCGTGCGCGAGGGGCTTATAAAGCAGGCTGTGACCAATCCGCAGGGGTTCTGCGGTGGCCAATGGGATTATTGCGACCTGGACGCTTTTGGCAGTTCGCAGGCCACCGGCCAATGAAGAGGCGCCTTCGGTGGTTGTTGAACTGAAGGTGGGCTTTGAAGAGAAGATTGCCAGCACTTGCCATCTCGTGGGGGCCTTTGTCCAGCCGCCAATGGCGCACACGTCCAAAGGGCAGATCTTCACGTGTGTGGAATGGGCACACAAAGTGTGTGGAAAGGTGCTTTGCTTCTTCCTCTTCGAGTTGCCAGCCCTTGGCCAATTTCCTCCACCTAGCAAAGACGGCCGTGGTGCCGAAGACGACCTGAGGCGAAGGCCTTGTCGCAATCTTTGGTTCAATGGCTGCACACAACCCTCCAAGAGGTCTGCAGATCATCCACAGATCTTGTACAGCCCTCACGACCGAGCGCCATCTGGAGAGCTAACCGCATTGTGGTAACGCTCCTCGCGTGCACCAAGGTACACTCAACGTTTCTCATCTGGGCCGTGCCTCAGACCTCCCCTCTCGGATCTGAGCATCTTTTAGCTCCTTGAAATTGATTAGCGAAAAGGCCTGTGGTGTTGTTTTGGCGATTGCTCAAGGGCTGTCCTGCAATCCTTCCTTGCCACACTCGCCTCATTGTGGGCACAGCCCTTCGTTTACCTCAACGTTAACAACGTCTTCGAGTCGAAGGTGGAGGTGAAGAAAAGCTGCAGCAGTGTATTTCATGACACAAGTTTAATAAAACTAGTCTTTATTGGCTCATGCAACCGAGTTCGGAGTTAGGACATAAGGAACGCGTCGTCCTCTTGCCGACCAAGAGAAAGCAAACGCCAAGGAAGAACACTGCTGCACCACATGCGCTGTCTTCTGTCCGTGGTGGCCTTGGTGCTCTTGCTCCGGTTGCAGGCAGCCACCTGCCAGACCGCCCTCGCTTGTGTGCCCTTCCGGGTACACCTTAGCTTCCTTTGGTTTCAACCACCGCAGACTTGGGCACTCATCCCTCTTTATCTGTGTGGGCGTCGGGCCAACAGGGATCCCCGGCCTCAGCCCACCGATGCGACCCCTTCCTCGATGGCCGCAATGTCCTCCTGACCGCCGGCAAGGTGCGCCACTCCCACCCATTGCGCATTCCATACATTCTCGTTCAAGACGTAACAGCACTGTTTTGGGCCGGCTGCGTGGACCACCGCTGGTTACGCACCACCTGATCGCCGTGGGGCCGCAGAGCTACGAGGAGGTGGACGAGGCGGCGGGCAAGCTGGCCGCCCCGTTCGGTGCGATGGTACCCTCCAAGTGCCGCACGGCGGCGCTTCAGCTCATCTGCCAGGGCTCCTTCCCCGTGTGCGTCATCGGCTCTCCGCTAGCCCGTACGTGTTACCTGTGTGTGACGTGTGCGTGCGGGGCGATGTCCATGTGTGTCGTGTCTAATGGAGTGTGATGGTAGTGATGCCTCCCTGCCGGTCCGTGTGCGAGATGATGACACTAGAATGCGTGCCATTCCTAGCCGCGGCGAACCTCACCCACGCTCTGCCGGACTGCGACATGACCCAGACCATCAACGGCGTGCCCTACCCGGCCTTTCCGCCCGACGGGCTGTCGTGCCTGACCTATGCGCCTACCACCGAGGTGGCCTACTCCCAGGCCGACTGCCCCTATCCGCTCGAGTTCGACCGCGGGCAGCTGAGCCCGGAGAGTCCGCAGGAGGCCTGCGTGCTGGGCTGCCCGAGCTACCTGTTCGGCGGCGAGGCCGAGTACTGGGGCGCAGCGGCGGCCATGTACTTCACCGCTGTGCCGTCGATGGTCTGCTCCCTCGTGATGATCCTCACCTGGCTCCTCAATCCCTCCAAACGGTACCGCACACGCACAACCGCACACACGACCGCACGCACTACCGCACACATGAAAAAAGGCTCACACAGAGGCGACAGGCGCTATCCAGCGATTTTGCTGCTGTGGCTGGCGGTGGCGGTGTTCATGATGGACGTGTTCGTCAACATGAGCGTGCTGGTGGGCGGACCTGTGCGGACATCGTGCACGTGGGGCGAGGTCCGAGTGCAGGTGACGATGGACAACGCGAGCGAGAACACCGGACAGGGCGTGGTGTGCATCATGCAGGCCATCGGCACCTACTACTTCGGCCTCGCCAGCATCTTCTGGTGGTTCGCAGGTGCCAGGATACCATTATCTCGGACATTACCATGAACTTCACTCACATCATGTTGGCAGTCACCATCAACATCTTCTTGATGGTGTACTTCCACAAACACGACTGGGTGCGCCGATACAACCGCTATATCCACTGCGCGTACGTAACATTCTTCTCACTCTCTTAATAGGACGTTTGATGGTTGGCTGACGGCGTGCCGTTGCATTGCAATACGCGAGATTAGATTTCATGTGGGCAGTTGGGGGCTTCCTCTGGTTGGCCTTATCGCCCTGCTGTCGTGGAAGAAGCTGGGCGGCAACGCCATCCACCCCTTCTGCGGTCTCATCTACGATAAGGACAACAGCTGGGTCGACTGGATCTTCTACTCCGCCCCCAGTACGCACGTCCTCATCACAAGTTCTCTCTTCTTCCGCCGGGTTCACCCCTGCTGATCGAATGTTGAGTGCAGTCGTGTTCTGCATCTTTGTGGGCACCTTGCTGATGGTAATTAGCATCACTCGGCTCATCTACGTACGTCTTCTCCGCTCATTGCACTCCAGATGAGCGTGTTGATCCAACAGTCCAGGAATGCCAATCCACCGTCACACTCACCCCATCAACATCAGGTGCAAACCAAGCAGGAGCGCACGCGACTGACCGAGCTGAACCACCTCATTCGCTTGATTCTGCTGGTCGCCTTCTTGTGGCTCAACAACGGTACCCGCCACTGCCTCACCATGCGGGCCACACTTCCCCAGTTAATTCTCTGTGTGCGTGTACGATGGTGTGTGCGGTGGTACAGTGTTCTTCATCTCCTACAGAGCCTACGTGGAGACCATTTGGGACCAGCTGTACGACTCGCTCGCAACCCAGGTCGCGTGCAGCCTGCTCACCGGCACCGAGTGCGAGATGGACGGCGCGCTCAGTTTCCCCTTCTACATCGTGTCCCTCGTGGCGAGTCTGTCCACGGGCGTGTGCATCTTCCTCACCATGTGCACCACCAAGGTTCCCTACACAACCAGGCCATCATGCAATCGCTGGTGTGCTCACAGGAAACGCGTGTGTGCGGTGCGGTGCGGTGCGTGTCGTGCGGCGACAGAGTACGCTGGTGTTGTGGCTCCGGCTGCTGCGCGGGTTGCGCCACCCGCGCACGTTCGTGGCCCACACGCGACTGGTCATCTCCATGCAGGGCGCGTCGTCCTCCGTTTCATCTGCTGGCAACTCCTCGCACGACATTCTCAAGGCCAGCGGCGGTACCGAGATGAGCGCCCTCTCCGCCTCCGAACCCTCCTCATCTTGATTCTTTTTTTTGATGTTATTATATTTACAATTAAACAAAAATTGGCCACTCGAGGATGAGGGTGCACTGGGCGATTTGATTTAATTGAAAAGGGCGGTGGGGTCGGGTGAAGAATGGGGGAAGATGCCGAGGCCGTCGTCGTCATCCTCAACGTCGACGTTGGTGCTCGGCTCGAAGGCGCCAGAGAAGGAGTACCAGACGAAGGCAACGAAGATGGCGAAGAGCCCTACCCACAGCAGCACGGACCACGATCCCGCATCGGCGAAGGCCTCCTTGGGCCAGCCCTTGGGCAGCTTCGGCATGCCGGGCGTCGCGCCTGCCGCGGCTCTCGCGCTCCTCTTCCTCTGCTTGATCTGCGCCTTCCGCTCCATCTTGCACAACGAAAGAATAATAATTTTTTAAAAAATGATTGAATTTCTATTTATTTTTTCTGCGTTGTGTGGTCAGGAGAGGAAGGGGAGCGGGTGGTCGGTGAGCAGGCGCGAGAGGCGTGGGTAGGCCGACAGATCGCCGGTCGAGTCCCGCGAGCCCATGTGCACGCTCCGCACCCTGGCCGGCAGGTTCTCCTCCAGCCCCTGCACAGGCATTGAATCTCTCAGCACCGCACACAGACACGTTGTCACCGCACGCACCAACACACACCTGTCATGATCGCACACACGCATACCTTGAGTGTAACCCGGAAGCAGTACTGGATGACGATTCGCTTGAGGCCGCGCGGCAGCTGCGCGATGCCCTCGTCATCGACTTTGCAGAACGACAGAGTGAGCTCCTCGAGCCCGGCCGGAAGCGCCCGCACGCCCGCGTTGGTGATGTTGCCGCAGCCCCAGCAGTTGAGCTTCCGGAGGCCCGGCGGCAGCTTCCGCAGCGCGTCGTCCCTGATGTGCTGGCAGAAGGCCAGCTTGAGCGTCTCGAGCCCCTGCGGCAGCTGACCGATCGATTCCTGGGTCACATTCACGCAGCGGCTCAAGTCGAGCTTCTTTAGCTGCGCGTACGTGCCCGATGGTGTGTGCGCGTGCGGTCGTGAGCCGCGTGTGCGTGTGCGTGTGCGACAAACAAGGTTAGTTCGTTACACCGAAACAAGGGGTGTGAGTGGTCATACGTTGGGGAGCGTCGTGGTGAGAGCGGTGACGCCGCGGTCGGTGACTCGCGCGCCCTGCACGCTGAGGTTGGTGAGCGAGCGCGGGAGCCGGGGCATCACGGCGTCGTCCACCGCGAAGCAGCTCTTCATGTGTAGCTTGGTCAGCTCGCGCAGTCGTCCGAACAGCCGGTCCGGCGGCGAGCGCAGGCCATTGAGCCTGAGCGCGTCGAGTCGCCTCGGCAGCCGCCGCCACAGCCGCTCCAGCCTGGACGTCGGCAGCAGGTTCACGAACGTCAGCTCGAGCGATCGGATCGACCCTGGCACCATCGTCTCCTCCGTCTCATCATCATCACCTTCACCATCATCATCACTGCCATCGTCGCTATCGTCGTTGATGAGCTTGGCGAGCGTGAGCGGCGACACGACGAGGTGGAGTGTGTGCACGCGCGGCAGGCCGTTTAGCAAGTGGTGCAGGTCGGCCATGTCGAACCCGTCGTGCCGCACGTGAATGGCCTCCACCCGCGGACACAGCTCGCGGAGGAACTGCAGCTGCGACTCGAGTCCTGCCGGGCGGCCTTCGCCATCGGCGGCGAATGTCCACCGCCGGAGCTCGCCCAGCGCGAGGCTGCGCCAGGCGCGCGATACGTGGCTGGCCCTGACGAGCGCGGCTGGGTCGTGCCGCAGGCGCGCAAAGACGAGGGACCATACCTCGGGTGGCAGCTCGAGCAGGTCATGGTTGCTCTTCGCCGGACCCCAGCGCCGCTGCGTCTTGTCGAAGGTCACCCCCGCAATCGAGGGGAAGCGTAGCGGGGCCGGTGCCGCGCTGGCGCGGGGTCGCTTGATGGGCCGCTTTCTTTTGCCTCCCTTTTCCTGTTGCGGAGAGTCTTTCTTCCGTTGATTGCCTCCAGATGATGGTGATGCACGCTTCATCTTTGAATTGAGATTTCGGCAGTGGCGCGATTTCTCTACTTTTTAAATCTGTCCCAAATTTTTCGTTTTTGGAAAAGTTCTTCGACATGCAGTGACGTCACTGTTGCAATCACCACGATACTGGTGGGCGCCCCTACGACAGCGACCAGCACGGCGATCTGGTGAACGGCGAGGCCCGCTTTCACGTCTACCGTCTCCTCATGGCCATCGCCTCGCCAGTCCGCTGCACGGCCGAGTCGGAGCATACCGTGGTCGAGATCCACGAAGAAGAGGCCCACGCGCGCTGGTTCCGGGTCAGACATCGTCATGCTGGACCACCTTTACCCCTACGACCGCGCGCCGCTGTGCCAGGCAAGCGTCGAGGCCCTCCTGTGCTTCGCCGACAAGTACAACTTGAGAAGTGACATCAAGGAGCGGTGTCTGGGCAAGCTGAAGCTCTTGCCCCCGGTCGAGCGCAATCTGCGGCTGGTGGGGGCCTACGCACGCTGGCAGGCCCACTATCTGATTGGGTGGATGTTGGAATTCTTGGTTGCTGTTTTCCTCGCCTGGTTGCTTAGGAGGTTGTTTTAGTTGAACCTAGGTATGTGTCACACACTTTGGTATTAATGTGCAACCGCTTGTTTCTCATAGGCCCAAGATATGCTGCTCACGTGACCAGCGGGTTTGTGGTTGTGGGTTGGCCGAACACAGCCTTGAAGCGGACGGGTAGGTCCGGGTAGGCAGCCATCGTGGCGTCGATCTGCTGGCGCAGTGGCTCCGGCACGCAGTAAAGGCCCACTTTGCGCAGCTGCGGGCCACAGGCGCTGAGGAGCGAGGGAAGTGCGGCCAACTGGTCTGCGGCGTCCGATCCGTCGTCGCTTCCGGCCGAGCGGTACTTGCCAGCAAAGATGAGCTTCAGTGTTTCCAGTGAGCTGCTGTGAGAGAGTGCTTCGACGAGTCGCAGCCAAACCACCTTGGCCGGCACCTCTGATGTTGGGAACAGGGAAAAGAGCGAAAAAGAGATGAGAACAAAAAGAGCGAAACCAGCAATGGAGATAAAGGGAAGTAGTCATAGTTTACTTACGGAGGCTCATGGTGTTCAATCGTACTGACAGAACGCGCAATCTGGGATGATTCTCTGTGGTTGGTATCGTTTGGTGGTGCCACGTCAGATTGGGAGCCAAACGTGAGATGTAGAGCGGCATTGGTATTGTAAGTACTGATGACAGGCACGATGTCGTCGATGAGATCGGTCAAGCCCAGCGAAATGCGCTCCAATCGGCTATTCCGCGTTGCTATGAGGTGCAGCACTGTGACGATCGAGTCACGCGGGCGTGAAGCATCTTCCGTGTCATTGATGACAAAGCCTGGATGATAGATTGCCAGCGATCGCAGCGCAGGCGCCCCGCCCTTCAAGATGTGCGCAAGAAACGACCAGGGCTGATGGATGCTGATCGTCTGGGGCTGGAATGCGAGTTCCTCGGCCTGCCCCAGAGCCGCTAGCCGCATCTGGCGCAGCGGCAACAGGCTGCGGCATTGGGATGTCAGCGACATTGGAAGACACCACCCACACACACCTCATACATGACACACACGATGCAAGGGCAATGATGCGTACTTCCAGATGGCGTCCCATTCGTGGAGGAAGTCGAAGGAGGGCGAGCTCTGCACAAGAGACCACAGGGTCTCGTGCACCATGCCCGGGTCGGTCGGGTGCTGGTCCAACGCGTAGCCCACCCGATCGCCGCACCGTGCACGCCACACCAGAGTGCGGCCGCGCTTGGGACAGGTCGGAAGGATCGGCGCGCCAATGTTGAGGTAGAGCACGCGCACATCGACATTGTGCACCAGCACCAGCGCGTCGACTGTCGGACTGTAGTGTACGTAGGACATGGAGTGGCGGGTCCCCTGGTCCGGCTGGCAGTCCATGAAGCCGAAGGCGAACAGGTCGTGGCCACTGCCCTGCGTCAGCGCGTGCTCGAGCCGGTACTTGAGCTTCCACGAGCCGAGGCCCTCGCTGAGCTGCTGGCAGTGGACCGCCGGCACCCACGCACCGAACTGGCCGGCGTACCTGTGCCGCCAGAGGCTGGCGTCGTCGGACAGCCGATGCAGTTGCTTGCACACCTTGTCCCCCCCCCCATTTCTATGAGGTCACACACTCGCAACGTGCCCTGCTGGGTGTGGGCGAGAACGAACCAAGGGAACGACAGCTCCGAGGTCGGAAACCGGCAAGTGCGACAGGACCACCAGCAGGAGCTCGTCGGCCAACCTGCCCAAACTCCCTACGCCTCTTGCGTCTTGTTGCGCTTCCATCGCTGGGCTGGGCAAATATTTAGTGAAAATAGAGAACAACAGTTTAATAGTATGTGGGCTTTGTCACATTAGCATTAGTCACCGAAAAAGTTCCACTTTAAGGTGGCGAGCCTGACCAGTCGTCGCGAAGGCCCCGGTTCGGCTCTTGGTCATCGACGACTTTTCTGGTTGGTTCTTCTCAAAACCTCCAAGCCCACACCAAGCCCACACGCACACAAACCAACCGTCACTAAAAGGCAGTGATCACACTCATGTCCGAGCAGAGCAAGCAGACCAGCATCAAAGCCTACGGCCTCACCCGCCTCGGCCAGCCCTCGGACGTGCTCCATGTAGTCGAGGTGCCCAAACCGCAGCCGGGTCCGCGCGACCTTCTGGTTCGCGTCGTTGCCGTTGCCACCAACCCCGTACGCTCTCTTCTTCCTCTTGTCTTCTTATCTTCTTCTAATCTTGAGTTGTTGCGAAACAATAAACCACACAGGTGGACGTGAAGCAGATTACCAACTGGGGCGGGGACCCTAACGTTCCGATCGAATCACCTCCTCTCATCCCCGGATGGGACGCGTCGGGCGTGGTAGAAGCCGTGGGCGCCGAGGCCACCCTCTTCAAGCCCGGCGACGAGGTCTACTTTGCTGGTGCGTGCGCAGCGGCGGTACTGCCTCATTGCTCACCACCTACTGTTGGGCAGGCGCGATCAACAGAGCCGGCAGCTTTGCCGAGTACACAGTCGTCGACGAGCGCATCGTCGGCCGCAAGCCCTCGTCCCTCATCCACGAGGACGCCGCTGCCCTCCCCCTCACCGTACGCTCCCCTCCATCACACTGTCTCCGGCCTCCGCACACGCGCACCACCGCACACCCACGAACAGTGGCTTACAGCCGGAGCGCAGAGTCTTACGGCGTGGGAGATGTTGGTGGAGGGCTTCGGCATCCCGGTGCCGGCGGACGTGGGTGATGAGACCGTCAATCGCAACAAGACCCTCCTGGTGCTGGGCGGCGCAGGTGGCGTGGGTTCCATTGCCCTGCAGATCGCTAAACATGTGCGTTGCTTCAGTGTGTGGACAGTTTAGTTCAAACAAACCAACCTCGGTGCTACAACAGGTTCTTAAGATTGGAAGAGTGATCGGGTCCGCATCGAGGGCAGAGACGGTCGCGTACTGCAAGGCTCACGGAGCCGACTACACCATCAATCACCGCAATCCTCTCGCAGATGAGCTCGCCCAGCTGGGCCTCAAGGTACCACAATCCTTCTACTCAACTGGTCTTCACCGACCGACCGAGTCTCGCTATTGAACAGGGCGTGGACTTCATCTTCAACACGAGCGAACCAGATCCTGTGATCGAGCAGCTCATCGAGCTGGTCAATCCGCTGGGCAAGATCGGGCACATCCTCCCCATCCAAAAGCCCGTCAACACAGCACCTCTCTTCGTGCGAGCCTCCACGCCTGAAATCGACACCACCGACGCTCACTCGCATGATATCACACGCACACCTATCTCAACCACAGATGAAGCGCGGCTCTCTGGTGTGGGAGATGATGTTCGCTCGTGGGGTGTATGGAGTGGAGCCGGAGAGGCAGGGAGCCATCCTCAACCGGGTGGCATCGCTGGTCGATTCCAAGGTGCTGCGCTCGACAGCCAACGTCAGATTCGCGTGGGACAAGCTGGCGGAAGCCCTCGCGCTGCAGGGAAGCGGCAGGGCCATCGGCAAGATCGTGCTCACCGTTGCCTTCCACGTGAGACTGCCCAGTACAGGGCAATCCATGAGGAACTTTGCGTTTTTTTAACAAACGAAACCGAAGATGTGCAACAAGGGGCAAATTGGACGAAGAAATGATTGAATTCAACTTTAATGATGAGATATGAAGAGACGATTTACAATTAATGGAGTCGGAGAAGGCGGAGGAGGGCGCGACGGGAGCCCAGGGGGAAGGACGGCACAAAGGTCGAAGTCGTGAGGGCCAAGAAGCCAGCCATGTAACCCTCCATAAGATGGGGCCAGGCTGCGGCGGGCTTCTCGACGCGCAGATTCAACCCGACGTGCTTGAAACCAAGGCTTCCGAGATTGACCATCGTCACCGGGTCGGCTCCATTCTCGGCCACACGAAGCGTGCGCGCTCCCAGGCCAAGGCGCTCAAAGTAGGCGGCCCCCGCCCACGAGAACACGCGCGGCGAGCCGAACGTGAGGAGCCGAACCTGCTCGACCGAGGCCACGAGGTGGGCCAGCTGAAGCGCGGCCAGGGTGGCCTGCGCCGCGCCGAGGCTGTGGCCGCACACGGTGAAGTTGAGCTCGGCTACGCCAAGGCCTTGGCTCGCGGCGTGGCGGTTGAGGGCGGCCTCAACCTGGGGCCACGAGCTCTGGAAGGCGAGAAGGAACCCGCGATGGATGAACCCCTCGGGCAGGAGTTCCTTGTTGTACACGGGCCAGGCGTTGAAGTCGGTCATGAAGTCGGTGGCTGTGTCGGTGCCCTTGTAGGTGAGGACCACGTCGCGGCCCTGGGTCCTCACGTAGCCCGACGAGATCGCGGTGGCAAAGGCGGTCACGTCGTAGGTGGTGGCGCCAGCATCGACGTTGGCCTGGCGGTCGAGATAGGCGAGGCTGGCGAAGTCGCCCATCTGGCGGACCTCGTCGTTGTCGAAAGAGGCGAGCTTCTCGAAGTGGTCGGAAAGGAGCACAAACGACATACCGAGATCTACTTCGTCTTCGAGGGTGGTGATGGTCTTCGTCTGGTGTTGGTCGTGCGCAAAGGTGAAGAAGTCTTCATCGAAACAGCTCGAGGCGAGGGTGGGCCAAGTAGCGGGGGTCGTGGTGGGGGTCGCGGGAGTCGTGATGGGAGTCGAGATGGAGGTGGTGCTGGCAGCTGAGGCCCCAAAGAGGCGAGAAATAGTACGTGCGAGGAAAGACATCTCGTTCGAGTTGAAGCTGTGTGTTGCGGTCTTCTGTTCTTGAGTTGTTGTTCTTGGTGAGGTGGTGGGTAAAACTGAAATGTTCTAATGGACTCGCTCAAAAGGTACCGCTCTCCCAGCCCGACACAATCTCGGCCAATCCACAACGACTGGGGAACGGAAAAGGAAGGTCTCCCAGTAAACCACATTTTTTAGAATCCGCCACCACGTCACGTTTCTGAGGCCTCCGAACAAAGGAATTCTAAACAGGCGGTTTCAACCTTCCAGAAGGTTCCACTGGAACACAGGAATACTAAAAATAAAAGAATGGACAATGGCATTTCTTTTGTGGTACACCATGAGCGGTTTCCGTTCTTCTTCTTATTGTTGCCATCGTGGTTGCACCCGGGACTGGGGGCATCAGCGCGTGCAATCCCGCGCACGTCCTGCCGCTCGGTGTTGAGTCGGGTCTGGGGCTCGCGCCTCTCTTCCCTCCCCCCATCTCCAGGTTGCGCCATGATCCGATCATCCTCGTCCTCCTCTACACGCACAGCCGCTAGGCGACCTTGGCGCGGCCTCAAATTGATCACAGTTTCGCTGGGGGTGCACGTTAGCTGTAAAGGGGTGGATTACATTTTGTGGGGCCAGCGGAGAAAACACAACATCAGACATGAGCGGAGGAGCGGGCTCTCCTCCAATCCAGTAGCTTACTTCTTGCCCAAGAAGAACTTGTTGATCAAGTGGATGGTCATGTTGACGTCCAGCGTCACCTGCTCGAGCTCGAGGTACTCCACACCGTTGTAGTGCCTCTCCAACAGATCGTCCAGCTCGAGCGTCATCTGTTAGCGACAGATCGGTCAGAATCAGGCGCCAGCTTCGCAAAACGAATCAACGGCCGAAAGAAAACAGTAGGTACCTTCTCGACAGAGATACCAGCGATCTTGGCGACGATGTCGAAGATGCCGACTTCCGCCGACGAGATGAGGAACTGGGTCTTCTTGCGCGAGAGAGCGGGCACCTCAGAGTCAACGATCACGCCCTGGTGTGTCGGGTGGAGAGAATAAGTTGAGCAAGCGGCTTATCGCAGGAAACGCGGCCTCGAGGAAGAAACGCACCTGCTTCTGCAAGTCCTTGTAGCTGAACTTGAACGGACCGGCCATGGTCTTGCCGGCGGCGGCCTGCGGGGCGGCCTTCTTGCTCTTCTTGCTGCCCTTGAGCTTCGCCGAGGTGGGTCGGTAGTGCTGCTCGCGGCACTGTTGCAGGTACTCCTGGTACTGAGCGATCTGCTCCTTGACGTAGGCCTGGTGCTTGCGGAGGTTGGTCAGGGTCTGGGTCAAACGTTCGATTTCCCTCTTCTGTTGCTCTCGAATGACCGCCCTGTTGGCCACCTCGAGCGAGATGTCGTGCACGAAGCTCTCGTAGCGATCCGACTTCGACAGACGGCCCTCCTTCTCGAGCTTGGCGATGTTCTCCAGGATCTTGTTGATCTGCGCAGCGACGATTGAGTGAGACGCGGTTAGCTCAAGTCAAGTGTACACAGGGACAGGATTTGATCGTACTTGTGTAGATAGCTGCTTGTTGTTGGTCTCGCCGGCAAAGCGAATGCCCGACTCCAGCACGTCGGTGAGGTGCAGGCGGTGGATGGACGTTTCGATGGGGATCGTCCGCAGCACGGGGATGATGAGCTCCTTCGTTTCGGCGTAGAGACGCTCCACTTCATTGTCCTCCTCGACTTCGACCTTGAACCGGTTGGAGGTGAGGGTAAGCTGGATCTCACGATCGTCCTCCTCGGGAATCTCAGGAGGCGCGTCGCCGAGATCCTTCATGATCACTCTCAGCTCGTCGTCCTTCTCGGCGAGGGCGTCGAGGTTCTGCAGCACGAGGTGGTGCGTGGCCGAGATTTCGTGAAGCGAGATGAGGATCACGGGCTTGGTCTTCTGCGTCAGCTCCATGTACTTGTTCACTTGGAGGTGGTCCTCGGGGTCGTCGACCTGAGGGAGAGAAGAAAGAGGGTGAGCAAGGGAGGAGGGCGCAAAGGCGCATGTGCACGCGTAAGGGCAGAGACTCACCTTGACGAGGGAGTTGAAGTAGTGCTCGACGGTGAGCTTGTTCTTCTCGATGAAGTCGTTGAGGGGCATCATGTACTTCTCCTGCTTGCTGAACAGGCGGAAGTTGAACAAGTTCTGAAGCACCTTACCGACGACGACCAGGTTCTTACGGACGACGGGCTCCAGCTCCTTGTCGACGACGTTGTAGGCATCAGGCGTGACGATGGCCAAGTTGATGAAACGGTAGTACACGAAGTAACCCGTCACCTTCAACACCTGCAAGATGGAAAGAGAAGAACGGTCAGGGCTAGGAGAAAGAAGCGGGGGGGGGGCATGATGGGTTCTTACCTGGTCGTTATCGAGGGCCTCGCCGAAGCGGTCCATGGAGAGGTGCTTGATCTGCTTACAGATCCAGCGAATACCGTAGGGGAGGTTGTTCATCGAGTTGATGACGCCGTCGAGGAACATCTGACAGATCTCCTGGAGAGCGTTGAGCCGCTGGTTCATGATCGACTTCACCTCGGGGTTGCTCATCGCCTTCTCCTCAGGAATGTTCCTCTCGAGAGTCGATTTCTCGCCGGTGCGAATCTCCATCTCGTTAATCATGGACTGGTAGATGACGGTGGGGTGCAGCTCCAAGCTGAGATCGGTCTTCTCCATCACGATCTTCAGCAGAGGGCCGAGGGTGCTCCTGAGGTACTCGAGACCCTGCTTGCGTCGGTTGTAGGTGATCACCATCTTCGGCACCACGGTGTTGGCCTTCAAGAAGTCGGAGAGCGAATTGATCTTCGAGATCTCGTTCTTGATGGCGAGCTTGAAGAGGGAGAGGATGAGGTACTCCTCACGAGGCGAGAAGGCGTCACCGTAGAGAGTGAGGATCGTAGTGTCGAGGAAGGAATCCATCTGCTCGGGCTGGACGTGGTACACGCATTTCGCGAGGTACTTGGGCTCGGTTTGCAGCAAGTAGAACAGCTCTTGGTAGAACTGAGCAGATGAAAACACGAAATTGGAAGATTAATAACACTTACACTAAAAACAAAGGGTCAAAAGACGTCAGTGCACACTTACCTCCATCTTGCGCGGGTCCTTCTTGAGATCCCAGATCTGCTCCTCGCCCTTGCCCCTGGCCTTGCTCTTCTTCTTTCCCTTCTCCAGACCCTCCAGCACATCCTGAAAGATGGGGGGGGGTTTAGTGATTTGCCGGCTTGACGTGGTCAAACGAATCTTGGCAACGCACCTGAAGTGTGGTGCGGTTCTTGATGAGGAGACCGATACGCTTGTCGAGCTTCTGGAGATCGCGATCGAGGACGTGGTTGCGCCTGATCTCGATGACAAGCTGGCGCTTGAGCTCTTGGATCTCTGGAAAAGGCCAAACAAAGAATGAAGTGTAAGTGTCAATTTTGTAAATTAATGGCGCGAAGAATGGCTGCGCACCTGAGGTCCAGTCGCCGTCCTCTCCATCGGGCTGGGACTTGAGCACAGATTGGATCTCGGTTACGCTGAGCTTGCCCTTCTTCTTCTTCTCTTCCTGAGTCTTCTTCCTCCTCTCCTCGATTTCGTTCTGCTCCTTGATCCATCGCCATCTCACCATCTTGGTGAGAAGCATGCGCGCCTCGAGCAGCATCAAGAGGGCCTCCTTCTGCTGACCAAAGAGGGCGGCCTCGCCGTCGAGCTCCTCATCGGCCGCGATCTGAATGGGCCGCACCACGGCCTCTGAGGGGACCAGGGTCCTGCTCTCGTCGCCTCCCTTCTTCGTAGCGGCGACTACGGCGGTGGAGGATTCCTTGGCGACCTCCTTTCCCTTCTCCTTCTTGTCTTCCCTCTTCTCATCCCGATCGGAGGTCTTCGTGCGCGGGCTGTGCGTCTTCGAGCTGTCACTCTTGTGGCTGCGCGATGAAGCCGAACGAAGTCTCTTTTTGTCGTCCGCATGCGCTTCCGTCGCCGACGATTCCGACGAGCTGGTCAGCTCCTCCTTCTTCCTCGAGGACCTCTCCCTCGTCGAGGACCGCTCTCGCTCCTTGCCGCCCTCCTCCTTTCTGCTGCTCTCCTTCCTGTCCCTCGTCGAGGATCGCTCTTTCTTTCCACGCGGCGACGGTTCCGACATGTCGCTTATTCTTTCAGCAATTCGAATCTCTAAATCTAATTCGTCCTCGCTACTTCTTCCCACCCGCGAGATGGATGGAACGGCCCAGACTGACAGACCTCTGCCTCGAGAATTGATCGATTAAAAAGGGGGCTTGAACACCAAGACTGCTTCTCGTGGTCGCGTGGTTGTCTTGAAAGGGAAAATCCTAATACGGCCGCCGATATTTTCCCGGTTTTGATTCGACCACGATTGGCTCCGCGTGAGAACAATATTACCCTTAATGTCTCAAATTCCTCCTCCGCTATATGTGTGTTTAGCCTGCACGGTGAGATATTCAAAATATTCGATCGTAAATAGAATAAAATTAAATTAGCTGTTCGGCCATTTAGTGGTTAATTAATTTGTTGTGGATAATTGTAAAAATATAAAATACTAACAAAGAAGACAAACCCCAAGATTGGCGAGATTGGAGGCAATGCAAGGTACCTGCCCCCAAGAATCGCAAGCCTGGACAGCTTTTCGCCCGATATTTTCTAATCCCCCCCCCCTCCGTCACAATCGTTTTTAAAGCCACGTCCGAGGTGAAGGTCCACCTCGATGAGGTGGACAAGTGCGGCGAGGACTTACAAGTGGCCCTCGACGGCCTCAACGCCCTCGCTACTCTGGCACCCAAGATCGAAGAACTCTCCTCCGTCGTTTCCTACGCCGCCTTCTTCACCACGTACCCCCCTCCCCTCCCTCCCCACTTGCCCTTCTTTCGTTCTTCTCTTCCTGCCGCTTTCGTTCTTCTCCCTTCCCCGCTTTCGCTCTTTCCGAGGCTCGGCCCCTCACGAACCTACGCACGTGTCATGTTGGGTGTACAGAATGGGCGGCGCCTTGGGCAGCGGCTCATCGACGATTAGGCGAGCGGCGCTGCGCACCCTGCGGCGGTTCATGCGGGACGGCGACAGCGACTTTGTGCGCCACCTGGTCTTTTACCAAGTGGCCTATTTCATCTCCCGCTCCCTCGAGAAAGACAAGGGCACCACCGCTGAAGTAACGCCACACTCTCTTTCCCTCTCCTTGCCGCGCTCACGGCTGACCGCTCGCCGTGTGTGTGTGTGTGTGTGTGTGTGTGTGTGTGTGTGTGTGTGTGTGTGTGTGTGTGTGTGTGTGTGTGTGTGTGTGTGTGGTGGTGCTGTCTGGTGTCGGGTGTCGCGGGTGGTACGAACCCAGCGTGTCGAGGCGATGCGGGTGGTGCGCCGCCTGGTAGAAATCGACCCAGTTCTGACGCCGCGATGTATCATACAATCCCTGCTGGCCATCGTCGAGACCCGCGACGACTCCTTCGTGCGCATCGCCCTCGACACGCTCGCCCTACTCGCCGTCCAAAACATCAAAGGCGTCGCGCAGGTGGGTTCCCCCCCCCTCTTGTGCGTGCGCACAACAACACACAGCACGACGCACGCACGACGCACGCACGTCGTACGCGAGACACTGTTTGCACTCGCCGGAAAAGCGTTGCGACACCATTCTTAGAGGCTAACCTGTTGGCGCCCGTACAGTGCGGTGGAATGCGTACCCTGTTGAACGCTCTGGTTGACCCGACATTCTCCGACCAACACGATTCCCTCCTGGCCGGTGTCCTGTACGCTAACGACCACAGCACAACCGCGCACTGCACATCCTTAATTTTAATACAACACAAATCGATAAATAACTAACGTGTCTCTTCGGCAGGTACATTCTGAATCATCCCCAGAACCGGGCCTACCTTCGACCGCACACTGACCTGCGAGGCGTCTTCGCCGCCCTCACCGAGGGTCCCGGTACACGACCGCCCTCTTTTTGATCATCGATCCCTGGCTTGCCTCCATCGTCTGCTGGTCTGACCTTTCTTCTTCCGGGTACGTTCCGGGGTGATTAGAGGGAGGTCCGATCCCTGCGCGGAGAGAGCAGTGGGCGGCATCCGTTCGCGCCGTCGTCGGTATGCGACCACCCATTTGTCTCCTCTTTTCCCTCCTTCTTCTCCGTCTCGCGCACACGCGCCTGATTGAGCGCTCATCGATTTCGTGGATTGATTTGTTGTCCAGGTTTGGCCAAGTCGTGGACGGGGCTGATCTACCTCTCGTCGGACCCGTCCGGCATGCGTTCGCTCGTCCTCTCGCTCACTCTGCCCTTCCCCGAACTGCACGTAAGTCGACACTTCGTTTTCGTTCTTTCTTTTCGTTCTTTTTCTTTGGTTCTTTTTTTTCCAGCGGGGAAGGAGTGTGCCCGGGTGTCGGTCGCTGACGCTACCGACCGGGCAGGAATTGGTGTTGGATGGGATCATGGCCATGTTCCACCTGCCGGCCGCTGCCGGCAAAGAGGCCTTCGCAAGGCGCGCGAGCACCGAGGCGGGACGCACCAGCGGGCCGAGCGATCACCTGGGCCTGGGCGTGGGGCTCGACCTGCCCTCGCGCACCTTCTCCGATCGGCCCAACCTCCTTTACAACTACCTGGTAAACGCGCCAGCCCTTTCACCGCTCGCTCTCGCGTCCCGCTCGCCACGGTGTGTCGACGTGCTAATTGATTGTTTTGTCCACACACACACACACACACACACACACACACACACACACACACACACACACACACTGCAGGGAATGGTGCTGGTGATCCTGGTGGATTGCGGGCTGATACAGGCCCTGGTCAAGCTGGGACAAGACAAAGACGACCTGCCCAACTTCACCCCGCCCGTCTTCAGCAAGGTTCTTGTGCTCACTCTTTGATCTCCGGCATCGCAACACATCGCTCACGGCGCGCACGCACCACCGCACACGCACGCACACGCATCACGCACACCACCGCACACGCTCACTTGCGCAATGTAGGGCGAGGAGAGGGAGGGAGGTGAAAAGGAAAAGGAAGACAAAGACAAGGAAAAGGTGAGCAGGGAGAAGTCGTCCTCGTCGCCCCCGCCTCCAGAGAGACAAGTGCACAATGCCGAGATCGGTACGCCGGTCTACACATGCACGACCGCACACGCACGCACGCGCGTCTGGTGCACCGTTCGCGCCGATTCACGAGGGCGGGGTTGGTGTTCGTCGCACAGCCACGAAAGCGACGGTGCTGCTGGCCGAACTGCTGCATCTGTCGCACTTCCTGCTGCCCACGTCGCAATGCGCGCGCCTGCAAACGCTGCCCGAACTCATGTGCTCCGCCGTCTCGTTCAACCTCACCCGCGGCGTGCGCATGAGCGCCTCGGCCATGGTACGCCACCCCCACACATCCCTTCATATTCCCAACCGTCTTTCCCGGCTGACGCTGGTGGTTGGTGGTTGGGCGGCACACACTTAGGTGGGCAACCTGCATCAGTTCTCGCACATCAAGGGCGAGTCGTCGTTCTTCGACTTCCATCTTTCGCTCATCGTCACCGGCGCCAACAAATGGCGGCGACTCAAGGGCCGTAACAGGTGCGATCGCCTTTGGGCGCCCGGCTCTTCGTCGCGGCAATCGGGGAATTGACCCGGGCGTGATGGTGCAGGCGGCTGGATCGAATTGACGACGTCAAGAAGAAGATCGATTGGGGCATGGACGACAAGCAGCTCCTCGCTCGTCTTCAGCAAACACAAATCCTCGCCACCAAGGTACGCACCACCGCACACAACCGCACACACACGACCACACACACGTTGCACCACCGCACACGCACCACCGCACACTGCACGCATTGCCCAGTGCACACGCACCCGGAAACTGATGATGACGTCTCCCAGGACTATTCGCGCTGGGAGTGGTACACGGTGACGGAGATCCTCGAGGGTCCGCTGCGCAATCCGACCCATCTGTCGACAGCCCTGCAGACCAAGTTCATCAAGCGCATCCTCTCCTTCCTACGGCCCTCCAATCTCCTCTTCTCCGCCCAGTCATGGACCGTCGTACGCCCTCCCCCCCTCTTGTCGCTTCGTTCTTTTTCTCTTTTCTCTTTCGCTCTTTGTTGGTGCCTCAGGCGAGCGTCTCTCGGGGGCTGACTCTTTTTCTGTGGCCTTCGACAGCCCAACATGAAATACGTGCGCGTGGCGTGTCTGTTGCTCGAAGTTCTCTTGGCCGAGTCCGAAGGCTACAAGTACCTCGAGGAGAAGAATCCGCTCGTCTTCCAGATCGCCGATCTCCTCCGCGTAGAAGTCGAAGGGGTAACTCACAGGCCCAACACCCACCCAGTCGGCCCCTTAGACCACTCCCTCGTTAACCCCCTCCCAAATTCGTTCTTCTGCAGGTGCCCGACAAGAACGGACCCCGTCTGCTCTCCCCCGAGCGCGTGCTCAAGACCATGGCCCGCGAGTACTTCACCATGGTACGCGCAACTCTCTCGCTTTCTCCCCGCACTTCGCTCTTGTCGTCTCTTGTTGTCCTCTAATGCGCACGCGATGTGCGGACGTTTAACTCCAGCTGGGAACGCTGTCCTCGACCGAGCGCGGGCTCGAGCTCATGAAAAAGTTCAAGATCTTCAACTATCTCAAATCGATGACCGAACTCCAGGGCCGAGACGACCTCTCCTTCCTCATCCTCACTTCGCTCGATTACAACATGTACCGCCGCTCAAGCCCGATGACCTCTTCATTCCCCCCCCCCGCTCCACAAACTACTAATTCGAAATCTCTTTCACTTTCGTTCTTTCCAGAAGCGGCGGTCACTCGCGAGTGATTCTGTCGAAGGCGCTGACGTCGCAGTCGAAGGTGGTCCGCTTCCTGGCCACCCGGCACATGCGCGTCCTGCTCCGTGCCGGCGTGGCCAACTTCAGCGCCTGGGGTATCGAATTCCTCGTCAAGCAGCTCTCCGACACCGACTCCAAGGCAAGCTTCCCACACCGCACACACCGCACACGCCGCACGCGCCGCACGCGCACAGAAACCTAACTTGCTCCGGGCCGCCCACGCAGGTAATCGGCATGTCGCTCTCGGTCCTGGACGAGGCCGTGGACGAGGAGGAATGCCTGGACTGTCTGATCTCCAAGCAGCCCGCAAGCGTGCTGGCGGCCATCGGTCGGCCCGGGCGCGACCTCCTCCTCCGCCTGCTCTCCACCGAGGCTGGCCTTGAGTACCTCTCGCGCGAGAACGACTTCATCTCGGGCGCGCTCCAGTACTGGAAGGAAACCGGTACTGTCACGTCGACAGTTTGTTCAAACAACACACGCGACACACACACACACACACACACACACACACACACACACACACAGCTGACGCCACACGCGCGTACGCTGCAGGCAATCTCGAGTACGTGACCGCACTGGACGATGCGCTCAGCGAAGCGTTCTCCGCACCCGTCTGGAGAGAAAAGGCACGCTCTCGCCTTTGCATTTCATGACTTTTACGCTCTTCTTACTGTGTCGTATTGTGTGTGTCGTGTCGTGTCCCCGACACCAGGGCTCCGAGTATCTGACCAAGCACGTAATCATTCCGCCGCATCTGTACGGTGAGCTGGCCAAGACGGCCAAGGGCTGCGGCATCCTCAAGCAGTCGGCCCACCACCTGGAGCTCCTCGCCGTGCTCCGCGACGTCTCCCAGCCGCCCCTCGCCCGCCGCACTGCCATGTGGGCTCTCGTACCGTTCTCCCGCCCCACCCGCCCCCAGCGCTCGCATCGTGTTCTTCTCACACCACCGGCGCGCGCGCAACGCCCTGCAGGGACACATCGCGTCGTCCGAGTTCGGGCTGAAGCTGCTCGATGAAAGCTGGGCCAACTCTGGACCTGGACCTGCGCTCGGCGGGCAACTCTCCTCGAGTACTGACTCCCCCCACCATGACCGCCGCTCACGCGAGCGTAAGTTGTTTTTAACTCCGATACGCGCGCGTGATGGGTGGGTGGTGGGGGGGGGGGCGTAGGTGGATCGTGGATGGTGGGATCGCCGAGGCATCCGACATCGACGCACAAGCGGACGCCGTCGTCGGCATCGAGCTCCCCGCGCTCGATCGCCTCCGCCACGCAGGGCTCGTCGGCCACCACGCCGCGCCTGCGGTCGGGCTCCTTCGGCTCGCCGCCCGCTCAGAAGTCGCCCCTGCGCCGCAGTCTCCTGTCCACCCCCGAACCCAGCCCCGCCCTCGCTGGTACGCGCAAATAATCATTTATTTCTCATTTATTTATTTTATTGATTGCATGAAATGAATTCTAATTATACTTAATCTACTTAAATCGACGATGGCGCAGACTTCAAGGACCCGAGGGAGGCGCTGCGCGAGGCGGAGAATGTGGTGGAGGCGCTCGTGCGAATCGCCGAGACCGACGGCTGCTTTGCCGTGCGTGGCACTGCCGTCTACGTCATCGGCATGGTCTCCGGCACCGAGCAAGGTGCTCTCGCATGTGCGCCTCGGTTCTCGCCGTGCGTGGCTGACGCACTTTTTCGCATACGCACACGCACGCACACACCGCACACACCAGGGCGTCAGCGGCTGGAGCGGTTCGGCTGGGACACCCCGTGTCACGTGAACTCGCACGTCAGTCTGCCGCGCGACATTCGGTCGACGCCATTCCTTCGCATCGACGAAAACGAATACATCGACGTCTTCGTCGCACCTGAGTCTGAAACGGTACTGCGGCTCCCTCTCTCCCACACCGTTCCCCGGCTGTTGGCTCAACCAACTGACCGACGGCGGTGTGTCGCAGGAGGTGGTCGTGCACCCGCCGCCCGCTCAGGGAGAGGCCCAGGGGAAGGAATCGATTCGGGAGGAGATCATTCTGTGGGTGACCAACCTCTCCAATCACATCACCGCCGAGCGCGCCATGAACGCCCTCAAGCGCGCCAAAGTCAAGCATCCCTCCGAATTCAGAAAGGTGTGTGCGGTGTGTACGGTGTGTGCGTGCGGTGTACTGACAGGGATGTGGATGTGCAGGCGGCGCTGGCGAAAGAGATACTCCAGATGCTGGAGCGGTACAGGTTCCGGCTGCCGGTCCGCCGCTTCGTGTATTCGCTGCTCGACGACAGCGCCTTCGACCGCTCCTTCTTCGCCGCCCTGGCCAACGTGCGACCCGTTGCGCGCAAGGGCACCTGGACCCTCGCCGTCCCCGGCCACCCCGGCAAGCCCTAAGCGCCACCCACTCGCACGCACTCTGCGCCAGATCATGGCCAGATCAGTCACCATCTCGCCCCCCTTTGGGGTACCACCCCCACCACACACCTTGCGCTGCACCTTCTGTACCTCAATTTGTTGTTCACACTGCCTCTCTTCACAAGAATAAAAACAAAAAAGAAAGAAAAAGAAAAACAAACCAAAAGAGAAATAAAAAGGAAAAAACAAAGTGGCGGCAAAACAAGTGTCGGCGAAATTAGGGAAGCATTTGGGATTCGATCAACACAGAGGAACAAGCGTTGGGGGATCTTAAGATTGAAGGAAAGGAGGCATAGACACAGAGCTGCAGGAGGAGGATCACCGGCTCTGCTTTTGGATTATTGCGTATTCAAGGATCAAGGTTGGCGTACAACCTCATGGCCGCTAAACTTGAAGATATCAAGGCGCAGCAGGTAAATGAACAGACATTAAGGAGATTGGCGATGATGGATCAGGCAAAACCGACCACTTCGCAGCATGCACGCCAACATCAGCAGCACACGCTACACGAGGTCGGGCATGCTGTTGCCCATGCCATGGCGCCGGCCACCCTGGCCTTAGCTGCATCGGAGGCCAGCACCGCCATCAAACAAGCCGCTATCCCGCTCCCCTCCGCTGAGGTACCGGAGCACTCAAACCCTTTCGACTTCGATTCCATTCGCTTTTGCCGATTTTTATTGATTAGATAGAACAAATAATCGAATCACTTTTGATTGCTCATCTTCTCTTCTTACCTCTTCGTGTCGTGTCGTGTGTCGGTCGTGCGGCTCGGCATGGGGCAGCAAACGGCCAAGGCCGACGCCGAACGGCGGCAGTGCTGGCACGAGCTGCGCAACGTGGTGCGGCAGATCTACGCCGAGGTGAAGGCCAACAACGAGTACGAGGAAGGGTTCAGCATCTCCTTCGAACGGACCTACAACATGGTCTACCGGCTGTGCAAGCACAACCCGGAGACGCTCTTCCGCAAGCTGGAGAAGGAGGCCCAGAACTGGCTCGAGGTCCTGCGCGAGCGCCTCGTCGCTCAGCTCTCCACCACCTCTGGTACCGTTGCGGCCTTACACCCCCCAGTTCTTCTTCTTCTGCGTGTGATGACGGTTTCCTGATGGTCGCGGCGTGAACAGTGGCGAGCGTGGACCGGGCGCACAAGTTTTTGCTCGCGGTGCAGAAGAAGTACGACGACCTCTGCGCGGCGAACGAGGTGTTCAACGGCGTTTTCATCTACCTTCACAACTGCTTCCTCAAGCAGTTCGACATCACCTTTGCTGATGTCAACAAGGTAACCCCACCTTCATCATCGCCGCTATCATCGTCGCCATCATCGCCTTCATCGTCGCTGACACATGTGCGCAACAGGGCCTGTTCTGGGAAACGGTCTACCTGGACCCCATTTTGCAAATCAATCTGCCGCGCCTCAAGTCGCAACTCAAGCGGAGCGATCCGGTCCTCCAGCAGTACATGAACTTCGAGAAGAAGCTCAAGGAGACCCGCTCCCGGTGGCGGCAGCTCAAGAAGCGACTCGACCAATACACTCTCGAGAAGGTCTGTATTTTATCCTCTCTCTCTCTCTCTCTCTCTGTGTGTGTGGTGTCGTGTGTGCGGTGGTGTGCGTGCGTGCGTGCGGCGAGCTGACGTCCGTCGGTGTCGCGCAGCAACGGGAGGCCCGATTGCGAGCCGAGTGTCAGCAGCTCCAGCGGCGGTGGCAGAAACTGGAGGAGCAGCACCGCGCCGGCGAAATCCCCGACATCGACCCCGAAGCCATCGCTGTACGCCGCCCTCGTCGCCCTAACGCCGCGACCTGTTGATAGCTGACGTCTTCATTTCTTTTTCTTTTCTCTCCTCACACTCCTGTAATACAGGAGCATATTCACAGCTGTCCGTTCTGCTTCCACCAGCACCTGTCGGCCATGACCAAGAAGGGTGAGGACTGCTGCGCGGCCCACACAAACACGCGACACGTCGTAGCCGGTGCCGCGGCCGCCAGCGTTGACTTTGTCGGCCACGCCGCGGCCGCCGCCGGCGTCAATCCCTACCACAACCCGTGCTGCTCGGCCTCCTGCGTCTATGGTATGCCCCCCCGTTGCATTTCACACATTCCTTGTGTGTGGTGTGTGTGGTGTTGTGCGTGTGTGTGTGTGTGTGTGTGTGTGTGTGTGTGTGTGTGTGTGTGTGTGTGTGTGTGTGAGTTTTGGCCTTGACTGACCGAGGCGGCGCGCAGGTGATCCCATGGCGTCGGGGCATTCGATGTACTCGACGGGCGAGGAGCTGGACGATGATGAGGACGACGACGAGGACGACGAGGGCGAGGAGCTGGACGACGACGACGAAGATGACGAGGACGAGTACGAGACCAGCATCCCCGCTTCTGCGGCCATTCCGCACTGCCAGGCGCCGGGCCACAACACGTGCGGGACCGATCCCCGAAACGGAAAGACGAAACACGCAGGTACACACCATCGCACACGCACCTCGCCTCACCGCACACACGCACCCCACCGCACACACAAGCACGCGCGCACTCGCGTATTCATCCTCTAATCGTGCGCACTCAGGCCACTGCTGTTGCCTGCACTCGCACTATCTCATGTGCGATCATTTTGCCGAGTCGACCCGCGAGAAGCTCCGAAGCAAACTCAGCATCCGCGTACGCGCTCCTCTCTTTTGCATTTGCATTTGCTTTCGTTTTCGTTTTCGTTTTCTTTCTTTTTCAATTCAAGTCGTTATTTCTGACGCTGGAGAGTGCGTCCGACACGACACGACAGTCCCACGTGACGAACGGCATGGGCAGCCACGCGGGCGGGATGGGGCGCGACGTGAAGGCCCAGTCGCCGCCGCGACCCGTCGAGGACCAGCGCAGCCTCGACGAGCTCCTCTCCTTTATCAACAACACCAAGAAGACGCCGGCCCGAGGAGGCGGCGGCGGCAAAAGTGACGACCGGTCGTCGTCTTCGTCGGCGTCGACACTCGCCTCGTCGTCGGCCTCGGCCGGCGGCGGCGGTACTTCGTCGTCGGCCAAGGCCCGGAAGAAGCAGCGCAAGCGGGAGAGGCGACAGCGCGAGCGCGAAGAGAAGGAGCGCGAGGAGCGCGAGGCCAAGCTCAACCAACAATCGCAGCTACAGCCGCCGCAGGCCAACAACAACGGCGGCAGCGGCGGCGGTGGTAAGCCAAAGGCCGCCAAGGCCGCGGCGACGGCTGCGCCCGAAGATAACGGCGGCGGCGATGGACCGGAGGACAACAGCAGCAACGGCCCCGCCGTGCCGCCAGACGAACCGAGCGAGGCGTCGGCGTCGGTGGCCGCTGAGGCGGCCGAGGTGGTGGCGCCGGGCGGCAGCCGGCTGGCGGCGAAGCTGGCGCAGTTCACCGAGTTCCCGCAGTTCTGGGAGGAGGAGGACGATCTGGACCCGGATCTGAAGGCCGAGCAGGACCGGGAGGTGGAGGAGTTCCGGCGGCGGCTGGAGGCCTCGGGCGGGCTCGCTCAGAGGCAGCAGAAGAAGCAGCTCAACGACGACAACGCCGTCGAGCTCTCGCAGCTGTGCCAGTCGCAGATCTCGATGAAGAAGGTCACCACCACGCAGAGGTGGAACGGCATGAACTGGGTGCTCGGCCAGTCCCTCGTCCCGCCCCAGCCAACAACGACAACGTCGTCGCCTTCGTCCGCAGCGACCGCCGTTCAACCTTCGTCGGCCTCCTCGTCTTCACCATCAACGGGCGGCCAGCGACGGACCAACAACAGCAACAGCAACGCCGGTGGTGGTGGCGGTGGCAAGGGCTCGCGCGGCAAGGGCAAGCGCACAAAGCGGAATGGAGGCGCACGAGCGCGACCCTAGGCACCAGGGCACGACACACGACGCACATTACAACACACACAAAACATGTTCGCTTGTACACTGCGATGCTGAGCTGCAGACGAATCATGATTATTTTCCCTCCAGCTCCTGTTCTCGTACTCTGTGTGTTCGTATGTTGTGTGCGGTGTGTGTCGTGTCGTGATCAAAAACTTTCGAAGAGTTCGATGAACTTGTCCTCGAGCGCGGCTGGGTTGCCGACGAGCGTGGTGTAGATGCCGGGCGAGAGCCGCTCGGCCACGGCGAGTACCACGAGGAAGTCCTGTTCGGGCTCCAGCTCCAGCTCCGCGCGCATGCTCTGCACCAGGCCCATGTCCACGAAGCTGGTCCTCGCCCTGCACATTGCTCTTCTCGTCAGACACCACACCGCACACGCCGCATACGACACACGACACACCGCACACACCGCACGCGCAGGCAACGTACAGTTGGTAGTCGACGTATTTGACGAGGAGCGCAGCGCGTCGGGTGAGGATGCGCATGGCCTGCCGCACGAAGCCCTCCCGTGTCGACACCGGCAGGCGCCAGGCCTCCTCCATGACCTCGGCCACCCAGCCCGACCACTCCCCGCCGAAATCGCGCAGCAGCCCCTCCCTGGGAGGGGTATGCACAACAATGACCGCATGCTTAGCATTCCACGGGCAGTCGCAGCAGCTGCGGGGCTTGGAGGAGGAATTAAGAGTATGTGAGAGGGGCGGTGGCCAGGTACTCGGGGAGGAGCGGGCGCGGTTTGTCGAGGGGCGTGGGCGAGGCGGCGAGCGGGGCGGGACCCTGGCCGAACCGGAGGGCGTCGAAGTAGTCCCGGCGCAGGGCGGCGTGCTGGTGGCGCGGCAGTGATTGCCGCACGCGCTCCTGGTCCAGGTCGATCACCGTGAGCGGGCCGCGGCACCAGATCACCGCCTCGTCCTTCAACTCTTGCTGTACTCACACCACCGCACACACCGCACACGCACGACACGCACGGCACACGACGCACGACACGCGCGACACACGCGGTACGGTTAAAGTGGTGCCTGCGAAGCTTGCGGGTGAGCGGAGTACATGTACGTGAGGCAGGCCTTGGAGGACGAGATCGGGCACGAAGACGGCGCCGGGTCCCGCGCGGGCGGAGAGGCGCAGTTCGCTCTTGCGGAGGAACAGGGAGAGCGAGTCCACCCACTGTTGTGGCGACACATCCACGCGTGGACCATCACGAAACTCGTGAGTCGCAACCGCGCGTGTGTCGTGTGTGTCGTGTGTGTCGTGTGTGTCGTGTGTCTTGAGCGTGTCGTGTGTGTTGTGTGTTGCTGCGAAGCACGTACAGCGTTGACCAGTTCCAGGTCGCTTCCCATGACAACGGTGTGGTGCTGGGTCACGAGGTGCGACGTAATTGCCCTAGCGCGCACACACACGACGCACGACACGACACACACGATGTACGACACGACACACGCACCATCGCACACGGTTAGGGGGGGCATAGATGTGGGAGAAGCAGAGTGGTGAGGGGGGGGACGGGAGTACCGGTGGAGGAAGGTGGGGTCGTAGGCTGCGAATCGGGGGTGGTCCCTGCAGAAGAAGGTGCGGGCGGGGTCCGCGGGCCGCAGGCCCAACCGGAACAGACCTTCGGTTGTCGACACGAATTGGGGCAGCAGCGCGGAGAACTTGCCCAGCACCTGCTCCGCCTCTCGACCCTGGACACACACCGTTCCCGCCGCTCAAGCCAGTGTACACTGCACGACACGACACGCGCGCAACCGCAAACGCACACACCGCACTACATGACACGACACGCACACACGAACGCGCACACGCACACGGATGGGGAGTAGTACGCGCATCATGAGGGTGCGGAGGGAGGCGACGAGCTGGAGCAGACGGTCCTCGACGATGTGGTGCACCAGCAGGTAGCGTGTGAGATTCGAGTGCTGTGATGGCGTGTGTGCGGTGGTGCGGTGGTGCAGTGGTGCGTGTTGCGTGTTGCGTGTGCGGTGTGCGGTGGTGCGTGTTGCGTGTTGCGTGTGCGGTTGTGGTGAGTGCGACGCGCACACTCTCTGGTAGGTGGGGGCAGTAGTGGTGACAAGAAAGCAGAGCAGAGCGGCACACGGTACCGGAGTAAGGAGGGAAAACGAGAACTTGGACACCGAGCCCCGCATCTTACCGGTGAATATCACCGCCAGCATAATGTACCCTGGAGCACACAGCAGCACACCGCACACACCGCACGTATACAGCAGCACACCGCACACACCGCACACACGGCACACGCCAATGGCACGCACGTAGTGTGAGCACACGGTTTCGGCGGTTGTGCGTGGATGGGTTGGCGTGGCGCACCCATCTCGGCGAAGACGTGGAATTTGGTCTCCAGGCGATCGTTGAGTTCCTCCTCCTCCTCGCCCAGCTCCCCGCTCTGTTGACCCGAGAGATCGCACTCTGACTGTCAGCCCACTCCACCCACCCGTCCGTGTGTCGTGTCGTGTCGTGTCGTGTCGTGTCGTGTCGTGTCGTGTCGTGTCGTGTCGTGTCGTGTCGTGTCGTGTCGTGTCGTGTCGTGTCGTGTCGTGTCGTGTCGTGTCGTGTCGTGTCGTGCGTACGAGAGAGTGGCGGGCAAAGGTGATCAGAAGGTCCTCCGACACCGTCGACGAGGGCCTGTGCCATACCTGTTCCACCCGTGGTCCAAAAATATTGTCCTGCGACACGACACACGACACACGACACACACGACACACACCGCACACACCGCACACGACACACAACACGGGAGTGAGTGGGAGGGCTGTTGGTGGTGCCGCGGCGGGAGGGCCTGTACGCACCCACAGGGCCAGCTGAATGCAGCTGAACCACGAAGCCGACGAGGCCGAGGCGGACGCGGAGGTGGTGGAGGAGGTGGTGGTCGTGGTGGTCGTGGCGGGGTCCGGCGGCGGCGGCGGGTCGTCGAGCGTGGTGACCACCGTCTTGAGGGCACGCGGGAGGAGCAGGCTCTGCTGCCTCGCACGCCCTCCCCTTCCTCCTCGCCCGCTACCGCCTATTAAAAATGTAAATTTAATAATATTAGAACCATAATAAATACGGCGAATAATACTAATAATAATAATAATATAATATGAGAGATTAAAAAAGATAAGATTAATTTATATATTACGTACGGGTGGGGCGGGAGGTGGGCCAGAGGGACGACCACAGGAGGTTCCATACTGTGTCGGGCGACGACGCGGACGGTGCTGCCACAGACGCGGCCACCCCGCCGTGCGAGGGCACTGCTCGAACCACCGCGGCAGCCGGTGGCGTGTCCATCTATCGATGTAGTACGACGTGTGAGTAAGTTCTTCGGCTTTCCCTGTCGGCAGAAAAATACTGCTTTGAGGAATTTGTGCACGATTCGTGCAACCTCCCGCAAGGCACATGCCAGAGCCTCTTCTTGGTGTTCTTCTTCTCCTCACTTTGAGACCAAAGCGAGTGTGTGCTTGCAGGTGCATGCAGGTGGTGATGGAGAAAAAGATCAAGATCAATGATGAAGATGAACAATAAAGAAGGGAGAAGGAGCAAAAATCATAATGTGTGTATTTTGTGGATGTGTGTACAACACAGGGCTACCAGCTCTAGCTCTGATTGCTCTGGAAGACGGCAAAGACGCGCTTGACAGCGGCCACCTGGTTGAGCGAGGCCGCCACTCGCTTCTTGAGAGACGCTACAATGAGCACGTTGATCAATTCCTGGTTGTTGTTGGTGTCAAGGAAATGATGAGTTCGCAGTGTGCTCAGTGCTTTGTGTTGCTGCGAGGGAGGCGCGGTACCTTGACTTGTTTGCTGAGTTCGATCGCCGTCTGCTCGACCTGCCCGTGATCGGGACCCGATCGGTGTGAACGCACCGACGAAATGATCTTGAGCTGCGTCGACTTGTCTCGGAGGAGGCCGGCGGCTTGGGAAAGCTGGGCACGGACGTTGGTGTCGGTGGACTTGTTATTAATCTCGAGCTTGATCCCGTCGAGCAGGCTCTGCGTCCGCTCCATGATCTCCTTGGCCAGCGCGGGCTTGTCGGCCGTGGCGCTGTCGGGTCCGCGCAGTGTGGCCAGCACGTGGTCCACCTTGTCGACCGTCTTCTGCGCCAGCGTGATCACGCTGGGCGACTTGCCCTTGCCGCCCTTTCCGCCACCGTTCGACGCCGCGGGTTCGGCCGCCGATCGCACGGCGACAGGCGCCACCTTCTGTTCCACCACTTGCGGTGAAGCTTCGTTTTCGCTCTTCTCCGTCGTCGCTTTCGCGCTTTGGTCTGCCCCTTGGCGCGGTGATGGCTGGCTAGCCTCAGCGGGCGCCCCGTTCACCGCGACTTCCACCGCTGGCGATGGCACCGCAGCGGCAGCCGCCGCGGCCGGCGTCGTCTCAATGTTCTTCGCGGCCTCTTCCTGCTGCGGTGGTGGTTTCGTCGTCGGGGCCACCGCGGGCAGCTCGCTAAGCGACGAAGAGAGCGACACGGAAGACGACGACGAGTTCAGACTGTCGCTACCGCCCAGAAGCGACTCCGAGCCGTCCTCCTCGTCCTGATCCTTGTGCAGCGCCGTGAGCGTCTCCAGCGCCGTCCGCAGCTGCTCCTGCCTAACATAGAAACATAAACAAACGTATTAATACAAATATAAATACTATAAAATACTATAATTACGAATCCTAATAATAATAATAAAGTTGGGGGTACCGTGTGGGCGAGGGGGAGAGGGGCAGGGAGAGGGCGATCATCTTCTCGAAGCGCTTGCCCATCTGCTTCTGCGAGCCCATGAGGCGCTCCTGGAGGACGATATCCTTGGGCTTCTGGGTGGCCTCCTCGGCGTACTTGGCCACCTTCTCGCTCCACTGCTTGAGGTCGTTGATGGCCGCCAGCGCCTCGCTCTTGCGCGCGTTCCACACCGCGTAGGTGCCCTCGTCCGCCGCCACCGCCTCGGCCTCGTTCTTGTGGATCATGGCCTCGACCTCGGCCGTGAGGTAGTGCACCATGTCGAGCTCCTCGCGCGCGGCCGTGACCAGCTCCCGCGTGACGGAGCTCCCCATCATCGACGCGATCGAGGCCGAGTGGATTCGCTGTGCCGCGGCCGCGGCCTCCTCGTCGGCCTTCTGCTGCTGCCTTTGCTTTTCTCGTTCCATTTCCTTTTCTTTTTCCTTCTCGTCCTCCTTCTGCTTGTCCTGTTGCTGCTGGGCGAGCGCGGCGTCGAGCTGTCGTCGCAGCTCGGCGGTGTCGCGCTCGCGCGCGCTCTGCTCCTCGGCCAGCGCGGCGGCGAGCTTGGCCTCCCACGCAAGTCGCTCGCGCTCCTCCGCCTCCGCCCGGGCGCGCGCCTCAGCTTCCGCCTCGGCCTCGCGCTGGGCCTTCCACGCGCGCAGGGCCTCGGCCTCACTCTCGCGCTCGGCCAGGGTGCGTCGCAAGGCCTCGAGCTCGTCGAGCCGTTGGCGCTCGTCGTCGGCCCGGGCTTCGAGCTCCTGCTTGGCCTGGCCCAGTCCCTCCTTGAGCGTCTGCGTCGCGGCCATGACCTCCTTGAGCTCCCGGTCGCGCTGGGCCGCGTCGGCCTTCATCTTCTTGTAGAGCTCGCGCTCCTTCTGCATCTTTTTGACCCTGGCCTCGAGCTCCTGCATCCGCTTGTCCTTTTCGGTGGACTCCTTGTCGCGGGCGTCCTGCTTGGCGGCCTTGAATTCCTTGAATTCCTTGTCGCGCGCCGCCAGCTCTTTGGTGAGGTCGGCCAGCTTGGCCTTGAGCTTGGCCGCCAGGCCCTTCTCCCGCTCCCGCTCCTCGTCGAGCTGTGTGAGTTGCTCCTCCATCTTCTTCACCTCCTCCTCCCGGAAAATCAGCTCCTCCTCGAGATCCTCCGCCTTCTCTCTCAGCTTTTGCTGCACACGGCGAACGATGAGCACAAATAACAATTTTATAATAATAAACTACAAAAAAATAATACAAATTACAAATATAATAATAATAACAAATATAAACAAAAAATTACAAATATAAACAATAAAATGAGTAATACCTCGAGCTCCTGGTGAAAATAGGCCTTTTCGGCCTCGGTTTCGGCTTCTCTCTCCTTACGCTCTTCCTCCTTCTCCTGCAGGTCCTTCAAAATGATCTGCTGACTCTCCAGCGACGATTTCAGCAACTGAGTGCGTGTGCGGTGATGTGTGTCGTGTGTGTCGTGCGTTAGTTAACAAAGAAGTGCGGACACGAGTGTGTGCGGTGAGTGCGGTGCGTTACCTCGATCTCGGCGATGCTCTCCTGCCACTTCTCCTCGACCTCGCGCCGCGTCTTCTCTTTCTCCTCGGCCTTCCGGCGCTCCTCCTGCTTCTCGCGGATGAGCCGCTTGATCTCGGTGTCCTTGGCCGCGAGTCGTATCCGCAGCTCCTCCAGCTCGCGCCTCCGCTCGCCCGTCTCCTCCTCGTAGAACGGCGACGAGGCGTGGAGCGGCGATGCTGACGTCATCGGCGACGACAGCGACGACGACGCGCCGTGGGGCGTCAGCGACGACGAGGCGAAGGGCGACGCCGACGAGCCGGACAGGAGCGAGGCGGCGCGGGCGGCGGAGGTGGGCGAGCCGGGCGTGCCCGAGGCGGAGGACGAGGGCGAGAGCGAGGAGTACTTGGCCATCATCAGGCTCAGCCGCTTCTGCTTCTCGAGCTCGCGCTTGCGCGAAAAGGAGCTGAGCTTGAGCTTCTCCTCGAACTCCTTCATGCCGCGCTCCACCTCCTCCTCGTCCACGACGACCGGGCCGCCGCCGTCGCCTTCGCCGTCGTCGACAATGTCACCGTCACCCGCATCATCGAGCCCGTTGTGCAATTCGTTATCTGGTCGGTTCCGCAGCAGCGCGACGCAAAGTAAAACGCACGCACACGCACGCACACGCACACGCACAGCGTTGAGGCCTCGATGCACCGCACCCACGCTCAAGCGCATGGGGCAAATGGTATGCAGAGAAGGGGTTGAGTGAGTACAGTTGGTGGTGGCTGCGGAGAGGTCGGCAAACTCGACGTCCTCGTCTTCTTTGTAGGGCAGTGGCAGCCCCTCCATGCTCTGCACGGGTGCCAAGCAAGATTAATCTTAACGTCCACACATCCAATTGGATGGGAGCAGCTTCAAAAAAATGGAACAAGATATTTTTAAAAAACAGGAAAATAAATCGTTAAAGTTAACCTGGTAATCAAGAACAAAATAAAATGGGAAGTGAGATTAATTGCCTAACGTGCTGGTGAACCGGTTGGGGGATCGATTCTGTAAGATCGCCTTGCGTTCACCAAGTCGATGGACAACGTTCCTGGTAGCCGAAGAAGGCCACACGGAGCTGTGGTAGAAAGAAAGGCCTGGAAATACAACAAAAATAACAAATAAATTCACAAGAATGCAAAGCAGGCACTGGTTTTTCTCTTTTTGGTGTAATTTGGGTTGCCCAGGGGCTCATAGACATAGCTGGTCGAGAGAAATAGCATTTCTCTTTATCGCAAAAGAGAGCTCGCGCAGCAACCACAAGAAGAAGGCCGACAACCCAAAAGGTTCCCGCTTGTCCTCCGCAAACGCCCATCTCTTACAAAGTGAAGCGCCGTCTTGTTGTTCCTTTTCGTTCTTCGTCGTCTTTTTCGATCTTTTCGTTATTGCCCCCCCCCCAACCGACGTTTGGTCTTCGCTCTTCCATGGCACCACCGCATTTTTGTGGCCTTTGGCCCGCCGGCGATCGGCAAGAAGACCCACTACATGCGAGAGACCAAGAAAAAAGCGACGGCGCCACAAAAGGACTGACATGCTTAGTTGGCTTCGGGTGCGCACAGACAGAGAGGAGTGATGGCCGCCACGCGCAACGTCGCTGCTATGGCGACCCTACGAAGGCCTGCGCCACCGACGCCGCACGGCACCACCTCGTCATCGGCCTCCACCCTCAACGCCATGCTCGACAAGTCCTCCACTTCCACCGCCTCCACCTCCTCCTTGTCGTCGTCTTCGTCGGCCTCGTCATCACTTTCTCCACAACAGCCGCCGGCGCCGCCCACCGCGGCCAAGCCCCGCCTCGCTCGGCCCGGCAAACCACTGCCCGGTCTGCCGCCCACGCCCGTCGGCCCAGCGGCCACCGCCGCACCCGCTGCCACCTCAACACCCGACCCGTCCACTCCCCGGCAGGAGCAGGAGCAGGAGCCACAGCCCGCCAGCGACGCTGCCACCTCTACGCCAGCGCCGCTGGCCAGCGCCTCTTCCAAACCACCGGTGAGCGAGGCGGCCGCGCCTATGCCAACGCCGGCGGCCGATGCTGCTGCTGCTGCGACAGAGACTGAGTCGTCGAGCGATGGCGCTGCGGCGGGAGGCGCAGCTCCGTCGTCTCCCTCGCCGCTGGCGCGGCCGCCGGCACTGACCGCCAAGAAGCCGCTCGTGCCCGCACGTCGGCCGGGCTCGCAGACCATCTCCTCTTCGCCCGCCGCGCCTTCTTCGCCCGCCACCGTCCCTCACTCCCCGCTTGCGTCTTCGTCGTCTTCAGCGTCGACGTCGACGTCGGCGAGTGAGAACTCCTCACCGTCGACGCCGACGCCTTCGCTGAAGCTGACGCCGTCGTCGCCGTCATCGTCGGGCGACACGATCCCCACGTCGGCCCACGCGGCCAACCACCAGCAACAGGTGATGAAGTCAGCAGACTCGCCTCGGGCGTCAGCGATGGCAGGCGCTGACGTCAGCAAATCGACGGCGGCTGCGGCCGAGCAGGCCTGTCAATCGCCCCGGCGGACCTCCGGCGGCGGCAGCAGTGGCGGCAGCGGGCCGTCGTTCATGCCGGGCCTCGGCTCGACGATCTCGACGTCGTCGCTCCTGTCCGTGTTCTCGTCGTCATCGGCCGGCGCGACCGTCGACGATCTCGAGAAGCGGCTGCGCAAGGTCAAGGAAAAGCGCGAGAAGCTGATCAAGGAGCTCAAGCGGCTCGACGACGAGGAGAAGGAGCTCGAGGAGAAGCTTAAGGAGGCGCTCGAGGACGGCGGAAGCGGAAGGAAGAAGAGCTCGCGACGCGGCTCGCAGATCGTGCGTGTCGACAACAGCAACAGCAACGGGGCCGCGACGCCTTCGCTCGGCTCCGCGTCGTCTCTCACCCTGGCCTCGCCCGGCGGCGGCGGCGCGGCTGGCAGCAGCGGAAGCGCCGTCGGCTCGCTGGGATCGGCGGGTTCGGGCATCAGCGGCGCCGGCGGCACCCTGCACCGCCGCATGGGCAGCCTGGTGGGCATGACCAAGGGACCCAAGAAAAAGAAGAAGGGCTCCACGCTCACGCTCTTCAACGACAAGGACAAGGAGCAGCGGGAGAAGGCCGACGCCGGCGCGCCGGGGCCGCCCTCGGGCGGCAGCTCGGCGAGCGCACACGACATCAACGCGCCTCGGCAATTCTATTGCAACGTACCCATGTTTATTCTTTATCTCCGAGCATTCCAGTTAGCTCCGATCTGATGAACTGACCTGACACGCGCACAGCGAGCCGGCAGTGTGACGTTCAAGGTGGAAAAGAACTGGGACGTGGCGTCGGCGCCGCCGATCAAGAAGTACGCGCGCGAGGTGCGACGCAAGAAGACGATGCTCTACATCGACTCGACCAGCATCCAGGTCATGGTGCCGGAGGAGAAGACCGCCAAGTTCCCGCTGGCCGACATCAAGCACGTGGGCCACAGCGTCAAGCAGTTCTACATGGTCGTCGGCAAACCCCGACGCAAGAACGTCGAGATGTTTGAGTTTAAGACGAAAGAGGTACCTAACGGCTCACTCCTTTTCACTCAACGTCAATTCTGACCGCACGCACGCACGCACGCACGCACGCACGCACGCACGCACGCACGCACGCACGCGCAGGGCCAAGACATATTCGATTGGGTGGTGGCCCTCAAGAACGAAGAGAAGAGGCAAAAGGAAAAGGAGAAGGAAAAGGAGAAAGAAAAGGCCAAGGACGCCGACGCGGAATCGCAGGCCCCGCCCCAGTCCCAGCCGGATGGCGCAGAGCAGAAGGCGGACGTCGATAGCAGCGCCGCCACGAGCGAAGCCCAACAGGCCGAGGTTCCCACGCCCGAGGTACGCCGCTCTGTTGTGTTGGAACCTCGGCCTGTTGGGCTTCGCTCAATAATGATTTCTTGTGGTGCACAGACCACGCCTGCGCCACAGTCCGTGTCGCAAACGCAGCCAACGGCTGCCGCACAGGCTCCTGCGTCAGACCGAACCGATCTTGTCAGGTAACGTGGGCGCCCACAACGACCGCAGAAAGTTGAGGAGGAGACGGCGTGTCTGATGCATGTATTGTGTAACCAAAGGTGGTCGGTGGCATTCATTGCGCCGATCGTGCTCGACAATGACACACAAGAAGCCGACGATGGTGACGATGAGGAAGACGCTGACGAAGAAAGCAGTGGCTCTAGCATCATCCTAGGCCGCGGAGAATCGGGTGCGTGTGCGGTTGTGCGTGTGCGGTTGTGCGTGTGCGTGTGCGTGTGCGTGTGCGTGTGCGTGTGCGTGTGCGTGCGTACAGGAAGGTGCTGATTTTGTGGGGTTTGGTTGACAGAGGAGGACACGGGGGAGTTGACCATTTCGTCGCCTCAGTCCATTCCCAAATCCCCGACACCGGCCAAGAAGGTGGACATTCACCGCGAGACGCTGCTCGAGCTGCTCGCCACCGAGCGCAACTACAACGCCGACCTCGACCTCGTCGTTGAGGTACTTCGTCAATTCGTGACCGGCTCACTCGCTCTTTGCGCCTTCTTGTTTGTGAAGCCACACCACTGAACACTGAACACGCTTTTTTCGTCGACGCACGCAGGTGTGGATGGCCAAGCTCAAGGAGTCGAGGATGGTGGAGCCTGCCGACATGTCGGCCATCTTCTCCAACATCGAACAGATTCGAAACCTCAACAAGGTACAGCCCCTTCTCGGGCATGCGATGAGAATGTCTTCTTTAACGCGCCGCCAAAAACGTGGCAGCCATTGAAATGATTGATCACTCACACTGATGTGCGGCAATGGGTTGGTGCAGGTGCTGTTCAACTCGCTGGAGGGGCTCGACACACTCCCCATGGAGTCCCTCAACGTGGGCGAACGGTTCCAGACCTTCGTGCGTCACCTTCCTTCCCTTCTCGCTCTTTCCCCCCTCCTCTCTTTCGTTCTCTCTTCGTTTTCGCTTTTGCTTTCATTTTTGGGGCTCGCGTCCTGGCCTTGGCGTCGCTCACCTGTGTGTGTGTGTGTCGTGTGTGTGTCGTGTGTGTTGGCCAAAATGATCATTTCCAGATCGCGTATCTCAAGCTGTACACCCAGTACTGTTCCAACTACGAGATCGCCCACTCCCGTCTCATCAGCCTCAAGGAGGCCAAGTGGGAGGTGCGTCGCTCATAACTCATCGTACGCGACCAAATTCGATTGATTGATTGACTGCTCTCCACGTGCGCATTTTGTTCCGTTCCGTTTCCGCTTGCAATGCAACAGCTGCCGCCGTTCCTGGAGTCGATTCAGTCGCGCAAGGAATGCAAGAACCTCGACCTGGAGAGCTACCTCATCAAGCCCATGCAGCGCCTCACCAAGTACCCTCTGCTCATCCAGGTACAACCCCCCTACTGACGACGACGACGATTATGGTGATTATGATGATTATGATTAAAATGATTATTTACATTTTGTTGGTGGACGTGACCGAACAGGCTCTGTTGAGGCACACGCCGCCGACACACCCGGACTACGACAACCTGGCCCGATGCTACGACGGCGTGCAGAAGGTGGTGCTGACGGTCAACGAAAACGTGCGCGCACTCCTCTTTCCACCACAGTTCGTCGATTCTGTGTGTGTGTGTGTGTTGATCTCATCCCACTCACTACGTTGTGACACAGAAACGGAAGAACGAGAATCTGACCAAGCTGGTCCAGATCCAGCAGCAGTTCCTCGAGCCCGTACGTACTTTTAGATACCACCAACTGCAGTTGCACAAGTGTTCAGTTGGGTCAAACCTGAGCGGATTTGGCTGAACAAATGAACGCGACCCAGGGGCTCAAGCTCGTGGAGGCCACGCGCAAGTTCCTCCGCGAGGGGACCTTCCCTCGCGTTGTTCTCGGCACCACCATCATCAAGGTTGGCCACACCACACGACACACACGACACACACGACACACACGACACACACGACACACACGACACACACGACACACACGACACACACGACACACACGACACACACGACACACACGACACACACGACACACACGACACACACGACACACGACGCACGATATACGTGCACTCCGACTGCTCACGCCGTGCGTGTCGTGTGTTGCAATCGACAGAATTGTACGGTGTTGCTGTTCAACGACATCGTGGTGCTGGCGGTCAAGAAGAAGAACAAGTACCAGGCCAAGAGCGGTAAGATCACCCTGCGCGGTAGCTACGTATGGGAGGACCGAGCCGTCAAGTTCGGGTTCACCCTGGTGGGCCGGGAGGCCGCCGACAAGATCACCGTCGAGGCAGCCACCGAGCAGGAAAAGGCAAGCAACCCGCACGCACGCACGACACGACACGACACGCACGCACGAACTAATTATCACGTTTCTTTGCAGACGATGTGGATGGACGAGGTGTCGCAGGCCCTGGTGCAACTTCCGCACAACTCGCTCATCGGCGGATCGTCGAGTCCCGCCACCGCCGGTACCCCGATCTCACCCTTACATTGCAGCGCACGCTCTGGCGCGCCTGTGACCGCTCCGGACGCTGCATTCAGCTGACTCTCTCTCTCTCTCTGCGTTTCTCTCGTGTGGCACAGAAAAATTCGTGCGGTCCGAAGGCGGCAAAGAATAAACCCAGGACTGAGGCCTCCTGCAGGCTGCTTTGCTTTTTGTACAACAAAAGACTGTGACTTGATTGATTGGTGGCCACCACCACCATCAAGTAGACGCCTATTCTACTCTTCTTTTTGGCTCGGGTTCTTGTTGGTCCCGGGTGTGGTGGTATGCGAGGCATGTGCGGCCGTTGCAACTCCGGTGGCCGAGGCCCAATACAGCCAGCGGTCACTTTTCTTTCTCAAATTCCAACGCAGTGCGCCGCAAGACGGTGCGGCACAATGGACTCGTGGGTGGAGGAGGGGACGACGAAGGGGTCGAAGGAGACGACGGGGCTGCTGGCCCCCAAGCGCACCTACCAAACTATCGGCAGCCTCGCCGGAGACCAAGGTACCTTCAGTCCCCGCCCGACGGCGAGACGAACATGTTACTCTGAGGTAATATATAAACAAATATATGGGCACGTGCTCACAAATTGGGACTTTGGCCTGTGGGTGTAAAGATGAGGGTCAGTGGGAGCGAGGCCGCATGCTGCGACTGCTCTACTTCAGCTCCTTCCTCTCGGCCTGGGGCAATCGCATGTGGGAATTTGCCGTATATATCCTACATATCACACGACCCTCTCTACGATAAGTGATGTGCGCTCGCGCCGAGGCATATTGACCTGTGGCGTGTGCTGTGTGGCGCGCGACACCTGGCCAGGTGCCGATCTTGCTGACGTCGGTGTTCACCGACAGCTTGCTGCCGGCCTCCGCCTTCCCATTCGCCACCCAGCTGGCTTGCGTCATCTTAGGTACGGCAGCCCACAATATATATAGATATATAAATATCTTGTTTATATATCTATACAAACTTATATTTATATTGATATGTGCTATAAGGGACGATGATGGGCAAGATGGTGGACGACGTGGACCGCAAGCGGGTCATCACGCTGTCGCTCATCACGCAAAACGTGTGCGTGCTGATATGCGCGGTCATCCTCTACTTCATTCTGCCCTTTGGCGCACCCCATCCGCCCTTGGGCAACTGGCACTTCGACGTCCTCTTCGCCGCTCTCGTCTTCGTACAGCTACAACCCACCGCACACACCGCACACACCGCACACACCGCACACGGCACACACGCCGCACACACCGCACACACCGCACACCACTGACACAATCGGTGCGCGGACGACCTCCAGGTGGGCGCGATTGCGGCTCTGGCGTCGATGGTGGAGGAAATTGCGGTGGGCCGCGACTGGGTTGTGGTCATCACCAACGGCGACCGAGAGGCCCTCACCGGCACGCCCCTCCCCGTCGTCGGCCCCTCCTGCCCCCTTCGCTCACACCAGATGGACCGCCACAACAGATGCCAACGCGACGGTGACGCGGATCAGCCTCTTCTGCAAGGTCGCTGCGCCGGTGGCCTTCTCGCTCGTCATGGCCTTCACCTCTCGCAGTACGTCCTCCCTAGTAATTTATTCCTGGAATTATTATATCAATAGATAAAATCATTGCATTATCGTTTAAATTATATATATTTAAATTTTATATTACTGCCAGCGCTGTGCCTGGTGTTCGTGGGCGCGTGGAATGCGGTGTCGATCGTGCCCGAGATCTGGGCTCTGCTCCGCGTCTACGGCAGCGTGCCGGCCCTCCAGAAGACGCTCCAGTCGGCCTCGTCGTCGTCGGGCAACGCCTTCGCCACGCTGTGGGCCGGCTGGGCCACCTACATCAGCTCCCAGCGCATCTTCCTCGTCAGCTTCGCCTACACCCTCCTCTATTGGACCGCGCTCAGGTTTGCCCTCTCCTCTCACGTCAAGTTTTACAAACATCTCACCGCGTGTCGTGTGTGTCGTGTGTCATGCGGGTCGTGTCGTGTCGTGTGCGACTTAAGTCCGGGAGCGCTGATGTCGGCGTATCTGCTGACGCACGGCATCAACGAGATTTACATCGCGCTGTACACGGGCGCGTCGTCCGTGGTCGGCATGATCCCGACCTTCTTCACCTCCACCCTCTTCAAGCGCTTCGGCATCGAAAAGACCGGTACCCCACTCAACTCTGCACCATTACACTTTCAGCCGAGCCAACACTTCTCTGAGCGTGTGCGTGCGTGTGTGCGGTGCGCGCGTGTGCGTGTGCGGTGGTGTGTGCGCAGGAATGTACGCAATTTGGGGGCAGGACGCGTGTTTGTTGGTGTGCGTGGTGTTCTTCTTCGTGCCCAACTTCCTCCACTTGGCCGGCCTTCTCGGTGACGGGCCGCTCGACGGCGCCGCGCTGGCGGGCAGCTTCCTGGCCGAGTACTCCACGCCCTACAACTGGTCCATCTGGGCCTTCCTACTCTTTCTCATCCTCTCGCGCATGGGCCTCTGGACCTTCGACCTCGCCGAGCGCCAAATCATGCAGGTGCGCACTTGAGTGTGCGCGCGTGCGGTGTGTGTGCGCGCGCGTGTGCACGTGTGCGGTGGTGTGTGCGCTCACACGACACACGTTGTAGGAGTACGTGCCGGAGGAGTCGCGTGGTGTGGTCAACGCGGTCGAGTACTCGCTCACCAACGTGTTCTCGCTGCTGTCCTACGGCATGGGCATGGTCTTCTACGCGCCCCAGCAGTTCGGCATCCTCGTGCTCATCTCCTTCGGCGTGGTCACCGTCGCCGCCCTCTGCTACACCCAGTGGCGGCGCTCCGGCGCCCTCCTCCGACCACCACCACCAACCTTGCCTTCCGCGCAGGCAATCGAGGAGGCCTGAGTGGTAATAAAAGTCAGAAAGTTTGTATTTCTAGCCAACCAACCACACTAGAAAGCAAGTTCAGTTGAGGACACGATCGATGTGACGAGACACAGCCTCGGTGAAGAGTTTGTCGGTCGTGCGCCTGCGTATGACACGACACGCACACCACCACAACAAGTCAGCACTCATTATTGTGGGATGGAGGCGAGGCTCTGCGTACACGCTAAGTTCGACGTTGGTGGGCGAAGCGACTTTGCCGTGCACGAGCACCAGATCATTGCCGCCGACCAAGCGAGCACACGCAATCGCCTCCGTACCTGCACGCGAATGCCAGTTCTGGTTCAGACACGACACACACACACACACACGCACACACACTACCGCACACGCCACACGCGACACGCGACACGCCACACGGCACGACACGTACGGATGGTCTGGATGTGGTGGAGGTTGAGCTGAGATTGCATGAAGTGGACGAGCTGCTGGATGGACACCATGGCCTGCACGGTCTTCCGGATCTTGTTGGGCTGGGCGAAGGTGCCCCACTTCTTGCCGTACTCGTCGGTCGTCATCGGGAACGGTCTCAGCAATTCGGTGACCTGCAGCGGCAGCGTGAACTGCAAACGCTTGGGCTGGTTCATGTCATTCGTGTAGGCGACGTTGACCTGCGTGTGTCATGTGTGCGTGTGCGGTATTGGGTGTGCGCGTGTGCGGTGTTAGCTGCGTGTGCGGTGACAGATACGACGCCAAGGCGTTGGGCGCTGGTACCTTGAAATTGACGCCGACGCCCAGCTTGGCGAGGGTGAGGAAGGCGCACAGCGCGACAGCGGACTGGCCCGACAGCCGGCCCACGCGGAACGTGCCGCGGAGCCCGTCCGTCGCCACGTCCACGCCCTCCACGCTCGCGAAGCGCGGCTGTACCCGGGTCAGCAACAATGCGACTTGGTGTCGTGGGTGTCGTGTGTCGTGTCACGGGTGCGGTGGCAGACGCACTTTAAGGTTGTCCGGCACTTCGACGACGGCAGTGATGTTGTTCTGGGCCTGGACGTGCAGGTTGCTGACGAACAGGACCAGCGCGAGGTCGTTCTCCTTGTGGACAAAGTAGTGGGACACGTGGAGCGTGCCGTCCTCGCTCAGAACCCTGTTCACGTTCGGGCTCCGCTTCAATGGGGCCGCACCTGCACTTGCCACAGTTGACCCGTGAGTGCCGCGCGTGCTGTGGTTGCGTGTGCGTGTGCGTGTGCGTGTGCGATGGTGTTGTGTTGCCGTGCGGTGGTGGCGCGCACCCAGGTCTCGGACGAGGTGAGGCGGAAAGTTGAAGTTGCTGAAGTCCAGGTTTCCGTTGTGCTTGTGCGACATCACCAGCGTGGGCGCTGGAGTGGCCTGCAGCACCTCGTCGCTCCTCTGTAGTGGCGTCATTCCTCCACCGGCGTGAGTGGCGCGCCACTCACCCACAATACGGTGAATGTCGGGAGGTGGCGTACAGTGCGGAGCTGGCCGGACCCGCTCGAAGCTGGCGCCGACAGGTTGAGCCCGCCCAGCAGGTCATCGATCGAGACTGTTTGCGTGCGTGGAATGGAAGGAATGTGGAATGTGTGAGCGTTCAAGGAAAGTGTGTGTTCCAGGCCTAAATGCCAGAGACAGACTGGAATGTGCATACCAGACTTAGTGGGCGGCAGGAGAGGCGTGCCGGCGGTCGTAGTGGTGGCCGCGACGGCGGCAGCCGACGACGAAGGGAAGTCGACGTCGATGAGCAGCTGCTGACCTCCGCCGCCGCCGCCGCTCGCAGAGGCCGAGAGAACAGCGGGGTGGTCGTCAAAGTGTGGCAACAGCCCGCCGCCGCTGCCGCTGCCAGACCCGGTGACCACAGGTGAGAGCGAGACGGGAGACCTGACCGGCGACTCGTTCAACTCCTCCAACAGCGACGACTGCTCACCACGACACAACACAATTGCCGCCAAATGTCATCATCACGACGTCGTCATCACCATCGCCATCACGACAAGCTAATGAGGCCAATACCTGAGAAGTGGTGTGATCGGTGGCTGGCTTGGCACCCGACACCATCTTACGCCTCTGAGGGCCGCGGCCCTGCGAGGGGTCGCCTCCGCCTTGTGTTGTGGAAGACGAGCGTAGGTGAGTGGGTTGTGACTATGACTGCGATGATTCATATGTGGCGGTACCGGCGCTGAGGCCTGCGAACAGGCCCTGGTCCTCCTTGGAGATCTTCTTGTCGCTGAAGGCCTGCGCCGCCGACGAGCTCGACGAAGAAGAAGCCCGCTCGGCCTCCCAACGCTCGGGTCTCGTGTCATAGCCGCCGCTCCCGCTCCTAAATGTCACGACATAGTGAGGACCCGGGTGAGTCCCTCATTATATGGAATGGCAGTAAAGAATGTGTGCAGGTACCCAACGAGGGATTCGGCCGGGGAGCGATAACCGCCGCCGTCGCTGCCGCCGGACTTGACGGGTGCGGGGACTACGGTGGCAGCTGCGGGGGCGAGGTCGCCCTGGTAGCCGGCCTTGGTCCACTTGCGGGCGCCTCCGGTCGACAGGCTGCCGGTGGCCACCGGCGACAAGGAGACGGGCGGGGCGAGGAGGCCCTCGGGCGCCGCTGCGGCGGCGGCAGCGGCCGGAATCGGGTTGGCGGGAAGCAGCGGACGCGGCGCCTTCAGCTTCGGGTCGGCATATTTGTCAAACTTGAGCTGCTTCTTCTTGTCCGCCTTCTTCGGCTCTGCAGCGCAATTTCGGGTGGTGGAGGTGAGAGGGAGTCGCAGGCCTGGGAGGAGGGGCTAACGGGTACCGAGTTGGAGTTCTCCAGAGAAGTCGGGGCGCTGGGCGGGCGCGAGATAGGGGCGCGCACCAGCCGTGAGCTGCATCTGCACAAAGTCGTCCAGGAACGACATGCGCTTGTCCACCAGAATGTCCTCGCAGCTGTACACACGACACACACGCGTGAGCCTGCAGCAAATGTGATGATCCTCGGCCTGGTGTCATACCTTGCGTCAAGGGGCAGCACAGTGCGCATGGTGTCGGGAGTGGCGATGAGGGCCTCGAACTCGTAGCACCGCTGGAGGGAAACAGTCGCCACACGAGAGTGTCAGCAAAGGTGGTGACGGAAAGGGCACAGTTCGAGCGAGGGGGGGGAGAAGGTTGAAGACCTGCTGGAGGTCGATGTGACGCGAGCGCTTGTACTTGCCGACGATCTCCTCAATCGCCGGCGGACAGTGGGCCATCTGGGCGACCAGCTTCATCAGCCCCGACACGATCCAACAGCGCGTTTCGCTGCCTGCGCTCGTCACCACACACACGACACGACACGACACACACGCGCGCGACACGCGCCCTTGTGAGTCTCGACGGCCACGTCACGATCACCAAGAGGAGTAAGAGTTGGGAGTTTAAAATCATGTAACGCACTCTGATGGGCCTGCTCGAGGATCAGCACGAGACGGTCGGCGATCTGGTTGAGGGCGTGCGTGGGCGACAGGTAGCCGTATTCGGAGAGGACCCACACGGCGAGCTGCACGAGAACGTCGGGCACGACGACCTGGTTCTCGAGCACCTCCATGAGCTTGGTGACGGCGTAGATCCGCAGCTCCTCGTCGCCGTGCTCGTCCTCGACGCCCTCGGCGATCAGCTGCATGAGATTGTGCGCGATTTCCGCACGAACGAGGTCGCCGCCCAGCAGGAAGACGCGGATCATGGTCTCGATGAACCACTCGTTGTTGGGCGAGAACCGCTCGGCCAGCTGGGTGATGCGCGACACCAGCTCCGTGCGCAGGTAGAAGTCCGACGTGGTGGCCAGGTGGTCGACGAGCTTCTGAGTGATCGTCTCCACGTTCACGGGGTTGGTCATCTTGTACAGCAGGTCGAGCGTCTTTCGCTTCAGGGTGTCGTCGGGCGAGCGCAGACAATCGACCACCTGGTTCTGGTGCTGCTGCACATGGCGTGCGTCGATGGTCATGATCATGCTCAGACCGTCGATGCCGATGTACTTCAGATTGTTGCTGTTGTGAGCACCACCGACGAGAACCACACACACACACGTTAGTATTCAACAGAGCAGCTCGGTTTGTGCGCGAAGATGAACCAGGCGAGGTACCTCTTGCTGGTGATGAACTGCGAAATGGACGACGCGGCGGCTTCGAGCAGAGCAGGCTTGGGGTGAATGGAGGTGATCGTCTTGACGCATTCGTAGATAAGTGCTGCGCGAGCGAGAGAGAGAAAGAGAAAGAAACACACCACCGCTGATTAATGCTGGTAGCCTACTAGGCATAAGAACTCAGTTGCTCATACCATAGGCGGCGTTGTTGGTCGTGGGCTGCTTCATGACATCGGACAGAGTGTCGTACATGTGCTCGCTCACTCTGTCGACATAGCGGTATGTGAGAAAAGTGTTTGTGGGATCAGAGGGAGAGGGGGAGCCGCGGGAGAACCTCTTGTCGTTGGCGCCGAGGATGCCCAGGAGACGAAGGATCTTGACTTGCGTCCAGGGCGCAGGCACGTGGTGGTACTCGTAGTGCTTGGGCAGCCGCTTCTGCACGACCTGCTTGAGGATGGACACCAGGGTGGGCACGATGTCCTTCCACACTCGCGTGTCCTTCTGTCCAATCACAACACCGCCGCCACCAACGAAAAACGCAACATATCGTGGTAAGTCGACACACATCACGTGATTCAACCTTTGTTCTTAAGTCTCAGTTTATGGCGGCAGCCAGCTTGGATGGAGATCAAGGGGTGTACCTCGACGAGGTACTCGAGAAGGTTGAGGGTGGCGCTCATGACGGACGGGTCGGCGTCACAGAGCGCGCGCCTGACCTTCTCGTGAAGGTGGTCGACGCTAGTGGGCGACAGCAGGAAAAAGCGCAGAAGCGCCATCACCGCCTTCTTGCGCACCACAGCCCTACCATAGAGGGAGAGAGGAGGGTGTGTGTTAGCGTCTTCAGCTTAGAAATGTAACCGGTCAATTAAGTGGTGGTCCGGGGGAGAGCTCGATTACTTCTCGTGCTGGAGCAGTTCGGTGACGAGGGGAAGGACAGCGGGAATGGTCTCCTCGCTGATGAGGTGCGACAGCGCCGTGAGGGCAGCGCACACGTGCAACTGATTCGTGCTGCCCAGGTCCTGCATTCCATTGTTGATGGGATAAGTGTAAGTAGAACGCTAACCACACCAGAAGCCTTGGTGTGCCTGAGTTGCTGATGAGTTTGTAACATACCCTGCGTAGAGAGCTGATGAGGAGGATGAGCAGTTCGTGGTCACGGTGCAGGAACGAGGCCACAGCAATGTAGCCGACCCACTTGTCCAGCAGTTTCGATTGCTGCACACCACACAACAACAGCGCGTGAGCACTCGTGGCTGCCACAGGCCAGCATCGCGTGTACAGTTAGATCAAAAGGTACCTGGGTCATGTTGATGGCGTGGATGTAGCCCCACGACACATCGTGCCCGAGCATCTCGCAGTACATGAGCCGTACCACGAACTCGCGCATGTATTTCTGTCCATTTCGACGATAACGCATTAATGAATGACTACGCTACGTTGATGTTTGAGTCATGCACTGCAGCCACGTACGGCATTGTCCGGCTGAGCGATGACAGAACGCAGCAATTTAATCTCCTTTTCAATGATCAAATCTTCTTCCTGCATGCACACTCGCCATAGATTAGAAGAAGGGAGCTAATTGGAAGGAGGGGAGGCACAGGTACGAGTTTAGATTTGGCTTCTCCGATCCCCTTGATCAGATTGAAGAAATCATTGCTGAGGGACGACCCGCCCCCGCTGTTGCTAAACTGCATCTGCATGAGCGAGCTTAGGCCTTGCAGCGTGTCACCCAGCTGCTTGCCCAGCCTGCCACCATCCTTCTTGCCGCTCATCTCGAGGCACAAATAATCAATAAATAATTGAATTTATAGAAATAAATAATCATTTAATAAATTAATTTATGCCTACAGTTACAAAGAACGCTCAAGCCGACACAACAGCGTCGGTCGGTCGCTTCTCCTCGTTCTCCTTGGCGCCCACCTCGTCGGCGGTGGCAGACGAAGTCGCAGAAGAGGACGAAGAAGAAGAGGTGGAGCTGCTGGAGGCCTCCTTCTCCTCCTTCTCCTTCTCCTTCTTCTCCTCCTGCTCCTTCTCCTTCTCCTTCTCCTCCTCTTCGGCCTCCTTCTTTCGTCGGGCCTCCTCCTCGCTCATGCGGGCCAGCTCCTCGACCACGAACTTGTCCACGTTGTCGATGGCCGCCTGCGGGTCGAGCTTGAAGCGCAGGAGGTAGCCCTGGATGCTGGCCATCGATACCTGCTCCTCGGGCACAAGCCGCGCGAACTCGATCGCCATCTTCCTCACGCGCTCGCGCTCGCGCTCGATGTGCTCCTGGCGCGCGGCGACCTCCTTCTTGCCCTCCTCAGCCTCGGCCTCGGCCTCGGCCTCCCACGGCTGGTAGAAGTAGGCGAAGAGGCGCTCGATTTGGTCGCGGTTGGCGAGGCCGACGTAGAGGGCAAAGTCGACGCGGCCGGGCCGGGTGAGGGCCGGGTCGAGCTTCTCGCGGTGGTTGGTGGTCATGAGCACGAGCGAGCCCTCGAAGGCTACGGCACCGTCGAGCGCGTTGAGCAGGCCGCTGAAGGTGACCTTGTTGGAGCTGTTGCCGGCGTCGACGTTCTTCTTGCGGTGCACGAAGGCGGCGTCGATGTCCTCGAGCAGCAGAATGCTGCCCTTGGGCATCTTGCGCATGTACTCCTGGAGCTCGTCGTCGTCGAGGCTCGAGTTGGCGAGGCTGCACACGCACAGGTTGAGGCCCAGCTCGCCGGCGAGGGCCGCGGCGAACGACGACTTGCCGTTGCCCGGCGGGCCGTAGAGCATGACGCCGCGGCGGTGCGGAATGCCGCGGCGCTTGTACCAGTCGCGCATCGCGAAGAATTCGCGCACGTCGGCCAGCAGCTTCTCAAGCGTGCCCGTGGGGAAGTGGACCGACCCGATCGCGCGCTTCTCGATGGCCATCAGCTTGCGCCAGGTGCCGCCCCAGCCGTACTTGGGCTGGAAGATGAGCGTCTTGCCCAGCTCCTCGCCCAGCGAGTAGTTCATCGCGCCATGGGCCAGGTCCTTCAGGATCTGCGGATCGCGGCCGTAGGTGGTCAGCTTGAGCGTCTCCTGCAGCTCGAGCCCGTTGCCGCCGAACTGGTTGTCCTTGACCGTGCGTTCCACGGTAACCCACTTTCCACGGTAACGCAGGAAATGCAGGCCCGGTGCCGGGCCAAAGTGCAGCGTGGGCTTGGTGGCGGCCTCGGAGCCATCGTAGCGGTCGCGGTCGTTCTCGCGGGTGGTCAGCATGCTCAGCTCGCGGCCGTTGGTCTTCTCGGTCTGCACCGCGAGCCACTTCATGAGCCACGCGAAGGCCTCGTCCTCCTTCCGCACCTCGAGCGACACGAGGAACTGGCGCTGCGCCCGCTCCCACAGCTCTTGCGAGAGCCAGTGCACGTAGGCCGCCACGACGCCCACCACCAGCAGCATCAGGCCGCCGGAGAACACGTCGTTGTCGGCCAGCGCGCCCATGCGCCCTTTCAGGTAGGTTCCGATGAGCTGCTCCATCGCGGGGTCGCTTAAATATAGAGATAAGAAACGGATAATAAATAAATAGATATAAAGAGACCAAAAGAGGTCAGCTGTGTAGTGGCTAGGAAAACAAGGAGGCCCTGGGCGGCGTCTTTTATGCGCTTGTGCTTCCTCCGTAAAGTGGAGTCGGGGCAGAAAGGTCCTCCTGCACTGAACCACGGAGTCTTCTTTTATTCCGGAAATACCGAGGAACCACCAATGCTAAATTTCATTTCCATTTCGATAAGCACAAAAAAAGAGCTTTTTTTTAATTCTTCAAATGGAATGTTCACTTGAAGATCATGGTGTAGTTTTGTGCGGCTTCGAGCATCTGCGTCACTTCGTCGTAGCTCTTGCCCAGCTCTGATGACGCAGCAAGAAGAGCAATTCTATCAGTTGCTATGCTTGCGAGTCCAACAGCACACACGCACAGAGCACACACGTACCACAGCAGATCTCGTCAAACGAGTGGCGTCCATCCACCAGACTGCCGTGAAAGGAATAGAGAAGAGGAGGATTGCGGTCAGACATGCGGGCGTGATCAGTGCGCTCGCGGGAGTGGCACGGCAAAAGTGGGGTGGTGACGAGTACTCTCTGATGTACTTGGGCAGCCGATTCTTGGGCTGGGCAGAGGCCAGCAGAGGGTTGGGCGGCGAGTAGTGCGGGTACTTGTGTATGCGTCGCAGGAACCCGTTGATCAAGCCGAAGGTGACCAGCCTCCTACGCACGACAATCGGTGCAGAGATACAGGTTGACGGCGTGCTCAACACACACCAGGAATGTGCGGGAATGTGCGCATGTTCAAGAAGAGTTGGGTACCTGTCGTCGATGTTGAGCGCTCGGATGTCGTTGTCTTGGCAGAAGTCGCGAAAGGTGAGGGCTGGCCGCAGTCCGCAGTAGAGAGCAAAGATCTTTTCGAATGGTGGCGCCGTGGTGCCTGTCGGAGGCAACAGCGACAACGAGCGACGACAGCATAGAAGAAGCGGTCAAGGAAACAAACACAAAAAGGGGGGAAGGGGCTCAGCCAGTCTTTAGGGCGGTGGTGGGTTACCGGGTAAGGTGACGTAACGCCGGCACTCGTTTTGCATGGCGCTGTTCTTGTACAGTACTTGAATGCGGGGAGTGCACACGTACACGTTTGAGTACTGCATACAAGAGACAGGGTTAATGAGAATACTAGCGATGCAAAATGAACCAAGAGTCGCTCCTGGTGAGAGGGCGGACGCACTTGGAAGATATCGATCATGGTGATGCACTCGTAATAGAGGAGGTGCTTGATGACTTGTCGGACTAGCTCGATGTGACAGCCGCTCTCGCTGGCGATCTTCTTGACGTATCGCACCCCGTCGATGTACGGCACCACCTTACCATACCGAGAGAACGCTCTTGGTCAGCCAACCACGCCAAACAAAAACCATATTGGGCCCAGCCAACCAGCCAGAGTCGCACCTGCTGCATGGTGAGGTCCCACTCTTTCGTCATCAAGGAGTCGATGTCTTTTATCCTTACGGGGACCTGGTGCGTGCGCGTGCGCGTGAGACAAAACAAATGAAAATGAAAGCGATGGTCAATCGATGTATTACCTGGTGCGGGTACACCTCAGGTGGTGGCGACCGTTTGGGGAACAGGTGCAGGTATATCGTGTTGGCTCCATCTTGAAGGGGGAAAAAAAGAAGTGGAGGAGCGTTGAGCTAAAAAAACCAAAGTGGTGAGTAAGGCCAGAGATTGTACCGATGGGAATGCAGCATCCACCTCGCTCGTTGAGGTCGGTGAAGATCTGTTCGAGCAGTTTGCGAAGCCGGTCGCCTGTGGCTGTGTGTGAAAGGAACTCGGTCTCGCACTGCGCGCACGCACGCACCTGGGTGAGTTGTCCAGAATTGGGTGGACCGCACTTCTAGAAGGAGCACTGCCTTTACCTCCAGGGCGATGAATAGATGGGCAAGCTTGCGCAGCACGGGCTTGTAGACCGTCACGTCGGCCTCAGGATCAAACACGAAGCACACGTTGAACCTGAGCGTCAACAAGAAGGTGCACTTAGTTCGTTAGTGTCTGTTTCTCGAGCTGCGGTATGCGTGCAACAGGCAGAGAGCGCACCACAGAGCGTTACGGGCGAACTTGTTGTGCTCCAGACACACTGGGAAGCCCATCACCTGCAGCCCACACGCCGTCCTTTGTACCGCCGTCAGATTCTCTGTCAGCCCCATCTCTGCAGAGAGTGAGAACAGCAGGGGGACGTACAAGGAGATAAGCTTGCCGCACAGCTGAGGTTTGGTGATGATGTAATCCGTGATGGCTTCGAAGCCCTCCTTGCCCAGCGTTCTTCGGTGGTGGTGAGATTCATACACAAGAAGATTAATCTTGAGCGATTTGGCCCGCAAACACAACGATCGATTGAACTACACTTACCCTTCGGGGACCTGGTGCGACAGTTTCGGTCCTGCAATCGGATCAAACTCGCTGTAGAGCACAGCCCGCAACATGCTGAAGGCCAAAAAATATCAAATGCGCAATAAATTCTATTTATTTTTTATTTGCACAACAATAGTTTCTGTCCGCAGAGGCAAGCTAGGCCGAGGGCAGGCCCGCAGGTCGTGGGCAGCCACCGAACGATGGCGGTGGTGTGGCTGACCAGCAACGTGCAGCTGCCCGCTTCTGGCTGGGAGAGTTTCGTGTTCTTTTTCTTCCTATTAAGTTCAGTTCAAAGCAACGGCCAGTCGCAGAACGCGTGCAAACTTTGTAGTAGCCGACACATCTCGACGGGAGGCACACTGGGCATTGGCCTCTCCTAAATCGATTTTGTAGTGCGTGGACGGGAGGAGAGAGATGGACAAACGTACCGGCCTCTCGTCATCGGCGTCCAGCCTTTCGTCTGTGGACGGCAGACGTGCGGGCCTCTCTTCCTCCGCGGCAGAAGAGGGCCGACGGTCCTCCGTCTCCCGTGGAATCCCTGCAGTACTGATTTTCCTTCAATCTCATCCCTCAACCCCTGATTTCTTGATTTCTCATTTAATTGATTTTTAGCATTAATTACAATTAATTGTCTTCTCGCATGCGTGCAGCTGGAGGGGTGGCTGCACAAGAAGGGCGAGAAGGGCCTGATGAAAAGCTACAAGCGACGGTGGTTCCAGCAGCGCGGCAACAAGCTCTACTACTTCACCAACAAGGGTATGCTCTATCTATCAAGGACTTTTCTACACGCTCGCGCTTGGGAGGGTCATGGTGCCTGATCGCTCAGCTGCACAGGCGACAAGGACGCCCTTGGCTTCATCGACTGCAGCGAGGTGACAGTCGTGAGGCGCAATGATGATGCCACCGTGCCCATTGGTACTATCCACCAACCATCGAAGTCAGCGACTCTTGTCTTTGCTCACGACCAACGGCACACACACCAAAAGCTCGAAAGAGGGATTCGCTCCTGCTCGCCTCGTCGACGCCCACCCCGCAGGGCTTCTCGTTCGAGATCATCACGCCCAAGAGAATCTACGATCTGGCCGCCACCTCCAATGAGGAAACAACCTACTGGGTGCGTATCTCGCCCATCAGGAGTCGTTGCTGTTGTTTGCCTGCTTGGCTCTTTACACGAACAAGTGTCAACTCAATTCAACTGATGACAACTTACTATTTATAACAATGCCGGTTCGCTCAGGTTGACGGACTCAACCTCTACCTCAAGATCGAAGAGGAAAAGGCTATGGCTCTGGAACGAATCGACGCGCGAGACGAGGAGCTGGACAGCCTTAGGCAAAGGTACATGCATTCCATCTACATTCCAATCAACGCAATTAGGCCTAACACAATTGACACTGATTTGCTCACTACTGTCTCTAGGGCGTCTCTGCAACAGGCGCAGTGGCAGCAGGCGCAGGCCGCGATGCAGAAGGAGGTGATGGAGCTCAAGCAGCGCCTGAAGGAGAAGGAAGACGAGGTGGCCGACCTCCGCAAGCAGAGCGCTCCCCGCGCCGGTTGGGCCATGGGCCGACGAGTGCAGAGCCAGGGACCGCCCAAGGCCAAGGCGGCCCAGGACGACGGTAAGGAAAAGAAAGAAAAGGAGGCGAGCGAACACGAACACGAAGACGGTGGTGCGGCGGCGGAAGCGGCGAAAAAGAGCGAAGCCGAGCAGCCGGCCGCGGAGGAAAACGACGAACGAGCAGGAGGAAAGAGCGAAGGCGAGTCAGTGGACAGGTCCGAAGGCGCAGAGAAGGAGCGCGAAGGCGCCCAGCGTTCAGAGGGAGAAGGCAGCGCAGAAACGGCGCAACCGGAGCCGGAGCCAGAGTCGAAATCGTCAAGTGAAGTAGACGAGGAGGCTGCGCCAACGAAAGTCGAAGAAGAGCAAAAGGAACCTGAAGCAACGGACGTTGATGATAAGAGTGTGGCAGACAAGGAAGCCGAGCGGGAGGAGGCGGCAGCGGCTCGCGAGGCTCTGATGAGGGAGGTCGAAGAGAAGCAGCGCGAGATAGATGCTCTTCAACAGAGCCTCCAACAGCGATCGGAGGAGCTGGAGAGTTGGAAGCGCGAAGACGAGGCCACGAAGAATGCTCTGCTGGCAGCGCAGGCGGCCGCGCAGGAGAGCGAAGCCGAGGCCCAGCGTCTGCGCGCGACCATGGAAGAAGAACGAAAAGCGGTGGAGAGCGAAGCGACCAGGGCGAGCGAAGAGGCCGAAGCGCGAAACAGAGCCGAAGCCGAGGAGCGCGAGCGGCAGTGGCAAGCGGCGGTCGAGCAGGAGGCCGCCACGCTGCAGCTCACCAACACGCTCAAGCAATCGCTGGAGGACCTGCAAGCCGAGCTCGAGCGCAGGAAGGAAGACGAGGAGGTGCAGCAAAGCGAGGCTGAGGAGCGCAACGCCGCGCTGGATGCCGCCCGGCAAGCGCTCGCCAAGACCCGCGAAGAGTTGGAGTGCGCGAGAACGGAGCTGGAGCAGAGGTCGGCCAAGCTGGCAGCGACCAAGGCCAAGAGGCGAGCGACGACCGAGCAGAGCCAGCGCGAGGTGGCGCAGCTCAAGCAGGAGGCCGCGCGCGGGCTTGAGGAGCACACGAAGCGGAAGGACGCCGAGGTGGCCGATCTCTCCCTTCAGCTCCAGAGCGCCGAGGAGAAGGCCAAGGGGCTATCGCAGGACCTGCTGGCGGCGAACATGCGCGCCGACTCGGCCGAGCGCAAGGTGTCGGCCCTGGAGGTCGACGTGGGCGCCCAGCAGGACGAGATCCGTCAGCTCAAGGTAAGTTTCATGTGTTAGGCCGCTGCTTAATCGTTCACCTCACGGAAGCTGTGATCATCAGGATGACGCTCGGAAGATCAAGGACGAAGCACAAATTGCCCACGCGTCGCTCACATCTCAGGTACACAATGGACACGACCAACGACACGACACGACACGACACGCAACACGACACGACCCAATGGCACGACACCGTTAACAATGCCGAACCGCCAATAGACCCAGGTCAAACTGCAGCAGCTGCGGGAGGAGCTCTCGGGCCAAGTGGCCGAGAAGAGCAGAGACGTGGAGCAGCTCAGGCAGGAGAAGGAGGACCTCGAGGCCCAGCTGGCCGAGAAGGCCAAGACCGTGCAGGAGCTGATGCTCTCCGTGCGCAAGAAGCAGGAAGCCGAAGAGGCCCTGCGATCGTCGGTCGAGGGCAAGGAGGCCGAGGTGGCCCAGGCCCAGGCGCGCATCGACCACCTGCGGGCCCAGGCCCAGGCGGTCGAAGCCCAGCGCGAGTCGACACAAAAGGAGACCGAGGCGGCGCTGGTCGAGAGGCAGCAGAAGATCGACGCGCTGGAGCAGGCCGTGCAGCAGCTGCTGCAGGAGGCGGAGGCGGCGCGCGGGCAGCTGTCGGCGAAGGACGCCGAGCTGGAGCGTAAGACCGAGGAGCTGGCCCAGACGGCGCAAGCCCAGGCGAGCGAATCGGGCCAACTGCGCGCCGAGCTCGATGCCATCCAAGCAGAGCTGCAGGCCCACTCGCAGTCCGTGGCCCTGGTTGCCCAGCAGCTCGAGGCGAGCGAGAGCGAGGTGCGGCGGCTCAAGGACCAGAGCGAGAATGAGCGCCGGGCCGGCCAGGAGGCCGAGGCGCTGCTTCAGAGCCAACTCGACGCGGTGCGTGCGGAGGTCGATCAGGCCAAGTCGGCCCTCGACGAAAGGGAAAGCGAGCGCGAGCGGCTGACCGCAGTCCAAACGGCGCTGGCGCAGGAGCTGGCCGAGGCAAAACGCGAGGGCGAGAGCCTGCGCGCCGAGGTGGCCGCCAAGCAGTCGGAAGTGGCGTCGCTGCAGGCGCTCGCCCAGGAGAAGGACCAGCGCATCGATTCCCTCGAGGAGGCGCTCGACCAGCGCAGCCACGAGGTGACGGCGGCCAACAAGGCGCTCGAGGCCGCGCGTGAGGAGAGCGAAGAGACGGCCAAGCGGGCCGACGGCGAGCTTCACGCCAAGGCCCACGAAATCGAATCGCTCAAGGAAAGGATCGAGCGCCAGGCACAGGAGATCGAGAGCGTAACCTGTGACCGCGATGGGTTGACCCAGGCCAAGGCCAGTGTCGAAGCGGAGCTGACGATCGTACGAGCTGGGCTTGAGGCTCAGGTCGCCGAGCTCAAGCGCGAGGTGGAGGCAAAGGCTGCAGCGGCCGAGGCCGCGCGACAGGAGCCCGAGGCGCGGTTGGCTGCCGCGAAGCGGCGCATCGACGAACTGGAGCAGGCCGGCCAGCGGCTCGCGCAGGAATTTGAAGTGGCGCGAGAGAAGCTGGCGGCGAAGGACGCCGAAATGGGTCGACAGTCAGCAGAGCTCGCACAGCTCAAGGAGGAGAGCAAGAAGGAGCTCCAGGCGCTGGTTGCCGCCGGCCAGCAGGTCGAGGAGCGCCACAAGGCCGAGATCCAGCTGGTCAAGTCGGCCCTGGACGAGGCCGAGGCCGAGCGCAAGCGGCTCATTGAGGTGCAGGCCAAGCAAGACGGCGAGGCGGCGGCGCTCACGCAGCAGCTGGCCGAGCGCAAGCGCGAGAACGAGGGCCTGCGCGCGGACGTGGCGGAGAAGGGCGAGAAGCTCGAGTCTCTGGAAGGGCTCGCGCAGGAGAAGGACCAGCGCATTGAATCCCTTAAGGTGGCGCTCGACCGGCGCGGCCAGGAAGTGGTTGCTGCCCAGGGCTCGATCGCCAAGCTGACGGCGGAGCTCGAGCGGCAGGCCACTGAGATCCAGCGGGTGACTGGCGACCGCGATGGGCTGGCCCAGGCCAAGGCTGGCGTCGAATCGGAGCTGGCGAGCGCCAAGGGCCGACTGCAGACGCTTGGAGACCAGCTCGAGGAGCTTCAGCGCGAGGTCGAGGCCAGGACCTCGGCGGCGGCAGCCCTGCAAGCAGCGGTCGAGGGCAAGGAGGCCGAGGTGGCCCAGGCCCAGGCGCGCATCGACCACCTGCAGGCCCAGGCCCAGGCGGTCGAAGCCCAGCGCGAGTCGACACAAAAGGAGACCGAGGCGGCGCTGGTCGAGAGGCAGCAGAAGATCGACGCGCTGGAGCAGGCCGTGCAGCAGCTGCTGCAGGAGGCGGAGGCGGCGCGCGGGCAGCTGTCGGCGAAGGACGCCGAGCTGGAGCGCAAGATCGAGGAGCTCGCTCAGGCCGCCCGAGAGCTCCAGGCTAAGACAGGCGACGCCGAGCAGCTGCGCATCGAAAGCGAAGCAGTTCAGGCAAAACTGCGGGAGAGCGAGAGCGAGCGCGAGCGACTGACCCAGTCACAGACCCAAAAGGAAGGCGAGGCAGCGGCGCTCGCGCAGGGGCTGGCCGAGGCGAAGCGCGAGGTGGCCGCCAAGGAATCCGAAGTGGCGTCGCTGCAGGCGCTCACGCAGGAGAAGGACCAGCGTGTGGACTCGCTCAAGGAGGCGCTCGACCAGCGCAGCCACGAGGTGGCCGCCGCGAACAAGGCCATCGCAGAGCTGACCGAGGAGAGCCAGCGCCAGGCGCAGCGGATCGAGAGCGTCACCAGCAGCCGCGACGAACTGGCCCAGGCCAAGGCCGACGTCGAATCGGAGCTGACCACCGCGCGCGGTGAACACCGGGCTCAGGTCGCCGAGCTCCAGCGCGAGGCGGAGACCAAGGCCGTTGCGGCCAGGGCCACCTTGGAGGAGGCCGAGTCGCGGCTGGTCGCGGCGCAGGGCGAGCTGGCGAGCGTGAGAAGCGCGAAGGAGGATGAGGCTCGCGAACTGCGCCACCAGCTCGAGCTCAAGCAAGCCGAGATGGAGAGCAAGGCGGGCGAGGTGGCGGCGCTCGCGCAGGAGCTGACCGAGGCGAAGCACGAGAGCGAGGCCCTGCGCGCCGAGGTGTTGGCTAAGCAGTCGGAAGTGGCGTCGCTGCAGGCGCTCGCGCAGGAGAAGGACCAGCGCGTAGACTCGCTCAAGGAGGCGCTCGACCAGCGCGGCCAGGAGGTGGCGGCGGCCAACAATACCATCGCAGAGCTGACCGAGGAGAGCCAGCGCCAGGCGCAGCGGATCGAGAGCGTCACCAGAAGCCGCGACGAACTGGCCCAGGCCAAGGCCAGCGTCGAATTGGAGCTGACCATAGCGCAAGCCGAGGCGGAGGCCAAGGCGCAGGAGCTGACCGACGCGAAGGGCGAGGGCGAGGGCCTGCGCGCGGAGCTGGCCGCCAAGGAATCCCAAGCCGACACGCTCCGAGGGGTCGTGCAGGAGAAGAACCAACGCATCGACTCGCTCGAGGAGGCGCTCGATCAGCGTGGGCAGGAGGTGGCCACCGCCAAGGCCACGATGGCAGAGCTAACCGAGGCCAAGGCCGGCATCGAGTCAGAGCTGACCACCGCGCGCGGTGACCTCCAGGCGCTCGAGGCCCAACTCGCCGAGCTCCAGCGCGAGGCGGAGGCCAAGGCCGTCGCGACCAGGGCCACCCTGGAGGCGGCCGAGTCCCGATCTGCTGCAGCCCAGGACGAGCTGGCGACGGTGCGGCGCGAGAAGGAGGTTGAGGCCGGCGAGCTGCGCCGTCAGCTCGAGCTCAAGCAAGCCGAGATGGAGACCAAGGCGGCCGAGGCGGCGGCGCTCGCGCAGGAGCTGGCCGAGGCAAAGCGCGAGGGCGAGAGCCTGCGCGCCGAGGTGGCCGCCAAGCAGTCGGAAGTGGCGTCGCTGCAGGCGCTCGCCCAGGAGAAGGACCAGCGCGTGGACTCACTCAAGGAAGCACTCGACCAGCGCAGTCACGAGGTGGCGGCGGCCAACAAGGCGCTCGAGGCCACGCGCGAGGAGAGCGAAGAGGCGGCCAAGCGGGCCGACGGCGAGCTCCACGCCAAGGCCCACGAAATCGAATCGCTCCAGCGCGATATCAGGAGCGTCACGGGCGACCGCGAGGGGCTCGCGCAGGCCAAGGCCACCATTGCGTCGGAGCTGGCCACAACCACGGAAGACCGCGACCGACTGGCCCGGGCCAAGGCCCACGCCGAGTCGGAGCTGGCACGCGCTCGCGATGAGCTGCAGGCGCTGCAGCATCAGGCCGAGCACAAGCAGGCCGAGCTGGATGCCCTGACGCTGCACCACGCCGAAGAGCTCGGCCAGGCGCGGCAGCAGCTGGAGAGCAAGGCGCAGGCGCTGCAGGCCGATCTCGAGCGACTAAAGAGCGAAAGCGAAGTCAAGATCGAAGCGGCAAAGGACGAGCTCGAGCAGCTTAAGAAGGCGCACCGCGAGGTCGAGGCCAAGTCGAAGGAATTTGAGGCATTTGCACAGAAGGCCGAGGCTCGGGCGTCGGAGCTGGCGACCGTGCACGAGCGCGAGGTTGCGCAGCTCCGGGCCAACGCTGAGCGCGCGCAGGCCGCGCACGAATCGGCGGTGAGCGAGCTCAGGGCTAAGCTCGACGAGGCGCTCAGATCGGGACAGGCGACGGCCGCCGAGCTGCGCAGCGCCGCGCAGGTGAGCCGCGCGCAGCTTGAGACGACCCAGCAGGCGCTGGCCGAGGCCGAGGCCGCGCGGACCAACGCGCTGGCGGCGTGGCAGAGCGAGAAGGAGACGATGGCCCGCGCGGCCGACGACGCGCGGCGCGTGCTGAGCGAGGCCCAGGCCTCCACACAGCGGCTCGAGCAGGAGCAGACGAGCGCCAAGGCGGAGCTGGCGGCGTCCCAGGCCGCGAGGGAGGAGACTGCGGCGCAGCTCAAGCAGAGCCGGCGCGAGGTGGAGCGGCTCGAGACGGCCGCGCGCGAGCTCGAGGAGCACAAGAGGTTCAAGGAGGCCGAGCTGGCCGACCTCACCCTGCGCTTCGAGGCCGCCGAACGCAAGGCCAACGCAGCCAACGCCGAACTCGCTTCCCGGGCAGAAGAGTTGGCCCAGCTCAAGGTACGCGTTTGTTTTCGCTTTCGCTTTCGTTTTCACCTCCCCCCCCGGTCTTCTCTCTTTGGTCTCACGCTCGCTGCAGGACAACCTGGGCAAGTCCAAGGAGGAGGCCCAGGCAGCCGCGCTCGCTCTCGTCGCCCAGGCACGCCCCTGTTTCACCTCAATTTCTTTTTATAATTAATTCTTTATTATTATGATTAATTCTGTATTTATTGTTCTTTTAAATATTAATTTTTGATCGACAATTGCAACTGCAGAGCCAGGAGAAGGTGCAGGCGATGAGGGACGAGCTGCGGGCCCAGGAGGAGGAGCTGCACAAGAAGGAGCAGGCGGTCAACCAGCACCAGATGGACCTCCTGCTCAAGGACGACGCCCTGTCGGCCGCGCAGGGCCAGGCCGAGGACCTGAAGCGGCAGCTGCTCGCCGTCGAGCAGAAGGCGAAGCAGGTCAAGGAGCGCGAGGCCACCGCCAGGGCCGCGATCGAGGAGAAGGAGGCCCTGCTGCTCGGCGCGATCAACGAAGTCGACGCCCTCAAGGCCAAGCTGCAGCAGCAGAAGGCCGCGGCCGCCGCCGACGCCGAATCTACGCAGTGGCTGCGGGCCGAGCTCGCCCAGGCCAAGGAATCCGAAGCGCGCGCGGTCCAGGAGCTGGCGCGGGTCGCCGCCGAGCTCGACGCGATCCAGCGCGACCGTCCGGTGGCGGCGGCCGAGCGGCTTAGCGACGACCCGCAGCGCGTCGAGGGGGAGCTCGAGGCCGAGAAGGAGGAGAAGGCCCACGTCGCGGAGGTGAGGCGGCGCGGCCGCAGGGCGACGGTGAGCAACCCGGTCATGCTGGACGCCCACCTTAAAGCCGGCGACACCGCAGCGGCGGCGGCGGCGGCGGCTGAGACGAGCCCGCGGCGAGCGGCGAGCGATGCGAGGAATGCGGCGGCGGCCGAGGAGATGCGGGCGCTGAAGCGGAGCGTGCTGGAGCTGATGGAGGAGAAGCAGCGGCTCACGCAGGAGGTCGAGGCCAAGCTGCGCGAGGCCACCGAGAGGAGTCGAGCGGAGGAGCAGCTCCACGCCGAGGAGAGCGCGCGGGTGGTCGTCGCGGCGGCGGCGGCAGAGCAGGAGGCAGCGGCCGCTGCGCTGACCGGCGGCACTGACGACAGCTCGCGCGAGCGCATCCAGCAGCTCGAGGAGATGATCGAGATGATGGAGATGATGAAGAGCGTGTCGCACGAGGAGGAGATGCTCGGGCGCGACCGCAAGATCAGCGAGCACGAGGAGCAGATCGCCTACCTACGGCGCAAGGTCGACGCGTCGGTCAAGGAGAAGGAGGAGCTGGTCATGGCCCTCAACAACACCCGCATCACGGTCAAGGAGCTCGAGCGACAGCTCCGCGGCGATGACGGCGACGACATTGACGACATTGACGGCGACAGTGTCGACACCGCCAACAAGAAGGGCAAGGAGAAGGTGCCGCTGGTGGGCACGCCGCTGCGACGCCGGCGTCGGTGGGAGCGGTGGGCGCGCGAGAAGGCCGAGGCGGAGGCGGAGGCGGAGGTGGACGAAAGCGAACTGAAGAAGGAGGTGCGGCTGCTGTTCAATCAGCTCAAGGAGACGGAGGCCGAGGTGCGCGACAACGAGGCCAAGCTGGCAGCGGTCGTGGCCGAGCTCGAAGCCATGCGCGCCCGCGTGGAGAGCGCCGAGCGGCGCGAGCGGATGCGGGCCGAGGAGGAAGACGACGATCAGATCCTGGAGCACGAACTGGAGAGGGAGGAGAAGATGCGGCGCGAGGCCGAGATCCGACGACTCCACACCGAGCTCGAGGACGTGCGACGCGAACTGTTCTTCTCCACCGCCGTCGCCATCAAACTCAACCTCTCGCAGGTACACCCCTGTGTCGTGTGTCGTGTGTCGTGTGTCGTGTAGTGCCAACTAATACTGAAATCATGAATGTGGTGCAGAGCGGGCGTCAGTGCACGCAGAACGTGGCGGCGCTGTACGAGCAGTCCCTGCGCGATCGAATCGATCACCGTAACTGGAACGCCTGGATTCACGCCCAGCTCACTGCCGCCACACCACCCGTCCCGCGCGCCACCACCCGACGATGACCACCACGCGGGGTGCCTCATACTGTAAAACGGAACTTTTGTACTACTTTTTTACTTTTGATCAGCCTCGACGAGACGAACTTCGTTCATGAAGCAAAGAGGTAGAAGCTCTCTGAAAGGTCGCGTTCCTCCTCTTCAGACGTAGCGGTTGAGGAGCATCTCATACTTCTCCTGCTTGGCCGAGACCTGCTTGGGCTCGCCGGCCTGCAGCGCGAACTGCTCCAACTCGGCAAAGGTCACCTGGCCGCTGACGATCTTCTGGCCCAGCTCGCCCTTCCACGAGGCGTAGCGCTCGTCCCTCCACGCCTGGAACGTGCCCTCCTCCTCGAGCCTGGCCGCAGCCAGCAAGCCGCGAGCGAACGTGTCCATGCCTGTGTCAAAGTTAGTTGCGTGTCGTGTCGTGTCGTGTCGTGTGTCGTGTGTCATGTCGTGTGTTATGGGATTGAGAAGGTTGCAGGGGGTACCAGCAATGTGGCCGATGAAGAGGTCCTCGAGGTCGCTCGACTCACGCCTGAGCTTGGCGTCAAAGTTGAGGCCGCCGGGCTGGAGGCCGCCCTGCCTGAGCACCACCTGCATGGCCAAGGTGGTCTGCTTGACGTCCATGTTGAACTGGTCCGTATCCCAGCCGAGCAGCGGGTCGCCAGTGTTGGCGTCGATGCTGCCCAGGAAGCCGTACGCCGACGCTGCATGATGTGTGTGTTCACGTTACAAAGTTAGCCAAGCACACCACCATCTCGAGACACCACAGACTTCGAAGAAGAGACGAGGACGAACCGTAGGTGAGCTCGTGCTCGAAGGTGTGGCCGGCAAGGGTGCAGTGGTTGGCTTCGATGTTCACCTTGTAGTCCTACATTGATTTGAACGAGAGTTCAGCGTTTGTTCGAATGCCAACGAGACCAGCGCAGTGTAGCTAAGAGTTGTAGCGTCATAGCGGGTCCCGTATACCTTGTCGAGGTTGTAGCTCTTGAGGAACGCCACCACGGCAGCCGTGTCAAAGTCGTACTGGTGCTTCGTGGGCTCTGAAGAGCGAGCGCAAGAGGGATTGACGAGGAGGCATGAGAAAAGACTCTAGAGACGAGCGGGAAAGAAGACCGCGGGGGGGGGGCACCCCTGGGCTTGGGCTCGATGAGCAGCTGGCCCTGGAAGCCGATCTGCTTCTTGTAGTCCTGTGGCGGCCAAGGAGGTGCAAACTGATCAGCACACGGCTCCGGGCCACACCACGTAGTGATGCTGGTTTAACAATGTGTGCGTACCGCAGCGAGCTGAAGGAAGCGAGCAAAGTGGTCGAGCTCGCCCTTCAAGTCGGTGTTGAGCAGGGTCTGGTAGCCCTCCCTGCCGCCCCAGAACACGTAGTTCTCGGCACCGAGCTCCTTGGAGATGTCCATGCACTTCTTGACCTGAGCCGCAGCGTAGGCGAACACGTGCGTGTCTATAGTGTACACATACACACGACGGCGAGTACGCTCAGCGTCAAGGTGGTGCACGCTGTTGCCATGGCTGAGTGGCGGTCGTACCAGGGTTGGTCGAGGCGCCGTTCATGTAGCGCGGGTTGGAGAACAGGTTGGCAGTGCCCCACAGCAGCTTGATGCCAGTCTCCTGCATCCTACGTGGGAGAATGGCCGAGAAAAAGAGATTGGGGGGGGGGATGAGCCAAACCCAGAGGGCACAGAGTGCTGGCTGACTACTACGCACCTCTTCTTGATGTGAGCGGCGACGGTCTCGAGGTTCTTGTTGGTCTCCTCGAGCGTGGCTCCCTCGGGCGCGATGTCCCTGTCGTGGAAGCAGAAGTACTCCACCCCGAGCTTCTGGAGGAACTCGAAGTTGACGTCGACCAGCTTGAGGTAGGACTCGAGCGAGTTGGTGCCATCGTCCCTTTTGGTGCGTGGCCAGGCAAGGCGCATGAGCCCAGCTTCGCACGTAGACGAGTCTATACAGAGGAAGAAGAAGGGGAGGAGGGGGGTACCAGGGACGGCAGTAGGTGCCGGGGCCGAACATGTCGGCGCCCGTGCCGCGCCAGGTGTGCCAGTAGCACACGCTGAAGCGAAGCCAGTCCTTCATGGGGCGACCGGCCACCACCTGGTCGGGGCGGTAGTACTTGAACGCGAGGGGGTTCACAGACTCGGGTCCTGTAGAAGCAATGAGTCAGAAGAAGCATAATCAACCAAAATCAAAACGAATTTCGTGAATGATGAAAAGCTTGGGCCAGCTGCAAGCAAGTAAGATTGAGCTGAGCGCCCAAACGAGCTGTCTCGCTTGAAGAACAACAGGGTGCTCTCATCGTGAGGATGCTAGTCCAAGATGTGGTGAAGGTGAAGTGTACCCTCGAAAGGAATCTTGGAGATGCCCTTGAAATACTCAGTCGCCATGTTCAGTGCAGGGGAGATGGGATCAATCGATCTTCTTCGCTTGCGCAATACAATCAACACCAACCCTGTGAGGAGTCACCGCGGTCCAAGACTTTGGTCAATTTCCTTTTCGCGACCACAAGAATTTGCGGCATTTATTTTTTTAATTCTTTTTTATCATGCGCCATCGGCGGATGATGAAGAAGACGACGAAAGAGAGGCGTGGGGAAACGTTGAAGAGCCGACGATGGTGTGCGGGAAGGTACTCGCTTCTCCCCCGCCCACCGTTGTTAGGGCCAGTCGCCTTCGGGCGCTGTGACCGGCTCGTCGTCGCTGGCGAGGCGGCCGAGGTGAAGACGACGTTGCGGTTGATGAGGGGAAGAAGACGCTGGGCGCGGGAGAGGAAAGTGGAAGAAGAGGCGACGGCAGCTGCCAAAGCGAGAAGGCGGTGCTGGCGGCGTTGATGGGTGCGACGTCGGATGTGCGTCGCTCGTTGGCCTCCTCCTCTCGCTCATCATCTTCGGTGATCATGCTCGAATGCAGCTCGGTGGAAGGAAAGAACGAAGAGAGCGACGAAGTGGAAGAAGGAGAGGTGGATGAACGAAGTGGATGGAGGCAGGAGTCGAGAGGCGAAGTGAAGGAGTAGTCCGGCAAAGTCGAGGATGAGGAGGAGACAGGGAGGGTGAATGCTGGTGCTGATGAGGAAGAGGAAGGAGAGAACGGAGAAGAAGCGTAGTAGTCATCGTGACAGAGGAGGGACAGCTTGCAGCGAGGCACCAGGCCAGTCCTACCATCATTGATGCTCCTGCAGCGCGCCCATCCTGTTGGGAACTCTGCCAACACCTCCACCTCTGTAAAGGCCAACAGAACAAGGTAGATGGGTGAGGTTGTGAACGGATGCCCAAAAGAAGGGATTCTAATCGATTGTGCTGCAGGTCAAAAAGAATGGAGAGAGAATGAATGGAGCGGGGGTGGTTTCACCTTCATGCCTTTCGAGGCTCAGCTGGGCACGGTGCGAAGACCGAAACGATTCAGTAGCGATGGCCACCTTTGCTGGTCGCTTCCTCTTGTTGGGAGATGAAGCGAACGAGGCAGTTGGGGCCGAAAACGAGGACCCTGGCGTCGCATCATTAATCACCATTGAGTCCATCTCTTCTCCTTCCACCGTCGCGGGCAGCTCGTCTGCCGACCCCATACCCCACGCAGATGCATCGTCGCCTTCCATCTCTTGGCTTTCGCTTCCTTTCCGCTTTGCTTTTTCTTGTGAACTGGAGAATTGAAAATTCTGTTCTGACGCAGAGATGCAACAGAAGAAGGATGGCATGTTCTTCAATGCCTTCGAGGGCCTGGAATCGGTGGACCCCAACGCGCCACCGAGGAGGGGGCACCACAGGGACAAGAAGAAAGCCAAGCCGTTAAGCGATGTCGAGCGGCAGCAGAGTTTTCTGGAGGGTTTGGTGATTGTGGGCTACGAATCGAACCTGTTTCGCAATGACAGGCTCTCGGAATCGATCGAACGCGGCGAGCACTTCATCCCCTGGATGGGCAAGGAGGATCTTATGATTGATCGTTACGATGCGCGTGCCCTGCTGACCGATCTCAAGCTCTTCGATCGCCAGGCTGGCCGATGGGACGCGCTGCCGCGAACGCGCAAGCCCAGCGATCCCAAGTACGAGAGGGAGCTCAAGCTCAACAAGAAGCTGGACAAGGAGCGCTACTGGGACATGGTCCTGCACGGGGAGGACATCTACAAAGGTATAATCGTCAGCCCTCACTTTACCCCCTGCGAACGTTTGCCAACTCTAACCAAACCCGATGCCTCGCACATGCCTTTGTGCACACTCCAGCATTCCCACATCATTACGCTTCTACCTCGAAAAGATGAGGAGTAGTGTGTGCGCCTCACTTACTTACTTCTTGTGCATCACGTCATGAAGAAGTAAGTAGGCACACTCCACTCACGTGACCCAGGCGGAGGCTGATCACAATCAGCGCACCGCCACAGTCCAACCGGCTCAGGCCACATTCATGACTATAACTGATTACTCACAACACACACACACACACACACACACCATACACCAATATAGAGGAAGAGCGAAAGCGGCAGAAGATGCAGCAGGACACGCGGGCCACGTACAGTCTGGTGGGGCTTGACTACGGCGAGATCACGCAACACGAAGACGAAGAAGAGAAGCAGAAGCGCGAGGAGGCCGCGCGCAAGAAGGAGCTCGAAGAGGCCGAGGCCAAGCGCAAGCAGGAAGAGGAAGAGGCCAAGAAGCGCGAGGAGGAAGAGAAATACTGCGCTCCGCACCCCGTGCCCGAAGGCATGATCGCGGTACGTCCAAACTACAACTCTTGTTTGTCTTAAGACGCCTGTCAGGCTGACTGATGCTTGAATCGGTGCGCGAGTGCAGCCTGCGCTGAAGAAGATGGGAGTGATCATCGAGAAGACTGCCGGCTTTTTGTTCCGCCAGGGACCCGAGGTACAACACACGTGCGACATGTGGTGGCGACCTATGATGGCGCGTGAAACACATGTGTTCCTCACTTGACTATTAATTATTCATCGTCGATGCAGGCAGTCAATACGTTGAAGAAGCAGCAAAAGGACAATCCGATGTTCCTGTTCCTCGTGGAGGGCCATCCGCTCAATTCCTACCTCAAGTTCCTGATCAGCAAGCTGGAGGAGGCCAAGAAGCGCGAGGAGGAAGAGAAGGAAAAGGCCAACGAGTTTGCTCTCAGTCTCGTGTCTGAGTACAACGACGAGGAAGAGCCCTTCAAGACCGAGGAAAGCACTGGTGGCCAGGAAACTGATACCGCCGAGGCCGTGGTCGCGGACGAAAGGCCAACTGACAACGCTCCTTCTCTCGAGCCGAAGCAGTCGTACGTCGCCATGTTCGACTTTACGCCAGAGAAGGATGGAGAGATGAGCATGAAGGTTCACCTCCCCCCCACCCATGTGCCGCTCCGCCTGTGCGTCTGTGGCTCACTCGAAAGGGCGCTGATCGTGTTCCGCATAGGTGGGCGAAGTGCTGGTGGGTCGTGAAACGGTCGACGGGTGGCTGGAGGTCGAGCGGGAGGGCCAAGTCGGCTACGTGCCGCGCGGATGGGTCAAGCTGGTCGACGAACAACCCCCCTGCCCCGCCAGCAGCCAAGGCACGGACGCCTCCGTTGCGACGCAAGACAAAGACGAAGGCGAAGACGAGCAAGCCAAAGCAGCTGCCGCGGCAGCGAAGAGGAAGCGCATGATGCGAGCCAAGCTGCTGGCACAGCTCATCTCCACCGGCAAGGAGCACGTCGTGCAGGAGCTCTCCGCCAGTAGCACCGCCGCCACCGATACGTCCACCTCCACCAGCAAGGAGAGGGAGAAGCAGGACAAGGCCGACGAGAGCAGGCGGAAAGCGCAGGAGGAGCGCGAGCGCGAGGAGAGAAGGAGGAGAAGAGAAGCCGAGGAACGAGAAGACGAAAGGCGACGGAGGAAGCGGAGGCGAAGCCGAAGCCGAAGCCGAAGCCGCAGTCGAAGCCCGAGAGGCGAGCGTGACGGGCGGCGAGAACGGAGCGGCAGCAGGGAGAGGGCCACGTCTTCAGGCGGTGCCCACACTCGCAGGAGTAGTAGACGGAGCGAGAGTCGAGAGAGGCGGCGCAGAGAGGGAGGAAGAAGGCGCAGGGACTCATCTTCGTCATCTTCATCAAGGAGCCCGCACCGGCGGCCCAGGCGGAGCGAAAGTGAAAGCGAAGAGGAACGGAAGCTTCGAAGAAAAGAGAAAGGACGAAAGCGAGGAAGGAAGAGCGAACAACGTGACGACGATGTGAAGGCCAAGCAGCAGCGGGTACGCGATCGGACAGCGGACCAACAGCAGATCCACGAGAAGAAGCCACACCGAGCCATCGCTGGAGATGAGGCAGAAGAAGAAGGCGGCCTGACCACCCTCCTGCAAAGTTATGGAACCCAATAATAATAAGCATTAAGTTTGGACAGCACACAACCTCACGAGTAGCACGACACACGACACAGCACGCGCGGGCCTCTTTCACCGGAATACAGGGCAATCCGGTCGTCGACAACGAACACGAAGACACGAAACGTCCCACACGCCATCAACCGATTTGGTTATATATTTTTTAAAAGAAAAAGGAGAGGCAAGAAAAAGGAGAGGCATTAGCACAGCGGAAGATGGTGGCCAAGGACGATGCGTCCTGCTTCGAAGCGCCCCCGGTGGTTGCGCTGGTGGTTGGATATTTTCTCACCGCGGGCATCGTCATCTCCTACATCCCCCAGGTAGCCCCTCTTTGATTGTTAATCCACTACCATTTTTTTTTAATTTCGTATTATTTTTCTTACTATTTGATATTCTCCTACAGTTCTGGATGATCATCGCGCGCCGGAGTAGCGAGGGAGTGAGCGTGCTCACTATGTGGCTCTCCTTCGTGTGCGCCTACCTCACCTTCATCAACGCCTTCATGCTCGATTGGAACGCCATCAAGTGCTGTCGCTACCTCGTACGTAGTCTGGGCGCCACACCACCTGCTAACCCGCCCAGCGCCAACTCTTCAACTCGTCTCAATCGGGGATGTGGTGCGTGGTGCGTGTCTGCAGACCGTTGGCCAGATCTTCCAGCAGCTGCTTCCGCTCGAGCAGTTGTTCGTGGGACCCTTCTGCCTGTTCCTCCTGTACGCACTGCGCGCTGAGCTTTGTTTGTCTGTCTGCTCGTGTGTTGCTGATCTCTTGATGTAACAACGTACGTATGTATGTATGTACAGGTTCATATGCATCGTGTACTACTTTGACATGACACCCAAGAACAACGTCTCGGCCGTCCGCAAGCGCACGGACAGGGTGCGCGCCTCACCTCCTTGCCACGTGCTTGCGGTGCTCTGTGTTACTAATAATTTCTTCTACCGCGATCGCTGTGTAGTTGGTTGCGAGGGTGATGCTGGTACTCAACTTTGTGCTCCTGGTTGCCCTGGGGGCTTCCGCTTTCTTCTTCATCGCGTTCGTGGGTTCAGATGAAGATGTACGTTGGTCTCAGATGGATGATCATTTCTGTCTCGCGAGAGACTTTGTTGGTCGCCATCATCCTGACCGCACGCATCGTATTCGCTCCCATTCGCAGAGCTACACAGGCTACGCCTATGCGCTGGGTTTGATCTCGTCCGTCATCATCGGATTCGTGTGGCTGCCCCAGATCTACGTTACCTACAAGACCAAGGTGCGCTACCAGCACCACACGTGCACCTTAACCTGGCGCTTTTGCTCATTACTTTTGCTTTTGTCGCGGTGTGTGTGTGTGTGTGTGTGTGTGTGTGTGGTTGACAGGACACCGGCGCGCTCAGCATCACCATGCTGTTGATCCAGGCGCCAGGCAACATCCTGGTCGTTTGCTTCCAGGTTCGTTTCAACACATCAACTCTTACCTACGGACTGACACGGCCATTGCTGCTCACCACTGTTATACGGTCACGCAGGCCATTCTGGCTGGCAACAACTGGACGACGTGGCTGCCCTACGTCATCACGGCCGTCGAACAGCTGACCCTCACCGCCATGTGGCTCTGGTACTGTTCACACACCTACCTGCTTGAGGCCACCGGCGCGCGTGCGCAGGGTCAGCTCACCCCGAGCGACCCTCCACACAGGTACAAGTGCATCAAGCCAAAGAGGAGCACCAACATTGTCGCGGAGGACACCGAGTCTGACATCGCCCGTATGAACGGCGCGGCGGCGATGAGCCCATACCTGCAGGTAAGCGTGCATGAAGACGATGGCACCGCGAACCGTAATTTGTTCAAAAGGTCACGCTACACATCTCGCCCCACGCAGCTCCCGACCGACGAGGGTGTTCCCGAGCTGAATGGCTACCACAGCGACGACAACATGCGACTCTCCCCCACGACCACCCGCATCAACTGATGATCGTCAGCCTGGTCTGGGTTGCCACGCTCCACTCTCTCCTCTGGGAGGGAGCTGGGTGAATGTACATGTGCCTGCATTTGTGTGCGGTGTGCATTGTTGTGCATTTTGTCTTTTGTGCTTCCATCATCTTCCTCTGTACGACCCTCTTTACACAACAAGCACACCCTTTTCAAGTCAACAGGCTGATTAGAAGAATAAAATAAGATTTGTTTATATGAACTCGCCACCTTGCATGGGGAGCAGAGCCACTAAAGCACGCCCAGGGGTGGTGCCTGCCCTGAACGTCGCCAGCGAACCGGCAGTGGCGGTACGTTGTCGAAAGCTGCCCTATCATTCATAATCCATAATTATCAGGGCATAATCATCCTTGCATTCAAATTTGCATCTTGGCATGGCACAGGAAATGGCAGCGTCCTATGCCCTGCAGCCCTACAGATACAACTCGGCCAAGCACTCGTGGGAAAAGCTCGACCTGGTCGTATGCCACATTGCAATCTCTGCACCGTGCGTGGTTGCTGACGAGGGCGAGTGCAGGCTGGGGAGGGCCACAAGGTGAACAAGACCTCGCTGCGCCTGGCCACCTACAACGTCTTCTTCGGCCAGAACACCATGCGTGGAAGGTAAAAGCTTCACATTGCCATCATGCGCGAGTCGTGCCACCAACGCTCTAAAGGACGCCCTCAACCAACCATAAGGTTTCGTCACATCCTGAGCATGCTGCCCGAGCTCGATGCCGATGTCATCTGCGTGCAAGAGGGTGCCGCGACCCTCCACCACATTCATTGCCAGCGTCAATGTTGGGCGTTGCTGCTCACGCCCTACGCTGTGTCGTGTGTGCGTGCGTGCGTGTGTGTGCGCAGCCAACATGGAGTGGATCGAAGAGATGACCGACAACGAATATGTACAACAGCACTACTTCGCCTCCGACGTGAACGGGCGCACGTTCAATGGGTCTCTCCTCCTTCTCCTCTACAATCGGCGCCAATCGACGCTCACACAATCGATCTGACCTGCTCAGGTACGGCGTAGTGATCCTCTCGCGGATACCCATGGCGGACCTTACGATGTGGAAGCTGCCCACCAGTATGGGTAGACGGGCCTTGATCGCCACTTACACGATCAACGAGGAGACGGTACGTCCCTGTGACAACCAATATGATGATGAAGATGACCCACCACCTCGTACACAACAGTCTCCTACTGACCATGCGCCGGGTTTGTGCTGTTGTACAACAGGTCTCAATCGGGACCGTGCACCTTGAGAGTCTGGACTCTGCACAGCTACGAGCCGAACAGCTGGAGAAGATCTCGGGTAAGGTGACCAGCTGGTCACAGCAAAGCGCCACCAGCATCAGCATCAGCACCACCTGGTGACTAACAATGCCTGCATTTCCTTGGCTGTGTCGCACACAGGAATTCTGGCCTCGTCGCCGCACGCTGGGCTGATGGGCGACTTCAACTTCGACTCGGACCGCAACTTTCGCAAAGGGTGCGCCCACCTCTGATGCTCTTATATTGACGCGGTCGACCGCCTAAGAAGACTCACGACGCTTTGCGCTGTCTTAGGGTGATGCCGCTGGAGAACGATAATATCGCGGCTCATTACCCCGACTACGTTGACGTGTGGCCCACCTTGCGCCCAGGTTCGTGCTGCACGCTCACGCTCGCATGTACCGGCCACCAGCAGCTGACCCAAAGGGTCCAGAGGAGAAGGGCTACACGTTCGACTCAGAGGTTAACCGAATGATACGCCAATTCGAGCAGATGAGGTACGTAGCTTTCAGAACAAGCTGCTAATGGTTGGCAGCTTGGCGCTCACTGAGTGCATGCAGGTACGATCGCGTGTTGTGGAAGTCCGCCGGCGGCCAGTGGCGGCCCAAGCGGATTGAACTTTTCGGCACGGCGCCGATGAAGGGCCACATCGTACGCTCATCTCTTCCCCTGAGTTGGGTCACACATGACCGTCAGTCTCAATTCTGCGCACATGCCCAGGGAGTGTGGCCGTCGGACCACTTCGGCTTGGTCACCGATCTTGAATTCGTTGCCCAAGCAGAGCCCGAGCCCGAGCCCGAGCTCGCTGACGAGTGATCGCCCGCGAGAGTCGACATGCGAGCTGGCTTTCGCTCTCGACCTCTTGGGCTTCGCTGGGCGATTGGTTTTTTGTCGACCAAGAAATGGCGGGAATGGCAAAAAGGCGGGAAAGGTGACAACGATCAAAGCAGATTTTCGGACCAGGAGGCGTAGAGAGCACCGTCATGTCCCTCCGCGCGTCACGGCTGAGCGTGGGCGCCAATATTGCCCTTTTGGGCATCGTGGGGAGGTAAGTGTGCGTTCAAATTTCCCATTCTGATAGGATTGCTCTAACCGCCGCATGACAGAAAAACAGGAATCGCCCCCAAGGCAAATGTGCTGAAAGATGCCGATGATATGGACAACGTCGACGATTGGTTTGCCAGCTCTGGTACGCCTTTGAACAAATAAATATAAAAATAAAATGAATAAATTAATAACTCACTGCATGTTGTCGCGGCTGATCAGATGAAGAAGAGGCGAGAGACCTGGCGGAAATGGAAGAGGAAGTCGAAGAGGAGGTAGAGGTGGAGGAGGAGGCCGAAATGGAAGAAAGCGAAATAGGAGAGCAAGAGCCCTCCTTCGCCATCGGTAGGTCTCCTTCTTCTCGTCTTTTGGTTACGAAGGGCATTCCTCACCGCATGTATGCATGCGGCCTCGCAGCCTCTCCGGCGCGGAGAGGCGGTGGTGCGCTGTCGATCCTCGATCAGAGCTTTATGCAGAACGTGACGCCCATTCGTCGCGTCTCCTCGCGGGCCGACGTCACCTTTGCCGAGCAGGACAGCCTGCCGTGGGTCAGCCCGCCCAACCTGTCGCCCACCCGCGCCAGCGAGTCCACCGCCGCCAAATCACGCGCCGGCGGCGAGAAGCGCAGGAGCACAGTCACAGCCAACGTCGCCACCACCGCCGCCGCTGCTGCCGCACAGCCGAGTTCGATTAGATCGGGCTCGGTCGTCAACGCGCGCGCCAAGCCCACGCCGCCCTCTCCGCCGCCGCCGGTCGACGATGGCAATGATGACCAGTTGGACACCTCGGGCTACTCGTCGGTCCCGGAATCGGTGGCGATGACCACCAGCAAGCCGGCGATGGCCTCGACTGCCGACCAGACCGCGACGTCGACAATCAAGAGCGGCCGTAAAGGCAAGAAGTCGGCGGCGCGCACGACGTCGGCTAAACCGCGGAGGGAGGCTACTGTCATTGCCGACGACGACAGCAGCGTCAGTGGACACGCCTCTGTCGCTGCTGCCTCTGATCAGAGTGCGTGGGCGGTGTCGTCCGTGTCGTCTTCCGGCGTCGACTCGGTGCGCCTGCCGCCCACGCCCAAGGTGATGATCATGGACGAGTCGTCGAGGCCGCGCGCGAGAAGGAAGAAGCGGGGGAGGGACCTCACTGAAGAACGAAGCGACGACGACGAAAAAGAAGAACGAAGCGAAGACGAAGACGAAGAGGACTCGGCAAAACCACGGAGCAAAGGGAAGGCCGCTAAACAGTCCACCAAGGCGCTGTCAAAGAAGCAAGAGAAGAGGAAGAGAGATGAAGAGGAAGATGACGAAGAAGAGGAGAAGCAACAGAAAAAGAAGAAAAAGGAGAACGAGTCAAAGCAGAGACGACGAACGGAAGAGGAAGAAGAGGACGACGTCAGCGGAGGGGAGGATGAGGCGGATGTACAGTACGCGCGCAACGCGAAGGGGCGAAAGGGCGCGGCCAGCGCCCGCACCGCCGCCGCCGCTCCCACGAAGAGCGCTGCAGCTTCGGCGAAGGACACCGGAAAGCGAAAGGCCGCCGCCACGCGCTCGCCACCGCCGAAGGCCAGCAAGAAGCGGAGGCTCGAAGATGATGACGAAGAGGAGGAGGAGGAGGATGACGAAGAAGAACGACGGAGGGAGAGCAAGAGAAGGGGCAAGCAGAAGGCGACCACTCCCTCTCCGCCCGCGTCGCCAGCGCGAGCTGACGACGTGAGCTTCGGCGGTGCCGACGTCTCGGGCTTCACTGAGCCCGACCACTCGCTCGGCGCTGCCGATGTGCGCAGTGTCAGCATGGAGATGGCCTCGCCCGAGACGAGCCACAGTGACGACGGCGGCGGCGGCGGCGGCTACGAGACCCACATCCCGCTCAAGGACGCGGCGCCCTCGTCGCCGGTCGGCCAGCGCTACCTCAGCGAGACGAGCATGAACGACCTCACCGTCTACGAGGAGCTGCCGACCTTTGTCGATCCCAACGACGTCACGTGGGCGGCCAACGACAGCCTCATCGAAGAGACCGAGGCTAATAGGGTACTCTCGCGCACGTCGCAAGCTTGCGAGTTGCATCCAAACTCAAACAACACACACACACACACACACACACACAACACACACAACACACACACACGACACACAGCAAGCACCAACGCGCAGGAGCAAGAGGAAGAAAGTCACGCCTTTGGCCTACTGGAAGAACGAGCGTGTTGTCTACGGCTTCAAGGAAGGTGCTGTCAGCGTCTCATCTTCGCCTCCCTCTTGTTAAGCGCCTCAGCCTCGATCAATGTGAGCTCACTTCTTCTTCGTGCGGTGTGTTATTGTTGTTGTTGTTGTTGTTGTTGGGGTTCGTGCAGGCGATAGAATGCGGAGCGTGAAGGACGTCGTGCGCATCACTTCGCCGGAGGTGACCAAGAAGAAGTCATCGGCAACGAAGAAGACGACGGCGAAGGCAAAGACCACGACCACCACGACAGCAGAAGCCCACAAAAGCGGGAAAAGGCGCTGAATCACATTCACAACAACTTTAAAGTTATGCTTTCGCTCGAAGGTCACCTTTTTTTAATTTTATTTTTATTTCTGCGAATGCCGGGTCGCCGCTACCACTTTTCGGACCAGTGCCGCGTGGCCGTGGCCCAGGTGCCCTGGCGCGCCCACGCCGATGGTGTCATGCGCTCGCGCCTGGTCTTCATCCTGTGGGCGCCCGATGCCACGTCGACCAAGGAGCGCATGGTGGGCGAGCATGTTCGCCCAAGGGCGCCAAGGGCCTCATCGACCAGTGGCGCGGCGGAGGCATGAGCCTGCCCATCCAGGCCGCCGGCCTCGACGACGTCGCGCTGGAGGACGTCGAAGACAAGATCCGCGCCAAGGCCACCGTCAAGTAGAGTGAGAAAGCTCAAGGCGTGAACACGAATGTACATAAAAGGCCGTGATATGATTGGAAGCTTGTTTTGTTTTGCATGGCGCGGTCGAAGTAACAACTTTACATGTCGAGGAGGCCACGGACGGACTTGATCTCCTTCACCGACAGTTGGCCTGCATCCATGGATCACACGCCATTGGGCAGCACACTGTGAGTTGCCTGTGAACGAGAAAGAGAGAAAGAGAGGAGGGCCACGAGAGGTGTACCAGGGGCGGCCTTGGCGGGCAGCAGCGGGTGGGTGACTGGGGTGAGGAACTTGTTCATGACGCGCGAGAGCTTGCCCTTCTCCCCGGCGGCCAGGGCGATCGTCGGGAAGCCCTGGAGGTGGGCCACCGTCTCCTGCGCGCGCTTCACGCCGTTGCGCAGCGTCCACACGTCGCCGTCGGCAAAGGCGAAGATCACCACCTTGACCACGTCGACCAGCGACGACGCCGACAATGCGCCGGTCTGGCCGAGCGCGTGGCATCGCTGCAGAACGCGCACCACGTCCTCTTCGCTCTTGACCGGGTCGTTGAACTGGTGGTAGGAGGCGATGACCCGCGTGGCGCCGCCCAGCGCCCGGCGCTTATCGAGCACGGCTGACACGATCTCGGGCTGGAGGGTGATCTCCAGGTCGATGAACTCGACGCCCAGGCGCAGGGCCAGCCCGAACAGCCGCACGATCTCGTCGGCGCGCCCGGTCTCGTCGTAGCGGCCGCCCTGGTCGCGGGTGCGGAGAGTGAACAGCAGCGGCTTGGCCGTGCGGCGCCGCAGGAGCGCGGTCTGCTCGCGCAGAAAGTCCTCGTCCTGGCTCTCCATGAGGTCGACGCGCATCTCGATCAGGTCGACGTCGGCGAAGAGCTCGTCGGCGAAGGGCAGGCACTCCTCGACGCGCGGGGTGGTGAGCGACAGGAAGTAGCTCTCGCCCGTGTCGCGGTCGAGGCCCGGCAGCGGCAGCGGCGCGCGGTCGCCCCGCCGCACGCGCTGGACCAGGTCGACCAGGTCGCGCTCGGCCGCCGCCCAGTCGCGCTCGCCCCGGCCGATGTAGAACTCGTGGTCGGACACCTGCTCGTAGAGGGGCCTCCTCCGCTCCCAGATCTTGCGCGTCTCCTCGCCCAGGTCGGCTCGGCTCACGTCCGCACTGAGGTACTCGATCACGTCCTCCACATTGCGCCGCAGTTGCACAATGATCACATCCTGCCGACACACGACACACAATGCAACACGACACACGACACGCGCGCACAATGCAACACGACACGCGCGTGAGTGGTGGGTCTTGTGGTGGCGAGGGCGAGCGGCGCGTGGTACCTTCTTCTTGGCGAGGAGGTACTCGAAAGCGGTCGGGGTCTCGACGATGCCTCCGCCGGTGGAGATGACGGTCCGCTGCGGGTGAGCCCCGACCACCTGGCGCACGAGCTCCTCCTCCTTGGCCCGGAAGGCCGGCCAGCCGTGCGCGTCGACGAAGGACCGGATCTTCTCGCCCGCAAAGGCCTCAAACTCGACGTCGATGTCGATGAACTTCCAGCCCAGGCCCGCGGCGAGGGCCGAGCCCATCGTGCTCTTGCCCGACCCGCGCATGCCCACCAGCACCACCGACCGGTCGTCGCCGTCCGGGCCGGGCTGCTCGGCAACCGGCGCCTCGGCGGCGGCGGTGGCGGGCTTTTGCTGTTCGTTCTCGGTAGAGGGCACGGACAGGCGGACGCCGAAGCGGAACTCGAGGTCGTACCAGAAGTCCGGGTAGGTCTTGTCGACGCACTCCTTGTCGGTGATGAGGATGCCCGGCACCACCGTTCCGAACACGCCGAAGCTGCACACACACACACACACACACACACACACACCACACACACACACACACACACACAATAAGTACAGACGTGTGGCGCGTGTGCGGTGGTGTGTGTCGCGTCGTGTGCGTACCTCATGGCAATTCGGTGATCCCTGTAGCATTCGATGCTGGCGCCGTGCAGCTTGGAGATGTCCCCGCCGCAACCGTCAATCTCCAGACCGTCTTCGAGCTCGCGAGCGGTCACGCCGCACTTCCCGAGTTCTTTCACCATCGCCGCAATGCGATTACACTCCTTGACGCGCTGGTTGGCGATGTTGTAAATACGCGACGTGCCCTGTATTGTGTGTGTGTGTGTGTCGACGACATTGTCAACATTGCTTGGCGCATGCTCGCACAGTGCCTGGAATGGAATGAAAGGAATGCGGTGGGCCTGTGCGTACGGTGGCGACGGCGGCGAGGACTGCGACGGTCATGAAGGTGTCGGTCATGGATGACATGTCGATGTCGACGGCCTTCAGGCCACCGCGCGCCGGACCCTTCACGGTGGTGGAGGTGGTGGTCTGGTTGACTGTGCAGCCCATCTTCTCCATGACCGTGTAGAACTGGGCGTCGCCCTGCACGCTCGACGAGCCGATGTTGTCCACAGTGATCTCGCCGCCGGTGATGGCCGCCAGCGCGAGAGGGTACGAAGCAGACGACGCGTCGGGCTCGACGACGAAATCCTGACCGCACGCGACACCAGAAGTCAGCCCACGACACACGACACACGACGGCTAGTGATGGTGGGTACCTTGGGATTGTGGTAAACGCCGCGGGGGATGAACCAGGAGATCTTGTCCTCCTTGGAGGTGTCGACGACCTTGACGCCGAACTGCTGCATCACCTTGATGGTCATCTCGATGAACGGCTGCGAAACGGCCTCACCTGCCAATACAAAGCAGAACCCTTTCAGTTTACTCGCACGGCGCACACGCACACGCACACGGCGCACGGCGCACACGGCGTACACGACACAACGCAAGGAAGAGACGGGTGGCCACCTTTGATCTGCAGGTCGACGTCGTTGAGCGCGTACGGGGCCGAGAGAAGGATGGAGGACACGTACTGGCTGCTAAGCTTGGCCGAGAGGTTGATCACACCACCGTTCAGCCCCTTACCACCGACCTGCGAGCGAGTTGACGCCAGCCCCGGGGTTGTTGGTCGCTAGTCGACACACACAGTCGCACACGCACACGCACCACCGCACACGCATCAGCGCTCAGGGCACGCACCACTTCGATGGGGAAGTAGCCCTCCTTCTCGAGGTAGTTGATGACGCAGCCGTTCTCCCGCAGCGCCTCCACGAGATCGCTGATGGGCCGCTCCTTGAGCCTGTCGACCCCCGTCAAGATCGTCGACACCTTTTCCGTCGAGCCTGTGCCGGCGGTTAGCGACATGAGTCGACAGTCGACTGGGGAGCCAAGGAACCGGCCGAGAAGCAAGAGAAATGGTGGTACCAGCCGGCGGGGTGACGAGGGTGCACATGGTGGTCAGGAAGCGCGACGCCGTGCCGGCGTTGCCCAGGAAGAATGGGATCTCGGGCTCCTTCGGCGGCTGCAGCTGTCCTCCGCTGCCCTTGATGTACAGCGTCTGGCGGCGGCGGGTGGTGGGTGGTGGGTGGGGTGAGCTGTTGTCGGCAGACAGATGCAGGGGGGAGGCGCTTACGAGGCCTTGGTCGAGCCACTTGTACTGGACACCGAGTCGTCGAAGCGCGGCGAGCATCACGTCCGTGTCGTCGGCCGAGAGAAGCCCCTTGATGTGACATTCGCCTGTGTGCAAGCGAGCAAGCCAGAGTGTGTGTGTGTGTGTGTGTGTGTGTGTGTGTGTGTGTGTGCGCGCGCGCGCGCGTGTGGTGTTTGTTCGTCAAACTTGACTTGTTTGTTGGATGTACTGAAGGGCGAGAGGAGGGAAGAGAGAGTGGCATACCTTCGCCCAGGGCGGCAAGAGTCAACACGCGGTTGGAGATCGACTTGGAGCCGGGCACGGTGATCACGCCGCTCACGCCGCTCTGGGTGGGCTCCACCGCCACGGAGGGCAAAAGCACAAACCTGTTGGTCCAGTCGCAATTAGAGCACACGCGCACGACACACGCTCACGACACACACTCGCGCTCGACACACACACACACACACACACATACACAAGGGCAGAAGAATACCTGAGCGTGTCCTTGTCAACAACGACGGGGTGTTCGAACACATCGCCGAAGTCCTTGACGATCACGCATCGGATGTTGCTGTTGGCGTTCTTCTTGTCGATGAGCATCTTGTTGATCAGGTCTTCCGGCGTGAATTCGAGCGTTCCCTCCTTTCGCTTGCCCTGATCGCCGCCCTGTTGCTGTTGGTCGTGGATGTGGATGTGAGTCACCAGCATCGCACGCACACACCGCACACACCACACACACCGCACACACCGCACACACATGCACACACATGCACACACATGCACACGCACTTTCTTCGGTTTGGGGACCACGACGGGGAGCTTGTAGGCCTGCAGGCATCGCGTCAGCCGGCCAATGAAGTTGAGGTTCTTGAGGTGGTTCATCTTCTGTGCCAGCTTGCTCTCGAGCACCTGGTACCGCCGTGCCACATTGAAAAACCGATGTGTTAACTGAAATGACGCGTGTGCGTGCGTGTGCGTTGTGTGTCGTGCGCGTACCATGCCAATCGACACGCACTCTCCGTGCAGAAGGAGCGGGAAGGCAAAGGCCTCGATGGCATGGCCGATCGTGTGTCCGTAGTTGAGGATGCAACGGATGCCGTTTTCGTTGGCGTCCATCATGACCACCTCGGCCTTCATCTTGGCCGATCGGTGCACGATCTCCCGAAGCAAACGCTCCTCCCTGTTGTTGAGGATGCCGTCCACGTTGGTCTCCAGCAATTCGAACAGCTCGGGGTCCCTGATCACTCCAGACTTGATGACCTGTGTGGCGCGGAACTATACCTTTAGAGCCGACGACACACACGACACACACACGACACACACACAACACAAAAAAGGAAGCGCGACTGGCGTACCTCGGCAAGGCCGTTACAGAACTCGCGCTGGGGAAGAGTTTTGAGGAGCGACAGATCGATGTAGACTGCCTTGGGGTGGTGGAACGCGCCCACGAGGTTCTTGCCCGCTGGCGGGTTGAGTCCAGTCTTGCCTGTTGCGCGGGCGTGCAATGAGGTCGTGTCGTGTGTGTCGTGTGTCGTGTGTGCCATGTGTGTCGTGAGGCGGACATGAAGGTACCGCCGATCGAAGAGTCCACCATGGCCAGGAGGGTGGTTGGTACTTGCACGAAAGGCACCCCTGGATGGTCAGGGAAGAGATCTTTACAACGTGATACAACAAATAAAGTGAAATAAGTTATTATTTATTTAAATTGGTTTGGCAGAACACACAGATAGGAAATAAATGGATAAAAAATACATAAGCATAAACCTGTATATAAATACATATTTAAAAAGCACGAAAGCAAGCGCACCTCGGAGGTAGGTGGCAGCCACGAATCCAGCGAGATCGCCAATGACACCACCACCCAGGGCGACCTGTGGCACCACGCCCAGCGAGATGGAGTGTCATTTCAATTGCATATGGAAAAATAAAAATGAGCTGCTGTGGATCTGGAGAACGCACCACGCAGGTGTCGCGATTGCAAGCCTTGGCGAGCATGAAATCTTCGATCTCCTCCTTGACCTGCCGGCTCTTGGTCTCCTCGCCCGGTGGCAGCACTTTGACAAAGGGCTTGATGTGGAGCACCTGCTCGAAGGTCGAGATGAAGGTCTGACCGTAGAGCCCGAACACGTTCGAGTCGGTGATGATGACGAACTTCACCGCCTTGGGCACTCGCTCGCGGATGTCGCGCGCGATCCAGCCCTTGCGCAGGATCTCGTTGCCGATAACGATCGGCTCCTTGCCTCCCTCCACCCGCTCCACCGGCACATCCTCCACAACGAAATCCCCTCCCTTCTTCTGCATCGACTCTGCTCTGATCTAATCTCTCTCTCTCTTTGTGTGTGTGCAAGCTTTCTTCGTTGGGAAATCGCAGACCCAATCTTTCTTTGCACTCGATCTAGATGTGTGCGCCAGCGGCAGTGTGTGGTGTGTTGCTGGTGCCCGCCACCAGTCGGCGTTTGAAATGGCGCACGCCAATTGCTGTCCGGAGTTGGGCCTCTGGGCTGTGGAATGGTGGTCTCTGCATGCCCCCTACCAAACACGTCTTGGGCTCGCGCGACTGCTCGCCGCACAGGCCGCCAGCCGGCCACGCTCTTGATGGCGCATCGCCACACGCGCAGGAAGCTGGGCTCACCGTTCGATCAAAGCCTGACGATCTGCAGGGTGATTGGGTGTGAGCTCAATCGATTGGGGGATTTCGCGAGTGGGCAGGAATGCGACGGAAAACAAGTGGAGCCCGACGGTGAGTTTTCTACAGGAACCGGGGCAGGTTAGCCATCTTTTGGCCACCCGCCCTCAATGCACCCGCCCCACGTGTCTCGCCGAAGGGCTTGAACGGACTCGCTTGGCTCCCTCCTTTATGTTGTTTAGAATATTGAAACCCAATACTGCACCACTGGCACCTCGACCCTGCACCCACCCAACACCCTACCAACTTCGTTTTGATTTAAGTCAGAAGATTGATTTGTGTCAACACAGCCCAGAGTCGCGCAACACATATAACACACAACAGAGGCGATGGTACTCAGCTCAGAGGTCGACACCGCCACGGGCGGAGGTACTGCTCCAGCTGGGCAGAAGTCCGCTCGGAAGGCCGATCGCCATGCGAGGACCAAGAGGCACGCGATGATCGTGCTGCGATGGGCCTGGGACTTCATCCGGCCGCACTTTCGACACCACAAGCGGAGGGACCTCTACGAGTCCCACTTTCTACCCACCTGGGCGCTCTTTGTACGCTCTTCGTGTGTCGTTTGTGCCATTGTGTCAGTGGCTGACATGCAAAACGGATCTCGTGTGCAATCGCCTAGGTGTTGCGAACGCTCATCTTTGCGTATATGCTGGCCATCACCATTTATCGGCCCATCGACGACTCCGATGACGGCGAGTACCTGACCTACTTCACCAACATCAACTGGATTCTGCTCACTGTCTACTTTGGGGTACGGCAGTGATGACTGTGTGCCGATGAAAAGGTGTGTTGTTTGACTTACGCGTGATGGTGGGCGCGGCGTGATTAGTTGACGGTGTTGTACACCATAGTAGTCCACGTGATGAAGTGGCTCGGCCTAACGAAGGAGTCCGAGGGAGGCGCCAATTTGAGTGCCACCGCCAATGATAGTGACACCGACAGCAGCGGCACGAGCGAAACCGACGAAGAACAGGGTACGGCCACCGAAGAAGCCACCGACAACGAGCAGACAGCCGCTGCCGGCAACCACACCCGATGGACCCGCTTCAAGAAGTGCCTGCGTAGGTACGTGAACTACATCGCACCAGCCTAAACAATTTAGGAGCACTCATGTGTGCGTTCGCTGCAGACATCGTCTGGACCTGGACAAGCGGATTACGCTCGATATGGTGTTGTGGATGTTCTTCACCCTGGTCACTGTGAATGCGGTCTATCTTGACATCATGTACGACCATCTGCAATTCTTGCTTGTTGATTGCCTGCTTACCGCGGCTATCAGTTTCTGGGTCGCCATCTACGGCACGTCGGATGGAGATTCCAACAACGAGAGCAGCGAGACCACGATCACCTTCTACACCATCAACGCCCACGCGATCAACGCTGCCTTCGTGCTGCTCGAGATCATCTTCAACAAGCTCCGAGTACACACCCGCACCACCTTGACGAAGAAGAATGAGAGGCATTCGCTCATTCCTTGTTTTCTTCGTTGTTGTTGATGTGAAACAGATCTATCCGTTCCAGATCGTCTACGTCCTGCTGTTCGCCTTGGCCTACATGATATTCATGTGGAGCTGGTATGGCGCGACCGACGAGTACGTGCCCCTCCTCCTTCTCCCAGTGGCTTCAGCGCCACCTCCTCAACACTAACCCACCTCCTCCCGCCCACGCCCGCAGTTGGATCTATGACCAGCTGTCTTGGGACGACAGCCACCACACGTTGTACTACTTTGGCGTCTTGGTACGCTGACACGACACACACGACACACACGACACACACGACACCACCAGGTGTGGCTTACGTGGCTTGTGGTTGCGCGATAGGGTGCGCTCGTTGGGGTGTTCGCCGTCCTCTTCCTGCTCACGCGCCTCCGCGATGTGCTGGCGCGCGTGGGAAAGAGGAAGCTGTCGAAGCGTCGAGCGAGGAAGCAGGCGGCCAAGCAGAACGGCGCCGGATCGACGTCGTCGCCAGCCGACGGCGAGGCAAGGCCTGCGGCGGGCAGCGACGACGCTCGTGCCTCGTCCTCCCGGTGATCTTCGTCGAACGTAGTTCTCTGTCTCTACATCTGCTGCCAGGCGCAAAGATTTTGCTGTGTCCTCGCCGACGAGGATGACAGAGATGTATGTTGAGGAAAAATGCATGCAAAGTTGTCCCACGCAAAATGAGAGAAGGGGCGGGGGTATGTACAATGTGTTTATTAATGTAAACACAGCCGTACGCATGTGGGGAATTGGTGACGTCCCAAGTGCTTGGTTTACACCCTCTTGATCTCGATCTTGGTGATCTTGCCGTCGTCGTTGAAGTCGAGGAAAGAGGCCACGCTCCAGTTGATGAATATGACGGTGACGGTGCCCTTGATGACGACCTGGTCGCCCTCCAGGACGGGGTCCTGCCACTTGCCAGTGGGCTTCACCGACTTGAGGTACTTGGTGAAAGCCTCCTTGCCCTCATGGGTGCCATCCCTGTAAATTAAGCGAAGAGATTGATTAGAATTGACCGCAAGGACCAACGGAATCGAACGCGATTCGAGAAACAGCGCTGATGTGGCAGGAGGATCACCTCTGGCTGACGAGGACAATGTCATCCGTAACGAGCGAGAGGACGGTGTCGTTGTCCTCAGCAAGGCGAGCCTTGATGTACTGCGAAGCGAGCGCTACCTTATCGACCATGTTTGTTGATGTTGAGGCGTTGTGTTAGGTTGTGTAGAATGAATGATCTGTTGAATCGGCGTCGGTCTTCTTGTCGGCGGTCTGCGGGGCTGGGAAAAGAGCCGATAATTGAAGCGACGCACATTCGTAGAATACTGTGATCGCACCGACAAGGCCACAGCCGCTCCGCCAGGTTTGGCGCTGTCTGCCTCAAACAACTCGCTGATTGCAAGGAATGTGGACTGCAAGATCAGAAGGCGGAGATCACCGGAACTATCATAGTTTGTGCGATTATGCCATTACTATTGGCTGCCTTGCTTTCCCCTCGAAACCACGCTGATCCACTAGTGCTAACACTACGCCCGACAAGAGCAAGAGCACGCTCGCCTGAACATGTTTGCATCAAAGAAATAAAAGAAGAAGCTTTATGTACGGATGAGGAGAGGATGACTAACAACAACAAAATGATCCTGATCGCTTGGCCTCAGGAGACTGACTTAGAATGCTCGCGCTTGACCATAGGGAGCCGATGATCGCGGCGAGGCCGCTTGTCGCGGATCGCCCTGGTGTGGCGAATAGAACTGTTGCTGATGCTGTTGCTGGTAGTGCTGCTGCTGCTGTGGTGGTTGTTGTTGACGTGCGGGGGAGTAGGGAGGGTTCTGGGCAGACCCAGCAGCGGGGGCCAACGACCGCTTCTTGGGCGTGGGCGAAGGCGACGGGGAGTAGTGGCCCTCGGTCGGGTCGTAGTGCTGTCGCTGCGACGGCGAGTCGCGCACGGGCACCGACGTGAACTCAGTGGCCAGGTGGCCGGTCAAGGGCGAACCCTCGAAGCTGCCGCCGCCGGGCGACGGCGGCTGCGGCCTGTATGACGACGGCGGCGGAGCTGAGGCTTGCGGCGCGTAGTTGCCGGACGGCGGGGGCGGTCCGCCGGCGTACTGTTGCTGCTGCTGGTAGCGCGGTGACATGGGCGGTGATGGCTGTCGCTGGTTGGGCTGCTGGTGCTGCTGCTGATAGCCACGCGGCGACATCGGCCCACCGGATTGAAACTCGGCCGACGCCGGCGGCGGCTGCTGACGCTGTGGCGGGTAGCCGCGCGGCGAGATCGGAGGTGAACGAAACTCTGGCTGCTGCTGCTGTTGCTGTTGCGGCGGAGGCGGCGACTGAGCCCGTGGCTGCTGTTGTGGCATCGGCGACGCGTTTTGTTGCTGCAGCTCGTAGAAGGAGTGCTGTTGGCGGAAGGGCGGCGGCGATGGCAGTCGCGTCGACGGCATCCGCGACGACTGGGGAGGCGCACGCCCGCGATGCACCGACGGCGGCGCCTGGCGCTCCTGGTACGACCCATAGGCAGCGTGGTCTATAGACAGAAAAGCAACACGCTTGATGAACACTGGGAAGAGGAGACGGCCGTGGCCGTGGTCACCGTCAGGGTCAGATGCGTACCGGAAGCGGTAGTCGCGGTGTGTTCGATGACGATGGAGGGCCGAGTCCTATACGCAACGCGCCAGTGGGTGGAGAGTTGTGGGTAAGACGTGCGATGAGACGAGTAAGCAGCCGGCCCTGGGTATTGTGGGCTGACGTACGCCATGCCGCCGGGCTCGAAGCGCAGGTGCACGCCGGTCCGGTGGTAGCACACCTTGTTCTCCTTCTTCACGATCTTGGCCAACTCCGACCGGATCTGTCGTGTGGAGTAGGAAATGAGGCACAAGCTCGCTAACACGCGGCAAGAGTTGGTGTGTCGTGTGTCGTGTGTCGTGTGTGTCGTGTGTGTCGTGTGTGTCGTGTGTGTCGTGTGTCGTGTGTGTCGTGTGTCGTGTGTGTCGTGTGTCGTGTGTCGTGTGTGTCGTGTGTGTCGTGTGTCGCGTCGTGTCCTGCCGGAGCCACTGAGCGTACCCGACGACTTCTGATGTACAGGAGAAGACCCAGCCCCACATTGACGGCGATGAGAATGCCGTCGATGGGGATCCACATCTTGACCTCAAAGTGTCGCGGCGTGAACCACCGCAGCATAGCGAACGGCATCAGAATGCCTACGAGTAGGCGGTGCGGATGTGCGAGCGCGTGTCAGTGGTGTGCGGTCAGTTGTTGTTGTTGTTGGCCGTCAGGCGAATGCTAATGAGGTGGAGCTCGGGAGCGGGTTGTACCAACGAAGAGCAGGATGAGGGCGATGATGAAGAACTTGGTCCAGCGTGACATGGGGCCATAGGTCTCGTTCAAGCGCTGCATTGTGTGGTAGAACCTGTCCGGCGGCACCTGTGGAATGAGGAAACAAAACAATTATATATTAATGTATTAATATTACCATAAAGCAACAAAATAATAATAATGAATAAAGAGTAAAAGATAAAATTAAAACCACGGCACTGTACCTTGCCGTGCAAGGATGCAGGGAATGCGATGGAATCCGGGCCATAAATGATTTTAATCTCTTCGCCATCCTGTCCCGGCCGAAGCAGATGTTGCCTTTCGGGATCCATTGCACCTTCTTTGCTCTGTGTTGGCCCTTCACCCTTCGTGTGCTACTGTATTCTACTTCTCTTTCTTACTTCTAGCGTTCGGGTCGCCGATCTTGTGAAACAACCGCTTCTGCCCTCAACGGTTACAAAAAAACAACATTTTGCTGCAAATTTCTTTGGGTTTGTTTAAATCCATAATAATTATATTAATAATCATATTACCAGCCATTGTCAAAGATGGAGCAGCACATCACTGCCAAGGGTCTGGCAGAGCACACGAGCGTACTGGCGAGCCCCGAGTTTGAGGGACGGCTGCCCGCGTCCCAGGGCGAGGAGCGCACGCTGCGTTACCTCACCACCGCCTTCGCCCAACTTGGCTGCTCCCCTGCTGGCGACAAGCAAGGTACTCAATCATTTACCCAAATCATTTACTCTTTTCTTTACAATTAAAATAATAATAATAAAAGAATATATTAATTTTTGCAGGGGAGGGCGATGCGGCGTGGCTGCAGGAGGTGCCGCTGATCGAGATCACCCCGTCGGGCCACTCGCCGCTCGTGTTGAAGGCCCAGAGCTCGACCCTCGAGAAGGAGGCGGCGGAGGAGTCGTTCGCCTATCTCTCCGAGTTCGTCTCTTTCACCACGCTCGACGGCCACGTAGGCGTGGAGGACGCCGAGGTCGTGTTCGTCGGCTACGGCGTCGTCGCTCCCGAGTACGGCTGGAACGACTACGAAGGCATCGATGTGCGAGGCAAGGCCGTCGTTTGCCTCGTCAACGACCCCGGCTTCCTCCACAACGATCCCAGTACGCACATGATGCATCGCGCCGTGTGCCGTGTGCCGTGTGTCGTGCGTGTCGTGTTGTGTTTCGGTCGGGACCTAACACAGTAAGGCGGCAACGAGCGCAGAGCTGTTCGATGGAAAGAAGATGACCTACTACGGCCGGTGGACATACAAATACGAGGAAGCCGCACGGCAGGGCGCTTCCGCCTGCTTCATCGTCCACTGGTCTACCCCCGCCGCCGGATACGGCTGGAACATTCCTCAGCATTCTAAGTAACTCACCGTCGCACACGCACACGCACACACGCTCGATTCGTTGACGCGCTACGCATTGCCTTGCACTCAGGAGCGGCCCGCACTTCCATTTTGCCGCGACGGATGCGGCCGACTGTGCGGTCAAGGGTTGGGTGACGCTCGACACGGCCCGCCGTATCTTCGCCCGCGGCGGGCGCGACATCGACGACGAGATCAAGCGCGCGTCGGATAAGGAGGCGCGGTTCCGGGCCTACAGTCTGCAGCAGTCCCTGACGGTGTCCTTGGACAGCTCTATCCGCAAGCTCACCTCGCACAACGTGCTGGCTTTGCTCGAGGGCTCTTCGCGCAAGGTGTGTGAGTGTCTTGTGTCGTGTGTGCGCGTGTCGTGTGTGAGTAGGTGGGTGGTGAAGTTGACCGCCATCAATCGTTGCCCGCGCAGGATGAGGTGGTCGTCTATTCCGGGCACTGGGACCACTTCGGGAAGCGGGCCGACGGAATCTACCACGGAGCCCGGGACAACGCCCTCTCCGTGGCTGCGCTGCTCGAGTTGGCCAAGGCCTTTGCCTCTGTTCCTCAGGTGTGTGGTGTGTGCGGTGGCGTGTGCGGGCGTGTCCTTTTCAGTTTTCAGTCCCCTGACCGACTTGAACGCTTGGTCTCACAGGAGCAGCGAGGGCGCTCAGTTCTGTTCTTGGCGCCCACAGCCGAGGAGCAAGGCCTTCTGGTACCTGCACACCCATCCAGGGTTTGAAGGCTGCGTCGTTGTCCAACAAAACCCTGCCCCTTCAGGGTTCGGAGTGGTACGCCGAGCACACGATCCGCTTCCCGATCGAGAAGACCGTGGCGTGCATCAACATGGACCTGCTCAACATCTTCGGCCGCACCAAGGACGTCACCTTCTTCGGCAGCGGCAAGAGCGAGCTGGACGACTACTCCGCGTGGGCGGCCGAGAAACAGGGGCGAACTGTTGGTGCCGGTACCTGCCCCAACAGCCCGCGCCTTGGTCGCCATTCACACCACCGCGCTAACGACACACACGACACACACGACACACACGACACACACGACACACACACGGTTGTGACTGTGGTGTGATAGATCCGTGGCCCGAGAACGGTATGTTCTACCGGTCGGACCACTTCAGCTTTGCCAAGCGAGGCGTTCCGGGCCTGTTCATCTACCAGGGCATGGACCACGTGACCCGGGGCAAGGAGTACCTGCTCAAGATGAACGAAAGGTGGACCCTCGAATGCTACCACAAGGTGATCACTCCCCCCCCCGCGAGCGCGTGTGGTGGTGCGAGTGCGTGTGCTGACCTCAAGAGGTGTGTGACATAGCCTGCGGATCAGTACGTGGACGATCCGGCGAGTGAGTGGTGCTGGGACCTGAGCGGGGCGGAGGAGGACGTGCGCCTGCTCTTCCTCGTCGGTCACAGGCTGCTCAACGAGGACAGCTTCCCGCAGTGGCGCCCCGGAGGCGAGTTCAAGCGGCGCGGATGATACGTAACGCGCCACTGGCGTTGTTGATTTTTTTTTGTTGAGATTTACCAAAAATAACAAAACCTCATTTTCTTCTTCAAAAAGCCTCTTTTGTTTTCTGAGGCAAGATTAAGATTTGCTACACAACAGCCATGAGTGACATTTTGCCCCCTGAGGTACATGTACCGCCTCCATGCGCACAGAAAGAGAGGCGCGAGAGTACTGCCTGTTGAGCGGTGTTGTTGTGGTGCAGGTGTGGTTGAGGGTGCTGTTGTTTCTCGACGTGGAGAGCGTGGAGAGCGTGGCCCAGGTGTCCCACGACTGCCGCCTCCTGGCCACCGACCCGCACCTCTGGCGCCTCTTGGCCCTTCGCACCTTGGGCGTGGGGCGGCGCCGCGACCGTGGCACCGAAGAAGTCAACCTGCACCCGGAGGACGAAGGTGGCGGGTGGCGCAGGACCGTCTTGTCCTGGCGTCCCCTTCGTCATGTACGTGATCTTGTTTACCCCCTCAAGCACTTCATTTTTATGGCTGCTGTCTGTTGCTTGTGGTGACTCGTGCAAGCAGAGACGGCTCCGGTTTTGCTTTCTTGGTCATGTGGACTGCGGCAAATCGACTCTCATCGGCACCCATCTCCACCCCACTGCCTCGCACGCAACACGCACGACACGACACGACCAACGACACGACACGCATGACACGCACACGGACACGGTTTTGCTGAGCTGTGTTGACGGCGATCAATAATGCAGGACGGTTCCTGGTGAACTCGGGCACGGTGAGCAAGGCGGCCTTTGAGCTGATAAACCGCATAACGTGGGAGGATGGCTCTGGCTATTACGCGTGCGCCTGGGTCACCGATCGCAGAAAGGACGAACGAGAGCGCGGGATCAGTGCGCAACAACCCCACACACGCACACACACACACGCAAGGCTTCCACTCACGCCGGTGTGTCGTGTGTTGCTGGGGCAACAACTACACAGCGCTCGATTACCACATACGAACATGTCAGCTCAGCAACGGCCGCACGGTCGAGTTCATCGACACTCCCGGCCACCGATGCTACGGGACCCACGCCGCCGAGGTCTCTCTCGCTAACGCTCACACACACACACACACACACAACACACACAACAAACACACCACGGGCCAGTCTTTTCGCTCATTGGCTGACGTGTGCCAATGTGCAGGGACTAATGCTGGCTGACGTGGCAGTGGTGAGCGCCCTCCACGGCGAATACGAGAATGGCTTGCAAGGTTGGCACCCTCTTCCAATTGATTGGTTGGCTGCGAGAGATAGGCAGAGCAAACAATAACCAACAACGACACGACAACAAGAGCAGATGTAGCGGCGCATATCAGGACAGCTAGGGAGACCAATGTTCGTAGGCTCGTCGTTGCTGTCAACAAGATTGATTACTCGTATCGCTACAACTTGCCTCATCCGAGCTTTGAGGTGATTCACCACAAAACCGGCCCGACCCGCTACCAACCAACAAGCACTCACCCACCACACACGGCACACACAACACACACAACACAGGAGATCAAAGCCGATATGCTCAAGCAGGCGATCGCTGCTGGGTATCGAGAGCAAGGTGCGTTGGGGCTCCATTTCGTGCAGAGCGAACATTCGTCAGTGACTAACACGGGCTCTGGTGGGTTGGTGTTCGACACAAGAAGAGGTGACAGTGTTACGACTCTCGGGCAGGGCAGGTCACAACGTTACCACTCGCACCGAGCTCCCGTACGCTTTCTCTCTGGTCCCTCTTGCTCATCCTCCTCCTCCTCCTCCCACACAGCAGCAGCAGTGGTGGTGGTGGTGCGCGCCGTATTCGTCTGTCAAAGCGTGGCCTTACGTGAAAACTGGGTCTGCAGCTATCATGGGTACTGTGGCCCTGCGCTCATGGAGCTCATGGAGCAGATCACCGACGAGGCCGACCCATTCTCTGACTATCTCGCCTCACCGCCGTCTGCCTCCTTGGTTCACTGTACGTGGCCCAACACTTTTTTTTTTTTTTTTGTTGCGTTGTTGGAAACGTTTGGTGATTGGTTTCTTTTTTCGTTTCACAAACCGTTTGTGAAACAGCACTGGTGGCCAAGAGGCCGCCGTACGGACTCACTCGCCTGTCGGTCCTGCGGCGCTACAACCGCCGCAGCCGGGTCGCCGTTGCGTGCGGGCTGCAAGCGCACGAGCACTTGGTCGCGGTCGTGGTGCAATGCGGCATTGTGCGCGCAGGGCAGACCCTGCATGTGCCCTTCTCGACGACGACATTCACCGCCGCCGCTCCGACCTTCACCGTGGTCGGCATCCAGATCCACCAGCGACCTGTGTACGCGCTATCTGTGTTGTGTTGTGTGTGTGTGTGGGTGTCGTGCGGCGTGTGTTGTGTACCATATTGTCAAAGAGGGAACGCTCACACCAACGGCCGCCGGTGCGTCGCAGCACGAAGGCGGTGGCCGGAGAGATTGCGGCTCTGCGACTGGCGCTGTCACCGGCGGCTGCTGCTGGGTATGACCGAAGCGAACCGGCTGCACGCAGGCGGCGGCACGTTGTGACTCGAGGCGTCGTGCTGGCCGGGGAGCGCGTCGCCCCCGTGGCGAGCTTCACCGTGCACCTCAATCTGGCGGCGCAAAGCCCAGTGCTGCGCTGCGGACATGAACCATTCTGTCTCATCCACTCGGCGTCGCTGCCCTGCCGGTACTCAGCCTCCTTCGGAGTGGTGGGTGGTGAGGTGGTGAGTGAAGCCTAACTTTGGCCTGGAAACAAGGGTGGAGAAAGTGGTGGTGCGGTGGGACCACCACGGCGACGAAGTGGAGTCTCTCATCGAAGACGGGAAGAAGAAGAGAGTTGCCCACGAGGGCTGCAGTGTTCGTGTGATTCTCAAGCCTATGGTGGTACGTCATGACAACGCGACGCACACGACACGACAACACAGGGCACACGCACGACGCAGACCGATATGCTGTGAACTGATGGCTTTTTTACACTCTGCAGGGAGATGTGTATGCGGAGCCTTACTCACAAAACCCCGCGCTGGGTACGGTTCTCGTGGTGCACTCCGACCATCGCGTGGTCGCTGTCGGTCGCGTTGAGACTGTGCAGTACGGCCCGGTGTAGCCCTCGTCCATCATCTTTGATTGTGTTATTGTCTTTTATTTACACTCTCCATGTTCACGCCTTGAGCTCACATTCTCTCACTCTACTTGACGGTGGCCTTGGCGTGGATCTTGTCTTCGACGTCCTCCAGCGCGACGTCGCCGACGCCGGCGGCCTGGATGGGCAGGCTCATGCCGCCGCCGCCGCGCCACTGGTCGATGAGGCCCTTGGGCGAACATGCTCGCCCACCATGCGCTCCTTGGTCGACGTGGCATCGGGCGCCCACAGGATGAAGACCAGGCGCGAGCGCATGACACCATCGGCGTGGGCGCGCCAGGGCACCTGGGCCACGGCCATGCGGCACTGGTCGCGCGGCAGGCTCGCCACCAGGCTCCCACGTCCCCGGCACACCATCAGCGGGCGAGTGTGAAGTCGTTGTTGTTGAGGAGGAGACGTCGATGGTGAAGGTGGACTGGGAGCCGTCGACCAGCTTGAGGGTGCAGAAGGGCACCAAGCGCGGCCGCAAGAGTCATCACTGGCGGCGGAGGAGGGACAGTGGTAGCGGCGGGTGACAGCGGCGACAGCGTCGCGCACGTCGTTTGTGAGGTGGACTGCGACATTCTTCTCCTGCCTGATGTGGTTGGGGTTGCGGGTGATTGGTAGTTGGAAAGGTTGTGCACTGGTTGAGTGCTTGTTGAGTAGATAATGACTGCGCACCAGCTTCAAGGTTGCTTCCACACGTCGGCATTCACCCAATATTGTTTTATTTGTTTATTTTAAATTGTCTTTAATTGCTGGCAGGATTTATGTGGGGAAGGATGGAGTGAAAAGTGCGGGGCTGGCGGAGTCACGAGAAGGCGTCTGATCCTTGCTTCGGAGCGCTTACCTGATGGAGAGCACGAACATGGCTACCAACAAGTCTGGAAGTACGTTGCGCGGTCACTAATACTATCGTCGCGCTCACTAATACTATCGTTTCCAACGTCAAGCACTCCTTCAACGCTCAGTACACGCTAATTTCCAATTTATCCACATCATTCCAAATCACAAAGCAAAAACAAATCTTGAATGATTTTCAAATTGGTACATGCAGGTGTCGGCCTGTGGCGGTGTTGTAAGTTGGGCAAACGTGCTGTTGATGGCCACCTAATTAATGAAATCATTTATTTTTGTCGGGGCAGGTGTGGAGTCCATCCGCGCGCAGCAGGTCATCGCCATCATGGGCGCTCAGTGGGGCGATGAGGGCAAGGGCAAGCTCGTCGACGTCCTCGGTGCAGACTACGACATCATTGCCCGCTGCGCCGGAGGTTCCAACGCCGGTACTGGCCACTCATTTAACGTTTTGTTTTTTGGGTAATTTTTTGTTGCTGATGTGCAATTGTGCACGTGCGCAGGCCACACGGTGATCGTCGAGGGCAAGAAGTTCGCCTTCCACCTGGTACAGCGCTTGCTTGAGCGCAACACGACACGACACACACGACACACACGACACACGATCGCGCCTGGGTGTCATCTGGCTCACGCTTCGTTTACAACAGATGCCCTCTGGTATCCTGCACGAGAGCGTCATCTGCGTGCTGGGCAACGGCGTGGTCATCCATGTGCCCACCTTCTTCGACGAGGTCAAGTCCCTCGAGGACCAGGGCATCCCCTACACCGGCAGGCAAGTCCACTCCACACCCTCACGCAACTTTGTTTTTATTTCCATTTAAAATGATGATTGGCTAACAAACTTTATTATTTATATGTAATTGCTTTTTTATTTATTATTTTGTCGTTGGGACCGTTAGGATCAAGATCTCCGACCGGGCGCACCTGGTGTTCGATTTCCACCAGGAGCTCGACGGCAAGCTCGAGGACGAGGCCAAGCGCGGTACCAAGGACCTCTCCATCGGTACCACCAAGAAGGGCATCGGACCGTGCTACACCGCCAAGGTGCGCTGCTGCTGCTGCTGACTGGGCTCGATCTCGAATCTGCCGGCACTGTGTGCTGACCGCTGTGTGTGTGTATGTGTGTCGATGGTCTGCTGGACCAGATCGCCCGCATGGGTATCCGCGTGGGCGACCTGGCCTTCCCGGCCAAGTTCGAGGAGAAGCTGACGGCCCTCGTCAACTACTACAAGCGGATCTTCCCCGACATGGCCCCCGTCGACATCCCCAAGGAGGTCGCCAAGTACACGCAGGACTACTACGGCAGGATCAAGCCGCTGATCGTGGACACCGTGCACTACCTCAGCCAGGCCATCAAGACCGGCAAGCGCGTGATGGTCGAAGGTTCGTCTCTTTCGCCCACGTGTGTCGTGTGTGTCGTGTGTGCACCGGCCTCATTCTCAAACCACGCAGGTGCAAACGCGACCATGCTCGACATCGACTTCGGTACCTACCCCTACGTGACGTCGTCCAACGCTTCCATCGGTGGCGCTTGCACCGGCCTCGGCCTGGCGCCCACCAAGATCGGCGCCACCGTCGGTATCATCAAGGTTCGCCCCCCACCCCAACCGTGTGTGTTGTGTGATGCACGTCTCACGTGGAAGTGGAGAAGGAGAACAGCCTCAAGGATTTGGTCGTTTTCTGATACACACTTCCTAGATTTCTACTATTATTATTATTACGCAATTTTTGTGGTGTTGTTTTTCCCATTTCCCCCCCAACTGCCAAGCGTCTCTGATGGACTAACGCGCCTGCTGGTCGATCAATGTGCTGCAGGCCTACACGACCCGTGTGGGCGCTGGTCCGTTCCCCACAGAGCTGAATGACGACCTCGGCGAGAAGCTGCGCGCCGAGGGACACGAGTTCGGCACCACCACTGGTACTACCGCACTGGCCTGACCCTCCCCCCCCCACACACACAAACCCAATCAGACGCTCACTCTCCCTCCCCCCCGTCAAGGTCGTCCCCGCCGATGCGGTTGGCTGGACATTGTGGCCATGCAGTACGCGCAGGCCATCAACGACTTCACCAGCCTCAACCTCACCAAGCTCGTACGTCACACTAGCACTCGCTCTGAGTGTACATTTGATTGATTTTATTATTATTATTTTATTGTTTTATTTTGCTCACCATCGCGTGCACGTACGTACGTCACAGGACGTGCTTTCCTCGTTCGACGAGGTCAAGCTCGGCGTGGCCTACAAGGTTGACGGCGAGGTCCTCCCGTTCTTCCCCGCCAGCCTCGAGGTGCTGGGCAAGGTCGAGGTCGTGTACGAGACCTACCCCGGCTGGAAGTGCGACATCACCAAGGCCAAGTCCTTCGAGGTACGCTCCCCTTGTAATCCGTTTATTTACGTTTCCATCTATCTTTCTACCTATTTATCTATTTATTTATTTATTTATTTATTTATTTTGGAGCTCATTTTCTGTGTGATGTGCAGGAGTTGCCCAAGGAAGCTCAGACCTACGTCAGACGTATTGAGGAGCTTCTCGAGTGCCCCATCGCCTGGGTAACCCCGTGTGTCGTGCTATCTCAGGCTTGGAACTAACCACGAAGTACAAAAACTGCAACAGATCGGCGTGGGTCCCGGCCGTGAGGCGATGGCGATCAAGACGCCCCAGTGAGTACGCAGCTGTAGCGCACTCGTGCGCGTACAACAAGAGCACCGGAAGCTTGGCACGGAACTGTAAGAAAACGGGCGGTGGGTGCCTGCGGGGTTCGCAGGCGGGCGAGCCACTGCCACTCTTCGGTTCCTGTCCGACTTCAACAAAATACACCAATTTACACAGAAATGCACAAAAATCAGCATAAATTAAATATCGAAACTGGCAGCGTAAATGCCGTAGATTTCATTGATTTATCTATAACATTTGCCACAATGCTGCGGGCCAGCGGGCACGCCGATTGGGCGGACACCGCAGCGCGCACAACAGGCCGCGAGCATCCGAGAGAACCACACCAGCTCCTTCTTTTACACACCGCATACACCGCAGCAAGAACGATGGTTTACGGCAAGGACACCGACTTGGAGAAGCAACACCTGTTGCTCTCCGCCCAACACGTAAAAATCTACCCTTCCGGCCACCACTTCAGCCCCAAACTGCCACCAGCCCTTGAGGGCAAGGTACCTCATCACTTATCTTTGTTTTTTATTTTTTTTATTTTTTTTATTAGTGTAACATTTTATTGTCTGGCAATCCACAACATTACCATCAGGTGAGCGAGGAGCGGTTCGCCCAGACGATGGAGACCATCAACGACATGTGGTCGCCTTCCAGGCACCTGAGCAAGATATTCCTGGCCTCCATCCTCCTCATGATGGTACGAAACCTCTGACACACCGGCGAAACTCACTTCCACGTTACGCTCACCAACTCATGCTCTGCGTCTCACCTGCAGGTCTCGTTCGTCGCTCCTTTCGTGCTCATCTTGCACTGGGTCACGCCACGCGAACACCTGATGTCCATATGGATACCCATCGACATTGCGCTGGTGCTATTCAACATCGCTCTGTTCTTAGTCATTCTCTTCCGGTCTACCAAGGTACATTGCACGTTATTTCTCTCTGGTGGTGTTCATTCAATAATGGCGTGGTGTGGATCGTGCAGACCAAGAGCAAGATCGGAGCATTCCTCGAGGAGGAGAATGTACACTACAACCGGGTGGGCCTCAACTTGCGGTTGGTGCAGGAGAGGACGCTGGCTGGGTACGACTCCCATTCTTCTCACCAGTTGTGCAGCCCAACTCATCAGACGTCGTGCAATGCTGGATCAGGTTCGCGGGTGACATGAGCCTGTACGTCGACCTGTTGCAGAGCGCCAACACCTATGGGCCGCGGATGGATCCAACCTCGACAGTGTGACCATCGCCAAAGACAATCAGGAATGTACATACTTGAACACACGGACCAGACCAAAACACGAACACTCACAGAAAGGTCGCCCTGGAGCCAAGAAGGAGGAATCGCAGATTAGTATAGATGAGTACGACGGCGAATAAGTGCGCGTGGTCCACCCCCCCCCCACGCCAGCTTGTGGTGGCGTTCCCCAGAAGCCGTGCAACCCTCCAGCTCCGCGAATTCCGGTTATGTCCGCCCGACATCAAAATATTTGAACATTTCACAATCATTTATGCTGTAAATTTTTTGAATTTTCGAAAGTGCGTTTCGTGCCGCGGAATCACATGCTGGCGGAATCGGCGAAGAAAAGCACAACAGCAGGGGAGAACGTGGGGGTTTAGCTCGGTATAAATTCGCTTCCGTTTCGCTCAGGTCCAAATTTCTTCATCAACCGCAAGCCTCGCGCACCAACAGCTCAAGACCTTCACGGCCAGCAGCAAGCACAGCTCTCGACGTCCATCGATCAATCCATCTAGCGCAGCTCGTAACCGATCGATCGGTTTTTTCGTAGAGCAGCTCATCTTTCGATTTCGGCAGTTAGATACATTTCCAAGAACCTCACCCGACACAAGATGGTAGTACTCAAGGTCACGTACGGTTCCGAGATCAGGAGGATCACGGTCGACGACACCCAGGCCTTCTCCTACAAGGACCTGCGCGTCCTCCTGAAGAAGCTCCATCACAACACTCTCCCGAACCACTTCGAGATCAAGTACCTCGATGATGAGAACGACAAGGTGACCATCTCCAGCGATCGCGAGCTCGCCGATGCCCTCCAATTTGTCAAGACGGCCAAGCAGCCTCTCCTCAGGATCATGCTCTCGGATCCAGTCAAGAAGGCCGCCCCCGCCCCTGCGCCCGCCCCGGCTCCCGCTGCCGAAGCTCCCGCTGGCAAGGAGAAGGAGTCCCAGCAGGCTACCGGTGCCTTCAGCCCCACGCAGCTGTTGGAGGTGATCGAGGCCGCCCTCAGCTCGCCCGAGGTCCAGCAGACCTGGGAGAACGTCCAGGACACCTTCACCACCTGCGTCGACCAGGCCGTGCAGGAGGGCCGCACCGCCGCGCACTACGTCCAGCAGCACCCGCAGTTCTCGCGCGTTCAGCACCTCCTGACCGAGCGCCTGCCGCAGGCCATCCACAACGACTTCAACACCACCCTCCCGCGGCTCATCAACGACATTCAGGCCATCTTTGCCAACATCCAGATCCCCATCGCGCCGGCCGCCCCCGCGCCTCCCACCACGCCTCAGGTGCACCACCACGCCATCTGCGACGCGTGCGAGAGCCGCATCGTGGGCATCCGCTACAAGTGCACGAGCTGCCCCGACTACGACCTGTGCGAGGCGTGTGAGGCCAAGACCCCGGCCGTGCACGACTCGACCCACTACTTCATCAAGCTGCGCACCCAGCTGCCGTGGGGCATGGAGCACGTCCGTCTCGCCTCGTCGCCCACCAACACCAGCCCCCTCGGCCGTGCCGCGCGCTGCCCCTACTTCCAGGTGCCCCAGCAGCGCCACCAGACCTTCCAGCAGCAGCAGCAGCAGCCGCAGCCCCAGAGCGATCCGCAGCACCACCAGGGTCCTCGTGTGCGCCGCCACCCGTGCCGCTTCATGCTGTCAGCCAGCTTCGTCTCGGACGTGAGCATCGATGACGGCACCGTGCTGTCGCCCAACACGCCATTCGTCAAGGTGTGGCGTCTGCGGAACGACGGCGAGCGCGCCTGGCCCGAAGGCACCACGCTCACCCACGTCTTTGGCCCGCGCCTGTCCGACGTCCAGTCTGTCTCCGTGCCCGCCCTGCCCGCCGGCGAGGAGGTCGACGTGGCCGTCAACATGGTCAGCCCCGCCGACGCCGGCCACTACGTCAGCAACTGGCGCCTGACCGGCCCGCGCGGCTACAAGTTCGGCCACCGCGTGTGGGCCGACATCACCGTCCAGCCCGCCACCACCGTCACCAACTCCGTTCCCGCCGCCGCCGAGCAGCCGCAGGAGGAGTCCAAGGTCGAGGAGGCCGAGCAGCAGACCACCACCTCGACCCCGACCGTCGAAGAGCCCGCCTCGTCCGATAGCGAGTGGGAACAGATCATCGAAGAAGAGGAGGAGAAGAAGGTGGAGGAGGAGGCCGTCGTCGAGCCGGTCGAGGAGCCCAAGGTGGTGCAGATCGTGATTGAGGATGCCCCAGTCCCCGTCGTCGCTGCTCCGGCCGCCACGCCTGCTCCCGAGCCGGCCCAGGCCGCTCCTGCTCCTGCTGACGAGGACGACGGTGTGAGGATCGTGCTCGATCAGCTCGCGCAGATGGGCTTCCACGATCGCGCGCTCAACAAGAGGATGCTGGCCAAGAACAGGGGCAACGTGCTCGCCACCATCCACAAGCTCCTCGACATGTAAGCCCCCGTCAGCGACCTTCTCGCACGCTGGCCCTTGGGACTAGCCACGTCTTTCAATCTCTCTCTTTCTCTCTTTGTTCATACCACTTCCTGCACATAAGCATCAACAAACAACTTTCAATCACCTCTTCTGCTTCATCTTCATCATCGAGCACCTTCTTGGTTACGCAGCAATTGTTGGCCGAGGTGCGTTAACCGAAACAGGGGAGCTCGTATCAGGTGGGTCACCTGGTAGATGACAACTCGTTGGAGTCTGATTGAAGAGAGATCTTGAAGCAAGAAGAAGAAGATGGGCCAGGGAAGGAGCAAGGCCAAGAGCGAGGGCAGCGACGAGAGTGATTCATCAAAGGACGAGCTGGCCAAGCAGCTGGTGCGGCCGCTCAACCGCCAATTCGGCATCCACGACGCCAAGCTGGTGGAGATCCCGGAAATCATCTTCGAATGGACCGATTTGGAGGTGCTGCGGCTCGACGTCAATCTCATTCGATGCATCCCGTCGACCATTGCGCTCCTGGCGCAGCTCACCGAGCTCACCCTCTCCAGCAATCGGCTCACCTCGCTCCTGCCCCCCCTCAGTGACATGGTCGATCATCGCGAAACAAATCGAGAGGGGGAGGAAAATGGAAAGAATGGCGATGTAGATTCGACGACGTCGAGGATGGGCGGGCGGGGCATCTTCGACCTCACATCGCTCCACAAACTCAATCTCAATTCGAATCAGATCGAAAGCTTGCCCGAGGATCTCACCCGGCTCGTCAATCTTACGCATCTCAACCTCTCGGCCAATCGCCTGCAATCGCTTCCATCCCTGCGCGGGCTGACCCAACTGAGCGTGCTCGTGGTCACCATCAACCGGCTCACCTCCCTGCCGCCCTTGCCGTCCTCGCTGGTCGTTCTCGCCGCCGGCCGCAACGACCTGCGACGGTTCGAGCCCGTCGTCATCTGCGAAGATGATGACGACGCCGCGGTCGAAAAGAACGAAGACGAACAAAGAACTTTCACAAAGGCCAAGCAAAGCGAAAGCGACAAAAAGCGAAGCGACAAGAAGCAGAGCAAAAAGAAGTCGGCCAAGAAGAGCAAGGAGAAAGATGAAGATGAAGAGGTGGCCGCTACGGAAGACGAGAAAGCGGAGTCGTGGTTCGCTCGGCTGCAGGAGCTGGACCTGAGCGAGAACAAGCTGACCGAGTTCCCGCCGGCCCTGCTGCAGATGTCGTCCCTCACCGCGCTGCAGCTGGCCTGCAACTACATCGCCGCCTTTCCGCCGCCGGGCTTCGCGCGGGCGTGGCCGCGGCTCCGTAGCCTGCGCGTCGGGTTCAACGAGCTGACCGACCTGCCCACCGAGGTCCTCGAGCTGCCGGCCCTGCAGCGCTTCGACTTCCTGGGCAATCCGTTCCAGCTCGACCAGCAGGTGGCGGCCCTGGCGCGCAAGCGGGCCGAGCGGGCGCTGGAGGAAAAAGAACGAAAGCGAAAGGCCGCCGCAGAGGAAGAAGAACGAAAGCGAAGAGACAAGAAAACGAAAAAGGAGAAGAACAAGAGCAAGAACAAGAAGAACGAAGATGACGTGTTGACCAAGTTGGAGCAGAAGGACCTGAAGCTGGCGCTCGATGGCGTTGTTCCGCGGCGTGACGGCGAGAGCAGCGAGGAAGAGGAGGAAGAGGCGACGCGATCGTCGCCGGAGCTCGACGAGAAGGGCGACGAGGCGAAGGCGGGTTGGATGGTCATCCGCGACGAGTTCACCAAAAAGGGAGACTGGGACTACAACTCCATTGGTACCGTCGTGTGTGTCGTGTGTGTCGTGTGTCGTGTGTCGTGTGTCGCGTGTGTCGTGTGCCATGCGTATGTCGTGCGTGTCATGTTTCCGAGCAGAGGCTGACGAATGTAATTCTGTGCGCAGACGACATTATGCTGCCAGATGAGATATTGCCCGGGCTGTACCTGGGTTCGTGGGTGGGCGCCGTCAACAAGCACCTCCTGCGGCACCTGGGCGTCACGCACATCCTCACCGTCGCCTCCCAGCTGACGCCCGCCTTCGTCGACGTGCGTCGCCCACACGTCGAGCAGCCGCAGCCGCCTCAGCCGCAGCAGCTGCGCGCAGCATTGAACTGATATATCGTTTTTCCCGTTTGTTTTCCCGTGTTCCAGCGCTTCACGTACAAGCACGTGGAGATCGATGACCTGCACACGGAGAACGTCATGGAGCACTTCGAGTCGTGCATCGAGTTCATCGACCAGGCGAGGCAGGCCCAGTCCAACGTGTTGGTTCACTGGTACGCCCTCCAGCTTTTTACACGCCGCACACGCACCGCACAAACCGCACACGCACACGCACAAACCGCACACGCACACGCGGGACTAAGGTGTTGGTGGGGGGGGGCAGTCGTGCGGGCGTGTCGCGGAGTGCGAGTGTGGTGATCGCGTATGTGATGCAGGCCGAGAAGATGGGCTGGGAGGCCGCCCTGAACTACGTGCGCGAGCGACGACCCGTCGTGTGCCCCAATGTCGGCTTCCGAACCCAGCTCCAAACCTGGGAGCAGCGCCTCCGCGCCTGAGAGAGCACCCAACAGAAATAACATATTAAAAAGTATATTATTATTATGTAACAAACAAAAATATTTTTTTCTTTCTTTTTTTCTTTCCTGTTTTGGTAAGAGAGGCCCACAACAGGAGGGAGTTCAGCTATGAGCAGGAGCCACGGGCCTGATGAGACGCCTTCGGACCCTGTGCTGCGTCTGCAGATCCTCTCTGATGTGCACCTCGAGCTACGCAAGACCATGCCCGAATTGCCTCCCGTGCTGGCCTCCAAGATGGCCCTGCTGGGCGACGTTGGGTGCCCCAGGCTCCCCTTGTACCGCGATTTCTTGGGCCTGATGAGCCTGCGTTACGACCACGTCTTCGTGCTGGCGGGCAACCACGAGTACTACAACCGACGCCGCACACACAGCGCCATGGCGGAGGAGATCGATGACGTCTGCGCCGCCTTCGACAACGTCTACTTTCTGGACAATACCGCTGTTGAAGTGGAGGGCGTGCGCTATGTGGGAACGACCTTGTGGTCTCACGTGCCCAAGGGGCACGTGAGACGGTCGTGACCCGGGGCATCAACGACTACACGCGCATCCAGATGGCCATATACGACCCTACTGGCAGCGGCCGCACCCACGCCCCCGTCACGGTCAACTACACCAACGTTCTACACGAGGCCGCCGTTCACTTCCTCAAGCAGGAGATGGCCACTGACTCTGCCCTGCCGATGGTGGTGCTGTCGCACCACGCGCCATCGATGCGGTCCGTGGCGGGCGAGTTTGAGGGGTCTCCGCTCAACTCGGCCTTCGCGACGGACCTCGAGGGCATGATGAAAGCGCCGCCCGTAGTGGCCTGGCTCCACGGCCACACGCACCGCGCCGTGCGCTACACGCTTCATCCCAGGGAAGGCCACGAGGTGCTGGTGGCTTCCAACCCAATGGGCTACCCGGGCGAACCCAACACCGGCTACGATCATGACTTTGTCGTTGACATGTCTCCTTTCATCTTCTTCTCCTTGTTCATTTGAAGTAGCTTCAAATCAATAAATAAGAAGTCGAGAGAACATGAAGAGAAGAAGCAGAAGTATTCACAAAATCCACAAATCGAAGAGAGAGAAGATAAAAGTAAAGCGAGATGATGAAGTTGTTGGCTGGTGGTCTGTAGCTTGGTCTTGGTGGTTAGGCGAGTTGCTGACCCTTAGGGGAAGGTGGTGTCCTCCTCGTCATCGTCGTTGTCGACGTCGTGGTAGTAGGCGCCGGGGTGATGATGGTGGTGGTGGTCCCTCTCGTCGATGAGGTCGAACGACAGCGAGTCGGGGTTGGTGGCCAGCGAGTCGATCGACGACGACCGCGAATCGTACGAGTCCAGGCTCAGCTCCTCGCCGTCCAGATCAGCCGCCACCGCCATGTGCATGCTGTTGATGGTCATCAGCGTGCCCGAGTGCTGGTGGTGGTGCAGCCCGTGGCCGTGGCGCTGGTGGTGGTGCGGCGCGAGCGGCGCCACGTCGAACGCCGCAAAGTACGAATCGTAGGACTCCTTCCGGTTCATCTGCTGCTGCTGCCGCAGGGTCTGCTGCGCGCTGGTCGGCTGGGACCCGACGGCGGCCGAGCCTGACAGGGCCGACGCGAGCGAAGTGGCGGCCGACGACGACGACGAGGCGGCGACGTCGCTGGCGGAGGTCGGGGGGCGGCGGCCGAAGCCGAGCGGGTGGGAGGCGAAGAGGTCGTAGGAGGGGGTGGAGGCGGGCTCGAGCGAAGGCGACGAGGTGGGCGACGACGAAAGGCCCGCGCCGGCGAAGGAAAAGAACGAAGACGACGGCGAGCCATGCGAGGCCATGCCGCCCGACGAAAAGAACGAAGCCGACGGCGACAGGAACGGGTCGTAGTTGTCGCCGCCGCCGTCCATGTCGAGCCCCTCGGCATCGTCGCCCTCCAGGGCGCCATCGAGGCCGTTGTTGTCGTACTCGAGGCCGCCGTCGAGCTCATCGTAGTAGGGCCGCAGGCGTCGCTCCTGCTGCGGCTGGGCGGCGCTCGGGTCGTGGATGGCGATGGGCGGCGAGCTGAGCCCGGGCGGCGACCGCAGCGGACGCTTGGCGGGTCGCCCGCTGGGCACCTGGGTCGGCGCCGACACCGAAGACGAAGACGATGACGACGCCGGCGGCGACGGCACGAGCGGCGCTGGCAGCGAGAAGAGCGAAGACACGACGGGCAGCGCGGCGGCTCCGCTGTGGTGGTGCGGGTGGTGCGCGGCGGGTGCGCCCCACGTATGCGCGGCCGCGGAGGTGGAGAAGGCCGAGAAGGGTCCGGTCTGGGGCGCAAAGATCGAAGCCGCGCTGATCGGCTCGCCCGTCGAAGGGTAGTAGTCTCCGCTGCCGCCGGCGCCGGCGCCCACAGCGAACGGTCCGAAGCCGCCCGCGGCAAAGAGCGACGAGGCGCCGCCGCCGCCGCCGCCGCCGTGATGGTGGTGGTGATGGTGGCGATGGCCGTACTCCTCGTCGTCACCGTTGGCATGATGGTGGTGGCGATGAAAGTCCTGGTCGTTATCGGCCCACGGGTTGACGAGCGGCCGAGCGGCGGAGCTCACGGGGACGGCCGGCGCGGATGACGTCAGCAACGCGGTTAAGGAGGACACGCTGCCGGTGCCGACAGCGGCCGCCGCAGAGGTGGTCGCAGTGCGCTGGGTGGGCAGGATGTCGGCGCTGGCCGTGGCTGGCATAGACGCGGTCAGCCCCTTGCGGCTGCCGATCACGCCCGGCGGCGGCTTGGTGGCGGTGCTGGCCCGGTCCTTGCGTGGCACGACGTCGTCCCGCGGCTGTCCGCTGCTATAGCCGCCCACCGACAGGCTGCGCTGGGCGTGCCGCTCATCGCCGCTCGCGTTCATGCCGGCGATGCCGCTGCTGCGCTCGAGCTGCTGCTGCTGCTGCTGCTGAGACTTGGTGGCGTCGCCGGTCTTGTTGAGGATCACCCAGTCGCCCATGCCTTCGTCGTCGTTGCCGCCCGTGGCGACGTTGGTTGCAGTCGTGGCGGCCTCCTGCGCGCACTTGACGTTAACAAATCGCACGACACACACGCAACACCGCACACGCACACGCCCCACCGCACACGATACACACAACACGCGAAAGGGAATAGGTACGCGCTTCTCAGCGGCGGCCTTCTTCCGCTCTTCGGCGCGAGCGCGGTTGAGCGCGAGCATGCGTTCGCGTTCGCGCTCCTTCTCGCGCTCGCGCGCCAGGCGCTCGGCCTCGTCGGCCGCACACTTCTTGCGGTCGCGGTCCTTCCGTTCGCGGTCCTCGCGCTCGCGCTCCCTCCGCTGGTTCTCCTTCTCGGCCTCCAGCATCAGCATCTGCTGCTGTTGCTGGAGCTGCAGCTGCTTGCGCCGATTGGCCTCGCGCCGCTCGCGCTCCTCCTTCTCACGCTTCTCCCTCTCGCGCCGCAGGCGCTCCTCACGCTCCCTGCGGTCCCGCTCGCGTCGCTCCTTTTCCTTCTCTTTCTCCTTTTCCTTCTCCTTGTTGTCTTTGTCGAGGTCTCGGTCGCGCCGGGCCTTGTCCAGGGCCTCGGCCTTGCCTCGGTCGTCTTTCTTGCCGACACCGCCGGCGCGCTGCGGCAACTGCTGCGGCTGCGGCTGCGGCGTCGGCGTCGGCTGCGGTGGCAGCTGGGCCTTGCCTCCGACTTTCTTGTCGACTGCGGAACCGCCACTGGTCTTCGCCAGCTTCTCGGCCTCGGCAACGGCAGCGCCGCGGCTGCGTCTGAGGCTGAAGGTCGCCGCGCCCACGTCGTCTCTGGCCGTCGCCGAAGCCGCGGCCGCCGCCGGGGTCGAGTCGCTGCCGTTCATGGGAATGAGGGGCGGGAGGGAGGCCAGCGAGGCCGAGCGCTGCGGGGGCGGCGACGTGGTGGCTGTGGTCGCCGTCGCGGCCGTGCCGCGCTGGCTCAGCCGACGCTCGCCCGACGAACCCGCGGCAGGACCCGTAGAGCGCGGCTGCGGCCCGGCGGGCGAGACGGTCATCACCTCGGGTGGCGGCGGTGTCGGATTCGACTCGCTGCGCCTCCGCACAACACCACCACCCGCGCCGCGGCTTGCCGACGGCGCCTCAGTGGCGGCGGCGGCAGTGCCCGAAATGCCCTTCTCCCTGCTGACGTGGAGCGAGTGCCGATCGCTTGACTTTCCTGCGTTTCCTCCAGCAGAGGCAGCCGAGCTGGCGCGGCTGCCGTGGTTGTTGGCACCTCTGTCGACACCGTTGCTGCTGCTGCTGTCGACAGCAGGCGCTGTACTGACGTCAGCCTTGTGGTTGTCGACAGCGGAGGCGGCGGCCGCGGCCTCGGCCTCGTCCTTCTCGTGCTGGCGGTGCTGGGCAAACTCGATCTCGAGCAACCGCTCAAACTCGGACACGCCCATGGACAACGGCATCGGCAGCTTCTTGCCTCGTGGCGCCACCGTAGACAGCTCGATGGTCGTCTGATTCTCCTTAAGGTCTGTTGCATGCAACCACAACAATTGCGCGTCAGCACAACCAACCAACCACGCAACCAATCAACATCAAGAGATAATACAAAAAGGCGAGGGGAAGATTGGGCCACGGACCTGGTTCAGGATCGCTGAACTTGGCCTTCTTGTCCTTGGGCTTCTTGGACCGCGAACTGACGCGCGAGCCGCGCTTGTTACGCGGGAAGTACTCCTTGGCCAGCACGAGTGACATCATCGCGAACACCAGCAGCATGAACCCCTTCACCGTGTTCTTCACCGTCTCCTCCAGATCGCCTGCGAGAATCCTCATGAGCACACGACACGACACACACGACACGCGACACGACACACAACACACGACACGGTACCCTGCGGCTGGGAGTCGACGCAAAGCGGGAGGAGGTCGTAGGGGAGGGTGGCCACGAGCGGGAACGAGTGCACTCCCTGCGAGGTGGCAATGAGGAGGTCCCGCTTGACCATCGACGACGAGAAGTCCGGTCGGAACGCGATCCGCACGTCGCGCACCTCGCCCGGACCCAACAGGAACGCCTCGCAGTCCTCCACCGCAAAGCCATAGCCCTCACTACCCCGCGTGCACACCGAAGTAAGTCGTGTGCGGCGGTGCGTGTGCGTGTGCGGCGGTGAATGGTACCATTTGCGTCCGTTGATTGCCAGCGAGCGAACATCCACCGGGAGATTGCCCTTGTTGACCGCGCGGAACACCTTGGTCAGCACCACCTCCTTCTTGGAATGTCCAGGATCTGTGGCGGAGGGTTGGGGGAGGCAAGCCACCGAGCGATGGGTTCAGTACTCCAGCGCATACCACACACATTTTCGAAATATTAATATAAAATCAACAGTGGTGGGAGAGTGAACCATTGGAGGTGCAGTGCAGGAGGTGCGCCCGATCAACTTGAAACAGCAATTCGCCCACCTCGTCGCCAGATTCCTGCCGAGTTGTTTTGAATGACGTCGTGTTGGGTGTTGGTGTGTGTGTGTGTGTGTGTGTGGTGATGTGTGTGTCGTGTCTTGAGATGGGCTGGATCCTTACCTCGAAGAGCAATCGTCCGGAACCACCTTGGCCGGTGAGTTCGACCGAGTCGAGGATCGTGAGGTTGTTTTTTATGTACAGGGTGGCGTTCACGTGTTCCAGCGAATGCGGGGCGAAGAAGACCGGACCCAGATCGGCCTGCGAGCGAGCGAGGTGAGCGTCGTCGTCGTGGTGTAAGGGAAGGGCGGGATGTACGGTTGCGTGGGGAGCGAGGGAGTGGAGCCCGAGGGACTCGGGCGGCAGGTAAAACGAAGAGGCGCCCGGATACCACGGCAGCAGAGGGTCCACTTCCTCCTGAACAGCAAAACGTTAGTATCGTGTGCGTGTGCGTGTGCGTGTAAACGGAACGAACCTCGGAAGTGAAGGGAAGGATCTGCACGGAGATGGCGTGGTCGGAGGGGTTGTGCACCGGCACGACCTGGCCCACTCGCGCGCCCACCTGGGTGAGGGCAAAGTCGAGCGACCGCGTCTGCGGCACGACGGGCATCGCGAGCGAGGCGCGCACGGCCAGCGTGTAGCCCATCACCACGTCCGTGTTGACGGTGAGCGTGCCCCGGATCTCCGTGTTCCCCTCGTCCTCCATCCGCTTCCACGCGTGCGCCCTCTGTCAGCACGCGTAAGTTTGTGAGAGACCGAAACCAAAATTTGAAACTCATTCCGAAATGAATTCGCAATCGAGTGAAAAAAGCGAGTGGTACCCGCTGGTGGGCCTGAATGTCGCGCTTGGTCAGGGGCTCGCCGGGTCGCGAGAGGGCGGCCTGCGCCGTCATCGAGGGCTCCACCAGGTAGTTGTCGTCCAACGGACCCTTCGAGGCGTCAAACAGGACAAAGCTGCAATTACGAAGAATTCCAAGTATGGTCAACATCATGCACCACACAACACTTCATAGAAGAAGAGGAAGAAGAAGAGAGGTGGCGTACCCAATCTGGGAGCGATGGTTGGGCTCCAGGGTGGTATTGCTGAGCAGCGGGATCAGCCGCGCATCGGACGACGTGATGGACGAGATGTGGATCGGCCGACTAGTTGAAAAGAAAAGAAAAGAAAAGAAACGAAATGAGCCGTTGATTGATTGCCACACAAATTGTGTGTAGGGAGGGAACCTGTAGGTGGACTTGGCGGTGATGGCCTTGTTGAGCAGGCGGCCGGGGAATGCCGGGGTGTCGAACTGGATGATGGACGGGGCGATGGTGAGGCTGCCCTTGATGGCGTGGTATCGCACCACCATCTGCAGGTCCTCGAACGCCGTATGAAACGTGATCGAACCCTCCCGCTGTTCCTCGCTGTGATGGTTCGTGTTGACTGCATTAGCGCGTGCGTTCGTGCGGCAGTGCAAAATGCGGCGAATGTGCGTGTGTGCGGTGGTGCGTGTGAGCGTACATCGAACTCGACAATTCAACGGTGAAGATGGCACTGTTGCCGGGCTCCAGCACGAGAAACGGCGCATCGTCACTGAAGCGCACAGTACAAGTGAGAAAAACAAAATAAATTCCAAAATAATAATAATAAAAACAACACGAAGTGGAGGCAGCTGGCGACGACGTACGCTCTGCTGTCGGTGGCCGACTTCTGCTTGTTGGCCTCGAGGAGCCGGCCCGACGTGGCATAGCCGTGCGAGTTCCACACGCTGTCCAGTTTGATGACGAGCCCCTCCACGTCAGTCTCCATCCAATTGATGTCCACCTTGACCGGGTTCGAGTTGGTCAGGTTGATGGTCCGCGTGCGGATCTCGTTGACTCCCAGCACGTCGAAATCGATCACCTGCGTCAGCGTCTGTGTGGTGCGGGGAGCAGCAGCCGCGTCAGACGCTGAGCCCCCCTCGAGCTGTATGGTGTGGTATGGTATGGCGCCAGGTGCGTACCCCGGTGGGCTCGGTCGTGTCGAGCACAGAGTAGGACAGGTGGCCGTGGTAGCAGTGGAGCGGCACGCGCAGGACCGACACGTTGGTGGCCAGCGCGAGCTCGGTCGCGTACATCATGTCGGTCCGGTTGGCCAGGAAGCGGATGGTGATCGGCGGCCATGTGGCGCCCGGCTGGGCGGTGAGGCCGCTGGCGAACTTGACGACTTCAAAGTGCGGATCATCGAGCTCGGCTGAGAAGATGGTCAGCGGGACGTTGAACTTGTTGGTGAAGACGATGCTCTGCACCACGGGCTGAAACGGGGGCGCGCCCACCGCGAACGTGGTGTTGAGCGGCAGGTAGCCGAGTGACCTGCAATCGTGTGTGTGTGTGTGTGTGTGTGTGTGTGTGTGTGTGTGTGTGTGTGTGTGTGTGTGTGGTGTGTGACTCAGTCAAACAAGGCACGGACTCTGCAAGCTGTTGTCAATGGTTACTGTACGTACCCATGCAATACGCGGGCCTTGTAGGGAATCTCCATCCGGGCGTTGGCCGGATTACTGTCATTCGTTCGCAGCAGAAGCTGCATCGAGAAGAACACACACGTCAGTGCGAACCCCGGTGGTCACACAAGGCCAGCCTAGTGTGCCGTACCTTGCCGTTGAACTGACCCTCCGATCGTCCAGTGTAGGTGAACGACGCAATCTCCACCTCCTGCGAAACACACGTTCATTCCGACAATTTGTGGAATGTCAGCGCCACCACGTTGATGGAGGTGGAATGAGCGGAGAGCGAACCGACTCGGGAGGGATGACCGCCCGCGTGAAGTTGACGAAGAGCTGCGGGTCGGGCGTGAGCGGGTAGATCTCGGAGACCTGCACCGGGGCCGAGCCCGAGTTGAGGAGGAGCAGCGACGCCGTTCGCTTGTCGGTCGGCGACACGAGAGTGGCAAAGTCGATCTCCTCTGGCGTTCGGTGCAGGCCGCCCTTGACCACCATGACGTCCACGTGAAGGATCATGTTGTCCTTGTCCGACTTGATGTTCACGAAGCCCGTGTACTTGCCGGGCTGTTGCGACATGAAGGCCAGGTTAATGATCTTCTTCTTCTGGTGCGGTTCGATGGTCTGCGTGTGTCGTTGGTCGTGTCGTGTCGTGTCGTGTCGTGTCGTTAGACCAGCAGGCTCTCAGAAGAGCACTTAAGACGCACGCACATGGAGTGGTCGTCAGACGTACCCAGAGCTGCCCGGTGTCTTCGCCCTCGGTCCCTGGTGGCAGGGTGAGGTGGAGGAACCCGCCCGAGGTGAAGATCTCCGTCACGTGGAGCGGGGTGTCGTGCGGGTTGTAGATCTCGATCGGTGGCCGGTAGGTCACGTCCGCGGGCACCTTCGCTCCTACGAAGGGCTGCAGTCGGTACGGGTTGAGGATGCCCTGCCCGTACACCTGGTACGGCGCAACAAAGAGATAAATCAGTAAATTAATAATAATAAATGAATAAATAGAAATAATAACATAAATAATCAGAGTAGCACCTGATAGACCAGATGGCCAACGGAGGTCTGCACGACGAGTTGGTTCTCCACGGGTCCCACGGTCCTCGGCAAGAAGACGATGGAAACGGTGGTGTTGCCCAGCGGAGGTATCACCTGTTGCGCGGGAGCGTTCAAAGCGTGTTAGCAACGGCCGTCCCAGTGGTACGCCACAACCAACGTTGCCGGCGTTACATGCCCATTCACAAAGTGAGGCGCGAGGGGACGAACCGACTGCTTGAAGAAGGAGGAGTGGAAGTGCACGCTGTCCGTAGATATCGAGAAGAGGTGCAACTCCTCCTGCTCCGAGGTGTTGATAATGCTGACCGCTTCCACAGCGGGCATGCATAGTGCTCTGCACACATCAACGTCACAAATAAGTAAAATAAATAAATAAAAATAAACAGATATCTGTTTTGAATAATAGCAACGGTGGAAGAAGAAATTACGGAGATTACACACAGAAAGTCTGACCTCGTGCGTAATTAATGAAGAAGCGGAGTTCGAGCACAAGAGAGGAAGCACAAGGAGCTCCTTGAGGGTGGAGTGGTACCTCTCCTTGAAGTCCAGGAATGGCGGCACGATGACGAGCTGGGGCAGGGTCATCACGGTGCTGGCCCCGGCGCTCATGAGCGTCCCCTCCGCGTCGCCAGCGTGGTCGCCCTTGCGAACCACCCTTCGACTGAAGCGCACACGCACACGCACAACACTCCGAGTCAATGACACGACCAGACGTTCCACCGCCCAATGCACTACTGGACATGCAGCGTGTGCGCACACGCCTCGTACGACAACACACAACACACAGCACACGACGAAAAGGGTAGGGTGGGTGTGCACCTTTCGGGGACGAACTCGTACTCGTCGGCACTGCGGGAGCTGGCAGGTACATGCGTGATCTTGCGCTGGCCGGACTGTGGCGCGGGAGCTCGCGACTCATCGCTCCGCACGAAGTGGTCGTGGTAGTCCCCGGCCGCTCCTCTCCCGGCACCCGCCACCCCGCCAGCGCTGCCATTGTCCTTGTCGCCCTCGGGCTCTGTATCATCAATTGATGGTGATCACCACAACCCACCATCAACGCGTTGACCACGAGCAGGGCAGAGCACAAACGAGCACAAATAAAAATAATAAATAATAGAGAACTAAAATGGAAAGGGTGATAAGTGATAAATAAGAATATTTCAGGAACACCTTTGGCAGAGCTGGAAAAAAAAGATAGATGGGGAGAAGAGAGAAATAAGGAGTGGGGCAAAGAGGTAGTTGCACAGTGCATTCTAAGAACACAGTAGAGCAGGAGTTATTATAGCTTATTAAAATAAAAATTAAATTTAATAAATCAATAAATCAATGAAAATAAATAAGAAGGGAACAAGAAGTAGAAGGTCAAGAATGAAAAGCGAGGGGGAAGGGGAAGGGAGAGGAGGGAGGAGGGGCGCTGTGCGGACGTACCCCACCAGATGAGATTGATCTCATTAACGGGCTGGAGGACCCCCTCCTGCTGTTGCGGCTGGGGCTGGGGCTGAGGCAGTTGCTGCTGTCCCGCTGCAGGGGACGTGAGCACGAGCAGGGCGATGAAGAGGGAGAAGAGGCAGAAGCAGCGCGAGAGCATGAGGCGGCTGCTGGCAGATAGGGAGGCCATTGACGGAGATGGAAACGAAGATGGTACGAATCGCGAAGAAGATGAGCCCCAGATCGGGAAGGAGGAAGCAGATGATGAGAGGAAGAGGGCGGAGCCGGCTGCTGTTCTATACAGGAAGCAGAAGAGGTAGGCGAAATCGAATGAACTCAGATAGTTGCCGCTGGACGACATTGTTCCGTTGGTAGGGGCGCAATACTGCGTGCAGAATGAAATCTTGGCACCCCTGCCAAAAAACGTAGCTCGCCGCGGCCTCTGATGGTGAAGATGAAGGTTGATGGGGATCAGATCGTGATCACCTCCAGATATAAAAAAAGCTCCAACTGATGAGTTTCGTGATGCCACTAGCTCGTGTATTTCTTTTTCCCTTCTCTTTTTTCTCTTCCTATCTGTCGACATCAAATCCGGTACTGTGGCGTAGTGATCTTATCCAGTTCTGTCTGGTTGTGATGCAAGGCCGAACATGCTCTCGGATGGTTTGCACGACGAAGGCGAGAGAGAGAGAGAGAGAGAGAGATAAAAGGAGCAATGGACAACCCACTCATGCATGCTGCTGTTGCTCAATGGCCAATCTGTACTCTTCCTCGGTGACTGACCACGCAGAACAGACACACACACACACACGGACTGTCAGCGCTGGATCGTTGTGACTGCATGCATGGCAAGAAGAAGGGCAGGCGTACGCGGGATACCGTCGATGTCCTCTTCGTCAACGTCTTCCACGCCACCTTCGCGCACCTTGGCGCGCTCCTCCTCTTCCTGCGGCGCCGGCCGAAGAAAGGTTTCCTGTGGCGTGTGTCGTGCGGTGAGTTCGTTGCGTCGCGTATTTCTCTAACGCTGGTGTTGTACATACGTGGAGGGTGGTCAGGAATGGCTGCGGGTAGACGCTCCAGGCTTCCCACACGCGCAGGACGCGCATCACCTGCTCCTTCAGCTGCTCGGCCGACATACGCCCTGACGCGTTGCGCAGCGCCGTGCTGAAGCTCTCGAACACGTTTGGCAACTGTTTCTGAAACCTGCTCGAGGCGCGCCAAATCAGCAAGAGCGAATGCGAGAACGAGAACGAGAGAAAAACAATAAAAGAAACAAAGAAAGGGAAAGAGAGAGAGAAAGAAAGAACGAAGCTTACGTACAGTGAGCGATAGGCGTGGGCGTTGCGGACGGCAGCGGTGGAGTTGTGGAGTATGTCGGAGACGAGGAAGAGGCGCGCGATCTTGGTGGGGATGGGGGTCTCGTCGAGGGTGAGCGCCTCGGTGAGCACCTGCACGATCTCGCCCGCCGCCTCTGAGTTGTCGATGGCGAAGCCCATGACGTCGCGGATGCGCTGTCGGTGCGTGGTGAGCCCGCGGAGCAGGTCCTCAAAGTCGTCGCGCTGCTCCTCGGTCAGGCCCTTGCCCTTGCGCACTGTTCGCGACGCGCCCGTGGCGCCCTGCGGCCCCTCTCGCTCCCGGCTTCGCGGCCGCCGATCCCTCTCCGCATCCCTCTCCCTCTCCCTGTCCCTGCTGCGGTCCCGGTCTCGGTCTCGGTCTCTGCTGTTGCGCAGGCTTGCTCGCTCGTCGCCCCGGCTGGCCGATCGCCGGCGGTATCGGTCGTCGTCTCGGCTCGGGCTTCGGTCGCGGCTCCTTTCTCGATGGCGCCTGCGTTGTTGATAGAGTGAGAAAGGAAGGAATGTAAGGCATTTGCGCATGTGTGGCGCGGTGGAGTGGTGTGCTTGCGGTACCTTGACCTTGACCTGCTCCTGCTTCGTGACCTGCTCCGCGACCTGCTTCGGCTAGGGCTGCGGCTGCGACTCCGACTTGGGCTTCTCGAATAGCTGCGGCTCCTGCTCCGGCTTCGGCTTCGCCGACTGCGGCTGCGGCTACGGCGCGGGCTCGGCGATCTGCTGTAGTTACGGCTTCGGCTTCTGGCGCGCGGGCTGGGGCTGCGGCTTCGGCCTCGCTTCTCTCTGCGCTCCTCCGCGGGGCTCGACACCGACGAGATTACCACCTTTGGCTGAGGTTGTGGCTGCAGCTGCTGCGGTAGATGCGGCGCGCCGGGCGCACCACTGCCCACCTGCGCCGACTCCTTGCCCGGGGGTGGAGGCGGAAACCAGAACGGTCCGCCCGGGAACATCTGAACAACGACACAAAGAGGGGAAAATGGACCAATGAGTGGTTGCCCACTCCCGACACACGCGACACACGACACACACACACAGTGGAAACGAACCTGGAAGGGCTCGGTCCTCCACATCTCCATGGTGTCGCCGTGCATGAGAGAAAAGGTTCGCCATCGGTAGTAGATGTGGTCCGGCGAATCGGTCTGAACCAGGAAGTGGAACTTGGCGTTTCCCTTCTCGCGCTCGACGATGAGTTGCTGACATGGCAAAGCAACGAAGAAGAAGAAGAAGAAGAATGAGCAAGGCGTCACCGAGCTCGGTGAGATCAGCGCACGCTCTTTGCTCAGTGTTGCCCAAAGAGCGCACGCGCGGGGAAATACCTCAAAATGCTGTCCCTCCTTGGCCACGTACTGTGCGAGCTTGTGGATGAGTTGGAGTCGCTCGGGATCGGCGGGCGGCGTGACCCGTATCTCGCCGAGAGGCATCGGCGGCGGCGGGGCCGGGTACCCAGCAGGCGGTTGTAAGGCTGGCAGATAGCCGCCTTGAGGCGGGTGTGCGTAGCCCGGTGGTGGCGGTGGGTTCATGAACCCAGGCGGCGGAGGCGGGTGTGCGTGTGCCATCTCCATTCCGGGCTAGCCATTGGGTCAAAAGGTGAGAAAATCCGCCCAATGCGAACGCGCCGAAGACATACACGGGCCAGGCGTACCGCCATGCCCGGATGCGGAGGCATGCCGGGAGGGTGCATGAATTGCTGCGGCGGCATCTGTGGAGGTACGCCGCCGTAGAACGGCGGAGGCATCGGCGCTCCCGGCATAGGCATGAATTGCGGTGGCGGGCCTTGCGGCGGCATGCCCAGCGGCATTCCCCCCTGTGGCATTCCCGGCTGCTGTTGCGGCGGCGGCGGCTGCATTCCACCGTGCGGCGGCATGCCGGGGGCCATCCCGAGGAGGCCCGGCATGGAGGGCGGCGGAGACACGGCTGCGCCACCGCCGCCGCCGGGTGCGCTGGTCGCGGACCAGGCCGAGGCCGTCGGTGCGGCGGCGTGGGCCGGAGGGGTGACGCTCGGCGGGACCGCGCCTATGCCCCCCGGCACCGGTTTGCTGACAGCCTTGCCCCACCCGATGCGCAGCTCGTAGCCCATCAACTCCACCCCTACACACCACCCACACGTCAGTTTGAATTAATAAAGAGATGATAATAATACATGCAGTAATGATGATACCGTTGAGTGCGTCCTTGGCCCGCTCGGCGTCTTCGCGCTTCTCAAACTGGACGAAGCCCGAATTCCTGTTGCGTCGCTTCTCGTCGTCTGTCCGCGGCCACATGATCTTAACGCTGTAGATGTTGCCGTACTTGCCGAACTCCTTCCTCAGAAGCTCCTCGTTGGCCTGCGGGGTGTGGGATTGGTGGTTGTGTCAGTGGCCAGCCCACTGGTGTGCGTGCGGGCTGTCGGTGATGGCACCTGTGGCGAGACGTTGCCTACGTAGAGGTTGGTGGTGTAGGGATCCCCCGAGTCATGAGATCCCAGCGGAGGGAGACTCTCGCTCAGCTCCTTCAAGCGCTCCAGGCGCTCCAACTGCTTCGCTTTCTCGGGCGCTACTCCTGAGAACCGCTCGTCTCGCTTCTGTTGCTCCCTGTGTTGCGTGTGGTGTCGTGTGCGTGTGCGTGTTGTGTGAGTCACAAATGGGGTTGGAGGGTGGATCCATCATAAGCTGGGGACTGCGCACTTGATGAACATGTCCTTCAGTTCATCGATCGAGCGCGTAGCGCTGGACTTGTCCTGCGGTGCAATGGCGGCCGGCGCCTCCTGCTTGGTTGCAGTCTTGATCTTGGGCGCTGGCTTGTAGAGCTTGCCAGAGGAGGCCGTCGAGGTGGCGGAGGCCTTGTCCAGCACCGTGTGCGGCACAAACGTCTCGCCACGTACGAACGTCTTGCTGCCGCTGCCTTTCTCCTCGTCCGCTGCGAACGAAGCCACGAACTCATCGAGCATCGCGGCCGCCTCTTCCTCTTGTTTCTACAAAAAGCGAGTATAGATGGATTAATCGAGGATGAATAAATTGTAAGAAAAGAAGTAAGGGCGATCGAGCTCAAGTTGCCGGGGTGTGAGCAAGTGCACGGCTTAGGCGGACAGCGGATTGGGATGGGGCACCTTCTTTTTGGCTTCGATTTGTTCGAGCTGCTTTTGGAAGGGCGATTTCTTCTTCGCGCCTGAGGTCAGGGCCTGCAGCTTGGCCTGATTGACCTCCTTCTTGTCCGCCATCTTGTGCAGCTGCTGTCGATGTGATCCGATCTATCAATCAGTGAGAGTTTTTTGGTATGCAGCAGAGAAAAAGGACCTGCTCCTCAAAAAGGACGAAAAATGCAAAGAAAATGTTCGAACATGTTTGTTTGAGGTGTACGTTCACAATGGGGTGTACCGGCCGGCGCACCAGCCCTTGTTCCCCTCCCCGGAGGACACGCACTCCCACTCTTCGATGGCGTGTTCCCCCTTCATCTGATCCCATGCCCGCTGCCGGGCCTCGCACCACACGTGCGGACACTCCACACCGTCGATGAGGACCAAGTGGGTGGGGCGGGCCGCCATGCGGCGCATGTTGCGCAGGTCGGCCAGGGGCACGCCGTAGAAGTGGCCGCCGTCGATGTGGAGAACGTCGCATAACAGTTCGGGGTGGTCGCGCGCGAAGGCCGGCACGGTCTCCACAGAGTCGCCCAGCGTGAGGGTGAGCCTCCCAGGGAAGTGTTGGTCAATCCAGTTCTGGGCTGTGCGGGCGTAGCTGTGCAGCCCGAGGTCGAACGCGTAGAGATGCAGGTCTGGGTTGGAGGTGAGCCACATGACGGCCGAGTGGCCGCCGTTGAACCCTATCTCGCACACCGTGCGCACGAAAGGCAGCTGGCCCAGCGACGTGTAGTAAGAGGCCTGGTGGGACGACATGTGGCCTTCGATCTTGCCCGAGCGGCTCTCCTGGTGCAGGCGGTCGAGTAGGGTCCACCACTCAAAGAAGAGAGGCACGTGGTCTCTGGTCCAGCCCCTGTACCGCTCGGCGCCGTCGGTCGGCGCCCAGGGGGACGCTTCGGTGCGACAGGGTGCGCGGGGGAGCGAGGGTGGTGGTTGGCTGCATGGCGGGGTACCGGGAGAAAAGATGAGGAAGAGCGTCACCAGAGACAGCACCGCCAGCGTCACTGCAAGCGCGCTCTCGTGTAGCTGCATCGCGCCGCTCTCTCCTCCCACAACATCAATCAACAACTTTGTTCGCTTTTGTTTTGTTTCCTGTTTCTCCGCTTTTAGCCCGGAGTAGAGTGAAGTTTCCTTTTCAAGGCCTGCTCCGAAATGAGCCAAACCAGTCAGCGAGTTTTCGAAGAGCAGCACAATTAATTGTTGTGGCGCTCACATAAAGGTGGGGCTGGTGGTGCGCGTCGTGAGCGGCTCCGGCTCTGCGCCGATGGAGGTGATGATTGTCGCCATTGCTTCTCCTCCGTCCTCTTTCTCTTCCCCTTGTTCTTTCTCCTTCCCCTTGTCGACCTGCGCCACCGCTTGGCCCAGCGACGGCGAAGCAGAGAGGTCGAGGGAGTTCTTGCGGTGCGGGTGCTGGCGGTGGTGGTCGGCAGCAGCGTGCACGTCGGACTTGGCCCGGGCCTTGGCGATGACGCGCTTCTTGGCCGCGATCTCCTCCAGCGTGAGCGGATCGCGGCGCATGGCCTTCCGGCCGAGCAGCCACTGGACCATCTCCTGGTGCGAGAAGTAGTTGCTCGATATCGCATAGGCCGGGAACTCCCTCCCCTGCAATCGCCCATTATCAGCGTGTGCCACTGTGTGTGTGCGCGTGTGTGTGTGTGTGTGTGTGCCGTGTGTGTATGTGTGTAGTGCGGGGAGAACCTCGTCGACGCCGGGGATCTCGACCATGAGCTTGAATGTGACACGGATGAGGGCGCGGTCATTGAGGGCCTGGGCGAGCTGGGCGGGGTCCTCAGGCGGGATAGCCAGCTCGTAGCCGGACGTGAGATAGTAGGGTTCGGACCGCACCACGCCCACGATCTCACCCACATAGCCCTGCCTGTTCAACAGCACCTGTCATCCGCCACCAACCGTCAGGCGACAGACGAGCTGCTAGCCGCGAGCGCAAAGAGAACGGCACAGGGCGACGAGGTGGTGGGTACTCGGACAAGGAGCCCCTCGAGGTACGCGACGTTGAAGCGCCTGCGGTACCGCCGGAACCACCGCATCATGGTCATCCGCCCCAGACGGGCCTGCAGATGGAGGGGAAAAAGAGATGAGTCGCGGACTCTCCCCGCCTGGAGGCCTGGACGAGAGTGTGTGCGGGCAGGCGCGTACGTACCTCGTTGAGGGTGGTGAGGTCGTAAGGCACAGTGGCCAGCGTCGCTTCCTCTTCCTCCGTGAGGGTAGGCGACAGCAACGATGACGGCGCCGCCGACGCTGACGAAGCATATGACTGTGGCTGTGACTGAGGCGGAGCGGGGCTGCTGTTGCGACCGGCCCATCCGGTGTTGTAGCCCTGTGGGGGTTGGTAGCCTGCCGCTGTGCATTGCAATGATCAGCCTCACGAGGGCGCGAGAAAGGGGTGCGAGGGAGGAGGAAGTGCCGCGCAACATGGGCCTCATCGTACCGTGTGGCTGTGGCGGCATCACGAACGTGAAATGGGGCATCACGCCCGCCATCGGCTGCTGCGGCTGATACTGCTGAGGTTGCTGGAACTGATGGAGTTGCTGAGGCTGCTGGTCATAGGCTGGTTGCGCGTAGCCGCCACCAGTGCCGGGGAAGTTCGACGCCGACAGCGCCGATGACGACAGTGGAGGCGCTGAGGTCGATGAAGGCGCGGGCGCCAGGCCCAGCGCCCGCGCACGATCGGGGTGCATGAAAGGGAAGCCGCTGTTGCTACTGTGTTGGTCGATCGACCCGGCCGAGTCCCACTCGCGGTTGGCGGTGGAGTCGCTGCCGTGGCCACCTCCAAAGCCCTGCTCGCTGCTGGCGACGCCGGGGCACTCGCGTGCAAAGTGGCCCGACTTTCCGCACTTGAAGCAGGTGCCGCCGCCGCCGCCGCCGCCGCTAGATGCGTCTACGCTCGGGGGCTGATGGTCTGCGTCCTTCATCGAGAGCTTCAGCCTCCTCCGGCCGTTCTCCTGCACGACAGGCGATTCGTCACAGACGAAGAGGTGAGTAAAAAAAGAAAAAGAAGAAATAATGCAGACTGAATTGACGCACTTCTTCGATGTCGAGGACTTTGACGTTGACGGTGGCGCCCACTCCGCCGACCAGCTCCAGCAGGTCTTCATCGTCGGGCTCCACCCGGCGCCGCAGCATCCTCGTAAAGTGCACCAGACCTGCGCAGGTCACGCACCCACCGCGCGCCTTTGTCAGCTCACGCACATGCGCGAGGCACGAGAAGAGGGAGGTCAAGCGCACGCACCGTCTTGGCAGCAGCCTTCGGGACGAACGAAGACTCCAAACGCGCGGCCGTCTTTCTTCCCCACGGACATCACCTTGGCTGCTCACGCGGATGCCATGGGTGAGACCAGTTCGAATGAGTGCGCCCAGTCTGTGCGCCGTGCGTGAGTGCGTTGCGTGCGGGTACCAGGACATGTGCTGCCGATCTCGGGCAAGGGGCCGCTGGCGCCGGTTCCAGCTTCTGTGCATTCGCGGGCAAAGTGGCCGGGCTTGTTGCACTTGTAGCACACGCCGCCTCCGCCTCCGCCTCCGCCGCGATACTCGCTCCCGCCTCCACCCGCGTCCGCCCAGTTACTGCTGCTGCTAGTGCTGTCTTCCGTCGAGTGGGTAGCACTCAATCCGGCCCAGCCCGTGCTCCCGCCGCCAGCGCTGCTGGGCGGCTGAGTGGAGGGTACGTCATTCCAGTCGTCTCCCCAGCCGCCTCCACCGCCGCCGCCACCAGCGCTGCTGGACCCGCTGGCGGTCGGCTCGTCGTCGCCCCAACTGCTGCCCCAGCCAGCGCCTCCGCTAGTGCCGCTGGCGCTGGACCCGCCGGCGGTCGGCTCGTCGTCGCCCCAACTGCTGCCCCAGTCACCTCCGCTGGTGCTGGCGCTGGCGCTGGCATCGCGGGGCTCACTCGTCATGTCGACGGTACCGCCGGCATCAAAACTGGCACCCCAGCCGTCGCCTCCACTGGTGCTGCTGCTACTACTGGCGCTCGAGTCGCTGGTGCTATTGGCGCCGCTGGGGGCCGGAGAGTCCCAGTTGCCTCCCCAGCCGTCGCCTCCACCTCCGCCGGCGTCGGCCGATGGTTCATCTGCGTGGTCGCTCAGGTCCAGCGGCTCGTTATCGCCGTCGCTAGCAGCGCCGCTGGCCGGAGTTGCGGCGGTGGCCTTCTTTCGAAAGGGGATTTCAATTTCCTCTCCGCTGGCGTCCGCATCTTCCTGGGAAGCCCGACGCCTGCGCAGACGTGGCGGAAGGGTAGTGGCATCTGTGTGTGTGTGTGTGTGTGTGTGTGTGTGTGTGTGTGTGTTGTGAGCACGCGCCCATGGTGTGGATCGGTCGAGGGACCCAAAGTACCTGTGTCGAGGGGAAGGAAATCGGGGGCATCGATGAGGACGCTCTTGCCGATGCTATTCTTGCGGGGCCGTAGGCTGAGCTTCTTCATCTCGTCGTCCAACTGCTGCTGCCTCCTCTGTAGAGGTGTTACACCACACAATCAAGGGCCATAATTAACATGCGGCGCGTCCAGCATACGAATTCAAGGTGTGCGCACACGTACGGCGCATACCTTGTTGACTTCCCTGCGCTCTTTGGTTTCTTCGAGAGCTTGTTTCTCGAGCCATTTTCGCCGCTTCTCATCAGCCTTGGCCGCTTTCACCAGCTTTTGCTTGACCTCCAGCGACGACGTGAATGACGAGGATGAAGAAGATGACGATGACGATGACGAAGTAGGCGGCGATTTGGAACGAACGCTGGTCGCGCGTTCGGGGACAATATTCTCGAGACGCACGCCGTCACCGGCCGGCATTCTCGCATCAGCAGATTTCCTGCGCTTGCCGTTGTCGGTGATCTTTTCCTTTCCCTTCTCGCCCGCTCGCTTTCTCTTGTTCGTCGCGATGAAGTCGTCGTCGTCACCGTCCGTCATTCCTTCTTCCTCCTGCTCTTCCTGTTCCATCACTGCCACCTCTTCGTTTGCCTCTGCTTCTTCTTCGTCGTCGAGCGGAGTGTCGCTGAGGACGTACGCCGCTCCGTTCCCGAGCGAGGGCGTGCAGGAGTCGGCGTCAAAGTCAGAGTCAGAGTCCTCGGATTCGGCGTGGGACGGGAACTCCACGCCCTCCTGCAGCAGCCGCAGATAGAGCGCTTGCACCTGCAGGAAACGCTTTAGAGTGCAAATTGACACGGACGCGACACACAACACGACGTGCACAGGACAAAATTGAGAAAGGAGGCACCTCATAGCGCTGCTCATCCTCCATCTTCCAGTCTTCCTCGAAGTTGTTGATGTGGTGGAATTTAGTGTTGTAGTAGATGTAGCGGCAGAAGAACGTGTTTGGCTCATTCTGGCAGAGGGCCGCCATCTGCACGATGACCCGTTCACATACATGTTACAACGTTCTGTATCGTGTTACACACGTCATCAGATTGAAGAGAAGGCCAAGCGCACGCCTACCTGTTGCGGGTCGGTTGCGGCGGGGCAGTAGATGATGTGCGCTGGACACAGCACCGAGGTCATGTCGTTGATGTCCTGATCGAAAGACCAGTAGACCTCTTCATTCACCGTGGCCACACCTGGGAACCCTTTGCGTCTATGTGGGGCGTGCTGACGTCAGCCAGCAAAGAGGAAGAGTAACAGAAGAGATAGACGCACGGGATGGGGATCTTGCAGTCTCGCCGCCGATCGTCGATGTCGAACTTCTGGTAGAACCAGCGCACCTTGATCTTGAACTTCTTCTTGCGCGGCTTCGTGGGTTGATGCTTGGCGCCCTCCTTCTTGATGGGAAGGATTGTCTTCAGGCGGAAGATGTCTTCGATTATGCCCACGAAGTTGCCACGCTCTTCTCCACTGTGGAGCACGACGGCGTCCCCGAGACCGTAAACGCAGCCATCGAGGGTGAATCGTTTGTAGTACTTGCGCCCGGCGTCCTTTTGGTAGAGGTCGTGCAGCTCGATCGTGTTCTTCACCTTCGCTTCCTTGGCTTCTGCTTCACGCGCGTCCTGCTCGCCTTCATCGTCGGAATCGAGAAGAGAAATTTCCTCAATCACCTTTTCCTTCCCCGTTGCTTCATCGATCTTCGTGATTTGCTTGATTTGGTCTTCTCGTAGCGGCACCATCTTTCGCTTCTTCCTCTTTACTCGCTTCGCATGCTGTCCAACGTTGCTCCCAACATCGCTTCCCTTCTGCGCCACCTCGAGCTCCATCTACTTCACTGCCAGTCCCCTTGTACTCTCTGCTGTAACTCTTCTCTGTTGTGTGCTGTGGTGAGATGTCTCCACTACACCCCCTCAACGGAAAGGGTGAAGAAGAAGAAGGAGAGTGCACACCAAGAAGTGGAAGGTGGGGTGAAGCGCTTCAGGCCAGCAGGCTCCACAGTTGATTCCCCCCTGTTCCCTCCCGGGGCCACACGACATGATAGGGCGAGTGTGCGGGAACGATCACCCACCTTTCATCCTCGTTGTTGAAGTTGCTGCCTTAGGCCACGCAGGACCTTGACCATTTTGGGCCATGTCCTGCAACACCATCAGATCGTGTCGTGTGTCGTGTCGTGTCGTGTCGTGTCGTGCGTGTTGTGTACAACAATTCATTCACTGTACGACTAGTGCCCAGATCTGGCCGTCGACGACGATGGACCGGTCCCTCGTCGCGGCTGCTGCGACGGGACGTAGGTGATCTGCCGCCCCGACGCGGTGAGCTGCGCCCGCCCACCGCCCGAGGCCGCCAGCTGCTGCCGCCCGGCACCGCCACCGCCACCGCTGCCGGCGCTGCCCTTGTAGACCGGGTAGGGCGGCAGGGAGCTGAGGCCGTACGAGTCCTTCAGGTTGAGCTCCTGCTCGCGCTGGGCCTCGCGCTGCAGCCGCTCCTTCATCGCTCGCACCCGCTCGCACTTGGGACACGGCCGGCCACTCCCCATCACCTGCTCCTCCCAACACGCCTGCCATTTCCAACGTTGGTGCGTGTGCGGTGGTGCGTGTGCGTGTGCGGCGGTGGTGGTGTAGTGGAGCGTACTTTGTGAAAATAGGACTTGCACTCCTCGCATCGGGCGATGCGGTGGAGCTGGAACGGGAACACGAGGTTGTCCTCGTCCGCGCACAGCTCGCAGAAGTGTGCTTTGCCCTTGCACACCGCACACACGCTCGTAATGTGCGCGACATATTCCTGCGATGTGTCGACAGCACACATTCAGCATTGCGCGCGCACACACGCACGCATCGCACCGCACACGCACCGCCGCACACGGACTCAAGTGGTTGGGGTGCGCACCTCGATGACCTTCTGGAGAAAAGGAATGAAGCGATTCTTGGAGACGTCGACGAGGTCGCGCAGGGAGTAGCGGTGCGTGTTCTCGATGAGGTACTCGCGCTGCGCCTGGGCCAGCGACTGCGTGAGCCGCGAGCGGTCCTTGCATGTCTGCACGAACTCGCCGATCACCGTCAAGGGCTTTCGCAGCTCCTGCAGAGACAAAAGCTGCTTGTTGAGCCAACACCGCAAACATGCGACGCACGACGCGACCAACGACATAGAGGCTCGTCTGTTGCGTGCGACATTACCAATGTTTGAGCGAGGGTGGGCACTTCCAGGTAGAGTTGAGGGTTGATGGAGGCGATGTTGAGCGTTGGTCGGTTCAGATTGGACTCGATGTATTCCTTCGCCCAACTGCTCACCTAGAGACCGATCGCGCCACGTGTTATGCTTTGCGTGTGTTGTGTGTTGCATGTGTTGTGCGGACCATGTGTTGTGTCGTGTCGTGTCGTGTCGTGTTGCGTGTGTCGCGCGTTGTGTCGTGTCGTGCGTCGCGTGGTGGTGTACCTTGTGTTCTTTCATGTCCCATTTACGGACGATGTGTGCGGGAACGAGTGCCTTCTCGTTTTGGTGACAGCGCGGACAGTAGTACAGCCCCGTGTAGTTGCAATACCGTATGCCGCCCAGCAGACCCCCTTTTTTTCCCACATGAACAACGTTCAGTGCCGGGGCAAGGCGCACACATACAACACGCACACCACACACGACACACGATCACACGATCACCACGACATGGGTGTGGTTGGTCATACCACCAGCTAAGGACACGCCGCACGAAGGACATTCGCCGTTGGCCTTACTCGCTGGAAGCTTGGCGGGTACGGTCAACAGGAACCCGCTCGGATCGCGCTCCTGCACAGGTGCGTTGTGTGTCGCGTGTCGTGCCGCGTGTGCGGTGTGTGCGGTGTCGTGTGTGAGCAACGAAAGAAGGGACAATGTAGTGGCGAGTAAGGCAGGAATGTTTGGCACCTGCCGCGCACGGAAGTCGGCCTCGGTCAGGTCGCGTCTGCCCGCCTCGTCCTCGCTGTCGCTCGTGTCGCCCTGGCTCGTTGGCGCCTTCGCCACCGGCTCCCGCCGCCCGCTCGAAGCATTCGAACGCCAGCGCGACCCCTGCGCGCCGCCCAGCCCGCTGCTCGATGACCCCAGGCCCGAGGCCGGCGGCTTCGGGCGAGCCATGGCAGCCCGGTCGGCCAGCGGCGAGTTGGCGACGTAGGACGGGGAGAAGTAGCCTGAGCCGCCAGTTGCCAGCATCGCCGCCGCCGGGTAGAACTCGTGGTGGTGCTCGATCGCGTCCGACGCCGCCACCGAGCCCAGCGACATCAGATTCGACAGCGCGGCCTTGTCGAACCGCGCCGGCGGCGTTGGCTTGACGACCGCAGCAGCCGGCGCGGCGGCCGTTGTCATCGGTGGTGGCGGCTGCGCGCCTCCTCCCCAGCCGTTGGCCTTCTCGAACGACAGCGAAGACGACGAGTTCTGCGGTGGCGGGGTGGACTCGCGGGGCAGCTGCGGCGAAGGTGCCGGCGAGGGCGAGGGCGATGGTGAAGGCGATGGTGACGGCGATGGCCGGTTGGCCTCATCGCCGAGCATCTGGTGCGTGAAGTCCTCGACGCTCTTGATCATGTTGAACATGAGCTCCTCCCTCTCGTCGACGCTCGCCCGTGAACCTGGCGCCAATCCCTTCAGCCCCTCCTCGACCACCGCCAGCGCTGCCGCCGCGGTGGTGGCGGCGTCGCTTTTTTCGTTCTTTTTGCCCCTCTCTTTCGCTTTTTCCTCCTCGTCGTTCTCTTTCTGGTCGAGTATGCGCTTGAGCTTGTCCTCGTGGTAGGCCTTTTCATCGATCCCGGCGTCCATGATCGACACGATCCGCTTGGGCTTCTTGGCGCGGCCCTTGACCATCAGTCCCGACGACGCCTTGCGCTCGATGATCGCCGTCGCAGTCTCGCCACCGCCGGTGCCGTTGTTCGACGCCGGCGCGGCCACCCCGGTTGTGGTGGTGGCCTTGGCCTCGTCCCCTGCATCCACCGTCACCTCCTCCTGTGCTTCCTGGGCCGGGAGTGGCACTGTGCTGACAGCCTTTGTGGTCGCGATGGGCTGTTCGGCCTTGGGCGGACTCGTCTCATCGCCGTGGCCAGTCATCGCACCAAAGGCGCTCGCTTGCGCTCTGTGGCCGTGTGTGTGTGTGTGTGTGTGTGGTCAGCACAGGGCTCTAAGAATTGATGAGTTGATGATTACCAGGAGAAGGCACAAATCGTACTTGCTGAGCTCCTGTTGGAGCTGACGCAGCCTCTCCTGCGTCTTCTTCAAACGCTCCTGCAGCTCGGTGTCGGCGTTGTCCTCCTCCTGGTCGGATTCGCCGTGCAGCTCTCCGTCGCTAGACTCGCCCGCCACCCCACCTTGCCTCCATTCGTCTTCGTTCGTCTTTTGCCCGCCGGCGTTCACGCTTTCCTGCTCTTCACTGCCGCCGTCTTCATTCTTGTCTTCGTCACTCGCATCACCGTGCTCCTCCTCACCGCTGCTCTCACCATCATACCCCTCTACCCCTTCGTTCCTTCCAGAATCGCTTTCGCTCTTTTCTTTGTCGCTTTCGTTCTTCCCTTCGTCCGCGACGGTCGTCGTGCCGTTGGGCGTCGTCGAAGAGGCACTGTCATTGCCGCCTTCCGACTGCGGCTCGGATGGCGGACTGGGCAGGGTGATGCTGCGTCGTCGGTTGGTCCGTCCCTTTCGTGCCTTCGATCGCTTGGGCGCCACGGCCGCCGGGTAGTCGACTGTGCCGCCCACGCCGGCCACCTCCACCACAGCCGACACGGCCGACACGATAGACGTGAGTGCCTTCAGCCCAGCACCGCTGCCGGCGCTGTTCTCTCTATCGCCGTCCGACGGCTCGCGCTTTGGCTCTGTCTGCGGTGGTGGGCTGCAGCGCCGCAACGCCACACACACACACACACACACACACACACACACACACACACACACACACACGAGACACGCACATAGTTAGACGCACGCAGCTCAAAGGGGCTGAGGAGTGAGTGTACCTGTGCACGGGCGCGAGGTCCCAGTACCGCGGTCGTTCGAGCTCCTTGTCCTTGAGCACCAGGGCAAAATTGAATTTGTTGAGGTTCTCCAGGAGCAGGAACACAGTGTCCAGCGGCTCGTCGTGTCGTAGGATCGCCTCCTCCTTGTAGTAGTTTCTATAGCAGCACACGCGTCAGAAACCGGCGCTCACCCACCACCGCACACGCAGCATCGCCGCACATTTACGTTAAATAAAAAGGCCGTTAGGAAAAGTGGAAGGTGAGTTCGCGTACGTGGTGAGCGACTGATTCCAGGCGAGGGCCGAGAGGTACTCGGAGAGGGCGCGCTCGTTGAGCGCCAGCCGGATGAATAATCGTACCCGCGCGTAGTCGCTGTCTCCATACTGTCGCACTGTATCAACACACACGACACACACGGTGAGCACATAGCACGACACACATGATACACGCGTGTGTGTGCGGTGATTACCAGATTGTAGGGTGCCGGTCGTGCCGGGGAGGCACTGGTCGAGGTTCTCCAAATACTTCCACACCTTGGGCACTTGCCCGAAGCGCGGCGGCTTGACCTGGTGGTGGAGCACGTCCTCGATGCTCTTGAGCAGTCGGCGCACGTTCGAATTCTGCTCGGTCAGGCTCTTGGACTCACCCACGGCCTCGGCCTCCTCGCCGGCGGCGTTGTGGCTGTGCACGGCCACGTCGACGATGCCCTGCACCGCCGACTTGAGCTCCTCCACCAGCTCTGCGAGAGAGGCGGACGCAGAATATATTTATATTTTAATCTTTTCCTCATTTATGATAATAAACAAAAAAGTAATGTTTCAAAGATTAACAATCATGGGCGAGATGGAGGATTTAGAGTGAGGACCATACCTCTGCGTTCATGTTCCGCTTCCATGGAGCCGAATGATGAAAGAGCGCGCGGCAAAATCGCGTAAGATTGCGCGACTTTTGATGGTCGGCGTGAAACCCCTCTTCGCACTCCCTAGCGCAGCGCTCGGCTATCCTCGCCCACTCGGCTGGATCCGTCGAAGAGTCGTCCTGCCGGCTCTGGAGCGCTTTGCGTGCTTCTTCGTGCGCTTTCCCTTTCATTTTGTGGCCCACCCCCGTAACCACATTCCACGCATTCCTCCCTTGTTTTTTATTTATTTATTAGTTTTTTGTTTGGTGCGGATTTTGGTCATCTCTGTGCTCCTCGTTCGTCTTCGTCCCGCTCTTGTTCCCTTTTCCACTTCATCCCTTCTTTCTTCCTCTTCTGCCTCTTCTTCTTCTTCTCCCCTGCTTCTTGTTGAGCCGGCTTAGAGGTCAATCTCCTCCACCGCTTCCTCTTCTTCCTCCGCGACGGTCTCATCGTCGGCTGCAGCAGCCGGCTCGCTCGTGACAGCGGTGCTCTCTTCGGCCGAAGGTCCCGTCTGCTCGACCGCCACGGTCGGCTCCTCACTCTCCTCCTTCTCCTCCTTCTCCTCCTTCTCCTCCTTCTCCTTTTCGGTCTCTTCCACAGCCACCGGCGGCTCGCTCGCCGCAGTCTCTTCTTGACCAACAACGGTGTCGGGAGCCGAAGACGAAGAAGACGACGACGAGGAGGAAGACGATGAGGTGGACGCCAGACCGGAGAAGCAGCTCGAGGGGACCTGGACCTGATCGTCCGGGACCACCTGGATGACGATCTTGCCGCGGGTTTTCCGCTTGATGTGTTCGGCGAAGGCGGCGGGCGCCTCCTCGAGCGGATAGACGCGCTCCACGACGGGCCGGATGGCGTGGTCCTCGTCGATGAGCTTCCGGAGGTCGAACAGGTCGGTCCAGTTGGGCGACGTGGTGAGGAGGTGGTACTTGGGGAACCCGAACACGCTCCAGAACTTGCGGTTCACGATCGACGCGCCCGCGGCGATGGCTCGACCCACAGTCAACTGGTTCATTCATGTGGCCGTGAGGTGAGTCAGAGCGTTGTATCGCGTGTGTGTGCGTGCGTGCGTGCGTGCGTGCGCGCGCGCGTTGGGACGGTACGGTTTCCTCGCTCTCGGCGGCGATCGTAACGAAGACGCCGTCCTTCTTGAGGACGTGCGCCGAGCGGTCCCAGACCCCAGCGCCGCCCACGGTGTCGTAGACGATGTCAAAATTACCTCCCTTGAGCACCTGGCGTGGCAGAGGGACTTGTCATTTACCATCTATTTCTCCAACACCACACACCACCCAGGCGAGAGAGGAGGCCTACCTCCCACCAGTTCTCTTTGGCGTAGTCGATCGTGTGGTCCGCGCCCATGGCCCGCACAAACTCGAGGTTCCTCTCGCTGCACGTGACCGTCACATCGCATTTGTAGTGCTTCGCCAATTGAATGGCGTTGGACCCTGCAGACACGCCAACAATCACGTGCAATGAGTGGTGATGATGACGGTGGTGATGATGATGAAGAAGAAGAGCAAACCGGTGCCACCGCTGCCGCCGAGGATCAAAACCTTCTGGCCCTCCTTGATCTTGGCCGTCTCGACCAGCGCCTGGTAGTTCGTCTGCCCCACGAGCGGGATGCTGGCGGCCTCTGTGTGCGACAGGCTGCTTGGCTGCAGACAGGACAGACACGACGCGTCAGTACTGATGCACACTCTCGCACGAGCGCAAGTGAAGAAGAAGAAGAAGAAGCGCGTGAGTGTGCACCTTGAGTGCGACGTTCTTCTCTTGCAGGACAACATAGTCGGCGGCGCCACCGCAGGAGATGGAGCTCATGGCCCACACCTCATCGCCCTTCTTGATACGCTTGCAGTTGGCACCTTGGCGGCCACGAATACGACAAGCAGAAGGAGACAGAGAAGAGAGATCGAGATTCGTAAGAAAGAGCCAGGCACGAGAAGAGAAAGTGGAGGAGAAGATGAAGATCTGTACCTACGTCCTCCACGACGCCAGACACGTCGAAACAAGGAGTGAAGGGAAAGATCTTGCCAAATTGCACGATGCTCAAGTTGCCGGCCATCAACTTCCAGTCTACAGGGTTGATGGAGGTAGCGTGTACGCGCACCAGTACGTCCCTCTTCTTGACGCATTTCGGCTTCGGGTGCTGGGACGTCACTTCCAGCTCATCTGGCGAGCCGTAGCGGCGATAGATCGCAGCGCGCATGACCTGCGGTTGCGGTTGTTCGCTCGCGACTGCAGCCTCTGCCTCATCGCTGGCCACCTTCTCAGTTTTCTCTTCTTCGGCCTGAACCTGCTCGGCCTCCGGCTGTTGCGGTTCTTCAGGCGCCGATTCGAGATTTGGCGTCGATTCCGTCTCCGCAACGCTTGCCGTCGTTGTTTGTGGGTCTTCCATGTTCACGCCTTCGGGAGTCACACCAGGTGATGATGGACCACAATCAATCAACGATCTGTGTGCTATCTGTCTGGCTGCCCGCTACCACATCTCATTTCCTTCCCTTTTTCCAAGTGTAAAATATCCAAAGAATGTTGAGCATTCCGATCCTTTTTGTCGTCAGGAATGTGCACTTTCCCGCCTTTTTGCCTCGGTAGAGCGTCGCCTTATCTCTACGTGCAAGTAGCGACTACAACCGAAGACGATAAAGCCGCAAGCAAGACCCTCCTCTTCTTTTCATGTATAGCCCCGCCCGTCAGCGCACGCCACTACCTACCCCGCTACGTAAAGAAGAAGCTCTGCCCGAGAGAGATGAACAACGTCAACACGCTGCCCACCACTCTGTTGCACGACTCGAGCTACGCGAAGGTGGTGCTCGAGGGTGGGAGGCCCTCTACTCGGACACACCGTTCTGCTAGCTGGCCCACCCCCGCCGAGTCGGCCGCCTACACGGCGAGCTCGCCGCAACACCAAAAGGTGCACAGCATCATGAGCAGGCTGCTTGGCCACTTCTGCCACGCCTTCCCCTCTCCCACCTGGAGACGCGAAGAGGTTCCACTCTCCCCGGCCGCACGCACTACGACCGACTCGAGGAAGGCGGCTTCATGCTCAACCCAAGGCCAGAGCTGTCGGATCCGCGGGGACAAGCTCGACGTGCTGCAGCAGTCGGCCAGGGTGGACATCTCTGCAGAGCTGCAACGAGCGCTCTTGCCAGCGAACATCGACAAGCCGATAGAAGAGGCAAACGGAGGCCGACACGTCGAGAGGAAGCCGCTACACAAGGAGGAAGGGTCCACTCAGTACTGCTGGCGGCCTGCGCTAGCAACTACGGAAGGGGTCCCCTTCTCGCTCTTCTACTATCAAGCTCCTTCTTCGTGCCTCGCCGCGCCACCAAGCGAAGAGGAAGATGCCCGCCTCTACTTGGCCCAACCGTACAACTACGACGAAGGAGGCGAAGACCACGTCGATGGCAACGACGAGAGCTCCTCCGACACCGAGTGGTGCCAGGAAGACGACTGGGTGAGGGACTTTGAGTGATCTGCACCCACACCATAAAGCTCGCCTTCTATGTTCGTTCCCTGGGCAGCCACTCCTACAGCACTTGGTGAACACACCACCGCACACACACCGAGAAACTGTGCTCGCCCGTGCAGGAGAACTCCAAGCCGCGGTCAACGATGAATCACCACAATTGTGGTGGCTATGATGGTAATGGGAGAGCAGATGCAGATCACGTGGGCGTGGGCGAGCCGGCTCCAGCAGCACGTTCTGGGACCGGAACGACTGCGAGTCGCCCAACGGCGGTCTGCCCGTGCCCAAGAACAACGTTGAGGCCTCCCCTTCATGCGAAGCTTCCCAGAGCACACGTCGAACGTTCTACACAAGTTGCTGGCTGAATCTTCTTCTTCTGCGTGCCGGAGCTGGAGGCGAACGTGGACCAACCCGAACGCTCGACGTGGCACAAAATTTTGGGCTATTGTTGCTCTCTTCTCTACGTTTTTTAATCATCCAGCATTTTTGATCTCTCAGTGTGAATTGCCTGCTGCGAGATGGCGCTGAGCACGCGAACCCTGCTCCTCCTGGTCGTGGGCGTAAGCCTGGCGATTTGCTTCCTCCCTACGGCGCGGAGCCTGGTGTTTGGACTCGATTTTGGCTCCCGATGGGTGAAGATGTCGGTGATTCGAGGCAACTCGTTCGAGATTATCCTCGATGCCCAGACCAAGCGCAAGTTCATGTCTGGCCTCGCCTTCCACGATGATGAACGCTTCTTTGCGGCCGACGCTGAGAAAGTGGTGCGCTCCCCCCACACAGCTCTTCATCTCAACTCTCACGCAATCACTAACGCGAGCAACTGCACACTTGCGCTGTGCCGGTGCACGACATATCATAGATGCCGCGTAGTCCACAGCACACGTATCAGTATCTGTCGCAGCTGTTGGGCAAGTCACACAACAGCAGCGTAGTCGAGGCGCTCAAGCCGCACCTTCTCTACGCCGACGAGATCGTGCCCAACGGAGAGCGCGGGACCGTGGCCATACGGTACAACGAAAACACGACCTTTGCCGTTGAGGATCTCGCGGGCATGGTCTTCAACTTCGCCCGCGAGACCGCGCTCGCCTACGTGCACTCTCCCGTGGCCGACGTTGTGATCACCGTACGTGCTGCTGCCTCGGTGCCGGCCGTGTCTACCACGTGCCTGCAGCTGTTGATGGCGTTGTCACTGACTTGATATTTTTGGCATTACCTTGGGTGCAGGTCCCGCCGCACTGGACTGCGGAGGAGCGAGCAGCGGTGATCGAAGCGGCTGAACTCGGTGGCTTCCACGTGCTGTCGCTCATCAACGACGGCACTGCCATCGCCCTCCACTATGCCTTTGGCAAGAGGTGCGCGCCTCAGTTGCATCATCTCGCCTCCGCTACTCGTCTCTTGGGGGAGCGAGGGCCTTAGGGTTATTTATTTGTTTATTTTCTCATACAACTCCCAATCTGACACCACAGGTTCGAGGAGCCCAAGAACGTGATCTTCTACGACATGGGCCACAGCAACACGAGGGCCACGCTTGTCGAGTACCATTCGATCCGCATCAAGAAGGGTTCGTAGCGAATATGTGCTCGAGACTTCTTCTTCCGCGCTTGCCTCTGATCTTTCGTCTCGTGTCGATCTTGAATTGCGGAGCAGGAGCGAAGAATGTGACGCAGCCGACGATGAAGGTCAAGGCCGTGACGTACGACACCAGCCTGGGAGGTAGGGACTTTGACTACCGCCTCGCCGAGCACCTCGCCGGCGTGGCCGTGACGCAGATGGCGGCCAAGGGCATCGAGAGCTCAGTCGACCAGATCAAGGCCAACAAGCGCGCCTGGGCTCGTCTGATGACCGCCGCCAGCCAGGCCAAGACCGTGCTGAGCGCCAACATGGAAACCTACGCCGCGGTGGAAGGACTTGTGGGCAGCTACGATCTGAAGACCACGGTCAGCCGCGCCCAGTTCGAGGAGATGTGCGAGGACCTGTTCGCGCGGGCCGCCACGCCCGTGAAGGAAGTGCTGGCCGCGGCCAACACGACCGTGGAGGAGGTGGGCAGCATGGAGGTGGTCGGCGGCAGCGTCAGGATTCCTAAGGTCCAGGCCGTGCTCAAGCAGACCCTGGGTCTCCCCGAGCTGAGCAAGACTCTCAACGGAGTACGTCCCTCACTGTTTTAACGCTCCCGCTCGTCGTAAGCGTTTTGCTGACCGCCGGCGGTGTGATGTTGTTGGCCTGGGCATTACTGTGCGTAGGATGAAGCTGCGGTGTTGGGTGCCGTCTTCTATGCGGCGCATCTCAGCACGAGCATCAAGGTCCCCGAGCACAAGATCAAGGACATCACGCCCTATGGCGTGACTGCCACCATCAAGCTCGCCCGCCCTGCCGACGCGCTTGAAGCGAGCGACAAGGAGGACTCCGTCGCCGGTAACCAGGACGGTAAAGGCGACGACGACGATGATGACGACGATGACGACATCGACGAGCAGGCCGAGGACGAGGTAAAGCTGCACACTTCTTTCACCATCACCGTCACCATCACCAGTATAAGCTTACACTGCGTGATATAACGCAGACTGGCACTGTAACGAAGGTCCTGAGCCTCTTCAAGCCCTTCGGACGCGTGGGCGCCAAGAAGAACGTCTCCTTCAAGAAGAACGTCAGCAACTTCACCGTCGAGCTCGCCTACGACGACGAGGCCAAGCTGCCCGAGGACGCCCCGCGTCAGCTCGCGCGCTTCACCGTGGAGGACATGAACAAGCTCAAGAAGTACAACTACACCGGCAAGCCCAAGGTCACCCTGGCTTTCCGCCTGACGACCAGCGGACTCGTGGAGCTGGAGACGGCTGAGGCCGAGGTGGTGGTCATCAAGTACCCCGAGCCCGAGCCCTCGGCCAAGTCGACGCCCGCTCCCACCCCCGAGGCCACCGTACACCCATTTCTTTTCTCTTTTGTTTTCCTTTCTTCTACTTCCTGTTGTGCTTTTTATTAAGTGTCGATGCGTTCAGGAGGAGGACAAGGCTGAGGCCGCCGACGCCGCCGACGAGGCCACGGGCGAGGAGAAGGAGGACAGCGCCGCCAACAAGGAGGACGAGGAAGCCGAGAAGGAGGAAGTCGCGGCTGATGACGAGGAAGCCGAGGAGGAGAGCAAGAAGAAGGAGAAGGACGAGAAGAAGCCCAAGAAGGAGAAGAAGCCGAAGAAGACTGTGCACAAGATCGCCCTCGCCGTGGTCACGCAGAAGCTCGGCATCCCCGAGAGAACTTACGTCGAAAAGGTACGCACGCGGTCACCTAGCCCTGGGCTTCTCGATCAAGTCGGTCCCTCAAACGTTTCCTCTTTCTTTCCGCGTCTTTTAGTCCCGCGCTCGCGCGTTGCTGAAGCAATGGGAGGCCAAGGCTGTCAGCAAGAGGGTACGCGCACACGACACACGACACACGACACACGACACACGACACACGACACACGACACACGACACACGACACACGACACACGACACACACCATATCCACATAGAGCTAATGCGTGGTCGTGACGCCGATTTGGGCGCGTGCAGGAGAAGGCCGATGCCAAGAACGATCTGGAGACCTACATCTACGACACCAAGGAGAAGCTGTGGGACGACGAGCTCGAGAAGGTGTCCACCGAGGAGCAGCGCGACGAGGCCCGCGAGGCCCTCGGCGCTGCCGCCGACTGGCTCGAGGACGAGGGCATTGATGTCAGCGTTCAGGAGTACAAGTACGTTTTCCCCCGCCTTACCCTGTGGTGGGTGGTACCTGGTCACACTGCAGAACAGTCATTGACGTGTGTGGTGTGTGTGCGGTGTTGCATGTGTGCGTGTCGTCTGGGCCTGCAGGGACAAGAAAGCCGAGCTCGTCAAGTTGGCCAGCGCCATCTTTGAGCGCAAGGAGGAGCTCACCAAGCGTCCCGTGCAGGTGGCCATGCTTTCCTACATGCTCAACCACAGCAGATCGTCTCTGGTCGGCATCACCGAGGTACACGATCCCTACGCACACGCACGCGCGCGCACACACACCACACACACACACCACACACACACACACACACACACACGCGTCTAACCATCGTCGTCGTCTCTCGATTTAAAACTCTATCAGCGCCTGAAGGTGGAGGTCGAGGAGAGGGACGAGGTGCTGGACCTCATCGAGGAGACCGAGGACTGGCTCAAGTCCAAGGTCAAGGAGCAGGAGGGCAAGGAGCCGCACGAGGAGCCCGCCTTCAAGAGCGAGCAGGTGCAGGCCAAGGCCAGCGCCATCGAGAAGACGGTTCGCAAGCTCTTGAAGCGGAAGCCCAGGCCCACCCCCACACCCGCCACCTCTTCCTGGCCCTACACCGCCGCCGACGACGACAACAAGGCCGCGGAGGAGACCACGGAAACGGGAGAAGAGGCCAGCTACCGCGGTCAGGAGGAGGTCGTGCCGCCGAAGGAGGAAGCGGGCGAGGACATCCTCTAGGCAAGTAGCGGGAGAGAGAGGAGCGATTGAGAGGGGCTGGCGACGAGCATTGCTTCTCGCTATACTCACGAGAGTTGTTGTATCGCCACACGTACAAGAAGAAGAGTCTTATTTATTATTATTATGATTCTTCTTGAACGTACGCGAAGCACGTGTCAGGTTGCTTCAGCCTCCTCAAAGACGGAAAAAACCGGGCTAACCACCCACCGATCGTGCGTGCTCTGTGCGCATCCAGTGATCGTACCCGGGAGAGCGAGAGCAGCACGCGGGCAAAAAAGGAGGAAGATGCATGAGATGATGGTGGTGCAGAGAGCCAAAAGGATACGGCACGGTGGATTCCCGGGTGGTCGCCCACCCCAGTACTAACACCGCCTGGCGCAGCTTAACTTCGCTGTTCGGATGGGAAGCGGTGCTTTCTGCGCAGTATGGCCGTATCCAATAACCACAGCCCTGCCCGCCCCTCCCAACTCCGACCTCAGTCCTGCGCTGCTACAATGCCTTTGGGGACGCCCCTGCGCCTTTGGTTCAGGTTTTCGCTCCCCAGCTTTCCACAGCTGGCGCCGTGCGAAGTCTTGATGCAAAGTCCAAGTCTACGCATGGAGCAATTTGTGATTAATCTCAGCCCATTTTGACCAACACCAAGCAAGCTTTGTGTAATAATTATTTGCAAAATTAAGGGAAGAAGGTGCTTGACGGCGGAGCCTTTACTCCTGCGCGGCCTTGACGATGTAGGCGGTGACGTCGGCACGGTCCTGGGGGGCCTTGAAACCAGCGAAGGCCATCTTGGTCTTGGGGATGTACTTCTTGGGGTTCTCAAGGTAGTTGTAGAGAGTGTCGTTGGTCCACGTGACGCCGGCGTTCTTGTTGGCGGGCGAGTACTTGTAGTCGGGAACCATGCCAGACTTGCGGCCGATCAGACCGTACAGGTTGGGACCCTGCTTGTTTCCGCCACCCTGTTGATTGACAATTAAATGAAAGATCACATCAGTCCCGGAAGAATTGAATGATTCCAAAAATTGAAAGGAGCTCAAGCGTCGGAAGATGAAGGGGAGTTGAAGGCTTGAAGATGGAAGTGCGAGGTAACGTGAGAAGTTGGCTGATTTCCGGTACCTTGTTGATGGTGTGGCACTGGGTGCAGCGAGCCTTGAAGAGCTTCTCACCGTTGTCCACATCACCGGGGATGCAGGCCTTGTCCATACCAGCGGGGGGAGTGAACGACATCTTCGATTCGGATTGATTTGCGGTAGATGCGGAGGAATCAACACAACAAGAGAGACGCGAGCGCACGAGACCAAGTGCAGCTCCGGCGGAGTGCCGGCGCCAGACAATTTCCAGGAACGGAGTAATTCAGACGTAGCGTTCACTGGCGTTTCGCAACTCCTACGTTTCCCATTCGCCCTTCCAAGAATCGTCCGATGGGACATTGGGCTCCCTGTCTCTGTGTGTTGGCCCCAACAAGAAGACGGGGACATCATTTGTTTGTTGTTTATGTGACGACACAAAGATGAGAGATCTACGTGTGTCCCCCTGCTCTTCCTCCCACAAAACACGGACGGGCGCACTGCCCTTTCAACCACCACCACACCACCCATCGACCCAGGCAAGGGGAATGGGGCCATCGGTCAGCTGCAGCAACCGCCGGAGCTGGGTCGGGTGGATGGTCCGGCCTCGTTCAGAGCAAAGGCCTCGGCGTCGCCCTTGGCACCCTGCTCGTCCTTCTTGATGACGTGGTTCACGATGCACGCCACGCTCTCGTCGATGTTGGTGTTCTCCTTGGCCGACGTGGCGAACCACGAGATGAACCCGTTCTGACACCATCCAACCAATCGAGGAGGTGTGAGCCGTGCTACACGAAAACCATCTCTGCTGATGGGCGCCCGGGCGGCGTTCGTACCTCCTTGCAGTACTGATCCATCACCTCCTCGTTGAGCGCCGTCTTGACCATGTCGCACTTGTTGGCCAAGAGGATCACCGGCAGCGGGTCGCCGTTGGGCAGTCGCACCTTCTGTGTTGGAGGGAAACGCGCCACACGCGCCTGGTGGTCAGCCTTCTATGCACCAGGGAAGCAGCGATAGACGGCAATGCAGCGACAACAAACGGAGGCAAGTGCAGTTGGTGGATGGGAGTGGCGGGACGCACGTTGTCGATGTCGTCCTTCCATCGCTTCACGGACTCGAAGGAGGAGTTGCGGGTGAGATCGAACACGACAAAGGCAGCAACGGCCTCCTTGTAGTAGACGCGCGTGAGGTTGCCATACCGCTCCTGTCCCGCAATGTCCCTACGGGTGCCAAGAGAGGGGGGAGAGCAAAGTGAGCGATAATGCGACGAGGCTGGCGGAGAGCTCAGAGGGAGGCGGTTCGTACCACAGCTGCAGGTACACAAGCGTGTTGGAGCCCCACTTGATGGTCTTCAGAGCGAAATCTGCAGGGGGGTTTACCAGACTGGGTTTAGAGAAGGATGTGGTGGCGCGTAGGGTGAAGAGGAGTAGCGCGTACCGACTCCAATCGTGGTCTTGTAGTTATCGGAGAAGGCACCTTCGACGCAACGCCTGATGATGGCAGTCTTGCCCGTTGCCATGTCTGCAGGGTACAACCAAGAGGAGATTAAAAGGTGATTATGATGAAACATGATAGATGAAGGCGGAGTCGTACCTCCTACGACCAGCACCTTGAAGAGGAACTCCTTGGCGGCAGCCTGTGCCTGCTGTGCTTCCCTACCGGCCATCTTGTTCTTGCTTCTGGCAATCTAAGAGTCCGTGCCGTAACGATGCAGGAACGATTCTCGATTTCTCCCTTGAAAACCGAATGGGCTGTTGGATCCAATGCTTCCGATGCAATCAATCTAGATTGCTGGTGGAGGCAACTACAAACTCCTGGCGCAAGTGTCCACAAGTGATCGAGATCTCTCGAGCTGTTGGGTTGTGTGCGGGTTGTGTTTGTTGGGTGGTTTGCACTTTTTGTTCGAACTCCGGCGCGCCCAAGACACCAGCACGCGTCCCGTGATCCGGTACGTAGCGCAGACAACCGCAGCCGGTTGGGATGGCAGTGGTGCGATGAGAAGTCGCGACTTCTTGGCCGCGTGGCCCTTCTGCTTACCTTTTCTTTCTTTCTTCTTATTTTTATCTTTGGTCGTCGCCACACCAGTGCTGCGCTAGCACACTCCGCGCCAGCTGCGCGTCAAGCAAGCAGCACAGCTCAGCGGCAGAACGTGAACAAACGAAGAACCTGAACTAGCTGAAGAAAGGGGAGTACTGGGTGGTATCGGCCAGCGGTGATGAGGCCTGCCACACGCCCGGTCGCTCCTCCACGACCTTTGTCAGCGAACTGTAGGGCACCGCGGCCGGTCGCAGCTGGACCTGCGTCGATGACGTGCCGGTGCAGTTCAGAGCCAAACGCGAAGAAACATCAACGCAAGAAAGAAGAGCACCACGGCGAGGGCCTGCAGGATGGCCGACACGGGCGAGCCGTGGGTCACGATGACTGTGTTGGTGTCCCCAGGACTCCGGCATGCCAACAGGCTCTTGATGGCCAGGCCGCACCTCGCCCGCATGTCGCTCTCGCTTTCCGGGTACGTCGGCGTCACTGCGAGCACGCACGCCGACGTAGTGCGTTGTGTGCGATCAGTCATCTGCTCGTGCACCGCACACCCGCACGCACGATCGGTGGGCGGTCCGAACAGAGTGTACCAAGAGAAGCGTGGTCGACGTCAATGGGCGCTTCGGGGAGGAGCTCGAGGAGCTCGGGCGCGGTGAGATACTTGGGCGGGCTGCTGAAGTTGGCGGTCGACATGTACTCAGCGAAGCCCGTGTCTACCTTGATCGTCAGTCGCGGCTCGTCGGTGGTGGTGTGGTCTCGGGCGCTCCTGATGCCCTGGATGATATGGTGTGCCGTCTGCACGCAGCGAAGGAATGGCGAACTGTACACTTGCGTGATGCCTTCCCGCGCCAGCTGCGCGCCTGCGCACTCACGTTCTTGTCATGACGGCTCACAGAAGAAGAAGAAGAAGAGAGAAGGCAAGAGCGCAACAAACACGGCAAGTTCGCCGCACCTGTCTTGAAGGCCTGTGTGGCGCCGGTCTCGGTGAGTGGCGGGTCAAAAGCGCGAGGGGCAGTCAGAGCCCAGTCGGCTGCCACGTCGTCCACCCGCTCCCCATGGCGGACAAGCCAGACCGTCCTGCTCAATACACACGTTCAGTCGCAGTCCCCAACTCCCTTCGCTTTCACCCCCCCCCCAACATCATCCAAGCCAACCATACCTTCGTATGCTTACTGCCCCTCCTTCCGTGGCCATGTGCGCTTGCGGCTGGCTGACTTTTAAGAAGGCGTTTTTCTTTTGCTTGTGTTCCAAAATGCAGTAAAATAATAAGCTGCTGGGTGGCCATAGGGGGCCTTGGTGGTAAAGGCAAAGAAGGGGTAGAGAGTGTGAGTGATGCCTTTGGCTGTGCCCATCATGGCAGGGCTGCAAGCATCTACATTGGTCACAGTGGGACCCCAGTGGCCTCACTCAGTTGATTAGGGCTACTGGCAGGGGCTGCACTCACAACATGGCCACTGGCAGTTGCACTTGGGCTGGTCCAAGGTAGACTGCTTCCTGGGATCAATCATCAAGCTTGCCATGCAAGGTGGGCAGGACTTGAATACAAGCCTGCCAAACATGTGAAAGTGGTTGAGGAGGGGTGCCTGTCCACAATTCCAGCAGAGACTTGTCATCATTCAACCAGTGCAGGGTGACATTGTAGAGGAGTTTGGCTATACAGAGAGCCTCCCCCCACCACTCTCAACTGATGCAAGCCATATTGAGGAGACAGCAAACACTGTTCATGCTGGTTGGTAAGGGAATATGTATCCTGTTTGCTCCATCTTCAACAAACCCACCACTTCACTACAGCACACAGCCCTTTCCTTCTCCACCTCCCCTCCTTCACACAAGAGGGCACATTGCCTGCCAGCTTCTCCAGTGAATTCAGCACATTTTTATTCAACTTTAACTTGTTGATTTTTCAGCACTATCAGTTCAACTTTTACCTGTAGTTGTAGTGGTCTGTGAGGTTGAAGTTGAGTCAACTGACATGAGCAGTCATTTGGACACTGTGTGTGCAACCATTGCCAGGATTGGAGAGGGCACACCTGCAATGTACTTAGGCAGCCTGAACACACCACCCAGTTTGGTGTGTGGCTGTGATGGTGATGTCCTAGAAACGGAATGGGCTGTGATGTAAAGAGGACAAAATGCAATTCTGATTCTGGTGATGGACAACAACCATAAGTGGGTTTGGGGATTGCTTAGTTGGCGGCAAGGGTGCTGTTGCTGTTGCCCTTGTAGTAGATGACGCCTGAGTAGGTAGGTGGGTGGGTGGAAGAGAAAGGCGACCGACCACCAATTCAGACAACATAACGGAGACACACACGCAGGGGTGAAAGTTGTTCGCACCGATGACGCCAACGACGACCTCTTTGGTCTCCCCGTTGGCATCGATGTCGAACACGCCGTTCGCGGTGATGAGGCCCACGGCTGTGCATGGTGGTGTGTCGGGTGGGTGCGGGTGCATCATCAGTCAGTGCTCCAGCAGCAACCACCAGCCACCACATTATGCACCCTGGTCGAAAGCGCCGAAGCCCTTGGTCACCTTCCACGAGGTGGCGAAACCGTAGGAGTAGGGGTACGGGTTGATCCGGCCAATGCTCGAGTCTTCAAACTCGAGCCTATGGTTCTTCTGCGTCGTGTGCACACCGAACGACTGTCGCACGCACACAAACGCAAATGAGACGCCACGGCAAATTGGAACAAAGAACGAAAGCGAAAAAAGGCTTATTGGGGGGCGTACAAGAGAGCCCTTGGAGGTCCAGGAGTAGGAGGTGAAGTTGTAGTTGGTGAAAAAGTCCAGGTTCGAGACACTGCCGATCAGCTTCCTCACGCTCGTTGCCACATTACCGTCGCCCCTTGCATCGCAGATTGAAAGAATAGAAGAGTGTTAGTGCAGATGATTGGTGTGAAATATTGAACGGTTCAAAGGGGGAGTACTTGATGTGAGTGAGGACCTCCTGGGACTGGGCCTTGAGGTGGCAGTTGGCGCTGCTCTTGTCGGCCGAGAAGTCGCACTTGCCGCGGTACTCGAGCGCAAAGTCGAGGTTCTTGACCGCCGTCACCGAGACCGCGAGCGCAGCCAGCACCACAACCAACAAAACAAACACCTTGCTGTTCATCATCTTGGACCTACTTACTTCTTGTGAGTGTTTCTTGTGAGTGGGCTTCCTTGCCAAAATACCCCTCCTACCCCAACATAATATGTTGTTTATCCTACTCCGTGATTGGTGCATCGCGCGCTGATTTGTCCGTGGGGCCATGACGATCTCGGTGAAGCGGTCGGGGTCATGCTTGAGGCCCTGTCCGTGGGCCGTGGCGATCTCGGTGAAGGCGCGGTCGTCTGCGTGTTGGCGATGGCCCACGACGCTCCGGCCACGGAACGGGGGTGCTTCCTGCGGTCCGATACCCGGAAAATGGGGAAAGCGGGGGGGTGTGTGGGTCTTTTCTTTTTTGTTTTGTTTCGAATCGGACGGCGTTGCCGGCGGCACCCGGAGGTGGCTGGGGAGCGTGCGGCGGGTCCTGGCGGAGCACGTGGGGGCCGCCGGCTATCGCGTCGTTGAGGGCGGCGTTGGCGATGGCCATGACGCCGTGTGCGGTGTGTTGGGGTGCTGGGCAGTGTGCGACGATCGGGGGCTGCTCGCCGTGGGCATGAACGGGCGGTACTACGACGACGACGCCGGCGGCGGTCGTTTCATTCCGTGGTGCGATGCGCTACTGGTGCTGCCGGCGTGCTATACGGCGCACTGGCGAGACTCCGACTACGACGTCGACGACGAGGCGCGTTTCGCCACGGGCGTTTGCTGCGCGGCGGCAGTGCTCGAGCGGTGGAAGGTGTGTCCTTCGGTATGTTGGTGCGGCGGTGCGAGCCGGGCCTGGTGCGCATCGTGCCGCGGGATCGCGACCCTCCTGACGGACTTCAGGCACGGCGCTCTGACGGCCTGCGCGGTGTTGGCGTTGGGTCCGGCGGGGCTGGACGCTGGTGTACACGCCCCGGCTGTTGGCTTTTGCGCCTGTGACTGGGAGCAGCGTCAATGGTGATGTCAGCAATTCGGTCGGACAGCTACTGGTTCAGCGGGTGTGCACCACCCTCCAAGGTGGAAGAGGGCGTCCAGCTCAATGCCTGTTCTGATGCCCACCATGATGCCTGATTTGCAGAAGGTGTGGGCCATGAAGATGGTAGTGTCCAGGCCTGCTGCCTTGGCAATGCCCTTGAGGATGGTTGCACAATGGTCTGAGGAGAGGTTGTTGTAGGGCAGTGTGAGCTTGAAGACACTCCTTTGAAGCAGCAGCTTACCCATAACCAAGAGTCTCAAGCACTAGATGGGGAACACCCTTCCCACTTTCCTGCTGTGCTTGCTATAGTCTACTCTGCCTCAACCTGTTTGATAGCCATACACTCCCCCCCCCCATTTTGCCTTTAGTGGGACTTCGGCTGATTTTTGGCTTTTTTGTGTATATCCCACTTGAGTGGTATCATATGATGTGGCCACATGTGCCCAGCCAGTCCACTAGTGCTGGTGCCGAGGGTAGGGCCTCTGCAGCTTGAGACCGTCTTTGTTGAGGTCCACGCCCCAGCCGTGCTTGTTCTCGTCCAGTTGCAGGTAGCCCTGGTCGTCCGGCAGCGGCTCGTTGGTGAACAGATTGGCGAACACTGGTACCACCTGTTATGGTGACAACATGTTTCAGATTGTTGTGTTGCGTGTCGTGTGTCGTGTCGTGTTTCGCGTGTTTTACCTTATCGGCCTTGGGGCTCATGATCAGGATCTCGGCCATGGGCGAGTTGGCATAGGCGAACTGCAGGTGGTAGGAGAACACCGACGAGCCGTGCGGAATCACTTCACATGGTCATCGCGTTCACGCCCCACGGTGAGCGGCGGCCCACATATGATAATGATGGGTGGAGTGGGGGCGGAGATACTCACCAGGGATGTCATAGGCCGCAGCCATGGAGTAGATCTTCTTGGCCTCAGTGAGGCCTCCCACCCAGGTGATGTCGGGCTGAAGAATGTCCACGCACCGCCTGTGGTCACACCCACCAGCATTACACCACGACGCCAAACACAGCCGCACACAACGTGACAAATCTTCCGCACCTTTCGATGAGCTCGCGGAAGCCGTAGCGCGTGTACTCGTGCTCGCCCGTAGTCAACAAACAAGAGGCCTCGCCTGTACACCATCAAGCAAGACACCAATGAGTGGAGCGGCGCGAGTGCTGGTGGATGGGGAGGCAGCACCTTTGCCCTTCTTGACCTGCGAGTAGCCGTCGTAGTCATCGGGGGGAAGGAACTCCTCGATCCACTTGATCTTGTAGGGCTCCACCGCCTTGGCCAGAGCGATCGCGTACGGCACCTGATTGTTTATCGTAACAAAAATCAGTCCATAAATTGGTGATAAAACACAATAATGCCTGCCAAAGGGAAGAGAAGAGGAACCGTGAGGGACATGTAGCAGTCGATCATCAGCGGGAAGTCGGGGCCGACGCTCTCCCTGTGCTTTCTGACACACTCGATGTTCTTCCTCATGCCTTCTTCGCCTTCGGCGTGAGAGTAGGGCAGAGGGAACTTGGCCGCGTGGAAGCCCATCTGCGCTCGAGCGGTCGCAGAGGTCAGCAGGGTACTTGACAAGCATGCGTACGTGTCTCCGTGCGGGTCGGAGTGTGCGTGTGCGTGTGCGTGCGGGGTGCGTATTAGTGTGTCATATGTGAGCACCTTCTTAGCGAGGTCGGGCCGGCTGGTGGTGGCGTAGACGGGCAGCTTCTCCTTAGTCTTGCCGCCGAGGAGGTTGTAGATGGGCTCCTGCCAGAGCTTGCCGAGGCAGTCCCACAGGGCGAGATCGACGGCCGACAAGGCCTGGATGGCCAGGCCCTTGCGGCCGTAGGGCATCGACCCGCGCCACATCTGGTCCCACATCAGCTCCACGTTGCGCACGTCCTGGCCCTCGACGAACCGCGAGAAGTGGTTCTCGATCAAGTAGCACGCCGGCTCGCCGCCGATGCTGGTGCCCACGCCCACCGTGCCGTCCTCCAGCTCGGCCTCTACGATGACCGTGCCCAGCACGTCGATTCCCCAGCTGCGTGTACGTAGTGGTCATGAACGCGTTTCTCAGTAGAAGAAGATAAAGGAGAAGGGAAAGCAGTAAAAGATAAAGAAGAAGATGAAGGAGAAGAAGCAGTAGAAGCAAAACAATGGCTTACCTGACGCGGGACTTGCGGTAGGGCGGGTAGACGGACATGGGGTTGGAGATGGGCGTGTCGATGATCCAGTGGCCCGACTGCTGGCGGTGGTAGTCGGCTCCGGCCTCGTCCTTCTGAACGACGTAGGCCCTCAGCTCCTTCACTCGCGGCTTCTCTGTGGTGTTGAGTTAAAAAAACAAAGTAGAGAGAAGATGTGAGGCTAGGCCATCCATACCACGACACGCTCTACACGACATGACAGGGGATATGCTGGTGGTACGTGTACCGCGTTGAACTGGGGTAGTGGAGGAGAAGTGGCGAGACGACAGCAGGGGCATGGTCCCTGCTCGCGGCCCAGTGACCTGCTTGTTCTTGTGAGGTTACCACAAAAGGAGAAGAGTTAGACACACCATCATGTCCACCCTCTCTGTCCCAGCTCCACCCCTTCGAACTCCTCCTTCGCCAAGAGACACTTTAAGTGAAGCAGGAAGCCATCTTTGTTGGCTGAAAGTGGGTGGGAGCGCACCAAGCCAACAAGAGTGCGGCTGACGCTGGTGGCCCGCTTCATGTCTAGCTACTGCTTCTTCTTCGTTGTTTCTGTTCGAACTGTGGTACTCAGTGCCAGCCCACCGCGGTGTTCAAGAAAATGATTTTCTCCTAGTTTTCCGTTGGGACTTTCTGGGGTACTCACTCTTTGTCAGCACGACCGGCTGCGGGAGATACAATAAATCAACAGTGGCGCCTGCTTTATTTTCAATCGTTTGCTCTTCTCGGCCCGGGTCCCACGAGCATTGGCACAGCGCTCCATCGATAATCTGCAAAAAATCGAGTAGAGCGGCAATCTTTTTTTTCTCAATTTAGATTGACGTGAGAAATGTCGTTCCTTCGCTTCCTCGAGCTGCGCAATCGATGGATCACGAATCCTGCACCTGGTGGCCCCTCTCTTCGACTGTCATCGTCGGACCAGATGGGTGCGCGACTCTCCTCGACCGACGCCATCCTCGGCCACAATGGAGGAAATGGCGATGAGGGCGAAGAGCTCTTCACCTTCGAACCATCCTCGTTCACGTCCGTTGGCTCGCCGTCATCGAGCCTGCTGGCCTCATCGCCGCACGAGCACCGGCAGATGCAGGAGTTCTTCACCCTGCTCGAGCAGAGAAAGAAGATGCAGCTCAAGGAGCTGGCCAACCGCAAGGGCAGCCAAGAGCACGATGACGAGAGGAGAAAGAGGAAGCCGGGCTGGGGCCAGGCCATCGGAGTCATCACCAGCGGAGGCGACGCTCAGGGCATGAATGCCGCCGTGCGTGCCGTCGTGCGCGTTGCTCTCCAGGTGAGTCATTCTTGTGTGTCGTGTGTCGTGTGTCGTGTGTCGTGTGTGTGTCGTGCGTCGTGCATGAGGCTAACCAAGCGGTGGCTTGAATTGGCTCAAGAGAGGCGCCAGGGTGTACGCCATCTGCGAGGGCTACAAGGGCCTGCTCGACAACGAGATCGTCGAAATGACCTGGGGCGACGTCTCCGGCATCCTCGCGCAGGTACGCGAGCTCTTCTCTTCATCGGCGACGATCGCTTCGTCGCCACCTCTTGCCTCCAACGAGCTGGCCACTCACCACCCTGCGCCTGATGGTCGTCTCGCACCTTGCCTGCGTATTGATCGATGTAGGGAGGCACGGTGATTGGTACCGCGCGATGCGATGAGTTCAAGGAGTGGGAGGGAATGAAGAAAGCCGTCCGCACGCTCATCCACCACCGAATCTCCAAGCTGGTGGTCGTCGGCGGTGACGGCTCGCTCACGGTGCGTCAAGCTTCACCCGCACCACCTTCTCTCTTTTCTTCTTCTTGTATTGAAGCTCAGCGTCTTCTTGCTGTGATTGCTACCCAGGGTGCCAATCTCCTTCGAGAGCGCTACCCGAAGCTGGTGGACGAGCTCGTGGCGGAGGGCAAGGTCAAGCGAGAGCACGCCGCCGAGCAGCTGCTCATCATCGGCCTCGTGGGCTCGATTGGTACATTCCACAGCTTTGCCATGATAACCTTTTTTCTAAATTCACTCACGCTCCTTTCTTAGATAACGACATGTGGGGCACGGACATGACCATCGGCGCCGACTCGGCACTGCATCGCATTCTCGAGGCCATCGACGCCATCTCGTCCACGGCGGCCTCGCACAAGCGGTCCTTCGTCGTCGAAGTCATGGGCCGGCACTGCGGCGTAAGTCCTTCGCCCACCACCTGTGGCTGCCCCAATTCAGCCGATCAATCCGGGCCTAATCTTCTTTCTTTGCATGGTCAGTGGCTGGCGCTGATGGCTGGTCTCGCGACCGGTGCCGACTACGTGCTGGTCCCCGAGTCGCCGGTGGCCAACTGGCAGCGTCACATGTGCGAACGAATCGATCAGGGCCGCAGCTCCGGCAGGAGGTGCGCCATAGCCCCGGAGAGAGCATGCCGTTGACCGAAGTGAACTCATCTTCTCTCGCCACACGTGTGTGTGTGTGGTGCGTTGGCAGGTCGAGTATTGTGATTGTAGCCGAGGGCGCCATTGACATCGATGGCAAACCCATCAAATCTGATGACGTCAAGGTAGAACACTTGACTCCACGCGTTTCAATGCAATTTTACTCACACCTTTCCCATGCCAGCGCGTTCTCGACACTGAGCTGGGCCACGATACGCGCGTCACCATTCTGGGCCACGTACAGCGCGGCGGCACGCCCTCGGCCTACGATCGGATCATGGTACGTAGCGCGCGCACACCTGAACACTCACCGCACCGATCGATGCATGTGTGCTAACCTACATACATGAACCGCATATGCTGTTTCGCAGTCCACGCGACTCGGTGCGGAAGCAGTTGACGCACTGTTCTCCGAAGACGCGGCCAACATGGAGTCGCGTCTCATCTGCACATCCGGCAGCTCCATCGTCCTCAAACCGCTCATGGAGTGCGTCGCTCGGGTACCTCAATACGCTACACACCACGCACGGCACACAGCGCAGCACACAACACGCATGGCACACGCACACAGCACATGCTCATCATGTAAAGCGATCACCAGACCAAGGAGGTGGCGCGCTTGATTGAGGCCAAGAAGTACAATGAGGCTCGTGCGATGCGAGGTCAGCAGTTCATCGACTCCCAGGCGGCCTTCGTCACCTTCGCCCGACCCAAGCCCCACTTCCACGCTCCCTCGGTATATTTTTGTTTTTGTTTTTGTTTTGCTTTATTTTGTTTTCTTCTGACCCATGCACCGCTCGCTCAGAACACGGCCCCGCACATCGCTGTAATGCACGCGGGGGCGTCGTCGCCCGGCATGAACACGGCCGTCCGCGCCGCAGTCCGTCTGGCCCTCGATAAAGGTGACGGTCACACGATACGACCGACACGACACGTCCAACGACACGACACAGTGCTCACTCGCAATGACCGCTCGCAGGTTTTCGCGTGTTCGCGGTCTACGAGGGTTTCGAAGGTCTGGTGCGCGGCGACGTGCGCGAGGTCGATTGGATGACGGTCAACGGCTGGTCCTCCATCGGAGGCTCCCTCCTCGGCACCTCGCGAGCGGCCCCCAAGGTACCCCCGCCAATAATAATAATAATAATAATAGTAATAATAATAAATGCCTTGACAGCTAAGCGTTGCAGCTGACCGTTTGGTCCGGCTGTCGTCGTCACAGGGCAAACCCGAGCTCCAGAAGATCGCCGATGTTCTTGAAAGGTTCAACATCGACAATCTTCTCATTATCGGCGGCTGGGAGGCTCTCGAGGTATCTCTCCGTCTTTCCTGCCGTGCGTGTCGTGTCGTGTCGCCGTGCGAGTGTCGTGTCGTGCGTGTGTCGTGTCGTAATTGCGAATTTTGTGTGCGGTGATAAAAACAGGGCGTGATGCTGCTGGACAAGCGAAAGGAGAAGTTCCCCAAGCTGGGACTCACGAAGATCCTGATCCCGGCGACCATCAGCAACAACCTGCCCGCCACCGAATTCTCCATCGGCTCGGACACCTCCCTCAACAACATCCTCGAAGCCATGGACAAGATCAAGCAGGCACCATGTCCACCTCCGTCTTCCCGCATCACCGTAATTGTACGAATTGTTTTCTGACCCGCACACGCACAACCGCACACACATCATCGCACACGCCCGACCGCACGCACACGCAGAGCGCTATCACTGTAGGTCGAGTGTTTGTGGTGGAGGTGATGGGCGCCTACTGCGGTTACCTGGCCCTCAACGCCGCGCTAGGCGCCGGTGCAGAGACCGTGTACCTGCCCGAGGAGGGCATCACCCTCGACCTCCTCAAGGACAACAGCCTCGAGCTTGTCCAACGGTTCCACCGCCTCTGCGCTCTGCCTCCTCCGCCTCTCTGCCCTAACATTGCATCCTCCCGCCCACACGACACACACGACACACACGACACACACGACACACGCAGGTTTGCGCACAAGAACAAGTCCATGGCGGGCGGCATGGGCCTGATCGTCATCAACGAGAAGGCCAACAAGGTGTACAACACCAACTTCGTGGCCTCGCTCTTTGAGGAAGAAGGTTGGTCATTCTTGCTCCCCCCCCCTCCCACCACTGGCGCCTTTCATTCCTGATCGTCGGCTCGTGTTGGTGATGACTACCAGGCAAGGGCAGTTTCTCGGTGCGCAAGGCCGTGCTTGGCCATCTGCAGCAGGGCGGCGATCCCTCTCCCATCGATCGTATTCGGTATCACACGCCGCCCGCACATGCACGCACGCCGCACACAGTGCGCACGGCTCAGGATAGTAGTGATATCACTCATCATTCATCGCTTCGCTTGGTGTGTATGTATGGTCTCCAGAGCCGTACGCATGGCGGCGGAGGCCATCGAGTTCATCGGCCGCGCTGCCGCGACCGCCACGCCTTCCGCTCCGCATCCCAGGTAACTTCAATCTCGTGACCGCGCACGCACACAACCTGCTCACCCGACACACACGACACACACGACACGCGGGCAGTGCGGTGGTCGGAGAAATCGCGGGCGAGACGCTGACGACGCCGCTGGAGCGGGTCCTGCCCATGATCGACGTCGCGCGTCGTCGGCCGATCGACCAGTGGTGGCTCTCCCTCCGCGAGTGCTTCCACCTCCTCGCCGTGCCCGAGGCCTTCAACTCCTCCACCGCCGCCACCCACTCCGCCGCCACCCATTCCTCATCCTCATCGTCTTCTTGATCTTCATCGATTCAATAACCACACTTCTCAATCTGGCTCATGTTGTGTGTGAGGTCGCCTGACTGTGTGTGTGTCGTGTGTGTCGTGAGTCGTGTGTGTGCGGTGAGATTCGTGCACGCGGCTATGGTGACAGTTCTGCGGAAATTTGAGCCCCTCGGAGATTAGGTTACGTGTGCCACTGGATTCTTGGTTGGGTCCACCCTTCTTTTCCCCCCTTTCTCGCCCGCTTTGATTTGGCCCCCATCACACTCGTCTTCTTCTCTCTTTGCGAACCGCCGACGTCTGGGCGCAAGCACCAACGGACATGATCGTTCTCTTCTGGGTGGCCTCACCCCTTTCCTCTATTACATCTTTTACATCTCTTGCAAAGTGTTTAGTACCGAACTTGTGTGCTGGTTACCATCATGGCCAGAGTCAAGTCCCTCATGCTGGGCTATCAGCTCATAGCTGTCGTTGGTACTTGCTAACCCCCCCCCTACTACAGACCATGTTGTTTTATAACACGCTACATTGCTCTCACCCCAACACCAGGAATTCTACTGGTGGGCCTGTTCGTGTCGGAGCTGATGGAGGACAGCAAGCGGCATTCAGAGGCCTGGCTCATCACACGACTCGTCCTCGCCATCTTCCTCTACGTCTACGTCATCCTCAGTACTCCACACTTTCTTCTTTCTTCTTTTTCTTCTACTACTACTACTTCATGTGTGACTGACTTGACGTTCTTCTCCTTCTTCTTCAGGCCTGGTGCCGCTGTGGGCCTTCTTTAGCGAGTGGCGCGGGCGCGGGTGCAAGGCCCTCATGCGGCGGCTGGTGTCGGTGCCCACCGTGCTGCTCCTCCTCTCGCTGGTGGCCCTCGTCGCCGTCGACTCGGTCTCGTTCCTGGTCAAGCAGGAGGACCGCGCCCTGTTCGGCGCCTTCCACGTCCTCAGCATCCTCTGCGCCCTCTTCGAGTTCGTCTTCCTGATGCTGCGCCAGCGGTACGCCACCTTAATCGCACTTTTAAGGTGGCGTTCAACTAACCATTAAGGTGGCGCATGATGTCAGGCAAGCGAAGGAGGACATGCGGATGAACTCGCGGGTGTGCGACCTGCTGGTGATGTCCATCGTTACCATCTACAGCGCCCTGGCCGTGGTCGACGTCGTGGGTACTTGCGGTGTTGCTGTCAGCATGACGTACAGCGCCACCTTAACGATGATTGTCATGCTCGCTCGTCGTTGGGGGGGTAGGTTCGGCGTACGGGTACGCGCACCGGCTGGAGAAGAAGCTGCCGGAGGTGGTCCCCATCTCGACCCTCGTGCTGCCACTCGTGGTCGAATTCCACCGTAACATCGCACGCCATTGGCTCAAATTTAACTTTGAACCCCGTACGACACGACACGACCAACGACACGACACGACCAACGACACGACACGACACATTCTTACGATGGTGTGTGGTGCGTGTGCGTGTGCGTGTGCGTGTGTTGCGGTTAGATGCGCACAAACGCGGCGAGCGGGTGTGCTTCCCGGGCGAGGGAGTGCTGCTGTTCGTGGTGGCGGCGCTGATGATGCTGGCCATCGCGTTCATACCCCACACCTGGCGCTACCTGTTCGCCCTCCTCTCCGTGCTGGTGGGCAGCCTGCTCTTCTACACCATCTTCGCCCTCTGGCACTGGACCCCGACCGATCCCGCCCTCTACCGCAACCTCGCCGCCCACTGGTCCGCTCATCACCCAACACCACGCCCGCCCCCCCAATTCTTCGTTAACCACTTCCCGTGTGTCGTGTGCGTGCATGCATGTGCGTGCTGTGTGCGTGTGCGTGTTGTGTTGTGTGCGGGTGCGTGTGCGATAGGGTGGTGATAACGTTCGATCGAGTGCTGCTGGGCATTACGTCGTCTGTGACGTCGGTCATCTTCATCGTGTTCGTCTGTACCCAGGTACTGGACCCCGGTGGGTTGCCCATGGTTTGCGAAAGGGCCGGCCTAACGAAATTTGGGTGGGCGCACGCAGGCCGAGAATGCGATGGTGGTGATCACGCTGCTCCTGCTGCTGTTCACGCACATCATGCAGACCTTCTTCATGATCTGGCTCATGGACATCAAGAAGATCAGCACCAACTGGACCCACCTCGGTACCACCACGCAAGCCTTCTTCTTTCAGTGTTCTTTCTTTTCTTTTCTTACACTTCCTGCCCAGGTCGATTCGGTCAGCTGGCGATGATCGTGTACAATTTGTTCGCGTTCCTGCTCTACGCCTTCTACGCCAACGACGCCTACGAGAGCTCCTCCGCCGCCGGTACCAGTCGCGCTCTGCCCCCCCCCCCAACACCTCATTTGCTCCGTTCTCAACGCACACGACACGACCAACGACACGACACACGACGCGACACGACACGACACGACGCACACGACACACGACGCGACACGACCAACAACACACGACCAACAGGTAAGGTGGTGATTGTGGTCTCGTTCTTCGTGGCGACGTCGTTCTGGGACCTGGCGATCCACTGGTCCGAGTTCTCGTTCGTGCGGCCGGGCGAGGCGCAGGAGGTGGTCGAGGAGGAGCACGGCTACGTGTACCACGCCGTCGGCGACGGGGACGACAACGACGACGAGCGCCAGCGCTACTACAAGGACGAAGGCGAAGAGGCGCAGCACCACCAGCCGGCCGTGCTGACGTCATACATCGAGGGCGGCGCGCAGGCCGACTGAAGAGAGGAATGTGGAATGCAAGCTGCCCCCCCCCACTCGGTGGTGAAGTTGTCTTCATGACAAAAAACATAGACATGATTATAATAACAACATCATAAAATAGGATCAAAAATAGGATTAAAAAATAAAAAGAACAATTACGTGGTTGTTTTTCATGGGCGAGGCTGGGGCACCATGCGGATGCCGTTCTTGGCCGACAGGGTGATGGCCGACCGGTAGTGCACCTCCTGATGATGCACGATGCACGATGGGCGACACCGATCAGCACAATTTTGCGTTACATTCAAGTATAGGGTCCCTATTGCGTACCTGGTCGGGCGCAAGCACCAGGTCGACCTTCTGCAGCAGCAGCACCGCCATGATCTTGATCTCCAGGTACGCCTGGCATTGAGTTACCATTAGCCATGACACGACACGCACGACACGCACGACACGCACGACACGCACGACACGCACGACACGCACGCACAACGCGATGATGGGTAAGGAGTACCATCTTCATGCCGAGGCAGGTGCGGGGCCCGAAGTTGAAGGGGATGAAGGGGAGGGCGTTGTTCTTGGGCACGGGCAGGCCGCCGTTGGCCGATTCGCCGTCGATCCACCGCTCGGGCCGGAAGTCGTTCGGCCGGTCCCAGTACTGCGGGAGCCGGTTGAGCACCCACGGCGAGTAGTTGATCTGCATCTGCTCTCCATCATCATCATCACCACCACCACCACCACCATCGCCACCGCAATTCAATTTTGGTTCAAAGTGTGCGTGCGTGTGCGGTACCGCGTGTGTGCGTGTGCGGCGTACCCCTGCGCGAATGAAGGCGCCGTTGGGGAGCACGTCGTCGTTGACTGCGGCCTTGGAGTTCACCGGCACGGGCGGGTACAGTCTGTGTGTGCGTGTGCGTGTGCGTGTGTCATTGAACGAATACGTCGAGGGGTTGTCCAGTCACTGATGATGATGATGAGAGTCGTACCTGAGGGTCTCGTTGACGACGGCGTGAAGGAAGGGCAGGTCGTCCACGTTGTCGAACGCCGGCTCCTTGCCGCCGAGCACCGTGTCGATCTCCGCCACCAGCTGCGCGCGGGCCGGGTTGGTACATAGAATTTTGTAATAAATATATCCTATAATGAAAAAAATGATTATTAATGACCGGGCTGCGTGAACAGCCGAACCTTGGCCTTGGCTTCGGGATGCAGCGATAGCAGGTAAAAGCACCACTGTCCTCGCAATGCAAATGGCCACTTTACCTGCTATCGCTGCACCACATCAGCATATCAGCATGTCAGCAAACATGAAAACAGAGTGTGTTCACACTCAAGTGTGAGTGTCGTGCGTCGGTGAGGCGGGTAAGTACGGTGAGTGCTTGAGCAGTGGTGTCTCGTCCGGCAATCCTGTGATTCCATTAATTAGGAATGCAATGATTTCAATTTGAGGGGGGGGCAAGGGTGAGTGCGGTACATGAAGTTGAGTACGATGTCGCGCAGATAGGTGTCCGTGAACGGTTCCCCGTTGTCGTCCGTCATCTCGATATAGCGCGACAGCAGATCTGGACACGCACCACCGCACACGCACCACCGCACACACACACACACACACACACACACACACACACACACACACCACACACACACACACACAACGTGGACACGCACCACCGCACACGCACCACCGCACAACACACACACACGCACACAGATGGCAATTTTCAAAATTGTGGTGAAACGAACTATGCAGCTTGTTATGATCTTTGGGTTTACCGGTTTTGTCGCCGATGTCGGGGTCCTGCCGCCTTTCCTTGATGATGCCGTAGGCGAACTCGTCCATCACCTTCACCGCCGCGCTCATGTCCCTCTCGCTTTTGATCCACGGCATTCGCTGCAGACTCACGGCAACACGGCAACACACGACACACGACACACACGACACAATGGCACACGCACAACCGCACACGACACGACACGACACGACACGACACGACACGCACACGACACGCACACGACACGACACGACACGACACGCACACGACACGCACACGACACGCACACGACACGCACACGACACGCACACGACACGCACACGACACGCACACGACACGCACACGACACGCACACGACACGCACACGACACGCGCATCATCGCACACGCAACAACTGGTTTAGTTCCGACCGGGACGGGGCGAGTGGAGGTGTTACAAGGTACCTTCCACCAGAACTTCTGGAACCGGGAGTCGCTGACGAGCTGGGCCGTGTTGAAGGCGACTGAGAACGACACCGGCCTCTCCAGCGATCCAATCTTCTTGCCAAACGCAATCTCTGCTCCCGCACGACACACACGACACCGCACACAACGCCAATCGCACGCACGCACGCACGAACGCGCAGAGGAGGTAATGAGTCGACTGCAGGCAAAACCTCAAAGAAGAGGGAAGGGGCCATGGTGGAAACCTGCGATGGAGTCGAGGGTGAAGCGGGCGAACAGTTCCTGCATGTCGACTTGCGGTTGCTTGTCACCGGTGGCGGCCACCTGGAGGATGTCGACCACCTGGCGGCCGTGCGAGAGGAAGATCTCGGCCATGTGCCTCAGCTCCCGCACCTTGAACAGGTGACTGGCCGTCTGCCGCTGCTGCTTCCAGTTCCGCCCGTTGGTGTTGAATATTCTTGGGTGCCATAACAAAGTGTCAGCAACACACACGACACACGACACACGACACACGACACACGACACGACACACGACACACGACACACGACACACGACACACGACACACGACACACGACACACGACACACGACACACGACACACGACACACGATCACAACACGCGTTGCACACAACACGGCACGCACCCATCGCCCAGGAAATCGTGCAGAATGTCGATGATGCGATCGCCTGGTGGTGTTTACAACAACAAAGAATTGTTAGCAGACCAGTGCCAGTGATCAAGCTGAGGGCTGGTCGTGTTGGTGGGTACTCTTGACGTAGTTCTCAAAGTTGGTGCGCAGGATGTGGTCGACGGACTCGGGATCGTTGACGGCCACGATCCAGGGCTTGCCCGGCCCCGTCACGGCCCACACCCCTCCGTACTACGTGCCATGTGCGTGTGTGTGTGTATGTGCGTGTGTGTGCGTGTGCGTGCGTGTGTGTGCGTGCGTGCGTGTGCGTGCGGTGCGTGCGTGTATGTGCGTGTGTGTGCGTGTGTGTGCGTGCGTGTGCGTGTGTGCGTGTGTCATGTTGTGTGTGCGGCACCACGTGGGAGGCTTTGTGGTAGTTGGTACCTTGTCAGTATTGTCGACGAACCAGTCGTAAATGCGGCCCTGGTTGGCAAGGCCGTCGAGCCAGTTGTACACGAACGGGACGCCCCACGGACCCGGCAGGCCAAGCCTCTGCCAATTTAAAATTAAAAAAAGGGAACTATAATTTAAATAAACATAAAAGGGATTGAAACCAAACCTTGCGCTCGACGAACCAGCGAACCACCCCAATGACCACCACGCAAGCAGCTGCCAGCATCAACATCGCGAGCAGCTCAATCCAAGTGGCTTGCGACCGCTTTTTGAAACGGTCCGGTTGGCTCGGCGACTATTTACGTGGTATATAAACGATTGGGTATGAATGCTCCGAGTAATGTACTGCATTCTTCACATTCTCAGATAAAAAATTGGTGGAAAGAAATTGGAATGAAATTCTTTCGAGACCACCAATGAAAGAAATGGGAAATTCAATCTCCCCGCGTTGGGCGAAGTCGTGAGATATTTCGCAGTCGGCGAAGCACAGGATTGGAGGCCGAAATCTTCGCGTAAACCAAAACAGGCCGCAACCACCACGAGGCTGTTATTAGCCCGAGTACACTCCTTGGTTGGTTCAAGTACTCTTCTTTTTTCTCCTTCTCCTTCACTCCCATCTACACTCATCTTCTCCACCTTCTTCTCACTTCCACCCATCCAATCTTTGAAGTTTAGTTTTCTCGAGTTGATGTTGACACTGCTCGTTGAGCTGGTGAACGTGCAGCTGCCCTCTCTCCTCCTGGGCGTCTCCGTCGTCTTCTCCTCCTACCTCTGCTTCGCCCACTTCGCCTCCCTCTCGCTCCTTTTCACCTCCTCTTCGCCGCTTTCATTCTTCGCCGCCGGCGGCGACAATCGCTCCTTCGCTCTTTCTTCCTCGCTTTCGTTCTTTTCTTCCGCGTCCGCGCCTTCGCTTCAAATTAGTGTCACTACCAACGCCATGGACGACGGCACACCGCTCGAGGTGTTGGCCAGCTCCTCCTCTTCCTCCTCCTCCTCTATCACCACTTTGAGCTCGTCAACTTCAGCTACCGCAACCACGACAACACCAACCGCGGCCACCGCGAAGAGGGTGAGCAAGGCCAAGCTGCTGCGGCTCGGGTCGTCCATGGGCCTGGCCGTGCCGCTGGCCCTGACGCGCCGGGCCTGGAAGGGCGCGGCCTACGCCTCGTGGTCGGTCGGGTTCGAGGTGCAGCACGAGATGGGCCAGGCCCTCCTGCGCAACCACCACCGCTTCAGCCTCACCGACCTGTGCCAGCTGTCGGCCGACTTCGCGGCCGACCCGCCGGCCGAGACGAGCTCGATCCGCATCGTCTACTGCGGCGGCATCCGGGCGGACATGGTCCAGTACCGCAGCCCGTTCGCCCAGCGACGACCCAACAACGACAAGAATGAGAAGAAGAAGAAGAATGATGGACGTCACCTCGAGAATCGGGCCATTCTGTCGAAATCGGAGAGCAATTCGCGAGGGGGCAAGGTGGCCTACCGAAGCAAGTCGCACGAAGACGAGGAGGTCGAGCTCAAGAATCTATCGAAATCGTCATCCACTCTTGCCACCTCTACTTCATCTTCTTCGCCATCTTCGTCTACGCAAATGGACGACCTCGCCTCCACCACGCGTGTCAAGCTATCGAAGCGTCGCATCAAGAGCGAGAACGACAACCTCGGCCGGGACAACCAGTTTCGATCGACATCAGGGGGCGATGCCAGCGTACACGGCCCAAATGGAAATGTAGAAAATGGAAATGGAGAGGAAGACGAGGAGAAGCCGGCCGCGACGGTCCTCTACCTCCACGGCGGCGGCTTCTGCGTGGGGTCGTCCACCACCTACCGTCGGTGTCTGTGGCACTTCAGTCGGGAGATGAAAGGGCTTCGTTTCCTGGCCGTCGACTACTCGCTCAGTCCGCACGTCCGCTTCCCCACCGCCCTCCAGGAATGCCTCCACGCCTATCTCTGGTACGACACACACATGACACGACACGCACACACATGACACGCATGACACCACACAACACGACACACACTGATGGACTAACACATGAGATGGTTAGGCTGATCGACGAGAACGGAGGAAACGTGCCGCCGGAGAAGGTGGTCCTCGCGGGCGACTCGGCCGGCGGGTGCCTCGTGCTGGCGCTCCTATTCCTCATCCGCCAGATGCGCGATGACGCCGCGTCGGCTACGAATAACGGTGACGACGACCACGAAGAGAACGAAAGCGAAAGCGAAAGCGACGAGCAGGACAAGAAGACGGTGAAGGGGAATACCAAGCTACCCATTGCATTGCCGTCGCGCAAGACGCCGCCGGCGTTCCCGCTGTGCGCGTTCCTGATGTCGCCGTGGGTCGACCTGAGCGAGTCGAGCAGCGTGATGAAGCCTGAGTCCTACGCCCAGCCGGCCAGCCACCGCTCCCAGTCGGGCCTCGCCCGCCGCTTCATCGACGCCTATCTCGGCACCAGCGACTACGATGGCGTCGCCAACAACAACAAGAATGCGAAGAAGAACGACGACAGGAAGAACGAAAGCGAAGAGAATACGACGACGACGACGACGCCCGACGTGCTGTCGCCGTACATCTCGCCGATCTACGGCGACCTGCAGGGCCTGCCGCCGGTGATGCTGACCGCGGGCGGGGAGGAGCCGCTGCTGGCCGACATCCAGGCCCTCCACGCCAAGTGCGTCGACGCCGGGCTCGAGGTGGAGCTCGACGTGGGCGAGCACATGAACCACGCCTACCAGGTCTTCCACGACCCGTCGTCCCACCGCGAGGTTGAGCGCTCGATTCAGGCCGTCGGCCGCTTCGTGTGGCGCCACATCGCCCGACGTCAGCTGCACGACGACTGACAACACAACACACCGCACCGCACCGCACACGACCCATGTACCATCGTTTTTGTCTACAACACACAACACACAACTCGCAACACGACACGACTGTGACGCAGAGCTTCTTTCGCAAGAAGAGGGTTTACTTGTTGGGGCAGTGGTTGTTGCCTTCTCGCGCGGAGCGACGTTGGTTCTCAATGGCGGCCTGGCGCTCCCGCTTGTTCTGGAAGAAGGCGCGCGTGTGTCCAAACGCCTGGCCGAATGTGAACGGCTTGCTCGGATCGGCGCCGTTCCTAATGAACGCGGTGAGCACACGACACGACACTCACACGACACACCACACCACACGACACACGAGCGCGAAAGGAGCACGCACGGGGGCATGGTGGCGGCGATCCAGCGGGGCAGCTTGCTGGTGATCTCCGGGCGCATGTAGCGGTGGTCCACCAGCAGGATGGTCGCGTAGTCACCCGCGTGCCTGATCGACCGCCCGATCGACTGGTTGACCGCCCGCATGCACGCGTTCTCGTAGTACTGCCGCGCAGACATCACCGGCGCCGACATTGCACGCCTCGCCGGTGACGACGATGACGACCACGACGATGATGATGATGAAGATGACGATGTTGAAGCGGCGGCGGCAGCTGCCTTGGCGCTGATGTACTTCATCTTCTCGACGAGGACGGGGTCGCGCGGGTTCGGGTAGGGCAGGCCGACCATGACGACGCAGCGGCCCAGGCCGTCGGAGAAGTTGATGCCCTCGGACATCTTGCCGCCCACCACCGCGCTCAGTATCGCACCCCGCTGGCGCGACGTCTGCGCGATCACAAACCACCTCGACGTCACCATTTGCGCGCGTGTCGTGTCGTGTCGTGTCGTGTCGTGCGGTGGTGCGTGTTGCGTGTCGTTTTGTGCGGTGTGTGTCGTGTTGCGTACGCTCGCTGCGGCGCCGGTGGGAGTGAAGTTGGCGTCGATGGCGTCCTTGTACTCTTCGAGGACCTGGCCGATCATCGACGCCGCCCTGGGCTCCCGCAGCACCTTCTTCCTGGCGTTGATCTTGGCCAGCATGCCCGACGTCTCCCAGGTCGATATCACCTGGGTCCGCCCGGCCGCACGTCAGCGAGCGAGAATCGCATTTGTGTCGCCACACCAGCAATGAACCCAATCACCACCGCACACGCACACACACGCACACACGCACACACGCACACACACAGCAGTGGTGGTAGTGGTAACCTGCTGTTCGTAGTGGTAGGACGGGAAGAACATGACCACGCCGTCGGGCACGAGGTTGCACATGTTGAGCACCAACCGGCCCAGCTCCTCGATCTGGTGAAGATTGAAAGAAGAAGAGGAGGAGAAGAAGAAGAAGAAGAGGAACCCAACCCAATCAGCGAATAGGCCGTAAATCGTGACTGCTCCCCAGGTCGTCGGGAGGAATGGACCATGGCGGCGGAGGACCGGTTCTGCCAGGCAAAGTCGAACGGCACGTCGGACGGTCCGCTGCCCACGCACAGGGTCAGCAGGCTCTCGCTCGTGATGACGTGACCTTCGTATGTAACGAAGAACGAAGGAGGGGGGGGGTCAATTGACCCTGGCCTGGTGCGAAGGAGGGCTGCTAGATGGGGGGAGGCTACGGGTGGGGAAGTACCGCAGGAGAAGGACCGCAGGCCGACGAGCTTGGGCTTGATGGGCTCCGGCACCTCAGCTTCAGGTCCGAACAATTGGAACACCAGATCCGGGATCTGCGCGTGCGGTGGTGCGTGTGTGCGTGTGCGTGTGTGCGTGTGTGCGGTGGTGTGTGTGCGGTCAGCAACCGGTGCCAACGCGCCGCACACCAAACAGGTCCCGAGCGCTCTTCTGGCGAGGCGGGTGGAAGTGGAGGAGAGTACCGGGTGCATGGTGCCGCCGGCCAGCACGACCGCCCTGGCCTCGGCCACCACCTCCCGAAAGTGTTTGGCCGGGTTGAGGAGGATGAACTTGAGGCTCGACTCGCCCACCTTGCCTGAGCGTTGTGTGCGTGTGCGTGTGCGTGTGCGTGTGTGCGTGTGCGTGTGTGCGGCCGTGTGTCGTTCGTTAACACGATCATCGTGCGTACGGCGGGGGGGGGGCAGGGGAAAGCCGTACGAGGGTTGTGGGAGAGCAGGAGGCGTCCGTCGGCGTCGGCGTTGGTGAGCGAGAGGAGGAAAGCCTCCACGGCGCCCATGGCGGGCCGCGAGCGACCCTCCACCTCGATCTCCTCGCCTTGGAGCCAACAACCGTCGGTCAGTTTTATGTATCATTGACGTGCGTGTGCCGTGTGCCGTGTGCCGTGTGCCGTGTGCCGTGTGCCGTGTGCCGTGTGCCGTGTGCCGTGTGCCGTGTGCCGTGTGCCGTGTGCCGTGTGCCGTGTGCCGTGTGCCGTGTGCCGTGTGCCGTGTGCCGTGTGCCGTGTGCCGTGTGCCGTGTGCCGTGTGCCGTGTGCCGTGTGCCGTGTGCCGTGTGCCGTGTGCCGTGTGCCGTGTGCCGTGTGCCGTGCGTTGTGAGCATACCATCGTCAGAGATGTGTACTTGCACCTCAGACGACTCGTATTTCTCGACAAATCCGTTCAGCTACGATGACACACGACACCACGCAACACCACACGCACGCATGGTACAAGAGTGGTCATTAATAAACAGGAAGAGCCCCCCATGCACAAGTATGGGGCAAATGAAATCTTGCGCGGGACGAAGGTACGTACCTTCTTGACGATCTCGGAGCGTTGGATGTACTTTTCGATCTTGAAGAGGTTCATGTTGTCGATCTTGGTGGCGAAGAGGAAGTCGTTGCTGGTGCTGATCTGCGTCTTCTCCTCCGACTCCTGGGTGGCGTGGTGCGTGAAGGTGGGCAGGGCGAGCGAGGACGAGGTGGCCGCGACTGCAGCGCCGGCGGCGCCGGCCGACGCAGACGCCGGCCACGCGTGCGGGTTCTGGAGGAGCTTGATGAAGGCGCGAACGATCACCAGGATCTGGCGGATATAACTCAGATTCTTGGCCTTGAGTCGGTTTTGGTACCGCGCTCTGTACTGATCCAGCTGTGACTCTGCCTGCGTCAACTGTGGATGAATGCGCGGCACATCATCATCAGCATCATCGTCACGGCCATCACCATCAATGGAGCCCACTCACGCGAGTGGACGTCAGCAAGTACCTGGCGTAGGGTGAGCTGTGTGGAGTACATTTCGTTGATGGCGTCCACGAGGTTGTGCGCCTCGTCCACGACCACGATGTTGCCCTGTTGTACGTACGTCCCCACACCCAGCCAGGTCAGCGCTTGACATTTACCGCCAGGTACCCAGCCGCCGCGGCGCCCAAGGCTAGTCGTCCGTACCTTGAGATCGACGCCCAGCGATTCGCGGGTGGCCCTGTGCAGGAGCATGTTATAGGGCAGAGCCACCACCTGCAGAGGGCAAACGTTTCTTTTATAGGTGGACCAGCGCGTGCGTGCTTGAGCGAGCAAGGGGGCGCCAGCGCCAGAGGGCGTACGCACCTCGACCGAAGGCACGGCGGCGCGGGTGCCGTAGTAGGGGCACGCCCTCTGCTTCTCGCCCAACTGCACCAGCTCCTCGATGTCCCTCACCTTGAGCTGTGCAGGGACCGAAGCCGGAGGGTGAAAACGATAAATGGCGTGTGTCGGGTGCGTGTGCGCGTGTCGTGTGGTGGGTGCATGCGCCGTACCAACACGTGGTCGCGATAGAGCTTCTGCGAGCTCTGTTCGTACCACTCGCACTTGGAGAGCACGACGGACTTCTTGGCCTTCCCAAACATGTTTTCTTCCTCTGTGGTGATGAAGGGGATGTTGCTGAGTATTGCGTGTGCGGTGCGCGTGCGTGCTGCATATGAGAGGCCGGGGATGTCTTCACCGGTCACGAGGGTCTTCTGCTTCTGCATGTCGAGGCATCGGTCGTTGATCGCGCCCACGCTCGACAGTTTCTGCGGGGACCGCTGCGCGTGAGCACAGTGGCCACACATACGGACGACACGAAACGGTTTACCTTCACTTTGGCGTTCACGCACAGGTTCTTGCGCGAGCCCAGGGTCACCACTCGCATGCGGTCTGCAAACTCGGTTCGCTTGACCTGGTGTGCCGTCCATGAGTCGAGTGTTGGAAGATTGGCGCAAAGTGGAAATACAAGCAACGTACTTCGCCCACGAATTGACGCAGCTGGGAGTGCGTGCGACTACAGTAATAGAGCTGTGATATCGCACACTCACACGCCACAACACGTCACGGCACGACACACAACACGCGGCGATGAGTCCAGGGCGTGTCTGTGCACTTCGAAAGCGAGTGTGTGGTGATTACGTGCCTTGCGGACGTGCAGCTCCTCTTCGCCTTCGCCGTCGGCTTCGTCGTCCTCTTGCGAATCGAGGTACAGGCCCTTGAGCATCTCTCGCTTGGACTTGTGACCCTTCTTGTCCTTGCCTCCCCTCGACGTCGCCGTCACGTCCGGCGGTGGGCGCTCGTCTTCGTCTTCGCTCTCGTACTCGGCCAGACAGAACTCGTCGTCGCTGTGCGTGCCATCACCGTCGCCCTCGCCCTCCTGCTTGCGCTTTTCCTTTTCCTCGCTGCGGCGTATCATTTCGTCGATGAACGACAGGTCGGGCTTCTGCTGCTGGTGAGCTTTTCCGCCTGCGCCTTTGCCGCCCGAGAGCCAAGCCACTTTCCTCTTTTTATCTGCACACACCGCACACGCACATGGTTAGTGAGGCCATAGGCATGATTGTACCAATGATTGGAGTTGGGGCACTCGCGCACTTGGGTGGTCTGGCTCCGCTTCCTGTAGCTTCTCCAGCCGCTTCTGCTGCTTTAGTCGCTTCTCCTTCTGCTCTTCCAGTTCGAGCGCCCTGATATCAGTCATTGGCTGTGAGCGTATTGTACGCGATGACAATCACATGTGTGGCGAGGTGTGCAGACGCACCTCTTCTTCTCCTGCATCTTCTGGTAGGCTGCAGTGATCCAATCCAGTTCAGGTGTAGCTGACGCGGTTGTCGCAGATGCTGCGCACCATCTGCGATGTAAGCTGAGCACCACCTTGTTCGGGCAGCGAGTGGGTACGCACCTGCCGCCTCTTCTTTTTTGTTTGTTTTGTCGGCGGTGTCCGTTGGTTGGAGCGCAGTTGGCTTGTCGTCCAAGGCCGCTGCGTCGTCAAGGTCAAGGTTGTTTTCGTTGTCTCTCAGCCACTGCAGGGCGCTGCAGATGATGCTTAACGACTTGCCCTGCGCATGTGATAGAAAATAAAAGACTAAGAAATGCGCAATCAGATTGCGCGGTGAAGAAGAGGGACAGGGTCGCACCGTGCCCGTGGGGCTTTCGAAGATGCCCAGGCCGCCCTTATCCAGAACCGCGTACATCTCATTCATGAACTGCCGCTGAATGGCATACGGCGGAAACGGGAAGGGAAATCTTCGTTCATCTTTGTTTTTGTTTGCCTGCGCTTGCCGACCCTCGCGCATACTGAGGCCTCCATCTTCAACATCTTCCTGCTTCATTTTCGCTTGTACCGCAAATGCGACTTGGCGTTTTGTGCCAGCAACAAAAAAGGCGCCAAACTATCTGCTAAAATAAACTAAAATATCATTATTTTTACCGTTGGCCTCAGTGTGGTCTCCCCACTGACTGCCGAGCGGAGCAACTTGGTTGCGTTTGGCAGTGCATTGAGAGGCGAGTTCTGTTCCTTCAATTTTCTCTTAATGGCCTGCCCGAATGACACACGCCCCGACAATGTCACAGCCAAAAGGCGACACAACCTCGGCGAAAGCACACCAACTACTCCAATAGCACCATGGCTCAACAAGAAGACATAAACAACAAGCTCATCAGGCAGATCTCCGACGCCTTCGCCGGCGTCACGCTGGGCTCGGGCCTTTCCCTTCCCCAGGCACGCCAGGCGGACGTGTGCTGGACCCCCGACTGCAAGCAAGTCAAGTCTGCTCCTCGAGATGATGCAACAAGGAACTGGAGCGAGGTTCCCCTCAACACCCTCTTCAAACATCGACACGAACTCTGCTTCCTTGATGCCGCTGGGTTCCGATTCTACATTCCCTCCTTCATGACCAGCGTCCTGCACGATCCTGAGGGCGACGTTGGCCGAACAGTGGTGCCCTACTTGCTCACGCAGGGACCTTCGGGTCTCAGGACCAAGGGCCTGTCACGCATGCAGGCTGTGTCGGTCGCCGCCTTCCTCGAGCACATGAGCAAGCTCGCACCAGAGCTCTTCACACCATCCCACACTAAGACACTCAGCCTGCTTTCCCAATGGGCCAACGCTGGCAAGCTCCATGAATAAAAACGTCTCCACCGAATTGCCCTGCCGCACTTGGACGCAGGCACAAGCTGTCTGTTGCTAATTGTCAGCTTTAACGAGCTCTTAAGTGCCTCCACAGGTAGTGAAGACAATGTGGCCGAGTGGTTAAGGTGCCTCGCTGCTAACGAGGTGGGGTTTCCCCGCGCAGGTTCGAATCCTGCCATTGTCGAGCAATTCTTTTCTGCAATTCTTTTCTTTTTGCTGCCGACAGACAAGATGGTGCACCAGACAACGCAGGCGATCTGTCCCCAAAGGTTGCAGCTTGTCTGCTCCAAACCTTCCTTGTTGGGTCTGGTAATGCCGTGCAACAGGAGCTTCGCTCTTGAAGAGCTCCGCTGTCTCTTCCGCAGTTCTTTCCTTGTTCTCTCTAGGACTACTCTCGCTCCTCTCTCTACTCTTCTCTTGTTTCTCTCTTGCGCTCTGCCCGCTCACACCCTGCTCTGCTCTTCTTCCGCCTCCTATTTACTTACCACAGCAGCCGCCCGAGGCCTGTGGTTGCGAGTCCTTGCTGCTGGTCAGATCCACCTTGGGGCTTGAGGAAGTGGCCTAGAGCGGCAGAGAAGGAGGAGACCAGCGTTAGACTATGTACGCGCACGGATGGGGTGGGCGGTGACATTGTGGAGGAGGTGCCCCGAACCTGAGGCTCCTCGGGCTCGTCGCCCATAGGATCGATCACCCGGTGCTTGATTTCCTTGGCGAGCAGCAAGAACATGTCGTCGACGTTTTGTCCCTGCAAAGAGGCGCGGTCAACACTACATGCGACGGGCAGAGGAGAGAGAGGAGACGGTACGGTCTTTGCGGAGGTCTCATAGAACCTGATGCCATACTTCTCTGCCAGCTCCTGTCCCTGCTCTGTGCTTACAACCTGACGGGCGGAACGGCATACGACCTTATTAGACCTTGTGATTCGAACGAAGGAGGCGGCGGGCAAGCGTACCCGCTTATCGTCCATGTCGGCCTTGTTGCCCACGAGGATCTTGTTGACGCCCTGCGAGGCATGTTGCTCAATGCCCTTCATCCAGATCTTAATGTCTGTGTACACCAGGAAGCAAGACAGCCCACCATCAGCCAGCCGCTCTCGCACAAAGGTGGCCCACAGACGCAAAGGAATGGAGAGAACTCGACGAGCGGAGGACACGCAGGGGGAGAGAAGTTGAGTACTTACGGCTGAAGGAGTTCTGGTCGGTGACGTCGTAGACAAGCACCACACCGTGACCGCCACGGTAGTAAGCAGCGGTGATGGTGCCTGCAGATGACAAGAGATTAGATCTACAAACAACGAGTGGTGGAAACGCCGCAAACGGTTCAAAAGAAAAGATGGCGGGAGAAGATGCAGAGGCTACAAACAAGGCTGTCTTCTCTGTCCGTCGAGGGGGCGAGTGGGTAAGATGGGAAACGTACGGAAACGCTCTTGACCAGCTGTGTCCCACAGTTGGAGCTTGATCTCCTTCCCTTCGATGGGGACGGTCCTCACCTTGAAGTCAATGCTATCAAGGAGGAACACAATGTCAACAAATCTAGAGGAAAAATTGATAGATCTCACCGAGTAGAAGGCAGATCAAAGAGGAAGAGCCCGCAGAAGAGGCCAGGGGGATCAAGAAGGAGTACCCAATGGTGGGCATGAAGCTGTGGGTGAAGGTTCCATCGGAGAACCTTTGCAAGAGACAACTCTTACCCACGCCTGATCCATAATCCGCATAAAACGATAGCGGTGAGGAGAGGAATGATGCAAACGGTAAACACAAGAAATGTCTAAATACTTCTCAAGATGGAAATTGATGCAGAGAGGAAGAAGAGGAAAAGAAAGGCGCAGTACCGCTGTCGCCAACAAGCAGCATCTTCAAGGTGTGCTTCGCATTCTTGCCATCCGCCATCTTGGCCGATTAGAAGTCGATAATGATCTCGATTATCGATAATTATCCAACACAGGCAGCCCAATCTAGACGATCGCAACCGTACTGAGGAGGTAGGAAGATGGAGGTTGATGTGTTCCTTGAATGTCTATCCTTGAATTAGCACAGCCAGGTCCGTCGATGGAACCAAAAAAAAATACCAAATACAAATTGAATAACCTCTCGTAAACCCACAGGCGCACAACGCGGCTAGACTTTAAGGTGGCTGCGCCGAAATTTCGTTAGGACGAAGAACAAAATACCAACTCAGCTCAGCTTCTTCAGCTGCAAGAGGTTCTGCCAAGAGGTGAGGCCAATGAAATCCCTTATCTCTGAGCATATCTCCTCTGCCTCCTCCTGTACAAGAGGAAACATGTTATACGGTGTGGGCAACAAGGTGATGTGCAGATAGCTGGCAATGTGATGATCGCACTTACCTCTGATGCGTAGGTCCCATGCTGGGACAGGGGCACCCAAGAGGAAAAGGGCTCGATGTTGAAGAAGATGTTGAAGTCTGTCTTTCGGTTCTGGGTAGCTCTGTGGATCTCCACCAGCCCAACGTCTTGCCAGTTGTACACCTCCTCTTGTCGGCTCCACGCATTGCTGCGGATGATGGCCAGCTGATGACGAAGTGGAAGAATGGATCAGCATCCAGCTTAGTGCCCGCGGTGTTCGTGTGGTGATGCATGAGATGCAGGGAACGTACGACGTTGTCGCTTTTGTCAATAATACAGACCTCTCTCTTGGAAATAAAGATCAGGGCGACGAAGACGCTGGCCAATAGCGCCCCGCACCCATAAGCAAACCTACACACGCGCACGCCAAAATAGACAGACAAACACCATCAGTGTGGCGCGCGTAATGTGCAGAGAGCGATCCGAGAAGAAGGTACCATCGATCATCTAGCTCCTCATCGAGGATCACTTTGTTGATGAAGTCTGTGGTGGTCTCTTCGCCATCTTCGCTGGGAACCTTCCAGTCGTTGGCGTGAGACTAGAGTCAAGGAACGAAACGCAGACCATCCAACATTACCACGAAGAGAAGAATAATGAAAGTGGTGAGAGCAGGAGGAAGAGGATATGATGAGCTCGTTCACGCGGCGCACAATGCGCAGCTTGATGGCGTGGCCCGTGATCGAGTAGTAGTGGGTGAGCGGCAGTTCCTGTATGTTGTCGTCTTCGCCAGGCACCCCGTGCTCCTTTCGCCCGATCTGCGCAGCTGAACATGTAGCGAAAGCCAAGCGTCATTCACAACATACCACACGAACGCTGGTAGCTCTTGGCTGGCTCCAAACGTACCCAGCACTTGCGCGTCTTCGGCGAGCACTCTGCCCGACGCCGAATCACGCTGTTGCGGGTGGTGCGCATCAGTCCCTTCTGCGTCGTTTCCAACCTCCGCGGGTTCGTCTCTGGTCATCGGAAGAGCACTCAGAACGGTGAGCGGTCCATACACGTCTGATAGATGGTCAAGAGATCACTACTCTCACCTTCGTTCATGGGGACCCGCCGTGTCTGAAGGATCTCGCACTTCGCCGCTGGTCTGTAGCTGCCCTGGTGTTGGCGGTCGCCTGCCGTGCCGAGCCTGAGCGCGCGAGTCCCAAAGCGAGCGTGTGAGTTGCCACCAGGTCTAATCGTTCGCCAGGCGGTGCTGAGTGGTGCCAAAGAGGGGCATGGTGCCGTGCCTTGGGCATGATGACGAGCGTCACGCGGGAGGCGAGACCGGAGCCGTCCAGGAGCGCGGCGCGTATGTGTGCCATCTGCACGCTACGCTCGCTCCACAGCCACAAATTCTCCTGTCGCACCACGCACCACCCGCCACGTAGCGCTTCGGCTGGTGACATTGCTTCCTCCCTGACAATGAATAAGTTAATAAATAAATAAAATAGACTATCATTAATCTTGAAATATATATATTTATATAAACGTTGAAAATAATGAGGGAAGGGGGGGGGACCAAGGAAAGCAGCGAAGGCGGGTGCGCCAGCCGAGGAGGAGAGCAACAAGTATGCCCGCCCCAAGGAAGACGGCAGCTGCAAGGCGCTGCCGCCGTGCGCCCTTCAGCTCTAGCCGCAGCTCCGTGCTTGTGCGGCTCACCGCCTCCATGCAAGTGTTGGGCAGTTTGGAGTTTTTTGTGTTTTGAGTTTCCTTTATTCTAATTTATTATTTATTATTTTAAAATTGGCCATGCAAGCCTCAGGGAGGTCCAGCGTTGTCATCACCGAGACGGAAGCTGATGACGACGGGTATGCGGGCTTCTAGAATCCACTGACCGCACTGAGTGTTATATGAAGAAATGTTGTTTCTTCAAATCATCATCCGTGCCTAGATGGGTCAGCACGATGTTCGAGTACAGCGACGGCACCAAGGTGAGCATCGCGTCGATGGGCTTTCTGCGGGGCACGGTGGTGGACCGCGACAACGACATCGACGAGACCGGTCGCATGGTGTGGCCCGGCTCTCGCGTGCTCGGTACAACGTGAGCCCCCCCTCTCTTTTTTCTGGGCTCCTCTGTGTAGAGCCCGCAACTAAGCACTTCCTTGCGCCCTACGCGGTCAGGTCTCTACTTGACTGCGAACCCGCACGTCGTGCGAAGTAAGCGCGTGCTGGAGGTGGGGGCCGGCTGTGGCGTGTCGGGCCTGATTGCTGCCCGCTTCGCTGCCAAGGTACGTACCCGCGCCCATACGATCGCAGCTGCTTGAACTGTCCTTGGGGCTGACGCGGGGCAGGAACGTCGGCACAGGTGGTGCTCACCGACAGGAACGAAGAGGTGATGGATATGTTGAACCAGAACATCGAGCTGAACTCTCTCCAAGGTACAGGAGAACTACACGAAACCGTTAACGCGATCAACCGCACTCACGGCTGAGTGTTGCAGACAAGGCCGAGGGCATGGTGATGAAGTGGGTGGACGACGTGCCGGCCTTGAAACAGAAGTATCCTCCCTTCGAGACCATCATCGGTACATACAGTCGGCTTGCATTAAGAATGATGTGTACACTTCATCATTTCCTAATCCATTCGCACGCGCGTTCAATCACGGGCCTCAGGCTCGGATGTGATCTATCCGGAGCATTCGCATCTCATCCCAGCGCTCTTTGAGACGGTGGACGCTGCGTTGGCCTGCGAGGAGTCGTCTCTGTTCGTCATCTCCTTCATCCCGCGTACGGCCGGCCTCAAGCACAAAGGTTCGCCGTGTCCAGTGTTGTCTGTGACATGACACATCCCCGCGCATGCACACGCGTACGCGCTCGACGTGAGCGCTGACTGAACGCTGTGTGCAAACAGTACTGAAGCATGCGGACAAGTTTGGCTTCGCGTGCGAGCAGGTGCCCACCGAAGAATACACGACGCAGGCGGTACCTTTGGACGCAGAGATATTAGTGTTCAGGCGCAAGAGTACTAAATAACCGCTGCCAATCGAAGATGTCACACAGCGTACACGACACGACACACGACAGTGTAACGCACACGCACACAACAGCGCTGTATGGCCGTCCGTCAACTACAACCGATACAGAGCCAAGGGCGAGATAGGGCACGCACCATCATCCACCACCTTTTATTTGTCTTTTATTTGCCCCCCGGCCAGATCACTACAAAGCCCGAATTGATAGAAAGCTGGGATTGGTTGTTAGGTTGCCAACCAACCAAAAAACAAATAAGGCAAGTGCGCCTCTTCGCGCAGCTCTCTGAGTGCGCAGCCCTTGGACCCTGCCGCGCGTGATTTTCGTTCTCTCCGGAGAGCGAGCCAGGACCCGCTTTTAGGGGGGTTACAGGGTGTGTGTTTAGTGTGAGAAGAAAGGCCCAACAAGGAGCACCTAGTGGTGTGTGCGGTGGTGACTTGCGGGATATATTAGAGAGAGAGAGAGAGAGAGAAGAGTCGTGAGGACAATCGATCGATCTTCACACTTCCGCTCTCGGCTCGAGGTCTTCGTGTTAAACGAAAAGGCTCATCGAAATCGCGGGACCCCACCCCTTTCACACAGCCACAGAGGTTGGCGACGAGGAGGATAGAAGAACAAGAAGACGAGAAGTAGACGAGAGAACAGAAAACTACGAAGATGATTGACGAAGAAAACGATGAAGTGTGTGTGGGAAAGGGAGTGGAGGACATGATCAAGATGAAGACGCTCACCCAGGAGAAGATCTTGAGGAACCTCAAGACGCGCTACATCCAAAATCTGATCTACGTACGCGCCTTCTCTTTTCTGCTCCTTTCTACTCGTGGTGGGTGATCATCGACAACCTCATCTCTCTCATCATACACATGCACAACACGCGACACGACACGACACACAGACAAACACTGGTTCGATTCTGGTGTCGGTCAATCCGTTCAAGCAGCTGCCCATCTACACGAAGAAGGCGGTCAAGCTCTACATCGGGAAGTCGATCATCGCCCCCGAACTGAGGCCTCCTCCCCATATCTTCGCCACGGCCGAAGCCTGCTACTATCAGATGCGCGAGTCCCTGCGGAACCAGTCCGTCGTGATCAGGTCTTCCACCCCCCCCCTCCACACCAACATGGCACAGCCACAGCCACCGCCATCATCACCATTATCATAATCAGCTCAAGTACTTCTTTCAATTCACGCCCGATTTGACCGATTTTGATGATCTTTGTTTTGTTGGATGTGATCCAATAGTGGCGAGTCCGGTTCGGGCAAAACGGAGGCGACGAAGCTCATCCTGCAGTTCCTCGCCGCACGTACCAGCCAGCACTCGGAGGTCGAGCAGAAGATCCTCGAGTCTTCGCCCCTTCTCGAGGCCTTTGGTAACGCCAAGACGGTCAGGAACAACAACTCCTCGCGCTTCGTACGTCGCTACCCGCCAAGCCGGCGCGCTGCGAGACGGCAGCCGACGCGAAGAGGGGGGAGGGAGGGCAAGAGGTGAAAAACTGACGCGATGACGTTCCTTGTTGGGTGTGCGGTGGAACGGAACAGGGTAAGTTCATAGAGATCCACTTCAACAAGGGTGGAACCATTTCGGGAGCGCGAATTATACAGTGTACGTCCTTCTCTCCGATCACCTTGTCTGTACAGCCACGCCGACATGCCACCTCTCCCCCACTAACGCGTTGTTCATTCCACACCTCGCGCGCTACGCCCACTGCTCCTCCTCGACCTCCAGACCTTCTTGAGCGCGTACGTTCTTCTTCTGCTGTGGCCTTTCTCTCCGTGGCTTCTCTCTGTAAGTTATGTTGTTTGGCTCACCCACGTTTTGCGCCGTGTCTCTGCTCTCCAGTCTCGATTGGTCTACCAAGCGCCCGAGGAGCGTAACTACCACATTTTCTACCAGCTGCTTGCTGGCGCGAGCCCCGAGGAGAGGGGTAAGCTCGGCACTACTACTACTACTACCCCCCTCTTCTATGCCCCATCAACGCTCACGGCGCGCATTCTCTGCCAACAGAGAGATACAAGCTCAAGGACCTCTCCTCCTACTGGTACCTTTCGCAGAGCGGCTGTACCTCGGTGGACGAATTCGACGACTCCAAGATGTTTAAGCGGATCAAGGTGCTGTAGTTGGCTTCGTAGTGTTCTATGTTTCTCACTGCTCTTGCACAGACTGACGCATCGCTGGGTGTTGCGTGTGTCGTGCGTTGATTATGTGCAGATTGCCATGTCCTCGCTGGAGATCTCGCAGGAACTGCAGTGCACCGTCTTCAGCGTGCTGTCCGGCATCCTGCGTCTCGGCAACATCCAGTTCAAGGCCGATGGCGATGGCTCGTTGGTCGCCAACAGAGAAGGTGGGCCTTCAAACCCATGACACGACACACACCACACACATGCTCACATTGTCATGCTGTCTGCAGAGGTCTCGGCTGCGGCTGCGCTGTTTGGAATCAACGCGAACGAGCTGGACAAGACGCTCATCATCCGCACCATGCACATCCGTGGCCAGACCATCGAGATCAAGATGAAGCCGAGCGAGGCCATCGACACCAGGGACGCGCTGGCCAAGGCCATCTACGCCCGGCTGTTCGATTGGCTGGTGACCCAGATCAACAAGGCCATCCTCAAGGAGGACATCTGCAGCTCCATCGGCGTGTTGGACATCTTCGGTTTCGAAAACTTTAAGGTATTACGAACGAACGAACGCGCTCTCCCTCGCACCTCGCCTTACTCTGGCCTCTGGACCCGCCTCTGATTCAAAACGTCTTGCGCCTGCACAGGTGAACAGCTTCGAGCAGTTTTGCATCAACTTCGCCAACGAAAAGCTGCAGCAATTTTTCAACTTGACCATCTTCAAGGTACTATCTCGGCCCTTATGTACAATATGTATAGATGTATAGATGTATGTGTGCATGTGTGTGTGTGTGTGTGGTGCTGATCTGATCGTTCTACCATACCAGCTGGAGCAAGAGGAGTACAATGCGGAGAAGATAAACTGGGACTCGATCACGTTCGAGGACAACCAGGACTGCCTGGACCTCATCGAGGGCAGACCGCTCGGCATTCTCTCCCTTCTCGACGAAGAAGTCCGGTTCCCCAAGGCCTCCGACCAGGTTTGGCTCGCCCCCCAAACACACACATTTGCGGCATCATGGGTGGTTTCAATGGTTCATTCTTTACATTCTTTCCCAAACAATACGCGCAGACGCTGCTGGAGAAGCTCAACACCAACCACAAGGCCTCCAAGAAGTACGACGTGCACCTGCGATCGAAGACCACCTTCTCCGTGCGCCACTACGCCGGCGAGGTGTCGTACCTGGTCACTGGCTTCCTGGACAAGAACAAGGACACCCTGCAGGAGGACATCGTGTCCATGTTGAAGAAGAGCTCCATCAAGATCCTGGTCGATCTCTTCACCGACGAGCCCGAGCCCGAGGTCGAGGCCACCAACAGAGGCCGAGGCCGCAGTACGCCCTTCTCTCTCTCTTTGATGTGGGTGTGAGTGTGGGTGTGTCGTCGGCCATGATGGTCGTAGTTTGTTTGCTGATCTGCTGGCTCGGCCTGTCCCTGCGCAGCGAGCACCGGCCTAGCGGCTTCGGCGCCCCCGGGTCCCTCCGGCCAACGGCTCTCGATCGGCCCTAGCGGCAGCCTGGGTGGTTCATCGACGATGAGGAAGGGTCCGCCCACGGTGGGCGCCAAGTTCAGGCGCCAGCTGGGCGAGCTGATGGCCACGCTCTCCGCCACGCAGCCGCACTACGTTCGTTGCATCAAGCCCAACACACTCAAAGTGTGCGATAACTTCGATGACGACATGGTACACACACACACACCACACACACACACACACACACACACACACAACACCACAACGCGCACACGGCACGCGTGTCTCATTGCTTGTCTGCACACGATATTAGGTCCTGGCCCAGCTGCGGTACTCGGGTATGTTGGAGACGATCAGGATTCGATCCTACGGTTATCCCTTCCGCTACGCGCTCCCCGAGTTCTGCGAGCGCTACAAAGGTGCGTTGTGCACCCAGGCCTACGATTTGATGATTTTTTTTCAAAAAAGTGTGCATGACTCTTTCGCTGTGTGGTGCGTGTGCGGTGCGTGTCGTCTGTAGTTGTGGTCAGTTACACCCAACGCATGACCGACTCAGCGAGCAGGGACGAGATGGTGCAGTTCGCCAGGCAGATCCTCAATAAGGTGACCCTCCCCGGCTTCTCGGGCAAGCCGGAGGACCTCTGGCAGATCGGCATGACCAAGGTCTTCCTCAAGGAATCTCAGGTATGTTCAACACACACGACACACACGACACACACGACACACACGACACATACGACCATACGACACACACCACACACGACACACACGACACACACGACACACACCACACACGACACATACGACCATACGACACACACGACACACACCACACACGACACACGTGCACACATGAACGGTAACATGCGGATGCTCACATTCTTCTTCTCCTTGTCCAGAACAACGCTCTCGAGTTGTTGCGCAACCAGTGCATCACGTCGCGCGTGGTCTCCATTCAGTCGTGGTGGCGTATGATTGTCGTGCGCAACTACTACCTCCAGTACCGTATCTCCGTCATCGTGGCCCAGACCGGTACGGCCTCACAACTCCATCTTCCGCTCCACGCTGTTGCCAACTCTGCTGACGTCACGCACACGCACCACCGCACACGCACATGCGCGCAGTGGCTCGACGCTGGAGCGCGCGCAGGCGCTTCCTGAGTCTGAGGTCGGCCACGGTGCTGCTCCAGTCGTTCACGCGGATGAAGATCGCCCGCAAGGCCTTCCTGATCGCGCTCCAGAAGAAGCGCGAGGAGGAGGAGCGCAAGCGCCGGGAGGAGGAGGAGAGGCGGCGTCGGGAGGAGGAGGAGCGTAAGCGCCGGGAGGAGGAGGAGCGCATCCGGCTCGAGGAAGAGCGCAAGCGCAAGGAGGAGGAGGCCCGGCAGCGCGAGGAGCTGCTAGCCAAGATGGCCAAGGAGGAGCGCCTGAAGCTGCTGGCCGAGGAGGAGGAGGCCCGCAAGCGCGCGGAGGAGGAGGCCCGCCGGGCCGAGCAGGCGCGGCTCGACGAGGAGGAGGCCCAGCGCCGGGCCGCCGCCGAGGCCGAGGAGCGCCTCAAGAACCCGCCCGTGGAGTCCGCCGCCTTGCCGCCCCTGCCCCGCGACGTGGCCACGCTGGCCGTAGCGTCCAACAACCTGCTCCACCCGGACCGCTCGCCGCGCCGCGGCTCGTTCAGCGACTTTGAGAGCTCCGGCGCCGGCAGCCCCAGCAACCGGCGGGGCTCCCTGATCGGCAGCGACCCCGAGAGGAGGAAGGGCTCCTTCATCGGCAGCGACTCCGAAAAGCGGAAGAAGAAGGCCAAGAAGGACAAGGGCAAGGGCAAGGAGAAGGAGGGCCTCGAGGGACGGAAGCGAGGCCGCTCTTTCAAGGACTCGGACAACGAAGTCGGAGGTACCGCACACGCACACGCGCACGCACACGCACACACACACACGTGCACACACACGCACACACATAGGCGAATGACACTAACCGTTCGGGGGTTGGGCGATCAACGCAACAGGGTCGTCGGATGGTGAGGCGGCGTCGCCGGTCTCCATGCGCCGGCGCATCGACACGCTGCGCAAGTCCTTCATCCTCATTCCCAAGCGCACCTCCGGCACGCAACCCATGCAGTTCCGACCCGAGCTCGTGCTCAAGTACCCACCCGCACGCACCCACCACGGGAGTCAAACAGCTGCGACGACCACATTGCGGTTGAGTTGACAATTGTTGACTTTTTTCCTTCCCCCCTTTTGGTGAGCAGTAAGAAGGAACCGGGCAAGATCCTCAACGACCGCTCGGAGATCGCGCAGCACCTGTTCATCGACTACGCCACGCAGCATTTCCAGGTAGTGTGTGTGTGTGCTCGTGCATGTGCGGTGCGTCGTGTGTCGTGTGGTGAGCGTGCTGGAATCTGACGCGCCGCTGTTGGACCGCCAATCCAGACCCAGAGCGCGAAGCGTCGTTTCACCATCAGGAAGAAGCAGTCGCCTTCGCTGAGCCAGCTGGTGTCCTACCAAAAGGCACGCGCCACCCCTTCAGGCCCACTGCTCGTGCAACACGCAACACGCAAATAACGGAGTGTGTTTGAAACGGGGCAGAAAGCGGATGATACGCTGCACCCCTACACGGATGCCAAAATGCGCACGGAGGCCCTCCACATCTTCAAGAAGCTCACAGCCTACATGGACACCAAGACCGACAAGGGCTACGCCGCCCTGCGCGATATCTTCGTCTACGGCCTGCGCCACTTTGATCTGCGCGACGAGATCTTCTGCCTGCTCATGAAGCAGATCGCCAACAATCCCGACCGGTACGCCCCCGGTCCAGGCCCGCATTCTTGATAGCATTGTTCAAATGCCTGACCTAAAAGATATATATATATATATATGTAGGATGAGCACCACGCGAGGCTGGGAGGCGATGGCGGCCTGCTGTGGCCTGTTCTCGCCCACGGCCAAGCTGCTCAAGGTGGTGACCGCCTACCTCATGCTGGCCGAGAACACCCCCGGGTTCGAGGACTGCGCCAAGTACTCGCTCCTCAAGCTGCGCCGCCTGATCGTCGACGTCTTCGCGCGCCCGCGCACGTTCCCTCCCTCCACCGTCGAGTTGGACGCTAACAGGGTACGTGCGCTTGCTGTCCAGCCAGTGATTCCCTCGCACGTTACTAACCCACGACACACGCACACGGCGACACACACACACACACACACGGCGACATTCACAGGCGCTGAAACCGATGGAGGTCACGGTGCACATGCTGGACGGGGCCACGTGCCAGGTCGAGATTGATCCGATGTCGAGCGCCTGCGAGGTGTTCTCCATGGTCTGCTTCAAGATCCACCTGGACGACCCGACCGAGTTCGCCCTCTACGAGACCTACGACAAGTGGAATCTTGGTACGCCCTCCTCGCCCGACCAGAGACGCGGGGTCACCTTGGCCGTGTTCGTGCTACTAACACACGCACACGCACGCGCACACGCACGCGCACACGACACACGACACGCACACGACACACGACACACAACACGAATACAGAGCGGAGCATGACACCGCTGGAGTACATTTCGGACATCTTGGCCAAGGCCGAGCGCTTCCTGGAGCAGAACAAGGGCAAGTGGGAGGACTTCAGGCTGGTCTTCAAGAAGAAGCTGCATCTCGACCCGACCTACGTCTCCGAGGACTCTGTAGAGAACACGCTCGACTACTACCAGTTCGTGGGTGCCATCCGAAAGGGTACACACATGACTCTCTCACACGCGCCGCACACGTCACACGGCACACAGCGCACGACACGCGCCGCACACACACACGACACACGTTGCGCTAACACGGCCGCGTGTGCGTAGGTCAAGTACCCTGCAGCGACACGGAGCTCTTGGTCCAGATGCTCGCTCTTTCAATTCACGCAGAGCACGGCGAGGACTTCGATTGGGGCGTACCCAACATCAAGTGCGTTGGCGCCCTCACCATCCAATTCTTAGCTGTCATCATACACCACACACACACACACACACTCACACACTCACACACTCACAACTGCGTGTCGCGTGTCGTGTGTGTCGTGTTGCAGGCAATTGGTGATGGGAATGATCCCCGCGCACGAGCACAGCAAGAGGACGGAGGACGAGTGGGTCGAGGCCATCAAGACCGAATACGTCGAGTGCGCCAAGAAGGCCAAGTTCAACAGCAAGCCGGAGGCCATGGCCGCCTGCCTCCGCCTCGCCACCAACGTACGTGTTGTTGTTGTTTGCAGTCGCCTTTTTCTTTTTCTTGTTACTTTTCTCACCTCTTTTCTCGATCGTTGCCAGTTGCCCCTGTACGGTCACTCCGTTTTCCCCGTCAAGCCTTCCAACCCGGAGCAGTTTGGATTCGCCCTCAACGAGTCCACCTCCATGGTGCCCCACCCACACCATACTATATGTGAGTGCGAAGCGCCACACTCGTCTCACACGACACACACGACACACCGACACACCGGCACACCGGCACACGACACACGACACACACACCACGCAACACGCAACACGCAACACGCAACAGGACATGGTAATCGGGATTGGTGGCATTCGGATGTTGAACAAGGACACGCACATGCCCGTCAGCTCGGTCTTTGCGGCGAGCATCTACTTCAACCAGATCACCGAATACGGCTACACGAGCAAGGGCGTGAGGCTGGTGGTCGACGAAGGCGATGGCGGCACGCACAGGTCTCTCGAGGTGATCACACAATCGGTACGCCCTCCAAGTAAATGCTGGTGCATGTGTGCGTGTGCCGTGTGCGTGTGCCGTGTGCCGTGTGCCGTGTGCCGTGTGCATGTGTGTGTGTGGCATTCAATGAATTCCGCTTACTTGGAGGAATGTATCGCACCACCCCAGGGTATCGAGATCGTGTCCGTAATTGAGGACTATGTATACTATTTGCGGGAGGATTCCACGCACGCCAAGGCGCTCTCCGACTATGAGGTCACCGACGACCGGTTGCTCGGCTTCAAGAAGGACGAAATCATCAGCGTCACCAAGAAGGACGCCAACGTACGCTTTGGTGTCCCACATTTTCTCTGTGTCGTGTGTCGTGTCATGCGTATGTTGTGTGTTGCGCGTCGTGTGCGCGGAAGAGCTCACATAATCGCGCTCGCGTGTGCAGGGCTGGTGGACCGGTGAGGTGAACGGACAGAGCGGTCTCTTCCCGGCCAACATGGTCGAGATCCTGATCCTGCCGCCAGATTCCAAGCCCCAGTACGACGTCTCCAAGTCCGGCAGCATTCGGGTACTCCTACTCCTCCACTTATCCAGCCTTTTTCTTATCTGTTTTCCTTGATTTTCCTTTCTCACCAATGAATGATTGTGCCACACACAGTTGCGACAGAAGGTGGGGTCGACGTCGGCCGGTAGCGGGGCGTCGGGCGCCGCGGCGGGCAACGGCGAGGCGGACATCTTCGCGTCGGTCACCGGGACCACGATCTCGCGGCCCGGCGGCGCGCTCATCGCACTGGGCATGGGCATCGGCAGCGCCGCGGGCAAGGCGGGCGCCTCCAATTCCAACTCGATGACCCGCGTGCGGACCAACATCCAGGCGGGCAAGACACACGCCCGCGGGGTGTTCGAGCCCGCGGTCATGCCCACCGCCGACCCGGTCTCCCGACCCCGCGGTACGCGCTGCGCCTCTCACCCACAAACGAGGCATGTGTGGTATGTCGAGCGCGGTGGCTCACCCTCGAGGAATCCGAAATATTTCCCCCCCCTATGCAGTGGTGACGGGTGGAACGGGTCCGGCGGCGTCCAAGGACGACCCCACGGCCGACTTCCCGATGCTTCGCTTCGCGCAGGAGTACTTCAACAGCGAGCTCATCACCGGTACATGCAACGCACGACACACGACACGAGACACACGACACACGCTCACCATGAGAGTATGTTTTTGGTCTCGCTATAAGGTACGCTGCGCAAGAAGAAGAAGATGCTGGAGATGGAGAAGGAGATCGCGTGGACCGGCAACCCGATCAGCCAACCGCTGCTCAAGTCGATCGAGCCCCAGGACTGGAAGGCGGCCAAGGAGACCTTCCTGAACATCATGAAGTACATGGTACGTCGCCCCTGCTCCTCACCTCCCGAGCCTTGGCCCCACCAACTCCAGTCTGACTCGCGCGTGTCGTACGTTGTGTCGTGCGTTGTGTGTGTGTGTGTGTGTGTGTGTTGTGTGGGTGTGTGTGTTCGTGTTTTCCTTCACCAGGGTGACTTCCCGTCGACGAAAAAGTCGCTCTTGTGGCAGCTGATGCGCCAGATCGGCGACACCGGCATTGAGAACGGCAAGCTGCGCGACGAGATCTTCTGCCAGATCATCAAGCAGATCACCGACAACGCGTTCGAGTGCGTTTCGCACCGCCCACCGCCTCTTCCTTTGCCTGCCGCAGTCATCTCACGCGCCGTTTCCACCTTGTTCGCGATCAGGTCGAGCCTGTTGCACGGCTGGGAGATCCTGGCCATCATGTGCGGTCTCTACCAGCCCGGCAGAGAGCTGCTGCCCTACCTTCAGGTGCGCTTCACGGCACACACACAACACACGCGCACGACACACACAAGACGCACACACTAAACCCGCTTGGCGTGCGCAGGCTCTGCTGGCCAAGTTCGCGGTGGTGCCCAAGCACGTGAACGACGATGAGCCGAGAGCCGACATCGGCAGGCTCGCCAGGGCTGCGCTTATCAACCTGGGCCGCATCAAGAGGCACGGCAACCGCAAATTCGCCACATCGTCGTTCGAGTTCGAATCCGTCAGGGTACGCGCGCTGGCACAGATCATTGTGTGTGTGTGTCGTGTGTGTCGTGTGTGTCGTGTGTGTGTGGTGCTGACCGGTGGAGTACGCGCAGGTGGGTAAGCTGGTCGACATCCCCGTGGGCATGATGGACGGCACGATCCAGGTGGTCAAGGCCGATATGGCCGGCACCGTGAGGGAGCTCTTCGGGCAGCTCACCAAGGAGCTCAAGCTCAACGTCGTCTCGCCCGAGTGGAAGCTCTTCGCCCACTACGGCGAGAAGACCCCCGAGACCCGATTCGATGGCGGTACGCCCTCCACATTATTTTATTTATTTATTATTTTCTTTTCAATCCATGCTTATCAATTATCATTTATTTATTTATTTATTTGATTATACTGTATTCTTATTACAGAGGTGGGAGAGCCGCTGGACGATTCGGTGAACATCATGGACGTGATCGCCGGGTGGGAGAAGGAGCACCCCGACATCCCCATCCAGTTCTCGTTCCACCGCTACGTGCTGCTCAACAAGCGGGGCGAGCCGCGCGACCCCACCGCGACGCACCTGCTGTGCCACCAGGCCATCGGCCAGGTCGTCACCGGCCGCCACCTGGTCTCCGAGGACGACGCTGCCCTTCTGGCCGCCATGCAGCTCCGCATGAAGCACGACGGCGAGATCAACTGGGACGAAATCGCGTATGTGCCCCCGGCCACTCCATGTTTTCATTCAATGCCCGGCGCTCACACAACACACGACACACACGACACGGCACACGGCACACGACACACAACACACGACACGCACGACGCACACACAGGAGAAAGATTCGCGAGTACATTCCGGTGCAATTCGTGAGCGCCAAGAGTGCCGAGAAGTGGGCGGAGGCGATCCGTAAGCACGCCGACAAGGACAAGAGCCTCACCGCCGCCCAGGCCGAGCAGAAGTACCTCGAGGTCGTTCGACAGTGGAGCCTCTACGGCGCGTGCTGCTTCAACGCCACGGTGCGTCCTCACCCCACCACGCCTCGATCATGTGTCGTGCGTGTCGTGTGCTTGCGCGCCATCTAATTATGATCAACAGAGGATACAAGAGAACGGCAAGGTTACGGTAATGCTCGCGGTCGACGGCAACGGTTTCCACGTCCTCTCGCCACCAGACGTGGTACGCTCTCACCACCACCACCTCTTCTTCTTCTTCTTCTTCTTCTTCTGTTTTCTCTCTGGTCGATGGCACTGACGCGCCCGCGCTCGAATGTGACCGCAGGCGCCCGTGGAGTCGTACCCGTTCAACAAGATCGCCAACTGGGCGTCGTCGGAAACCGAGTTCGGTGTGGTCGTCGGTTCGCTCATGAACCCCACGCGCCTCGTCTTCTACACCAACGAGGTACGTTCCTCGTTCCTTCCTTGGAGACCGTGTGCGTGTCGCGTGTGTGCGTGTGTCGCGTGTGCGTGCGTGTGCGGTCACACTAAACATATGTGTGTACTTTGCAGGGCACGATCCTCCACAAGGTGTTCCAGGAGCACGTGAAGGCGCTCGTCGCCCTCAAGAAGAAGACCGGAACCACGATCGTCCAGGCCAGGCGGCTCTTCTAAGAAGAGAGGCCATCAAGAGGGGAAGGGGACAAAAGAAGAAGAAGAAGAAGGAAGAGGGAAGGTTGAGGAAGAAGGGGACGATGCCTGCCACTTGCGTTGGCGACTGTATCTGCGTATTTGAATACAACAACATTATTATTATAATTAGTATAATTAGCGATTTATTTCATGAAATAAATCGGAAAAGGAGAAATTCAGAAAATAAAATACTTCAGCATAAAAATATAAGTTCGGATTCAGCAAACGAGAAAGAGAAGAGTTTTTGGAAGGGGCAAAGGGGAGATTGTATTCAATAATACGCCGGCGGAGGCACTAACTACAACCGATCGCAATCTCTGGATTTACAAAGACCAATGGAACAACCTAGAGGACCACGGTAACAACAACTTCAACTTTCTCATTCTTCCCACCATCTCGCTGCCTTTTTGCACATTTGATTTATAATAAATGCCATTCATTCATTCATTTACGCTCGAAATACACTAGATCATCTCTTGGTGAGAGCAGGGGGCGAGGGAGAGGAGGAGACAGACCACGCGGAAGAGAAGAAGACTTCACCCGGCCCCACCACCAGCACCATCACCACCCCGGTAGTGGCGAAGGCGAAGACCGCCACCACCACCGCGGCGGAGCACCCAGGCCCCACGGCCACGGCGGCCCCGAAGACCACAGCCCTGGCCGCGGCGCTCGCGGCCACGAAGGCGGCCACCACCACCACCAGTCCGACCGCCACGAAGGCCACCACGGCGGTGGCGGACGCGGCCATCACCACCACGAGCGCGGTGGCGAGCGCCACGAAGGCCACCGCGGCGGCCACCACCAGGCCGAACGCCACCACGAGCGCGGCGGCGAGCGCTACGAAGGCCACCACGGCGGTGGCGGACGCGGCCATCACCACAACGACGAGCGCGGCGGCGGCGAGCGCGGCGCGCAAGGCTTTCGAGGCCGTGGCGGGTTCGATCGCGCCGCCAGCCCGGTCGATCGCGAGCGCGGCCATCGGGTGGACCACCACCACCGTCACGAGCGCGGCGGCCATGGCTACGGCGACGCGCAGGAGCGGACGACGGTGCTGGTGCTGGGCGCGGGCTTCATGGGTTCGGCGATCGCGGGCGAGCTGGCGCGGCGCGGGTGCGTGGTGTACCTGTACGACCGCGACCCGCTGCTGGCGCACAACGTCCACCTGGCCGCGCGCAAGGGCTACCTCGAAACCGGCCGCGAAGGCGGCCTCGTTTCCCTCTTCGCCAAGGTTCGCTCGTGTGTGTGGCGTGTGTGTCGTGTCGTGTGATGCTGATGGTGTTCACTTACCATTGTAATTGACGAACAGAAAGAAGATGAGCCGCTCATGTCGCAAGCAGACCTCGCGCATTCGATCAGCCGCATCCATCCCTGCGAGCATGCCGAACTGGACACCTTCCTCGATGCACTTCCGCCCATCCAATTCGTATTCGAGGTAACAACCACACACACACACACACACGACACGCACACAACTGATCATTACGCCCCGATGTAGGCCATCGTCGAGGACCTCAGGGTGAAGCAGGGCGTGATGCAGCAGCTCGACCGCCACTTCGCCGCCCAGCCCGACGTCGTGTTCTGCAGCAACACGATCAACTTCAACATCGACGCCCTGTCGGCCACGATGGCGCACCACCGCGAGCGGGTCGTGGGCGTGCGCTTCCTGGCGCCCGTCTACTACATCCCGCGCATCGAGGTCTCGCCGGGGCGCGACTTCACCGGCACGCGCGCGTTCCTCAGCGTGTGGCACGCGCTCGTGCGACTGGGCTTCGCGCCGTTCCTGTTCCACTTCGCGCCGGGCGCGCCGCGGGTGAAGCTCGGCTCGGAAGACGTCGACCGCCTCCTCAGCAGTACGCACGCACCGCACACACCACCGCACACGCACGCACCACACACCACCGCGCGCGCGCGCGCACACACACACACACACACACACACACACACACGGGCTAACGGAGCACACACAGGTTACAAGGTTGCGTTCGAGAACGCGCCGAAAGGACTCGAGAAACAGGAGTGTCGCTACGCGGCCCGCTGTGCGTTCGTCAACGACAGGCTGCACCGCAAGCTCTTCACGCACAGCGAGAAGCCCCTGATCCCATGCAGGTACTCTACTCTATTTATTTATAATTCTTTTCTAATATTATATAGTACTAAATATATATGACATTGTATTTTTATTTTATTTTATTTTATTAGGTTTGGTGGCCTGTGCTCCATGGTGGACGACGAGCACCGCCAGCGGACCGAGCACCCGCAGCCCTGCAGCTACGGCACCTGCACCAAACTCCACGACTACTCGCACCGCGCACTCTACTCTCATCCGCCAGTCGTACGTCACCACCACCACCTCCTTTTCATGTGTCGTCGTGTGTGTCGTGTGTGTCGTGCCGTGTCGTGTCGTGTCGTGCGTCGTGTGTGTCGTGCGTCGTGCGTCGTGTGTCGTGAGTCATATGTGTCACGGCTAACTAAGTCTGTCGATGGGCGGGGTACCACCAGGCTTGTCGATACGGCGCCCGCTGCCGCGACATCTTCGACGCCGAACACAAGCTGCTGTTCCAGCACCCCACCCGCGTGCCCCACTCGGCCGCCACCCGAGTCGGCCACGGCCATGGTCACGGCCCCGTCGGTGTAGAGGCCCCGGCCCAGCCGCCACAGCCCCATCCGCAGCCGCAGCCGGCACAAGGGGCGGTTGACCCAACGCCACCCCAGCAGCCGGCCGAGGCACCGGCGGAAGCCGAGGAAGCGGGAGCAGGCGAAGATGAAGATGAAGAGGAGGAGGACGGCGGCAACGAATGCATCGTCTGCTTCGATGCGGCCAAGGACGCGCTGCTCTACCCCTGTGGACACGTCGCCCTCTGCCAGCCCTGGTACGCTCTGCAGCTTTCTTCCCACCACCACCACCACCACCTCGCCTTTGCCCAACTAACAGTACGCCACCGCACTCACCGCACACGCGCACACGCACACGCGCACACGCACACGCGCACACAACAGTGGCAACCGGATCAAGGAGGAGAGAGGAGGCTGCCCGATCTGTCGCGCACCGATCGTGGGTGTGGTCAAGATGTTCTTTGCTTGAGCAGCGACCTTCGAATTGTAATTTGTAAGGACTTTATTTTGTTCCTTTTGCTCATAAAAGGAAAATTCAACAATTTGTTTTTAATTGTAGCATTTAATTAAGCCTGTATTGCCGGAGCTGATCTCTTCTCGAGTGCGGCGATTTGTTGTTTGTTGATCTTGCGGAAGAGGAAGAGATGGCGACGACGAAGGCGCTCTGCGTGACGGCTCAGGCTCCGGTGAACATTGCTGTGATCAAGTACTGGGGCAAGACCGATGAGAAGCTCATCTTGCCGCTCAATTCGTCCCTCTCCACCACCCTCAGCATGACCGACCTCTGCACCACCACCACCGTCATGGCCAGCAAGGAGTACTTCTTCCGCGATTTAATTGAATCCCATTTAATTTATATTTTTTTTCCGCCTAATGCCATTTAATTGAGGCCTAATTTATTATTTTGAGTGTTTTATTCGTAAGATCATACTCGCATTTACTTCCCATTGATTCATTTCTTCACGGCCAAGCCCAGACCTCTCTTTTTTTTTTTAAATGAGATTGGAATTTGTTTTCACGCTACACTTTCATTCTTTTGATCTTTGCATTCGGCCGTTGCAGGTTCAAGGAGGACCGGCTGTGGCTCAACGGGAAGGAGGAGAGCGTGTCGTCCGGCCGCATGCAGAACTGCATCGGGCAGCTGGTGGCCCGCAGCGGGCTGCTCAAGCGGCTCGGCGAGAACGTGGAGGAGGGCAAGGCCCGCGAGTACCACTTCCACATCGTCTCCGTCAACAACTTCCCCACCGCCGCTGGTCTGGCCTCGTCCGCCTCCGGCTTCGCCTGCCTCAGTACCCCCGCACCCACTCGTCCATCGCCCCAGCCGCCCAATTCTCACCTCGTGTCGCGCGTGTGCGTGTGTCATGTGTCGCGTGTGCGTGTGTGCGTGTCGTGTGTGTCGTGTGCCAGCCTACACGCTCGGTACTCTGCTGGAGGTTGAGGGCGACCTCTCGGCCATCGCTCGCCTTGGCTCGGGCAGGTATTACAAAACAGATCATATCACACACACACACACACACACAC